GGTATTCACATTGAAGATCAGGCCCCCGGCACCAAGAAGTGCGGCCACATGGCCGGCAAGGTTCTCGTGCCCATCAGCGAGCACATCAACCGCCTGGTGGCCATCCGTGCCCAGGCTGATATCATGGGCTCTGATCTCCTGGCCATTGCCCGTACCGACTCTGAAGCCGCCACCCTCATCACCTCGACTATTGACGACCGTGACCACGCGTTCATCGTGGGCTCAACCAACCCTAGCCTCCAGCCTCTCAATGACCTGATGGTCGCGGCCGAGCGATCCGGCAAGAACGGCGCGGAGCTGCAAGCCATTGAAGATCAGTGGACCAGCCAGGCCGGTCTCAAGCTCTTCAACGAGGCTGTGATCGACGCCATCAACTCCGGTGTCCACGTCAACAAGAAGAGTCTCGCCGACCAATACTTGACTGCCGTAAAGGGAAAGAGTAACAACGAATCCCGAGCCATCGCCAAGAGTATCACCGGCGTCGATATCTTCTGGAACTGGGACTCTCCCCGTACCCGCGAGGGCTTCTACCGCTACCAGGGCGGCACGCAATGCGCCGTCAACCGCGCAGTGGCCTACGCACCCTTCGCCGATCTGATCTGGATGGAAAGCAAATTGCCCGATTACAAGCAAGCCAAGGAATTCGCCGATGGCGTGCATGCCGTCTGGCCTGAACAAAAGTAAGTGTTTGACCTCCTTTTTTTTTTTTTTTTTCTTCGAGAAATTTCCCGAAGTCCCCACATCCCGCGATCCGCGGTGTCAATATGTCTTTGAGTTATTAAACTAACCTTTACCTAGATTGGCGTACAATCTTTCCCCATCGTTCAACTGGAAGAAGGCCATGCCTCGCGATGAGCAAGAGACTTACATTAAGCGTCTCGGTGAACTCGGCTACTCGTGGCAGTTCATCACCTTGGCGGGTCTGCACACCACGGCCCTGATCTCGCACCAGTTCGCTAAGGCGTTCGCGAAGCATGGAATGCGCGCCTATGGTGAACTGGTTCAGGAACCGGAGATGGAGCAGGGTGTTGATGTCGTTACGCATCAGAAGTGGAGTGGTGCCAACTACGTTGATAATTTGTTGAAGATGGTTTCCGGTGGTGTTAGTAGTACCGCTGCGATGGGCAAGGGTGTTACTGAGGATCAGTTCAAGAACTGATTTTGAGTCGTGTTGATACCCGAGTATACTTGTATACTGTGTTTTTTGTGTCTTGTTCGGCGTTTCTTTTAATCTTGTCCTATACAACTCTTGAATTGATTCAAGGTCTCTTCAGAGACTCGTTGCATTTACAATTTGCATATTATCGTATTCCACATCTTCGTACGAGTATGATCCTGCTGACGATAGTCCGGATACGAGATGATTTGATCAATAATTGGCACCTAGAAATTCATGGCCATTAGTGTACGAGTACTTTGTACTCGTACCCGTGCCAGTAGTGATACTACAAGCAGTAGTATACGACGAAGCATATTAAACTTAATACGAAGGCTAACCCCTACAAGTATAAGTACTCGTGCATTGGAATCCACTTCTAGGTTCGGGTTTCATTCATCCTGCTCGATGTCCAATAGAAGCAAGCCTTTGCAAATGCCGATCGTATTAAAAGCGGGGAGTGTAGATCCTGTGAAGCCGCGGTTCGTATGGTCGCTTCCATCGAGAGTCGCAGGGACAGCTAGAAATTCACAGAGAGTGAATGGCTTTGAGACCAGTTCAAGTACGAGTAAGCTTCGACTGGCGACTTGAGGCCAGACCATGCTGGCCGAGAATGAAAGGGGGATGCGGAGGAGCAGCCGAAACCAGGGCGAGAGACCGAGAGCTCGGAGCATGTGGATGCGGAGACCTTATCCTTAAACTTGGCTTCTGCAACTCTTCTCCCCTACTAAAGAAAGCTTCGACGCTTTGGATTTTCAATTTCTTTTTTCTTTTTTTTTCACATTTTATACTTCATATTTTACAATGTCTAATCTTCCGGAATTGCAATATACCTCGCTGGACGAGATCCCCCAGCGTATCTCCACTGCCCGGAATGCGTTTTTGGAGAACAAGACCCGTGATGTCGAGTTCCGCCTGGTGCAACTGCGCAAGCTCTACTGGGCGTGAGTCCCACCCCTACAGAATTGAGAGGGGGCTCTGCAAGGCCATGACTAACGACCACCTAGCATTAAGGACAACGAGGAGCTCATCTTTGAGGCTTGCGAGAAGGACCTCAACAAGCCTCGGTTCGAGACAAATCTCGCCGAGAGCGGCTGGATCTTGAACGACATTGTTTTCACCACCCGCAACCTGCACAGATGGGTGGCTGACGAAAAGGCCGACGACATCGATCTCGCCTTCAAGTTCATGAACCCGAAGATCCGCAAGGATCCCCTGGGATGTGTGCTGGTCATTGGGTATGTCTCTCGAACGCATGTGAATATTGTGTAAATGTTTCGAAACTAATGTCTTCGCTCATAGTGCTTTCAACTTCCCCTTCCAGTTGACCATGGGCCCGGTCATCGGTGCCATTGCCGCCGGTAACACAGTCGTGATCAAGCCCAGCGAAAGTGCGTCGCGCAGCGCAGCCGTCATGCAAAAGATTGTCGAGGAGAGTCTCGACCCCTCATGTTACAAGATTGTCCAGGGTGGTATCCCGGAGACGCAAGCTCTGCTTGCCGAGCGGTGGGACAAGATTTTCTTCACGGGTAGTGCCACCGTCGGACGGATCGTCGCCAAGGCCGCCGCACCGCATTTGACCCCTGTGGTTCTCGAGTTGGGCGGTATCAACCCGGCCATCGTGACCAAGAATGCTGACCCCAGACTTGTCGCTCGCCGCATGCTTTGGGGTAAGACCTTGAACGCTGGCCAACTGTGCACCTCCCAGAACTACTTGCTGGTCGATAAGCCACTTGTCCCCCAGGTGGTCGAGGAGTTCAAGGCCGCATACCAGGAGTTCTACCCCGATGGTGCCAGACAGTCGCCTGATTATTCTCGTATCATTAGCCCTGGTGCTTTCGCTCGCCTTAAGTCCATGCTCGATAACACCAAGGGCGAGATCGTCATGGGTGGTACCGTGGATGAGAAGGAGCTGTTCATCGACCCCACCGTTATCCTAGTTGATTCCGTTGAGGACTCGCTGTGCACACAGGAGAGCTTCGGTCCATTCATCCCAATTTTGCCTGTTGAGAACTTGGATGAGGCCATCCGTCTCGCCAACGGCGTTCAGAGCACACCGTTGGGCCTCTACCCCTTCGGTAACAAGGCCGATGTCGATAAGAGTAAGTCGATTCTAGATTCTGTTGCCGTCAATTTCCATCTAACATAATCCCCAGTCATCTCTTCCACTCGCTCCGGTGGTGTCTCTGTCAACGATGCCGCTCTCCACATCCCCACTCTGCCCTTCGGTGGTGTTGGCGAAAGTGGTTACGGTGCCTACCGTGGCCGCTCCAGCTTCGATGTCTGGGTGCACCGTCGTCCCGTCACCTCTACCCCTAGCTGGCTCGAGTCTATCCTGTCTATTCGTTACCCACCATATGCCGGCAAGATCAGCACCTGGAATGCAGCCAGCGCACTCCAACCCGACTTCGACCGCAGTGGTAACAAACTGACTCTCGGCTGGTTGCGTTATGTCACCACCCTGGGTGGTGGCACCGCGGCTTCCGGTGCCGGTAGAGCCGCTACCGTTGCTGCCAGTGAGTAAATGTTCCTTTTCTTCAATATAGACGAAATCCCCTTCCATGAATTGTTCCCTTTAGTCGTGACAGACCTTGGGCTATTTTCGCCTCGTTCATCTCGAGTGGATGGCGCCTAAGGTCTGCATGGCTTCATCTATCCAACGAATCTTTGGCTGCTTGGCTATATGATTGATACGGAGACCATAATCCCTTCTTTATATACCCCCGTCTTCATGTATTGGTTTAATCCTGTCCCATCCTCCCGGTCCATCTTTCTTTACAACTCTCAATTTCCTTTCCATCTCGGTCTTGTTCCAGATACCGTCCCCAGGACAAAAAACCATGAAAAAACTCGATACGCCCATAATTTGTGAATAACTTTGAATAACCTACTACTGTTTCCCCTCTGCTGTTGCCTCAATTCACAAATTTTATATACCTGAAGAGTCAATTTCTAACTCGTAAATAGTTGCCTACATCATCCTCCGTCTTCTCGAGCGCCGCTCGAAGCTGTGAGCACAAAATTGAGATCGTCTGATCGACGCCCCTCCATCTAAATTTGCTGCAGGTGGGGACTTGGAGATTGTCTTTTTGTTGATCACTCCCTGTATCAGGTTGGTGTCCACTTGTGTAGGTTGACGGGGTGGCAATGGTTTATCTTTTTTCTTCATGTCAAATACTTCGCCATATGCTCTAAGCTGAGCTATGTGTTTTCAGGATTCCTGTTTATCTTTTTCTTTGCCTTCTTTGATTACAGATACATCCTTTGGTGTTGATCTGTCTTATCAAAATGTAAATATTGAAGCCGTTGAAACTTTGTATCGAGATGAATACCTGGGAAAGAACTCCAAAATTGTATATCTAGTTTATGCAGACCATGGCAGCTCGACCAGTGGTCTAAAGTGTACCTAGGTAACTGCTAGTTCTGAGGGCTGAAAAGACAGGAACTCAATTTGATGCCTAGGTACTCAAAATTTGAGCGTTTCAAGCGACTAGAACAAATATCTGGTTCATTACTGAAGTCCAACTTTAGAAGCTGTTCCACAAGCGTGTGATTAAGTCCCCGCAGATTCTGAATGTTACTTAAGTATAACGACAGGTAATACGCGCCTACAACTTTGAAGCTTAAATCGGGCATGGGGGGCCATGGAGGCCCACGAGTACCTAATCACAACTTGGAACCAAGTCGGATTTTTAAAAAAAAGACACAGACTACAAAGGCTGTTGCAAAAGGACGGATCCAAAATTTATACCATCACTCATGTTGTCGAATGCAGTAGTTATCAAACGCTGTTGAATTCAAATAAATGCCTTCAATGTTGGTCTATTCAATCCAGAAGCAGCGCTCAGCAACGCCTTTCCACGCCACGATTGCTGACGCAAAGGTATTTGACACCCTTGTATGGCTTGACACCTTCGCCCAAACCACGACTACGTCGCTGGTCAATGTTGAGACCATCAACTTTAATACCGGAAGGTAGCCAGCCTCGCACGGAAAATGAGACCGATGCAGAGTTTGGCATTAGGCTTGCGTTAACCTGGGCCTTGGTTCTGCGAGCGGGGCGGGATGTGGATGGAGCGAAGAATGCAGGAAGGTGGGAGTTTGATGATTGAGGTTGGGGTGGAGGAGTGGGGGTTTGGGGTTTGGAGTGGCTGGGAGATGGGGATTTCGCTGGGGCAGTCGCTGGGAATGCGTCCTCTTCGACGTTCTCTGGGTTTAGGCCAGAGCGAGACTTCTTTGTAGACTTCTTCTTCTTCTTTTTGCGCTTGGAAGGGTCGGAAGATCGAGGTTTCTTGGATGTACTGGCAGTTGCGTCATTGTATGAAGTCGGAGCCTCGTAGTAGCCTTGTAAAAGGTTGGCGTTGGCGTCTTCATCAGCGTCCTCTAGACTGTCCAGATCATCGTCGGCTGAGGGATAGCCCGAGACACTGCAGCGTAACGTCGCAGTTCCCGATAAAGACCCAGCATCCTTTCCAGTGGGAATCCGCCACTCAAGAAGCCCGCTTGAGTGGGAGAATTGGGCATCACCACGGCTGGCCTGCATGTCCGTGATATGTCGGACGGAGTTGGATATCGGTACACTGACAACGACTTCTTCAAGTACCGGAGCAGAGTTACCACTTCCACCGCCTAGGAAGGATGGTGTTGATGTACCTGATCCGTTTCGTCCCACTCCAGGCCGAGAGGATGAGCTGTGACCAGGGAAATTCGTGTTCAGGGTCAACCGGACCTCGAATTCTGAACCAGATGACCCTAATGACTTGCGAATGTCTACAATCGCAGGCAAGAAAACCTTCTCCATATGGCTTGGTGCCTCATCAAGATCAGCGTCTATGGGAAGGAGGTCCACCTCGTAACCAGCCAAGATGAATCGTCCATCTGGTGGTATGAAACTTAGCTCTCCGGGCCGTTCTTTCCATCGAGCTAATCGAACGCACGGATGGAAAACTGGGAGTTCGATCTTGCGGCCAAGGACATGCTGGCCACCTGGTGCTGATAATGATAATGACAGGTCTGGGACTCCTGATATCTTGGCAGTAAATGCAATGGTTCCGGAGACCAACGCAGAAAGTAATCGCCCAGATGGAGCGATAGTGACATTCAGAGATTCAATTATGTCAACGTATAACTCATTGGATGTGTGTCGTACTCCAGGCCGTCTCCAGGGAATGGCGGGACCTTGAGATGCACTGGCAGCGGCGAGTGATTGTTTCAGCGGATTGCTAGAACCCAAGGTTGGCGTCGATGTGCTATAACGAAGACAATTGTGAGTAATCGTAGCACTGCTTGATGTAATGACTACTTACCCAGGGACTCCAATTCCACCTAACAGCTTTCCCATCCACCCGGGAACTTCAACAACTTCTTGCAAGGCATTGGGTTCGGTGTTGCATACCGTTCCCCCATCACACATCTCGTTGAGCAATTGCGCAACAACGTCATAATTAGATTGGATCTTAGTTGAGAGTAGCGGTGCTCCAACAAAGTCCTCTAGCGCGTCGACTACGCGATGCAGGAACTCTAGTGCAAGCAGTGGTTCTGTGTCGACTTCGCTGATCGCAAGAAACAACAAGTTTGACTCGACCGTTGAAAAGACGGTCACCGGCGGCGAAGCACTGGGAATGTACAACAGGGAAGGGCGTGGGGTAGCATGAGCAAGGTAGAGGGGCAGGATGGCGGAGGCCGAAGGCGGGCGGGATCGATATACATGTTCAACGAGAGGGGCACTGGTAGGGTGCGTTAGTAAACTTTCTTGGAATGCGATGCGGGATATCTTACTTTTGCTCGTCATATATGTAGACGGCATCGATCTCGCCGCTCATGGTGACAGTTTGTCTGGTGATGGAACTGCTCGGCGTAGATTGCATAGCTGTGAAGCTGCCCGTTTTGCCGCCGATTCCCGCTTTCTGTCGACTTTTTGGAGACGTCAACAATCATCCTCATAGTGCATGGGCTAGTGATTTCGTTCACGCTTACATTCTGTCCATTCTACTCGGATCCTTGAATCTGTTCCGCCCAGAATGTCCTCCTCCGATATCAAGCTGAAAGATGCCAAACAGGCCTTGGCCGAGGACCAGTTTGATGACTGCATGTCTTGTCGCGTCATGGGTAAGTTCATGTTCTATAGTACTGCGCTGTTGGCCGTTCTATTTATATTGATACATTTGCGTAGGGTCTGCTGCGTTCGTTGGCCTCGGTGTCTACAGCTACTACACTGGAATGGCCAACCTGCGTAAACAGGAAAAAGCGATCATGCAAGGCGCTACGAAGTACAAGATGGGTTCACGCCAGCTTGGAATCGCCTCGATATCCGCAACTTTGGTAGGAATGGGACTATGGCGGGCTTTCAACTGAACACTGTACAACCAAGCAAGCATTTAGTTACGAGATGCAGTTGACACCGGGTTTGCGCGGACCAAGTGTTTTACAGCCGGGGGGCAGGATGGAAACTTTGTAAGATATTGAAATGTTATTTAATTGCAACCAATGATAATTGCCACTTCGGGTATCGGGTATCGCCTGAGGCATATCCTTCTATATGCTATATGACAAGGGTAAGGAGAGAGCCAAGTAAGAAACGGAGAAAGGAAGTAACCAAATCCAAAATAAAAAGGGATTGACGGAAACCCCCGTTGGAAGAAGCCAAAAGAAGATAAAAAAGTAAAACCAAAAAACCCATGAAACGAGTCCAAATGCAAATTCCTTTCCTTGTTATGCACCCGAAAAAAAAGCACCCGCGCACCCTGAATTCCAGTCACTGCATGACACTCTGAAGGTAATGCTCGTCACTTCGTCAACATCGTATACTGTACCTAGCACTTCAGTCCTAGGTAAAGCGGCCTCGTTTTCCTCCTCCGCCCATATCTCGACCGTTGTTGAGCCCTGACAAGTCAAAGAAATCGGGGAAGGTGAATTTTCTCTTGGAGCCGATGCTAGCAGGTGATTCCCGCTGAGATGGACGTGGGTTCGCTCGTGCATGGTTGTTGTGACGGTGGTGCGGGCGAGTATTGCGTGGCATGACAGAAACGCTCAGAGGGGCACCCTCTTGCGTGTTCATAGCTGAGTTGTCGGATTGCACGTCCATGTCATTTTCGGGGTATGCTGGGCCGGCGGAGAAAGTGAAGATGGCGGGTGTGGCAAGTGAGGGTGTTTCATGAGGTTGTGTGGGGGTTGTGGACAATTCAGGCTTGGGTGTGGGTGTCTGAGCCGAGGTAGGAGTCTGGCGGGGTTGGTCGGCAGGAGATGAGTCCTTCCGGGTAGCCGTTGGTGTGGCACTTCGATCGTGCTTGTCGGCCTCTGTATCCTCGTCGCTGGTCTGGCTTGCGGTCCCATCACACCTCTCAGTTGCCCATTGTCGAACTTTCCACCCCTCTCCGTCCCCGAGTCCGAGGTTCTCGCGGTCAAGGAAATGGAGCAGGTCCTCTACCGCCTCCTGGTATCCAGCTGATCGCGCCTGAGCTTGCTCACACACAGCATTCTTGTAGAGATTGGTGACGGATAGTGCCGCCGCCTTGAACTGTTGGAGAAGTTGCTCCGGGGGCTGCGTGCGAGGCGTTGAGCTCGGCAAAGAGGTGTTCAATGATCGCATGGAGTCCATGGCAGGAGAGAAGGATGTCAAGGCCGTGACAATCTCGGAAGCGAAGTGATAACTTGCTCGTGAGGTGAAGGTGACTGGAAAGGACTTTGGAGGCAAGAGATTAGATATAGCAACAACGTCAAACACGGCAAGAGCCCACACAAATAGAGCAGGTACTTGGCCCAGGTGTGGTGTAACAGGTGAGGTGAACAGGAGGAGCTTTCCTCGCCGATCGCCTTTTGCAGAGGCCCCGCCGTTTGCTCCGGTAACGAGATGACCTAAGGAAGGAAAAACGTAATCTTCCGCTCTTTTTCGACACGTCCAATCTGGTCTATCTACACGCACTATTGCGGTGCTGTGCCTCCATATCGTCTAATGTGTCAATTTTTATACATACTAAGAGCCATTTAACCTTTGGATATATGTAGCATAGAGTATGCTTTTTGATACGAAGGGGCTGGAGAATCTTGTGTTTCTTTTTTCTTTATCTTGATTGTACCATATACTAGGCTTTACATACAGTCCGGGCACGGACGAAGTGAGATCTTTCAATATGGCCGTGTGAATAACATAAAGCCGTGTCCTTAGCATTGGCCTTCCCTCTTCACAGCCCACTTTTGGCCTTAGCGCGCTGACTCAGGACTTATGTAAAAAAAACTAACGCGGTCCGCCCGTGTACAGGACCCATTATCTCTGCGGCGCGCTGGAATACCTTCAATCCTGCGCGAGACTTGCCTCAATATCAATCTTTCAATGGCCTGCACTCAATGAATGGTTCTAACCTCCTCAACTCCACTCCTTGAAACCAGAGCTAAACAATATCCTTTGATCCATCCGAACTTCTCTCTTTCACCATTCACGCGCTTCAATTAGTCGCGAGCTATAAGTCTCTTTGTTGCAATTCTGAGACCTGACTTTCGAACTACCCTGCCCGCGCTCAGTGCGCCGAAGATCAACTCAAATGGCTCCTACACTCGCGTCCGACCCCGTCTCGCAGGCTGATACACCCATGACCGATGTAAATGACGACACCGTGCCCTCCGTGCCCGTTGACAGTGCCGACGCTCCAATGACGGTATGCTATGACCTTCCCACCCAGATCGCTATCTGCGTGTGGGCTTATAATTCTGGTCCAGGACCTTGCTAATGTTTTATCGCAATTTAGAGCCACCAGGACACCCCAGATTACACGGTAGAGATGCCCTTGGTCTTCCTTGCTTGGATATGGTTGAAAAAGGATAGCTTCTTACCCTTCTCTAGGACTCCGACACAAATCCCAACACAACTGCAAGCAGCGTTGCAGGCGACACGGCCGATGCACGGCGGAGGAGATCCGAGGCCAACAACCTCAGGAAAAGCATCCTAGGCAAGAAGCATGGCAACTTAGACAGCACAAAAGTAAGTCCTGGACTACATGCTGATTCTGATTTGATTGCTAACATACAATCAGGAGGATGACTCTATTCGTCGATTCCGATACCTCCTTGGCCTTACGGATCTGTTCCGCCACTTCATCGAGACGAACCCCAACCCCCAAATCAAAGAGATCATGGCCGAAATCGACAGACAAAACGAAGAAAGCGAAGAAAAGAACCGCAAAGGATCAAAGCGTTCTGGGGGCGCTGGAGGCGAACGCCGCCGCCGGACCGAGCAAGAGGAGGACGCGGAGCTCCTGCAGGACGAGAAGCATGGCGGCGAGACCACCACCATCTTCCGCGAATCTCCAGCTTTCATTCACGGTGAACTGCGTGACTATCAGGTTGCAGGTCTCAATTGGCTTGTTTCCTTGCACGAGAACGGTATCTCCGGCATCTTGGCCGATGAAATGGGTCTTGGAAAGACTCTCCAGACCATTTCGTTCCTTGGCTACCTCCGATACATTTGTGATATCAAAGGTCCTCACTTGGTTGTTGTGCCGAAGTCAACACTGGATAACTGGAAGCGTGAATTCGCGCGCTGGACTCCCGACATCGACGTTCTGGTACTCCAAGGAAACAAGGATGAGCGTCAACAACTCATCAATGAACGTTTGCTTCAGGATGAGTTCGACGTCTGCATCACAAGTTACGAAATGATCCTCCGTGAGAAATCACACTTGAAGAAATTCGCCTGGGAGTACATCATCATCGATGAGGCCCACCGTATCAAGAACGAGGAATCCTCTTTGTCCCAGATCATTCGCCTTTTCAACTCCCGCAACCGACTTTTGATCACCGGTACACCTTTGCAAAACAACCTTCATGAGCTGTGGGCTTTGCTTAACTTCCTTTTGCCTGATGTTTTTGGTGATTCGGAGGCATTCGATCAATGGTTCTCGAACCAGAATTCTGACCAGGACACCGTCGTGCAGCAACTGCACCGTGTCCTGCGTCCATTCTTGCTTCGACGTGTGAAGAGTGATGTTGAGAAGAGTCTCCTCCCAAAGAAGGAGCTCAACCTTTATGTTGGCATGTCAGCTATGCAGAAGAAGTGGTACCAGAAGATTTTGGAGAAGGACATCGACGCTGTGAACGGTGCCGCCGGCAAGCGCGAGTCCAAGACTCGTCTTTTGAACATTGTTATGCAACTGCGCAAGTGCTGCAATCACCCATACCTGTTCGAAGGAGCCGAGCCAGGTCCTCCCTACACCACTGACGAGCATCTTGTGTACAACTCTGGAAAGATGGCCATCTTGGACAAGCTTCTGAAGCGCGTGAAAGCGGATGGTAGTCGTGTGCTCATTTTCTCGCAGATGAGTCGTGTGTTGGATATCTTGGAAGATTATTGTGTGTTCCGAGACTACAACTACTGTCGTATCGATGGTACCACAGCACACGAGGACCGTATTGCTGCCATTGATGACTACAACAAGCCCGGGTCTGACAAGTTTGTGTTCCTTCTCACCACCCGAGCAGGTGGCTTGGGAATTAACTTGACTACCGCCGATATTGTCGTTCTGTTTGACAGCGACTGGAATCCTCAGGCTGATCTTCAGGCTATGGATCGCGCTCACCGTATTGGTCAAACCAAGCAAGTCAAGGTCTTCCGATTTGTCACTGAAGATGCTATTGAAGAGAAGGTTCTTGAGCGCGCGGCCCAAAAATTGCGCTTGGATCAGCTCGTCATCCAGCAAGGTCGTGCTGGACAGCAGGCGAAGACCAATTCCAAGGACGACCTTCTTGGCATGATTCAGCATGGTGCTAGCAAGCTAGTTAACCCGGAAGCTGGCGAGGGAGCCGACACTCTTTCAGATGACATTGAGGATATCCTGCGCAAGGGTGAAGAACGAACTGCTGAGCTCAGTAAGAAATACGAAGCTCTTGGTATTGATGACCTGCAGAAATTCTCCTCCGAGAGCGCATACGAATGGAATGGAAAGGATTTCACCGAGCGCAAAAAGGACATTGGTATTAGCTGGATCAACCCGGCCAAGCGTGAGCGCAAGGAGCAATTCTACTCAATCGATCAGTATTATCGTCAGACCTTGTCTACGGGAGGCCGAACAGCCGACACAAAGCCTAAGGTTCCTCGTGCCCCCAAGCAGATCACCGTCCACGATTGGCAGTTCTTCCCTCCCGGTCTTCACGAGCTGCAAGAGAAGGAGACAGCCTATTTCCACAAGGAAATTGGGTACAAGGCACAGCTTCCTGAAGGCCCCGAAGAGGAGTCCAGCGAGCGAGAGGCTGAAAGGGACCTGGAACAGCAGGAGATCGACAACGCTGTGCCCCTGACCGAAGAGGAGCAAGCCGAGAAGACCCGCATGTCAGAGGAAGGTTTCGCTACCTGGAACCGCCGTGATTTCCAGCAATTCGTCAATGGATCGGCCAAGTTTGGCCGCACTGACTACGTCGGCATCGCCACCGAGGTGGATAGCAAAGAGCCTGATGAGATCGAGGAATATGCAAAGGTCTTCTGGCAACGATACACCGAAATTCAAGATTACACCAAGTACCTCAAGGTCATCGACCAGGGTGAAGAGAAGGTACGCAAGATCGACCACCAGCGAAAGATGCTGCGCAAGAAACTGGAAATGTACCGCTCGCCTCTCCAGCAGCTCAAAATCAACTACACCGTGTCCACCACTAATAAGAAGGTGTACATCGAAGAGGAAGACCGCTTCCTTTTGGTCATGCTGGACAAGTATGGCGTCGAGGGCGAGGACCTTTATGAGCGAATTCGCGAGGAGATCCATGAATCATCTCTGTTCCGCTTCGACTGGTTCTTCCTCAGTCGCACACCCGTGGAGATTGGCCGTCGCTGCACCACCCTATTGAATACTGTGGCCAAGGAGTTCGAGACCAATGGCGATAGCAAGGGCCGAGGTCGTGACCGCGATGAGGATGAAGAGATGGAGGACGCTGCCCCGGCCAAGAAGAAGGCCAAGAACGCTCCTGTGAGTACATGAAGCATATTTTCTCCCATCCCAAAGTTGGAGATTCTAACCAATCACATAGCAGAGCAAGCAAGTCAAGGCCACCAAGGGAGGCAGCAAAGCGGCCTCAACAGCAAGCTCTCGGGCAACCAGTACTGCTGCGACCAAGTCTAAGAGTCGCAAGAGATAATCACGTGTATGTTCTCGGACATTTGGATATGGGGGTGTGTCAGGCTCGGCGTTCGCAGGTGATTTACCATGTACTTTTGTAATTCAAAATAGAGTTATTCCAATCTTTTGCTTTTTGGAGGCGTATCTCTACTATTTCTCCTGTTCCACCCTGTGACCCGTTTTATTAAGTATGCACTGAGTACAGGAGACCGAGCGTGCAGTATCGACTAAAACCGGAGTCCGTATCACGGTGCAGATCTTGAAACGACACTAACCCCAACTTATACACTATGACGAAATGTCAATCAAAGCTTCGCCTTTAGTAGCATGAGGCCTGGAGCAAATGACCGTGCCTATTCGTACCCGTCGATGTGAGAGATGCTTCGGTGAATCTTGTTTTCGAGGCCCCCACTACTTCATGGCGTCTGGCAGCATGCCAAGGTGGATTTGTATTTATCTCCTGATCAACACCCATTGAAACTACCAGTTTTCCACACCATTCATCATGACGACCCGTATTAATCTCACAGCGAACCCCCACTACCAGAAATCTGGCACGAAGTCATACTTGCATGCCATGCGCAAGTACCGCTTCAGCCCAACCAAAGGCGGGCCTTACATATTCGGCAACACCGTGGTGCAATCTGGCAGATCATTCACAAATAAGCCTATTGGAGGCCGTGCTCGCATGCAGCAGGTGCTCCAAAAGAAAAGTCCCGGCACCGATCAGGTGGGACAGGTTGGGGCCGACGACGTGCAGAATGACTCCATGTATCTCGCTGATATCGAGATCGGCACACCGGCGCAGAAAGTTAGTCTGGACTTTGACACTGGTTCTGCTGATCTATGGGTACGTGTATTTGGGGGCCTGTGATAGCCTAGATGTGACAGCCATAACTGAATACTCAATAGGTCTGGTCTACGAAGCTGCCGTTGGATACTTTGTCACAGAATAAGAGTCACGCTATCTTCGACCCGGCCAAGTCGAGTACCTATCAGGAACAAGAAGGCTCAGTCTGGAAGATCTCCTATGGCGATGGTTCTTCAGCCTCTGGCCTGGTTGGTAACGACAATGTGAACATTGGCGGGCTAGTTGTCAAAAACCAGGCCATTGAAATATCCGATAAACTGTCCACACAATTTGCACAAGGTGCTGGGGATGGACTGTTGGGACTTGCCTTTGGTAGCCTCAATACTGTCAAACCCAAGGCCGTCAGCACACCCGTGGAGAACATGATTTCCCAATCCGACATTCCCAAGTCGGCACAGCTTTTTACCGCAAAGCTAGGGTCGTGGCGTGACACCGATGAACCTGATAAGGGCGAGTCGTTCTATACCTTTGGCTATGTCGACCAGGATACAGTCAAGGCCGCTGAGGCAGAGATACACTACACAGCTATTGATAACAGCCAGGGATTCTGGATGTTCGATTCTGTTTCGGCAACGGTGAATGGGAAATCCATCTCTCGCCCGGGAAACAAGGCTATCGCTGATACTGGAACAACTCTGGCCTTGGTTCATGACGAGACTTGCCAGGCAATTTATGATGCCATTGAAGGTGCATTCTACGACGATGATAGCCAGGGCTGGATATTTCCTTCCGACACAGCTGTCGACAAGCTTCCAGTGATATCATTTGCTGTTGGTGACAAAAGCTTTGTTGTACAAAAGGAAGACTTGGGATTCGCTCCGGCGAAGGCCGGATATTTCTACGGCGGAATACAGAGTCGTGGGTCTATGACTATGGATGTTCTAGGCGACACCTTTTTAAAGGCCATATACGCAGTATGTCCATGGATCTCACTCGTATCATTTCATTGCTTGTTTCTTGATTGCGGTAACTAACATTAACCAAAGGTATTTGATGTCGGCAATCTTCGTTTTGGAGCAGTGCAGCGAAAGGAACTTCATCAAAATCTTTCCTTGGTTCCAGAGTCTATTTAGGGCCCAGGATTGAAATACTCGCTATGAATATATGATCAATAATTTAGTAGTCATATCAAAATTCTTGAAATGTCTTCCTTTAAACATATTCACGGATCCCCAAGACACGACACCATGTATCAGATTATCTGTGTAAAATTCCAAGGCCCATGCCAGCTATCAACAGTCCCCAAGTATGGCCCTCGGCCTTGGGTCTACCTATGTGAGTTATAGATCTGACCACTTTATTATGGGCTTAATAACCTGCCGGCATATTATTCATTAGCATCGGTAAAGGGGTTTTGACTGGGCCACATACGTTTCCAGAGCGTAGATCCGACATAGCTTGTTCAAGTGCATCTGGAGTATAGATCCTAGCAAAATTGTCGACTGGAAATTTGCCTTGCTTGTACAGATCAATCAGTTCCGGGACAATCTGCAAAGCCAAGTGTTAGTAAAGACTGGCAAGCGAATCTGGATACACGGAGCTCACCAAAGCAGGATTGGCACAGCCCTCGATTGCGCCAACAATGCGTTTGCAGCCAGTCATGAGTGCCAAAGGGTCAATTTTCATAGTCGAATTAAGCGGAGTCACACCCACTATAGCGAGGATGCCTTCATGACCCAGTGCCTTCACACCAGCTTCAAGCAAAGGCACAACGCCGGTAGTATCGAGTACACAATCAACACCATCCGGGAATAACTCAAGAAGAGCTTGTGAGACATCAGATATGCCTTTTGTGTTGAGTGTATGCGATGCACCCAGAGAATTTGCCAACTCAAGCTTAGTATCGACAATATCCACAGCAATGACTGTTTCCACGCCCCGAGATTGCGCAGCAAGCATCGCGGCCAGACCGACGGCGCCCATCCCAAACACGACAAATGTACTCCCAGCCTTAGGTTTTAGTACATTAAAGACAGTACCAGCGCCGGTGAGATACCCACAGCCTAGGGGAGCCAGAAAAGCCATGTCTTCGACCGTGATTCCAGATGCAGGAGGAGACTTAACGACCGAACGCTCATCAACCACAGCAAGCTTGCTCATAGAGGATTGGCCGAAGAATTGACCCCGAACAGGGCCCTTTCCACCAGGAAGTGAGATGGGGGAATCAGAAGCATGGAGGCCACGAGCACCGACAAAATTGATGACTGTATTCTGGCCACAGAAACCATGTCGACCTTCGCTGCAGGCCGAGCAGGTCTCTTTACTGCAAGCACTAAAGCTCAGGAAGACGAGATCGCCCTCTTTGAGAGACTTGTCTTTGACGTCCCCACCCACGCGGCGCACAATACCAGCGCCTTCGTGGCCCAGCACGGCTGGGTATTCACCGACGGGGAAATCGCCTTGCTGAACAACAATATCCTAAATTTCGTTAGAACCCTATCCCATCTTGCTTGTTCAAAATCAGACGAGGGTCAACATTCAATTGTTGGGAGCTGTACATACTGTATGGCACAGGCCGGTATACTTCATCTCCACCAGTACCTCGTTTGCTCGGACCTCATCGAGGATGATATCTTGAAGAACGAACGGCGCCCCTGGTTTTTCCACAACAAACGCCGTCGTTGGGATTTGTTTGTCGGGAATCATGGTGGGGTCTGTAGACTGGGTGTTTGCGAAAATTTGTATGAAGCCTCGTAGGAGAATGAGATCACCTTGAAGATTGAATTTACTCAAACCCCAGAGACATCCAAAATATAAGTTAAAAGGATCTTCAAACCGAGATCGGATGGGCTACCAATTAGTCTATTGATGTGGGCTTTACCCCACAGCTCCGACATGTCGGTAAGTTGATTTGGTGGATGAGCCGGAGAACAAAGATATCAATGTACCGGTGAATCCACGTACTAGGGGGCCAGCATTAGGTTGATAAACTGATGCGAAACCAGAGACTCCATTCTATGCTATTGTACAGGTGTTGTATGTGAATGCTAGAGTACATAAATTTACAGTAGATCAATTACCACATCTTCTCCCCTTGGTTCTTCGTCTTCTTCTTGCTAACAGTCTCAGCCACAGCAAGAGGAGTTCGTAGGAATTTCTCCATCAATAGCGCAGCCGCAACGCTGACGTTCAGACTGTCAATGCGGGCAGGGTCCGAGGCTACACCCAGACCTGGGCTGTGACGAGCACCTGGAATGCTGACCGTTGCATTAGCGTGTGATTTGATGTGCGAGCTTAGCCCAGAGCCCTCGCTGCCCATCATCACAACGCTAGGACCTGTTGCGAAGGGGAGCTTGTCTTCACCCTGTTCACCCTCAGCCGCAATTCGGTCCAGGTATACCGAGTCCGGGCCTGGCGCATCGGCAGCGTAGAATCGCCACCCGTTCTCTTTGGAGCGTTCTATGAAATCAACCTCATTCTTCACGTGGAGGATGGGCATATTCTCGGCGGCACCAGCAGATGCCTTGATAGTAACGGGGGATAAAGGCGCAGAGTTGCGGCCAGCGAGAACAATGGCATCGATTCCCAAAAAGTAGGACGAGCGAATGATGGCACCCATATTACCAGGGTCAACAACACCATCTAAGAGCAAGGCAACTGGGTATCGATGAGGTTGATCTTCATGCAAGGGCGGGGATGGGTGATGGATCGGGATACGATCATCGGTGCCATTTACCGCGGCTTCTTCCCGAGATTGTGGCGCAAGCTCAGCTCGGAAATAATCCTCGGATATAGACGACACAGCATGGAACCCACGCACAGGCAATTTGGGCAATGGAGAAGCCTCCAGAATGCATCCATTATGGGGTCGCCCAGCGCTCATCTTATCCATCAGTCGATCCCAACCAGCGAATGCCATTTTGACAGTTATGTTCTTGGATAAAGCCAGCTTTCGGATTGTGACCTTGGCAGCACTTAACTCCTCTTCCGTCCCCTGGTAGACATAGAGCTTGTACAATTGACGGCGGCTGCAACGTAGCGCAGCCTCCACCGCACTAGTACCGTAAATGAACTCCGATGCTGGCGTAGTGTAGGGGATCGTATCAGGAACCTTGACATTTTCCTTCACACGCTCTGGCACACTGTCCGTGATTCGGTGGGCTCTGGATTTTGATGCTTTCTCCTGCGGTTCCTCCCGCCGAGGCCTTTCTCTGTCCGGCCGTGAGAATTGAGCGTCATGGGACCGCGATGGGAATCGTGATTGATGTTCACGCGGAAGAGCTCTGAAATTACCGGAACGAATGAATTCATCTTCGTCGTATTGGAATTTTTGGGGTCTTTCGGGTCGGTCACGCTTGAAGGGCCTGGAATCCTTGCCTGGCCATTGTTCATCTCGGCGGCCGTGAGATTGAGATCTCAATTCGCCTGGTTGGTTTTCGGACGAGCGTTCACGTCGGTCGTATCGTGGTCCACGGGATTCGTTGCCATTGCGAGAAGATTGCCTGAAGTTTGAAGTATGCGGTTGGTCGTATTTAGAACGAAAGGGTGTAGACTCGTTTGATCTCTCGTACTGTCGCGCACCGTATTGCCCCTCGTATTGTCGTCCACGTCCTGGAGAGCCGTTGCCACGACGATCCTCTCTGTCAACGGTCTGAGATCTCCGAATTCCCCGCTCAATCGCTGAGTTCAAGGAGGCATTTCTGATTGTCGATGGCAAACGATAGGATACCAATGCTCTTGTGAGACGAATATTCGTCCTCGAGATTGTATTGGACATCATCTCGGAGACCACCAAAATTTTGAACGTTCTGGCCCGATCGCTGGAGAAATCGAGACATCCGCAATATTGTTATTCCGTTATCGGCGCGTCCTCTTATCGCCCACGCGCCGATTTCGAGAGCTTCGCGTTTTCGCAAATGAGTATACTCGAAGCTTTCCCACCACACTTCCAATCTTCGCACTCCCATTCCAGAGCTACCTCTTCTCCGTAGCACTGTCTTTACTTCCTCATTCCATCAAACAATCCTGTGACCTATCCGTCAGTATTGCCTCATTTGAGATTTGCATGCTGCATCCCTCTTCTTTTTTGACTCCAATTGTTCTCACTTGATTAGCGTCCAATCTGAGCTCCACATGTAGGAGCCGCTAATGCGGCGCCTGCAGCTTAGCACCTGATTTCCTTTTTCTGTCGCTCGTTGACTACATCGTCACAATGTCTGAGCTTGAAGATCAAGCCAGTGTCTCTGACATTGCCAATGCCAATGCCAATGCCAATGCCGATACCGATACCGATACCGATGCCAATACCGATCCATATGCCACTGCTGATGAAGTCGGATTGCCGCAACAATCTGATCAATCTGAGAGCGGCTTGTCCCACCAAACTTCTTTGACCCATCCCCAGGCCTCTGAAGGGCCTGCCGAACCTCCCCATGATGCCAACACATTCTTTGAGATTGTTGTTCCAAAAATCAAGAATCCCCAGGACTATGAATACCTGTCAGGTCATTTTGAAGCACATTGCATTCTGGCAGTCGACATGCATGAGCCAAAGTTCATTGTCCGACTGGGGAGTGGCGAACGTACAACTGTGAGTAGAAGCAGTGAGCTGGCACAATAATTGCGCTGTTTGAGCCTTGGCTAACTGAGTCTTTTCTTAGATCACTGCCAGGCAGTTACTACGGTTGAAGAACGGCCCGCGGCTATTCCGTGAGTTTGTCGATGGCTCACAGAGCCCCGACCCTTTGGCAATGAATCTTGATAACGACCCACAACTTGTTCACACCGGCGGTGATGGACAATCCGAAGAGGTTGAAGATGTGGGCCGGCAAATTGGCATTGCAAGGTCTCGCCAGCGGCGGCTTGGTGTCTCGGGGGCCTCATTCGCCCAATTCTTTAACCCAAAGAGAACTCGCAAAGAACAGCCAGTCGTCTTGAATGAGTCCAGTAGCGAGGATTCAGACGAAGCCGAGTCAAGCTCTGAGTCAGAAGAAGACGTCCGTCCAACCTCACGCCGCCACCTTAACAGAGCCGCCCAAAAGAAGACCAAACGTTCTCGTGAATCTTCGGAGGAATCCTTTGTCTCGAATAGAGGCACGCGGGTATCCACTCGCCTGCAAAAGACCACCCGATACAATTTCAAAGAGCGACTAGAAGATGACGAGATGTCCGAGGTCGAGGTCGTAGCCCCGAAGAAGAAGTTCTCTGGAGCAAAGGAACAATTCGTTGAGCTGCCAGAAGACGATTCCTTCAGGGAGGCTCATTCTAATCAGTGTTTCTTCTGCGGGAAGTGGGAGGACGAAAGCTCCAAACAAGAATCCTTGGTTTTTTGCCAAGGTTGTACTTCATCTTATCATCGGGATTGTCTTGGACCTCGAACTGCTCGCAAACATTTGGTCACCAAGGTTGGGCCCGACGACTTCATCCTCCAGTGTTCCAATTGCTTGGGAATCAAGCACCGAGACCACGACATCCTGCCTCACTTGGGTCACTGTGCTATCTGCAAAGAAGCAGGGCTCATGTCAACACCCCTGCGAGAGTCATACACCGCCCAAGAGGAACAGCAATTGCGTGAAGAAAACGGTGGCATAGATCCGGTGACAGAAGTGGAAAGGTCTAGTGTGAACAATGCCGACAATGTTCTAATCAGATGTACCCGCTGCAAGCGCGCTTTCCACGTCGAACATGTTCTGCCAACCCCCGAAGCAGATCGCTCTGATATGCGCACTGATTATTGGCATTGCTCTGAGTGCTTTGAGGCTCCGGCTGCGCCCTTGCCAATTCAGGCCATCGTTGCGTGGCGGTCGAAAAATGCCGATGTGAAGGTTGTGCCAAGGCTTGTCGAACTGGTACCAGAGATCGAGAAAGAGTATCTCGTCAAGTGGACTAACCAGTCTTATTTCAACGTCGTTTGGATGCCTGGAGACTGGGTATGGTGCATTGCCCGTTCTGCGATGTTCTCATCATTCCTCAAATCGTCCAAATCGGACAAGCCAATCTGGACGACCGAAGAGGCCGTTCCGGAGGAAAATCTGTGTGTCGATATCATATTTGATCTTGAGTACACTCGTGAACCAGAGTCCCTGGAGGAACGCGCCAACCCCGAGTTGGTCGAGCGTGCCTTCGTCAAGTTCAAAGGGCTGACCTATGAGGAGACGGTGTGGGAACATCCACCGAAACAAACCAACGCCGTTCAATGGCAAGATTTCAAGACTGCGCTTGCTGACAAGGTGTTCTCGGAAACGATTCAGCCACTGAAAAACAAAGTTCTGCAAGAGCGACTGAAAGACGCTCGGAAGAAGAATTTCGAAAACCACCTCATCCTCAAATCTCAGCCGGAGATGGTGACTGGTGGCAAGCTGATGGGATACCAAATGGAAGGTGTGAATTGGATGTACTATCAGTACTTCCAACAGAGAAATGCCGTCTTGGCAGATGACATGGGCCTTGGAAAGACCCTTCAGATCATCACTCTTCTGTCGGCCCTGATCGAAAACTTCGAGTGTTTCCCATTCCTCATAGTCGTTCCTAACTCGACAGTCCCGAACTGGCGTCGAGAAATCAAAAGCTGGGCGCCAAAGATGCGTGTTGTCACGTATTATGGCAGTGCCTGGGCCCGACAGATGGCTGAGAAGCATGAGATGTTCCACAATGGTAATCTGTGCTGCCATGTAGTGATTGCATCCTACGAAAGCATGTCCGACGCCCTAGCCGCAAGAGTTCTTGGCAAGATCAATTGGGCTGCGCTGGTAGTTGACGAAGGACAGCGGCTGAAGAACGATCAGACCGTGCTGTATGATCGCCTTCGCCGTATGAGGTTCGGGTTCAAGGTCCTTCTCACGGGGACTCCACTTCAGAACAATATCCGAGAGTTGTTCAACTTGATTCAATTCCTCGATCCGACGAAGAACGCTGAGCGGTTGGAAGAGCAATATGGGGGCCAACTCACGAAGGATGACATTCGAGAACTTCATGATATGATCCGGCCATGCTTTTTGCGTCGTACCAAGTCAGAAGTTTTGCCATTCCTGCCTCCGATGGTGCAAATCATCATCCCAGTCTCTATGTCCGTTGTACAGAAGAAGCTGTACAAATCGATCCTGGAGAAGAACCCCACGCTCATCAAAGCCATCATGAAAAGGCACCGTGGACAAATCAACAAGAAGGATCGTCACAACCTCAATAACATCATGATGCAGCTGAGAAAGTGTCTCTGCCATCCGTTCATTTACAACCGTGACATTGAGGAACAGACCGGCGACGATGATCTTGCCCATCAACGCCTGGTTGAAGCTTCCGGTAAACTCCAGCTGTTGAACCTGATGTTGCCTCAGCTGCGGCAGAGGGGTCATCGCGCCCTGATCTTCAGTCAGTTCTTAGAGAAGCTCGATATTGTGGAGGATTTCCTCAACGGACTCGGCCTTGAATTTTGCCGTCTAGATGGACAGCTGTCTTCGGCAGAGAAGCAGAAGCAGATCGACAAATTCAACGCACCCAATTCAACTGTGTTTGCCTTTTTGCTCTCAACTCGGTCGGGTGGTGTGGGAATCAACCTCGCGACTGCGGACACCGTCATCATCATGGACCCAGATTTCAATCCGAAGCAGGACATGCAGGCATTGTCGCGTGCCCATCGTATTGGACAGAAGAACACCGTGTTGGTCTTTCATCTGGTTGTTCGAGCATCAGTAGAGGAAAAGATCATGCAAAAGGGAAAGACGAAATTGGCTCTTGACCATGTACTCATTGATCGAATGGAAGCGGATGAGGATGAGGAAGACTTGGAGTCAATTCTCCAGCATGGTGCTCAAGCTCTATTCAACGATGACGATTCCGCAGACATCAAGTACGATATCCCGGCGATTGACAAGCTGCTAGACCGAAGTCAAGTGGAGCAAGCAAAAGTTGACACCCACGGCGACGACTCGAACTCAAATAATCAAAACCAGTTCAACTTCGCTCGGGTGTGGCAGATTGATCGTGACAGTCTCGAAGAAGTGGTAGAGACAGAAGATGCACCACTGGACAGCTCGGTGTGGCAACAAATCTTGGATGAGCGTGAGCGTGAAGCACAAGAGCAACTCAGTCGCAAGGAGGAAGGGCTTGGTCGTGGAAAGCGCAAACGCCCCACGATCAGCTACAACACCAAAATGCAAGTTGACGACGAAGATGACACTGAGCTCACTCCCACAAACTCACCGATGGCTAAGATGCGCAAAACCGCTGCCGATCACGACTACCAAGAACCCGATCCCGCCGCCGCCGCAGAAAGCGAGTCTGATGATAACCTCGATCCAATGGAAGATGATGATGTTCCGGGTATGGTGAATGCGGACAACCCCCCAGAGATGGCGAATGCGGACAATCACCCTGGAACAGTGAATGCAGACAACCATCCCGATATGGTGAATGTGGAGGACTACCCCACGCCTGGCGTGGATTCTAGTCAACTAGGTAAGACTTCGTCCATCCACGATGCGATCCTTCTCCTCTGCATGATTTACTACGGTTTCCCCGTGATGTTTTGAATTCTATTCCACTAACATTTTTAATTCTACAGCCACCCACAACTTCCCCCGCATTGAGTCGCCGCCTCCCCTTCCCCAGGATGGGTTTGATGGTATTGAGGATGAAAACCTTTTGCGACCATGCCAAGCATGCCAGCAAATCCATTGGGCCGGTAGCTGCCCCCTTCGACTCGCAGGGCTTGAGTTCTGCCGCCTGTGCGGCCTGGCGCATTATGGATATCGGCGCGTGTGTCCACGATTCCAATCGGTCGAACAGATTCAACAATTGCTACAGGCGCTTGACCTGAGTCCAGAAGAACCCCAGTTGATCTCTCTCGCTCGGAGGTACCTACAAACGTGCCTTCGCGGCATCCAGAGTCGTGACAACAGGATTGCCTCTGCTGCTCAAGCGAGTGCACAGTCGCTCACTTCGCCACCAATTAACGAGGCAGGGATTGGTCATGCGGATAGCAATAATACGGACGGTGGTGAGACAATTGATTTGACCCAGTAAAGCAACTGGGGTCTGTTTGTGGATATTATGTTTGTATGAAGCACGTGCAGAGAGCAACTCATGGAGGAGGGACAAGGAGATCTGGCGTTTTGAAAGCGAAAGATACCCATTCTGATTACTTTGAATAGCGAGAATGATGTTAACGCACAAAACCAAGTGTAGACTTAAGTTTGTCAATCATCATTTCGTTAAGATGCCAGAGGAGTGGGAGAAAATCTCAGTAGAGCATCCGTACACAAATCGTGAACATGCAAATTGGAGTGGACTTCAGGAGGGCAAAGGAAAAAAGCCCTTGCAAAACTTCATGTACTTCTTACAGGAGAAGCCGGAGAGGCATCACGGTAATCTGTATCCATGGATATATATGAAAAACGCCATGCCAAAAGCAGAAAACAAACTAGATCTCTAGGGGTCAAACATATGCAGAATACTGCGCTGTCGTATTGCGGTACAATCATCAGAGTCTATGACCTAGTACATTGCACAACCACTTTCACATATAAAAGCAGGAAACAATCATGTCACATACCCTCTTCTTTCCTTCATCCTTCACTCTTCATCCAACATCCAACACACCTTCATATCCATCACATCTTCATCAAGCCAGACCTCATCCATCATGGATCCTAAAAAGGATCACCATGACCAAGTAGAACAGCTTGCAGAGGCCTTTAAGGCAATGAAGCAAGAGCCCAACACCAGCATGGAGCCATCTTCTCGTACCCTGGGGAATCTGGCGAAGCTTGCGATAATCCACAAAGCCACTCATGCCCCAAACAAGCTTCCTAAGACCGAAGACGAAACAAGCGAATCTACAAAAATATCCACAGGTAAGGTTTAGTGTGCCTTATCATGAGAGATACTGACACCTATATCAACGCCATAGCAAATACTTTGATCGAGATTCAAAAGCAAGACTCTGATTCCTTGCTCAAAAAGGAAGATGAGAAGGCTGCCCTTCAAGCCATCAAAGCTGACATCTCCCCTCTCCCCACTGAGCCGCTATTGCCTCCGGAAATCAAGAAACCTGAGCACACGGCCAAACTTAATGAGACTGGCTCCCAGGAGGATGATTCTCTGAAAATATCTTCGGAAACCGCCGACCAAGTGAAGAAACGAAAGAGAAACGAGAGAGATCGTGCATGGAGGCAGAAGAACAAAGACAAGATCAATAAACGGCACCGAGAATATTATCAGAAGAACAAAGAGAAGATCGATGCACGGAAACAAGAATGGCGGCAGAATAACAAGAACAAGATCCAAGAATATTATCGAAAGAACAGAGACAAGCTTAATTTGCAAAATCGAGAATATCAACGAAAGAACAGACACAAGATCAATTTACAAAAACAAGAATATATACGAAAAAACAAAGACAAGATCAATATACGACGCCGAGAATATTATCAGAAGAATCAAGATAAGATCCAAGAATATTGTCAAGAATATCGACAAAAGAATAAAGACAAGATCAATTTACGACACCGAAAATGGCGACAAAATAATAAGGACAAGATCCAAGGATATTGTCGAAAACACAAAGACAAGATCGATATACGGCATCGAGAATATTATCAGAAGAAGAAAGACAAGATCGATATACGACGCCGAGAATACAAACAAAAGAATAAAGACAAAGTCCTAGACTATCAACGAAGATATCTACGAAAGAACAGAGACACGGTCAATTTACGGCAACGAGAATGGCAACGAAAAAAGAGAATCAATATGAAAATAAAAAAACGAGAAAATCAACGAAAGAGCAAAGACAAGATTAAGATACAAGTCCGAGAATATCATCAAAAGAACAAAGACAAGATCAAAATACAGCACCGAGAATATTATCAGAAGAACAAAGACAAGGCTCGAGAATATCAACAAAAGAACAAAGACAATATCAAAATACGAAAACACGAATATTATCGAAAGAACAAAGACAAGATTCAAGAATATCAACAAAAGAACAAAGATAAAATCAAAATACGGCACCGAGAATATTATCAGAAGAACAAAGACAAAATCAATATCACGCCCGAACCACTTTCGACTTTGAAAACTGAAGAGATAGAGCCTCCATACAAACCCAGTCCGATCAATTCCCAGGAGACTGATTCTCAAACCGCTGACCAGGCTCAAACGCCAAAGAAAAGAGAAGACTGGTGGTTATCTTGGCGAAAGAACAAGAGAGAAATCAGATTGCATCATCGAGCATATTACCCGAAGAATCAAGACAAGCATAACGCAAAGTGGCGCCAGAAAAGCAAGAAGATCAATATTAAACTCCAATCTATCGATGAAAACCCCTTGAAAAATGAACAACTTGGCCCTGACAATTATGATTCTTCGAACTCTCTCACCATCAAGACTAAGCCACTCTCGGCTTTGAAGATCGAAGAATCAGAGACTCAGCACCTAACGCCACTTGGCCTGATTAGCCTCCACATGGATGATTCTCTGGAAACCTCTGACCGAGTTCGAAAACGAAAACGAGAGACCTCCCTGATGTGGTACCAAGAGAACAAGGGCAAAATTACGGAAAAGCAGGGGGAATATTACCAAAAGAACAAAGATAAGATAATAGAAAGAAAAAAAGAATATCAAAGAGAATATAAAAAGAAGAACAAAAACAAGATACAGGAATATCACAGAGAATATCGAAAAAAAAACAAAGACAAAAGGCAGAAATATAATAGAGAATATCGAAAGAAGAACAAAGACAAAATTAATAAGAAAAGAAGAGAATATGGAAAAATGAACAAAGACAAAAGGCAGAAATATAATAGAGAATATCAAAGAGAATATAACAAAAAAAACAAAGACAAAATCCGAGAGAGAAGGAGAGAATATTGGAGAGAATATCGAAAGAAGAACAAAAACAAGATTAGAAAAGAATATCAAAGAGAATATAATAAAAAAAACAAAGACAAAAGAAAGAAGCAAAAGAAAGAATATTGGAGAGAATATCAAAAGAAGAACAAAAACAAGATTAAGGAGAGAAGAAGAGAATATTACAAAAGGAACAAAGACAAAATGCAGAAATATAATAGAGAATATCAAAAGAAGAACAAAGACAAAATGCGGGAGTATTCTAGAGAATATCAAAAGAAGAACAAAGACAAAATGCGGGAGTATTCTAGAAAATATCAAAAGAAGAAAAAAGACAAGATCCGGGAAAAGAGAGAGACAAAATCGGGAGAAGAAGAGAGACGAGATTAAGGCGAACCAGACAAGCACTGTGTCAAAAACGAAAAAGGCAGGGAGGGGTAGGGGTGTCTGCATGATTATTTTCCGAATTTTTGAATTCTTAATACATTGGGTTGTAAAGGTGTTCTCTACACTTAGATATTGAAAAGGAAAGTACTTCTGTTGAATGAAGCCATTGTCTATGTAACTCTGCTTGGGTTGTCAATGGCATAGAGAAAATGCCCGCTATTCTTGGCCTCGGGAAAGACTGTCGCAGACTCCGAATACAGAAGGTCTAGAGATCTCGGTGCCCTAAGTTCCGAAGTCCAGGTCAAAACTGAGTAAGTAGTATCTCACTATTTTGCCGATATATTAAATATGACCATAAATGTTTCTCAGTATTGGAATACATGGAAAAGCCGAGCATTTTAGTTAATGGGTTGCTGCATTTCCAAAATAACGTCATCTGGTCTGATTCACGTGCAAAGGCATGAGCGACTGTCTACTCTTTTCAACTGGAATGAATGATGTTCTCCCATCCAAGTTTTTGGGAAACCTCTCTCAGTTCTTGTCAATTTTGGCGCCAATAGCACCTTTGAACCTCCCGCGCGGGTCAAACTGGCTCCGCAAATCCTGCAATTTCGCGATATGGGGTCCCCAGATCTGCAGATACGTGTTAGTAGACAGAGATTTGAGCGAGTCAGAAACATTCGTACATCTTTCGGATTGTGATAGTCTTCCAACCCACTCGGCAGGGTGTGATATTGGGAATTGTCTCCTAAGACCTTGAAGGGGGCTTGAATGGCCAGGTCTCGAGCTAGCCTCTCTTGGCTTGGTTCGGCATCCGAAGGGCACCCGGTTCCCAGAAGCAGAATGTGTTTCATCCCACTGGGGCGCGGCCAGGCACAACTAGATGTGCCTCCTACCAGGTCACGCTACATCAAGGATGGAAGGTCAATTTGTGCTAGTGCCAAGGCTCATGGATCCGATCACCCACTTACCGAGCTAAACAATTCGAAGATCAGATAGGTGCAATCTCTGAACGAAATGTTGATATCTTGAATTTCTTCAAACCATTGAATCGCTTTGACGACAATATTTTCTGTTATATCCCGTAACAGCAATGGCTGCCAGAACTGTTTCATAGTACCTTTCACAATGCCTGCTTTATCTGCAGAAGCCACCAATGACTATTATTAAAGGGCACAAAACGAAGACACTTTGGTGGACTCTCACCTTGAAGATTTGCAACACCAGCAAGGTTAGTGATGATGGTTTTATCAATAGCCCCGGGGATGTTTAGCGCCCATTGAAAGTTGGCTCGGCCGTGTTCTTCGCCGTGGGCATCAAATGCATGAATCACCAGCATGTCTGACTTTGTTCCAACTGACTCGAGAAGCTTCCCCTTTATCACGTACAGGAACATGGTGATCTTGGGATCAACAGGCTGTGCGACGAAGTTCGCAATTCCCTCTGCAACCTGCTGCATACCCTTCCTCGGGATCAGGATCTGACCCGCCCAAATATTCTGTGGGTATGGGAAAACACGGAGCTTGACTTCCACCAATACTACATATCAGAATATGAATTTTAGTACTTGCTCGTCTTCTCATAGTGAAATCGCGTGGAGGAAATCGTCACCTACCGCCAAAACCTCCACCGCCTCCACGGAGCGCCCACAGTAGCTCGGGCTCTGTAGACGCCCATACGACCGAGCCGTCATACTTGACGACCTTTGCATCAATCATATTTTCCGGGTCGGAGATACAGCCATACTCGCTTGAAAGCCACGAGAATCCTCCGCTGACGATAGCCCCTGCTACTCCGACACATGGCGTGCGGGCACCGATGACTTTTTCACATATGTCAGCCACTGAATGACAGTCAACATCAGAATAAGACTCTTACTTCCATATTCCGGTGCTACCTGACTGAGCTTCCGATATACTTCGGCCCATGGTTGCCCAGCACCGATTGTTACTGTTTCTGAATGTGCCTCAAAGCGAAAGTTGTCGAATGCAGATGTGTTTATCAAGACATCTTTGGCGGAGACAGAGCTAAATCCATGGCCATAGATCGCAAAATCCAGATTAGTCGTGTACAAGTATGCGAGGGCCTTGCCCAAGGAATCAGTTGAGGTAGGCCGTATCACGAGACCCGGGTTTGAATACTTCTGAGCCGCCCAAGTCTGACTGCTCTCCGTGTAATCTGAAGAATTGGGTGTGATTATTTCAGCAGCTTGTAGTAGCGAGTATAGTATTTTGAAGGGACTGGCATCTGCGTTTGACACAGTCATGATGATTATCGCGAAAAGAAGTGAGGAAGCAAGAGTGAATGATTTGAATTCAAAGGCGAATTATTCAAGGTTTTGAGATGTAAGGAGGAATAAGAATTATCATGCAAGTTCTTGCAAGTCCGTGCAAGCGACTCGTCTTGGTCTGTAGTCCAGCGAGCAGTCTCGATTGATTGAGTGACCCGATGCAAGCCATCCACTGATAATCGTCATCAACTGCTGTATTTGTAAAGTTCTGTCTCCGTGGAGAAATAATGAACAGGGATTGTTGGTTCTGAGTAGAAGTGGGACTCGCACCAAGATCTAGTTGATTTCCCTTTTGGTTCGGACGTCCGAGGGAATCAAATTTCTTCCTCGGGGTACGAACTTTCTAATATAAAAATATCCCATTAAATTCCAATTGAAGATATGAATAAAATTTACCGTGAATGTGATTGTGTGAAGTATTGACACCTGAACACCCCGTCATGTCAAACGTCCTCGTTACTGGGAGCTCCCGCGGCCTTGGCCTGGAATTGGTAAAACAACTCGCTGCGCATGCCGAGTTCAGGGATGGAGTGGTGGTCGCCACCGCTCGCAAATGCAGCAATGAGCTTCAAGAAGTTATTACGTCGGCCAAATGCTCTGTCGTCTTCGTCTCTCTGGACTTGACTGAAGAGGGAGCGATTGCGCTATCAGCGGAGAAGGTTAACTCAGCACTGGCGGGAAAAAGTCTGGACATCTTGATCAATTGTGCTGGAGTTCACAGTGTGACTCTCGGAAAGCTTGCTTCAATGTATGAATCATTCATTTTCTCATGATTTGTGCGAGCTAACAGATATTCCAGGTCTGACCTCGACTATCAACTTTCGGTCAATGTGACCGGCACACACAATGTCCTTCGACAGTTTCTTCCTTTGATGCAGACTAGCAACATCAAGAAAGTGGTTAGCATGTAAGTTGCATTCCTAAGTAGTGGAGCATTCTCCAAGTACACTGAAGGCCGATCATCCACACCCAAATACAGCTCCAGCATATTTGGTTCTCTGACGCTGGCCCGAGAAGTTGGCTATGCTCCATGCCCGGCATACAAAATTAGCAAAGCTGCTCTGAATTCTTTGATGACTCAGTACGCTCTTTCCTACGAGGACGAGGGATATATTTTCCTTACAGTGAGCCCCGGAGTAGGTCACACTCTTCCATCCCGGAGTTGGCATGCTAACAGAATTTATCAGTGGTTGAAAAGTGATATGGGCGGGCAAGATGCCGACCTTACTGTTCCTCAGGGCGCGGAAGCAGTGCTGGATTTGGTCATGAGTGCCAGTGGCCGGGAAAATGGTAGCTTCAAAAACGTTCGTGTTCCGGGGTGGGAAAAGTATGATGGCCAGGATTTGCCCTGGTGAATTTTGTCGAATGTCCTTGGTCATTTTCAGTTGAATCAAAATTCTCAATTTAGTAAGATATCCCTGTGGTTACGTATACCAGGTAAAAAAGAAGAGCGCACTAGAGAATCTTCTCTTGTAGTCGGTATAGTATACTCCGTAGCGCCGACGCTCATTTCCTGCCCTTCCATACGAAGGGGAGATGTCTGGATTATGGTTCTCGGGCAGAAAATGGAATTATCTTAGCTACACCTGTTTTCGCTTTTTCTATCTGCTCTGTGGTATATAGACATCATTTCCCACCAATGAATTCAGGTTGCGATTTTGTATACGAGTAGATCCCGTCCAAAGTAGGCAACCAGTCAGGCCAAAATCAGGCATCAAATGCTACCCCTTACCGCTTCTGGATCTGCACATAGAATGACCACATCATTGTGAACCCGGTGTGGACGGATTATGCCAATGTCAAATAACCTCATGATCACAGGGGAAATTCTCCCTGCTGTAAGTCTAGTCTCTACTTGGCTTTGTAACCTTGGCATCACTTGTACAAAGGGCTATGGGCTAATGATAGTGGTTAGTGTGACCTGTGCCACTCTAGGAAGGTCAGTATACTTCTATCAACACCATTCCTGCTCCTTGTATTGATTTCTAGAGCATGAATAGGTCAAGTGCAACCGACAAGCACCATGTGCGAACTGTGCAGATGCCGGTGTGGAATGCCGACGCTTGCGACATGGCCGTTCGTCGAAGAAGAGAGCACTTGAAAGGTCTGTTTGTACCCATGAAAAGTCACGGGATCAGGGCTAAGATAATGAAAAAGCGATCTTGTTCCTAAGGAAAACATCGCGTCGTTCAAGGTACATCCACCAGGTGCTCAAAGGTATAGTGCAAAAAGTCAACATTTACAATTCTCAATGCTCATCACCTCTAGACCTTGCTCGAATCCTGGAACTACAGCCAACAGAAACAGCCTTACCAGCGAGTCTAGCTCAACAACTAGGCAGCCCAGGTATCATGACACAGATCCTGCAGTGAGATCTCCTACCCCAGGTGCTATGTCGGCTTCGAGCAATGATGGCTCGAACTACCATGCAACTCAGGCGAAGAGTGTGATTCAGATTGATCTCCACAACCCCCAACATATCAGTCGGGAGCGACAGTCCTTGCTCAAATCGGCGCTTCAACTGGTGAGCAGCATTGCCGAGAGCGAGCCTCGGCATAACGCAACAAGCGTGAGGGAAGAGTCTCGCCCACTGGTCTCTGATCACATAATTCCTCAAAGACCATCTCGTGAGCTTTTGTATATGCTTCTTCCTGGTATTCAAACGAGCCATCATGACCAAGAAGCTATCGCTAATGAATTATAGGCCCACCAGAGTCAGTGCGTATTCAGTGGCCCGATCATATATCCGACAAAACCTTCGCGAGAATGGCCACAACTCTCCTTCGCGATGATGTGGATATAGAAGACCAAACCTTTCGTCAATACCATGTATGCGTCTATGTGAAGGCGATATTCCATTTATACCAAGCTTCTCGAAGAACGGACGATCCTATCTTGAAAGACGAGCTTGCGCGGTCTCGGTCAATCTATGTGGCGGCTGCTATGCGCAGCGCTGAGAATTTCAATATATTGAAGGCCCCGGATATCACAACGATACAGTTTCTTATCTCAAGCGTAAGCGTGAGACTTGCAGGATGCTCAGGTGGACATCTTACGCTGACTTAAAATCCACTCCAGGCATTTCTGATGCAACATCTAGGCAAACCAAGTCAGTGCTGGCTCTTCATCTCGTACGCTGCTCGACAAATTACCGCTCTCAACTATCACAGGATTCGGAAACCACCACCAGCTTCAGACTCAGAGCAAGAGATCTACGACGCGGTCTACTGGTGCTATTATCTCGATCGAACTTTGAGTTCTCTCCTGTGTCGACCTCCTTCGTTGCCCGATCTCGCAGTATCCCCTACCGAGCTTATCATACTTGACTCGGCATCGCCATACAGTAGTCTGTTGAATGTCTTGCTGGATCTTGCACAGGTCCAGGGTAAATTGCATTCGATATCTTGTGGTGGAGTGACTGAATCGACAGAACGAGCTTTGCAAATCTGCCAGGTTCTCCAATCCAAAATGCAAGCTATCCTCCCACGCCTCGAATCGGTGAGTCATACATTTTTTTACCCATGCTTTGATCTATATGCTAAAGAATGAACGTCCAGAGTCGGGATATATACCCCAAAATGGTGCAATATGACTGGGTTGGCGTAGATTTCTGCTACCATGCTATATTCGTCGAGATCCAGCGAACGCGCTTACAAAACGTTTTCGATCCAGCCGTGCATCGAGAGTGCCTGTTATATGCCCGCAAATCCCTCAAGGCATTTTTATTTCTTCAAAAACACTCCTCGGAGATGCCCGGGTTTGATAGTCCCTACCCGTCGTTTCTTACATGGTGCGTCGATGTCATTCCTCAAAAAAGTTGCATACTTGCTCACAGGATGGTTATAGGACACTTTTCCTCTATCCTCTCAGTGCCTTTTTTGTGGTCTTCTGCAACATAATTGGGACTGTAGATTATGAAGATTTTCAGCTTATGAGACAGATCACACAGAGACTATCTCCCTTCGAACAGGATTATCACCTGGGAAAGCTGTTGAACTTGCTGCAATCGCTGGAACGGCTCTGTGAGCCCTTATTTCAGGAGCCAAGCAGTGTTGCCGCGGTTAACTCAGCTCAAAGAGACACGACAGCTGATATTGCCCTGACAAATCACGTATCTCCTCCAGCGATGCCATTCGCGGATGGTATGGAGCTTTTGCCAGAACCCGAAACCGATCCGTCGGCAGATTGGCTCATGTGGCAACTCTTTAACAGCCAGGTTCCAGCGGGTTGGCTAGATAAAGGATTTGACTCTTTTGAATTTTAACCTGCAAGGCAAAATCGGAGACTTGCCTTTTTCACTCGGATCTCCGAACCCATGGAGTATACCTCAACACGCCGGGCGACCACAACAACTTTGTTATAATCCCATACATAGAACAATCTTTTTTCAAGACAATAAATCTTGAGTGATTGGTTCTTTTTGCACTATTGACCATAACGTAGGTATTTCTGATATTTTCCTGCTGTTAGGAGTACCGACCGAGCTGATCCCTACAAACAGACACAAAACGCCAAGCCACCATTAGCCCTAGATACCCCACTGCCTAGGTACATGCGACATGTCGTCAGACCATCATGCTGGCTTCACCGTCCACTGCGAGGATATCAAATGGCTACCTCTAGCCCCGGGTGTATTCATTAAAGTCGTCAAATTGGTTCCCGGGACCGGGGAGTACACAATCATGGTGCGATCCGAACCAGGAGGTCTACTCCCACGACACCGCCACGTTGAGAGCGCAGAAATCTTTGTTCTGAAGGGGAGTGGGGCGCATCCTCAGACCGGGGCCTTTGTTCAGGGTGACTATGTGTCTGAAAGTAAAGGAGCCGTCCATGATCCTTTGCCTTTCGAGTGTGAAACTGAACTGTTGCTGGTCGCCCGTGGTCCGTCGGTGTTTTTGGCGGATGATGGATCGGATATGTATACTATGGATGTAGCCATGTTGCAGGATATGGTTCAGGCAGCGCAGTCGGACTAGAAATCTATGAGAACGTATGTCAGCGTCTGTAGCGTGTATACCTTGTATCGCATAAGGAATTGTATACTCTTCAATTTTTAGCCCACAAAGTTGCAAGCCCTTAATTCTTCAGCCTGTCAAAAATCTCAGTGACTTGCCTGATTGACTTCGTCATTTGGCGTCTTGGGAAAGAACACGATGCCACGATTGAGGCATACATACGAGTCAAACTCCGTCTTCACGACTATATCTTTGTCTCACGACTAAACCTCGAGCCGTTTTACGCCTCGAAAGCCAGTTTTACTTGTTTATAGCACACTTCCACGCCCCCAGACGTCTTTGGCATCCTCGGCGCAGGCATTGGGGCAGGTCAATCGACGCATCCATCGGAGGATCTGATTTCCCCGGACAAAGCTCAGCCTCACCGAATGCACCGTTGAAGTTCTCCATCTATAGATGCTGTTTGTTCACAGTGGGCTTCTTGCTATCACCCATGGACTGGACTCATGATTCTAACAACATCCAGGCTGAGTTATTGAGATGCCGGATTCCTCTTTGTCAACTACACCCAGCCATTCTTGTGGCCCGAAACTTGCTCGAACTTCCCGCCCGCTCGAGTGGATGAAACATGATCATCTATGCACCCCCAGTGCGCCATCCAAGGCTTGAGGCCTACATCATCAAAGCTATCGCCGAAGAGCTTCTCGCGTGCCACAATGGCATGGATGCTCACATATTCTGGTGAGATCCTCTCCACTGGCCCTGGAGCCAATTGCAAACGAAACCGCCGACTGGTAGCCACCAGATCATGGATCTTTCCCAGCCTGCGGTCAAGTCACTCTATACTTCCAGGCGCATGGAATGTACAAGCTACCAAGCTCGAAGGGCTTTTTCTGGCTACATACATCCATGGCCTCACATTTGTCTGCCTCTGACTGATTCGAGAGCTGGTCTTCCAATGGCGGTAGAACTGTGCAAGCTGACAATGAAAAAAACAAAACATAGGTCCTGAACGAGCCTTTCCCCCGTTATCTATAGCATTTCAGCCTTCCGTCGATCAAGTCCTCCCTGTACCAAAAGCTCCAGAGCATCGTCAGGATCTCATTTCACAATACATGTGTTCGCGTTGGTTGACGTGGCTGGATACTGGTGCTCGGTGGATGTCTCAGTCGAATACAGGGCACTGCTGACGACGAACGAACGTCTTCTAAATGTCCAATTGCGAGACCCGGTGGTGGTCGAGGCTCCTAGAGACTCGTGGCAGCCCGGTGCTCTACTCCCCGAGAGCAAATGAGAAAATTGAGGTACCAGTTGCCCTGCTTTAATCGCAAAACTGAGGCATCAGCTCGATTTTGGCAGCAAAGAGGGCCCTCGGGCTACCTTGTCTTGATGTGCTGCGATGAGGATACTAATCATTATCACCATGAGTGATTGCTACTGCAGGGCAAATTCATTCTTGCATGGGACCATAACAGCTTTCCTACAGACCTTCTTTTGGAAGGCACCATTACCCATGAGTTCTGCAGATTGGTATAAGCATTGGAACGTTGCTGGAACGCCCGGTTTAGAACTGGAGTAGATGTTGTGCTACTGCAGGTATGCCGCAGCCATTCTGCTCAAACTCCAGATGCCCTTGTTACTCCTATCTTTGATTCTGGGCGAATTTGCATCTCTGAAGGAAGATTTCCTGAGTACCTGTTCTACTCAATACCTACTTAATGGAAATTATGTATACCTATAGCTCCACCGTAGCTCTTTGGATTTTTTTTCACGATAGTACCAATGGTTCTCGTTAAAGGGGAAAAAAGTGAAGTTCAAGTGACGATTTTCGTCCGAACAATGTCTGCCAGAGGGCTGCCAACCGGTAGTCCCTCCTCTCCCTCCTCTCCCTCTTCTTCTCTCCTCCTCTTCCTCTTCCTCTTCCTCTTCCTCTCTCTCTCTCTCCACAACATACGTTGACAATCTTTCTCTTCTTTGATTCATAGTCAAACGATATCTTTACCATTTCTCATACATATCCAAAGCATCTTGAAGCTATCGACATGCCCCCATCTTCTCATGCGCGGTTTTTTTGTGCCCGTCCTGACGGGACTCTGACTCCACTTGTTGCCCTTGATGACTTCCCACCAGGAGTCATGATTAGGGACCTGCCACGAAACCTTGGTGCAGGTGATACCCAAGGGATGACAAGTTGTGGACTGGCCAGTCCTCGGGCTAAGCCCTTGGACATTGGAGGAGTGGCACATGTTTACCCCAGTGTTCCCGGAAGTCATGACATCGAGGAATTGCATAAGACTCTGGTCCTTATCCTCCATGACAGCAAGGCCCCATCCCACATCCGTACGCTTGTGCAGAACACATTGTGCCGTGTCGTCGAACAGTCTGTTGGTTTGGCTTCTGAAATGACCAACACCACCCCGCCTGGTTTCGTTCATGCAGGCAAAGTTCATAGCCCCGCGACCTCCGGACCTTCGGTCAGCGCTCAGTCCGGCCGAGCTGTAAGTTTGAAATACCCACTTGACATATCGTTGTTCAGATTGCTGACCCTTCATATCTTGGGCAGTATAACTCTACCCGCGGACAGGCCCACAAGAAGGAGTTCTGTTCGTACTGGATTCGTCACGGCGAGTGTGACTACAGTCAACAAGGCAAGTGATATTGAGAAAAACGAATTGAGGACTCGACTGACCATTTTGCACAGGCTGTATGTACAGGCACGAGATGCCATTGGACGCCGCCAGTGTGGCTCGACTCGGTCTGCGGGACATACCAAGATGGTACCGCGACAAATTCCAAGTGCCGAGCATCATGGCTGAAGTGCTCGAATATGAGCAATCTGCGGATGCGCCTCGCAATCCCGCTGCGTCGGCTCCTCACATATTCGCTTCTCGTGCCATCGAGCACAATGTTGCTACCCCAGCCGGTTCCGCTGCCGCCGGCAAGAATGAGGGCGGAAATGGAATTGCCCGGGGAAACGCCCCCCGTGGACCTGCCAGATTCAATGGCACTCCTCCTCGTGGTCCTGCTGCCAACAATGGCCACGGTGGAAATTTCAACGGCCACCGAGGCGGAAATCGTAGCGCCAGTGCGAATGGACGTGGTGCATACGGCTGGAAGAACGGCCGTGGGGGTGGTCGAAACAGGTTCCTAAATTCCCCTCTTCGCGCCCGCCGGAGTTCCAGCGAATGGAGTCAGGACCAGGAGTCCCAGGAGCAGGAGTCGGGTAAGCTCGCGATGTACTCGTATGGACAATTCGGCGGACTAATGAACACAGATCGTGGCCGCTCCATCGAACCAGTCCCAAAAGCGCCTGTGGCCTCGAGCGACACCAAGTCGAATGACGAAGCTGCGATTCCCGTTCCTGTTCTGTCTGAGGGTGTTGGGTTGACTTCGATTATGGAAGAAATCGGTGGTCCCAGCTCTGGAATGTATGGCGCCACGAACCATGGCGTTTCCGGCAACGAGGATGCCTCGCGCGGACCGAGTCAAGCACTCCGACGGCATAGTGCCCAGAAGTTTTCGCGAGCTTCAAATCAGTCTTCCGATGGCGGAGTCCTTCTGCCAGAGTCCGTCACCCGGGCTCATGACCCTGGTTCCTCGCAGAGGAATATTGAAGCCGCCCGCCGCTTCCTTTTTGGCCGCGGCGATGATGGTAGCTGGAGGTCTCATGGTCAATCTGTCTCTGGTTTCATGGAGCGTAATGAGGCGACGATTGAAGGTCAGGACGCTTGCTTCACCTGGGGCCCGGTGGGTGGTCCGATCTTGAAAGATGCCAGTGGTAATATCCCGGACTCCTCTGTCTTCGGAAAGTATCCTCTGGGTCCGTTGGATGAGTAGCTGGGTGCTCAATCTCATTTGACTTCTAGCTGATGTGAGGATGCATCATCCTGGGTAAGATGTGTGGAGTGGGAAGAATAACCCGTTGAGAAGTTGTCTCTTCTCGCCTTCGTTGTTCTTTCAATCTCTTCTCAACCTGGTCTCTTGGGAGTGGTATCTTCTCTTTCTTCATTTCTGACCTTGTTTTGCCTGGGTTGTTATCGCCAGCCCACGACAATTCAAGTGTAGTTGTTTCTGACACGTTGTTTTGGTGGTTTCAGTACTTAATCAACGTGGACATTTTTCTCACAATCCTTTGCCAATATCCATGGTTTGCAGCTGCAGTAAGATCCCCTGTATAGGATTGTTTTCAATTCTCTCTGATTTCACGATGGGTGTCGCCTTGGCTGTTGTTCGTCAGTCAACGCCAGCAACGCCCTTTGCGTGATTCCTAGGCTTCTTAAGTTTCTCGGATTTCTTTGTTTTGATTGAAGTTTGTAACCAATTCCCTGACAAGAAGCAGGAGATGATCTCACAACGGTGTGAGATCAATCCCTTGTCAATTATCATCAATTGCAGGTGGGAAGAGGTTGGGATGGACGGAATGAGACCAGAATGAGACCAGAATGAGACCGGTAGCCGTCTTGGCGTTTCTAAAGTTCCATTGTCCATTCAGATACATTCAATGTGAAGAAATATTCCTATTTTACAATTCTCGCTGTTGACGTGCACAAAATGTAGGCATCTACTGCACTAAGGTCAACTCTATAAAGAAAGAAAGTCAAGCAAACTAGGATAGTAACGGAGTCTATTAGCGAGTGGCCAATGAATGGAACAAAGTGACTATAGTACATTTGAAAGAAATAAAAATGCCAAAAATCCTGAATAATGCGCCCGCGCCTCGCAAATGTCTGACAACAGCTTTTCAAGCACCCAATATACAGTTGACGACATCGCTCACCGGCGGCCGACCTTCTTGCCAGCACCAACCTTCATAGCCACACGCCCACGCTCCTCTTCAGCCTTGGCCTGGAGGGCGGGGTTGAGCGAAGGAAGCACCTTGATGGCATTAGCAAGGATCGCGCTGCCATCCACCAGAGCGGCGCGTGTCGATTCAGCAGACAAGCGCTCCTGGCGGCGAGCAGCCAGCTGGTTCCGGCGGGCTTCGGTCATTTTCCAGGCCTCGGGGAATTGGATTCGGTGCTTGTACTTGTGATGGCGGAGGTCCAGCGGGATATCGGCGAAGGAGTCACCTTCCTTGGCCTCTCTGATCAAATGGTTCACGATGTCTCCCAAGTAGCGCTTGTTCTGGGCACTGTGATCGTACTTCGCGCATGCCATGCGGACGATGTCGGTCTGGGGGTTGTACCGCACACCGGCCAGCTTGAGGAATGTTTGGCGCTGGGCTTCGGTGAGGTACTTGGGGACCAGATCCTGAGAGGCAAGCTCGACGACAACCTTGGACTCGCCTGGGTGCTCTTCACCCATAAAGGTAGTGTAGCGGAAGCGAAGGATGTGGGTGTCGGGAGGCAGGGTGAATGGTTGGGCAAGCTCTATGGGTTTAAGGTTAGTAGATGTAGAAGCTGAGGGGTGAGGATTGAACTGACTGTTCAGCATTGGCATGTCCCATGCTGTGATGCGGGCATATTCTCTCATTTCACGGTGCAACTCGATCTCCGCATGTGCCATAGCGGTCATTTCATCGTCATGAATTTCCTCATCTCCATCCTCGACGTGGCCGAGTTCATCAGGCTCGCCATCAGCCCAGAAACCACTCAGACGGGAACGGGTCTCTTCAAATCGAATATCCTCCTCCTTGTCGATCTGTTGTACGAGCTGGTCAATCTCACTGAAGGCTGCGGCGCGCTTAACCGGGTCGTTGAATTCGGCAACCATGTGGTGGTTCTCTTCGTCAAAGGCCGCGCGCTCCTCGGGAGACATCAGGTCATACATGGAGCGCTCCTCCTTGTTCAGAAGCTCAGGCGAGTACTCGGCCACGGAGGGATAATCGTTTGGGCCGCGTTCTTTCGGAGGAGGCGGCACCACAGGGTCTTCCTGGGCACGGTTGAGCGGCGAGGCGGAAAAGTAGCGCATGGAAGAGGCAATTGGGCCCCTCCTGGCGAGGAACCGTGCTGGCTGGGCCAGTGACCGAGCTACTGAAGCCATTGTTGCGGATATCGCGGAGTCAAGGACGGGGTCGTTACTACGATGTTTTCCACTTCACTTTTGCGAGATTCACCGCCGTGTACCTTACCCAATAAGGACTAGTGTTGACCCATGCACGTGATCAGATACATTGATGATGGCTTCTTGTACGGAGTATATTCCTTTCCATCGCGGCGATTTTTTGATCAATGGTCAAACATGACCACTGCGGACTGTGATATATCGCCTTGATCTGACACGGTTGTATGACACGGTTGTCGCCATGAAGCTATGTTTTGTGACTGTCGGGGCCACGGCTTCCTTCGAAAAACTACTTGAACAGGTGCTTACTCCGGACTTTCTGCAAACCCTGGCAGAGCGCCATTACACCCATCTTCTCCTTCAGTATGGCAAAGATGGCGAGAAAATCTACAACAGTTTCCTTGACAGCGGGAAATCCCACCATGGGCTCATCCTCGGAGGATTCGATTTCAAGTCCAGCATAGAACCAGAAATGATCATGACCACCGAAAGAGAAAAACAGGAGCAACAGCGTGGCTTAATCATCTGTCATGCTGGTATGACCTTTGACCTTTACCCGCACTTCTGGGGGCTCAAATCGTTCAAGAATCTAAACGTTTTACAGGAAGTGGAACCGTTCTAGCAGGACTTCGCCTGGGCACACCCTTGATTGTGGTTCCCAACCCTGACCTTGCCGATAATCACCAGCAAGAACTTGCAGATGTGCTTGAGCAAGATAATTATGCAGTCAGCAGTACCATTCAGTGAGCAACTTCACGTTGTCCTTCGCATCGGTGAACCAATTGGCTGACAGCAGGCTAGGGACATAGGAAGTGCCATTGCCAAAGCAGAACTGCAGAAGGCTGAGGTATTCTCCTCGAGATCTGGAAATAATACACTGTTTGAGAACATATCTGACCAAATGGGCTTTTTGGATTGAAGAAATGCAGTGGATCTCTCGCCCACTCACCTTGGATTGATTGGCAGCTGTGGTCTATGCACTCTCGCACGAAAAACCTCCTGCATTTAGATCCAAAGACCCCGGATTATACACAGCGATATGTTCTCAGCTGCTTCTGTTGGACTGGGATGCTTTCTGTCTTACATTATCCGTTACGGATGGTTTGGGGCAATCTTTTGACTAAGCAGTGTAAATCAGACCATAATTTTAAGCAGATCCAGATTGCACATTGAATATGGCGGTAATTTCGATGTTTGAGTCCAAAAAGTGTTGTCCTTCAGTAGTTCGATTTGACAAAGTGGCCCAAGCTCCTTGTTGACAATTCCCGAGCGGCTTCGCGTTCACTCCTGAATCAGTGACAGGAACGCCAACCACCGACATTCGACCACCCTCGATTCAACTTCCACCCTGTTGATCCCCTGACTCGCCATCCCAGGCCGAGAGGCCGTCTCTACCAACCGCGCCTTCTCCGATCTCAACTCCGACCACACTCCCCGCAATGGCAGAGGCCACCCTTCACAACGTGCCAATCGTCATCGACAATGGCAGCGGAACGATTCGAGCAGGTTTCGCCGGAGAAGAAATCCCATCATGTTATTTTCCATCCTTTGTTGGACGTCCCAAGCACCCTAGGGTGATGGCAGGTGGTCTGGAAGGAGACTCGTTCATCGGGTCTCGCGCACAAGAACTGCGCGGGCTGTTGAAGATCCGATATCCGCTTGAACATGGCATTGTCACCAATTGGGAAGATATGGAATCAATTTGGCACTACGTCTACGAGAACGAGCTCAAAACGCTCCCCGAGGAACACCCTGTCTTGCTCACAGAACCTCCGCTGAACCCACGCCAGAACCGTGATATTGCGGCCCAGCTCATGTTTGAGGCCTTCAACGTCCCTGCATTGTATATGTCGATTCAGGCTGTGCTTTCTCTCTATGCATCTGGTCGTACTAGCGGTGTGGTCCTAGACTCTGGAGATGGAGTGTCTCACGCGGTGCCCGTTTTCGAGGGTTTCGCCATTCCCAACAGTATTCGGAGAATCGATGTCGCCGGTCGTGATGTTACGGAACAGATGCAGCTGTTGCTGAGGAAGGCTGGACACGTATTGCACACAAGTGCTGAGAAGGAGGTGGTGCGCATGATCAAGGAGAAGGTCTGCTACGTCTCGCTGGACCCGAAACGGGAAGAGAAGGAATGGATGAACAACTATCACAAGTCCGATGCGAAAGCAGTAGACTATGCTCTTCCAGATGGCCACAAGATTAAGGTAAGTGACCCATGCAAGACCACTCTGGCCCAGGCATGAAACCAAGCTAATGAGTATACTTGAAGATCGGCCAAGAACGTTACCGCGCGCCTGAAATTCTTTTCGATCCCGAGCTCATCGGACTTGAGTATCCTGGTGTACACCAAATTGTCCAAGACGCCATCACCCGTACAGATCTTGACCTGCGTAAATCGCTATATCTCAACATTGTGCTTTCTGGTGGTTCAACATTGTGCAAGAACTTCCCCGATCGATTGATGCGCGAGATCAAGCGGTTGGCAGTTGAGGACATGAAGATCCGAATCTCCGCCCCTGCTGAGCGAAAGTACACCACGTGGATTGGAGGTAGCATTCTTGCCGGCCTGAGCACGTTCAGAAAGGTATGCACATCTCCCCTGCCCCAATGGACAATGACTAACGGACTATCCCTAGATGTGGGTGAGCGCAGACGAGTGGCACGAAGACCCAGAGGTTATCCACAAGCGGTTCGCCTAATCAAGAGGCCCTTGACGGGAGCCTCCCATTCTCCGGTGGCCTCCACTTGTCCTCCGGTGCTCAGTTCAACGCCCCCGGCCCATGCCCACTGCCCTCATGCGGCCCCAAAGACCCCTCAAATACAAGAGCAATATCTTGTCAACACTAATCGATCGCTCTGCAATTGCAGTGCATCAGAAACGCGATCGACCAACACAACCAATCCGAGTTGCGTCGCGACTCTTGATACCCCAGTTTCCATTTTCCTATCTAGTTTGTGTCTCGGCATTGCCTCTGACTCACTGTGCAAATACATCCTCTTCTGCGTCTTGGAAACCGGCCTGCTCGGACAGGATCTCAATGTGGACATAGCGGGCTACATATAGAATCCAGAATACTTCAATGATCCTGATGATCCTGCTTTGCAAGTTTGATAGCGTACTTTGCCGAGTAATATCATGATGAGCACATGAATTGTAGAGGACTGCGCGGTATGTCAAGATTGTCAATATCACCCCTGCTTGGCTTCTCATGGTATCTGCAATAACTCTTTACGGCGTGAAACCCTAGTCCACAGGTCTCTTATGAGGATGTGTCGTCTCTGTCGTTGGAACTGAAAGCACCTGGGCATTGCCGAGAAACAGTTCTTACCCCAAGGGAGGTGATACTTCCACATTATGAACGTTCAAGCCCCTCAGCGCACAAATATCCACATAGATCGTAGAAGAGATATTGTATTTACTCTTAAAAATGGAACTATCTTAGCTTTACGTACTTAAGTAGATCAAGATCACTAGTTGGTCTTATTATCCAGATGCTGGTCGTATGATATTGGAAGTAGACTAACGTCGGAAAGATTCTTGGAGGAAGAGAAAAGATCTCATCGGAAAGTTGTCAACTGAAATACTTAAGTACAGATGAGATATTCAGTGAGGCTGCCAATGAGCATTCCCTACTTTACTACGGAGTACGGAGTACATACTGAGTATCTACCTACAGTTGCATGTCCTGCACAAGGTCCCCACTATAATCCTTGCAGTTTATGAGTAGATACCGGTTTCAAGTCTGCCTTGATGCACAAGGTATTGACAGGAGATCTGTTAGGCACACACAAGTCACATTCCAGTTGAACATCTCACTCGGCAACAGACGATCCAAGGTCTAGAATGCGTTGTTTGGTGGAGCTTTCCAAAAAATCATGGACAAAGAATCCTTGAAGAATTGGCCAATGACGCCCACCATCGGACCCCATGGTAGATCTGTAGGCCGAACAAAAAGCGAGAGAACTTTGACATGCACTAAGATCCACCGATGAGTCAAATTCAGGTACGGAGGACGGAGGACGGAGGACGAGGGCACATGAGTGTCCTAACTGAATTGCGCTATTTCGGTGAACATTGATGTTTCGGTGTGCCATGGTGCGATGCGCTCAGATCAAATGCCAATTGGGGTTTCATGTCTCAAGATTTGATTTTTTTCAATCCCACATGACCATCAGATTCGTGATCGGATCTCACTTGGTGAAAATACTGGAAATAGTACTCCCTATAATAGCGGAATGGCGGAATGTTTCAACTTGAAATGGCTTGTCGCTTACCCGCGGCTACCACTACGACCCAACGATGCGACATTCGCAATTCATATCGCCACTCGAGCACCTCATGAGCACGCCTTAGAAACTATGGTGTACAATGTACAGTATACAGATTACAATGGATAAAGTTGGATATGGAATCCAGCCAGGGGAAACCCAAGCTTGCAATGCATTGGTACCGGCTAGAAAGTAGTAGCTCGGGTAGCGCTATGGGGGAATATGTTGAAAAGCAAAAGTAGACTCCGAGCGATGCGACCAGACAATAGTTGTACGATGGTGCGATCCAGAGGTAGATGTTGAAAGAAACCGGGTTTCTGAAACCTGGCGTGTGGCTTGGCTTAAGCACAAACGACCACGAAGCGCCGGCCCATGCTTGGGGGTTTGCTCAAAGACTGAACGGATTGACATAACAAAGAAAAGAACGCGAGTCGCGGTTCGGGGTATCGGTGACGCATGAAAGAAACAGGCGGGTATCAAGAGGGTCTTGTGAAAGACCAACCTTCGGTTGGCTCGGTGTTTCGGTCAGGGTCCATGGGAATCCCGGTTGATTAAAAAAAAGGAAAATTGGTAGAATGTTGTTTGAGTTGAGAGGAAAGGCAGAGAACTTTTTTTGGTTGTCGTAAATGTCGTTGATCTCGCGGACGAGAAAGCCGGAAAGTGAGGGTTGTTTAGGCAGTACCCTTGAGCTTGCCCCAGCCCTTCTCCAGACCACGGCGGGCCATATCGCGAGCGCGGTCTGCGACGGAACCGGTACTGGAATTGGTGGCAGTGCTGGCGGCGGAGTACTTGCGACTCAGACTGGAGCTGCTGGAGTCGTCGCGGTACATGGTGTTTCCGGCACCGCCGCGGCCGACGTGGTAGACGGGGGCGGCACGGCGCATGTCTCGCTCGAGCTCTTCGTCGAAGCTGAAGATGGCGCGCTCACTGCTGCTGTGGACATTGCCGGCACCTCCGCGGCCCGAAGTGAAAGTTGTTGGGGCACGCGAGTCGAGGCGTGTCAACGAGGCAGGGCCGGTTGCTGTGTGAGCCTCGGTGGTCTTGGTGTTCTTCAGGCTGACGACGTTCCCGCATCCTCCACGGCCAGTGTAGACTGCCGGTCGACTCGCATGAGGCACCGAGGGATGGGGTTCGACAACGCGGTAATTTGAAGGCATGTTGGAATTATGTGTGTAAGAGTCGAAAGAATCGAAAGAATCGAAATATCAAACAGGCTAGCTGTTACTATAATAGCAAGTCCATGAAAAGCTGTGAATCTGCAAAATTGTATGGAGCCTCCCCTAGCAACGGGGCCAGGTGAGTTTTATAGGAACCGAATTCTAATTTTGAAAATTCAATTTTATTAAAAATTTCAGTAAAATAAAATAAATTTGATTTAAAAAATAAAACCAAAAAAAAAAAAATGAGAAAATGGACCCCACTGGGCACGGCATCTGACTTCGTCATCGGTCTGTAGCGGCATCCCCTACTTGCTTCTTTCGGTGACGCTGTCAGGATCCGCGGGTATCCTTGAAACGCCCCTGTGACTGGGTGATCCTCTATGATTGGTCTAGGATTCCCCCAGACGGCGGTAGCCCAAGCGAATGGACGGGCTCGGCGGTGCTGCTTTAAGCCCTTTGCCGCTCACCTGGCAAAGTCATCTGACTCGATTTCTGTTAGTAACAGAGGACCAATGAGAATCTGCCGCGCTAAGACCGGTGGGGCATTACCCCATAACTTCCAAGGTTGAAGCCAAAAAAAAACCCTCATTTCCTGATCTCCAAGTGTCCAGATCGTGTACTTTACGGCTACAGTCTATAGCTCAAATACAGATCACACCGCTGGATCAGGGGTATACTCCTTGCTAAGTGGGATTGTACAGTATCTGGGAATCAATGTCAGACTATTCCAGACACATGATCTACGAGTAGCTTGTTAACTGTGACCAAGAATACTAGAATACTAGAATACATACCACAATTCAAGAATTCACCCCATAGTCACGATCCAGGGTTCATGACTCAACGTGAAATGAAAATACATGAAGATTTTTCCGGTGGTAATTTACTGCTCCAGAAATTGCATCATTTGCCGATCCGGTTCCAAACCCTACAGATGTCGTTTGTCACGCCAGATGGATGCCTTTTAGCGTGGATTGCAACATCAACCTCGTGAGAATTAGGTACCCTTGACGCCAGACTCCTAGAGACACATCTCCAGGGTGACAGGGTGTCGAGCTACGAGTATACCCCATACAGAGCGTTGCACAATGTGCAAAAATACTAGCGTGATTTGCGCTGATCGTAGCACCGAAATTTGCGGGCGGGTCTAGGGCAGACGCTAGTGCCGTACCTGATGGAGCATTCCCTGACGCTTGGGAGATCCGAATAAATCACGCATGCCCAGAACGCCGAGAATATAGTGTACACTCGTAGCTCGTAGTCTGAACACGTTGCTCACGCCACTCCTGAAACCCCTTGGGACCGAGTCACCCTGCCGAGCAATCCGAAACGGAACAGGTAAGGTGTTCCCCAGGTTGGGAAGGGAGAGAACCTTGGGAGGACAATGCGAAGAAGGTGAAAGAAGTGAAAAAAAATTAATAAAATAGAACAAAAAGAGCCTAATAAGAAAGAAGAAAGAATGAGGAGGTCCATGTGACTGGTTGAGAGTTCCGAGCGGTGGTCTACACCAATCGTTGGGGACCGCCTCTTCCCCAGGTTTTCAGTTCCCCAGACTCACATCATCGATTTACAGTCATGCGTCTCCCGCGGCATGACTTGCCAAATGACGATATACCTCGGATCTGCCAACACGTCAATTCTTTCCCCCTCACGTGGTCTGTAGTCGACATCCCTACTCGGTTATTCAGGTACAACGGACATCCCGACATCCCAATTGGGCCACCTGACATGGGACTCTGTCACAGCCTTTGGTGTAGCATGTCTTTTCTCTCCCTTGGCAACCCAAACTATGGCATAATCACCGCATGCGCGATTAAACAAGAATCAAAGCACATCTCACATCTCACACCTCACACCCCACATCCCTTGCCAATGTCACCAAATCCCCTAGAAACATCGCATCATCACGTACGAGCATTCTCTCCGTACAATGTATCCTGCATATTCCACAGCCCCTTTCCCCAACATTTGGCTAGCCTTACTCGTAGCCTCCATAGTATTAGATAATAGCGCAGAACCATGACACATGATTATCGGTGTCGCCTGGTCGAGACTCCCCGGAACCGGCTGCTGACAACGTAGCCGGTCGCAACCTTGGAAGCCGGTCCACGTATGAGAACCAAGTACGAGTACTTCGTGCTCACCAAGGTTGTCTCTTACTCACACACTCAGTTCTAGGTGCAAGGAACCACCTGTCCCGTCGATGATGTGCCTATGTGCATAGGTTCCAGAGCTGAGTGCTGAGTGACCGTCAGGCCAGCGATCAGCCATGCACTCCTACGAATCCTCGTCCACCTTGCGATTACACCATATAGGTATCCCCGGGCCATAGCTACGCCATACCAAGCACTCCGTGGTACCCTGTAGCGTTGCCTCGGGATGGTACCCGAGCCCACCCCCGCCTTTGACAAGAAGTCGGGGGAACCATACGGAGTCCTTATGCGGGGGATCGGATCCCAATTTCAATATACCCCAATTCAACAACGGACATTCTACTTACTGTGGCACAGCTATACCCTTTGGATGATTCAATCACGTCCATTACATGTACAATTGCTGAAATCGCAGAGGCCCGAGAGCACATTCCAGGCTCCTGGGTTTACAAACCCGCCAAGAACACCATCATCATCAGAACTACAATGTGCCCTACTCAGTGCAGGTGCATAGTCTCGGCTTGAGTGGACTTTTCGTTGGACTCCTGCCAGCATTGCCATTAAGTAATTGTATCATTAGCACATCATTTACTACCCGGATTCTGTGCTGAGGCATTTTATGTCCCTGTGTAGCTCGGATTGTATTCTGCGGCCAAGTCAGCTGTGTTACCTTCGTCGCCGGGATTGGGTTACGTGTTGGATCGGGGGGTTGGCAGGGCTGAGATGCCTATACAATGTAGCGGTTGGGTGGCGCTGTCTTGGTACGAAGTACAGAGTCAAAGGTAGGCTGCTCGGGTTTCCAAGGTTCCAACTTTAGAAGGCTACGTGCTGGGACTTGTCATCGGGGCTGTCACTTTCATGGCGAGCTGACTTATGTTTAGCAATATCTTGTGTGATTGTGTGCTGGAACCGATACCACTCAGACAATACTACTTTCAAATGTCTAGTCTTTGCTGGGTTTGAAACTTGGCTTGGGCCCAGAGCCAGAAGACAAGTTTTCCACAGCGGCTGGCAGTCGGTTTTGGGATGCGATGCTTGTTCGGTGCTCGCGTGACATTTCTTGTGTTGCTATATATCCTTGTATTAAGGTGTAAAGTTCCTGATGGATCAACTCATTTGTGGGAGAAATTTTTTTATTTCAAGGTTTGATATTCAATGGTGCTAACGACAGCAGCATCTTCGTGGATATTCATCGCTGCTTGAATTAACCCTCCATGTTTGGAAGCAAATAAGCTGGTCACCAGTGCCAGTCACCGAAAAGGAAAATTGTCCCAGAAAAATCATACCAACCGTTGTGGCAAGGGCTGAAGGGCCCATCTCCATTCCGATACGCCAGTCCAGCCAAGTAGAGATTCAAATCCTCCATCTCCTCGGCTCATCATCCAGGGGGGAACCCTCAACACTGACGAGGCAGTTTTCCACAAAGGCCCCTCTCTGTTTATCGTTCTCATAACCGCACAGGCGACTGCAGAATGAACCCCGGGCTTTCATAGCAAAGATTGTACTGAGATTCTGGATGAGAGGGATTTCAAGAGATGGGTACCTGATTTCCTCATGTATCCATTTCGGCTTGGTGACATCGAACATGGCATTCGTGATGTTGTGGCCATTTGGCAAGGCTCGACAAGCAGCCCTCCAATCAGAGTAATTTTCGGCAATCTGTGCATGCAGTTCTTCTCTCAACCAATCAAAGCCTGTAGGCAATCTTTGAGGGCCAATGAAAGGAAAAAGGACGAGACGGACTTTGGTGACTGCGTTGCGCGTGATCAGTAGCCCGGGCACCGGATTTTCGCGGCTGGTTTTGTCGAAGAGTTGAAGAAATGCATAGGGATCATCGAAGACGAACGTCTCCACTGTGTGATAGTACTTGCAAATATCACTGAGTTGGATTGCCTTCCGCGGAGCTTGAGAGCCTGGCTCGATGGGCCTGGCCATGAGGCATTCGGGGCCGAAGAAAATGAGCATTTCAGTGATTGGTGCTGGGGTGATGGTGCTGGCCTTCTTGGGCTGATCGAGTGTGGCGCTCTCGTGGATCTTCGACTGGTTGTCATCTGCAGCCTTCGTTTCGAGTTCGACGGGTTTGAGGTGCTCGTTGACTTTGTTGGCTTCGATGGGGTCGATGGCTTCGGTGCCTTCGTTGATCACGACAGGAGCTTCAAGGTCCATGGTGGGGGTACCAGATGCCATGTTGTCTGCAGTGCCAGATTGGGCTGGGGAATGCATTTATGAAAAGGTGTGAGTTGAGGAGACCGAACCAGTTGAGTGGTGTGCACTTTCTTTCTGGACAATAGGACTGGAGCCTTAGGTGGAAACAATAGAATCAGAGAACGATTCATGAGACAGTTCTCTTTTACTTCGTTCCATTCCACGTTGATAGGTTCTTTCAACTACCTCTCCCTCTCTGTCGCTCCCCCATCCATGTCACCAAATATCTTCTCAGATTGTCTCAACATTACTCTGTTTCCAAAGCGAACAAGCGCAGCCTCACCATTGCCTCTGCTCTTGGGCGGATCTTGTGAATACTCCTCGGAGTAATCTTGGAATAGTTTCATAGCCCCACAAACCCTGGCTGTCTGATCAGTCAAAACAAGGGTCGGGACGATCTGCAAGCTACTTGTCACTCTGTTGGCTTTGGTTGTTGGGAGGCATCAATTGACGCAGATGGGTCCTCCTGTCAAGTGGAGCCTCAAATTTCAAGGCATCGCTCTTCTTGAGCTCACTTTACGACTCTCTTCACAATCCATTCATCCGGTGTTACGTCGTCCCACGGTCGTCCTACTACTCGAATATATACGCAAGGTTTTGATTACAATCTCTTCCTCTCCTCTGGTATGTTCTCAGACTTGAATTCAGGTCTGCTCCTTGATATTGAGTATGGTTCACATTCCAATTTCCATCCTCAGGGATTTACCTATTTCCGAGTGTCAGATGCACTTTCTTTTCAGAGGAGCAGAACGACTACATCGAATGAGCAACCTTCACCTGTGCTCCACTCAACGTCAGCTTTCCATGCACCTGTTTACTCAATGTCTCTCCTATCACATTGCACCTTTCAAAGTGCCAAGATCTGCACCGCCGGATAATATACTCGGTCTGCTGGCTTTTCATCGACGAGTCCAAGAATAGCTTCATTTGGCGAGTCCAGCGCCCAGACTCGGCTGCAGGCGGATACAAGAGGAGACAGGGTCGCCGATATCGCTCACCGGTGGTGCTTATAGTCAATGCGAGCAGGGGCGATTGCAAGAATATACACGACCCCGATTGTGTTTCTCACAAGATGACTTCGACGTTGGACATACATCATCTCAATGGCAACCCTTCCTCCGAACGTATCTTCATCGTTGGAGGAGGCATAGTCGGTGCAGCGCTCGCTTTCTATCTTTCCCGCGATCTCTCCAGTACCAACAAACGCCAAATCGTCATTGTTGATCGATGCTTGAAGAAGTCCCTCGGCTCTACGGGCCATGCACCGGGATTCGTGGGTCAGCTCAATGAGTCACCTGTACTGACTCAACTCGCAAAAGAGACTGTCTCAGAGTATCTTTCAATTCCCGGTGGCTTCAGCCGTGTTGGTGGGCTGGAGCTTTCATCAAGCCCCTTGGGTGTGGAGGCCTTGCATCGTCGGTGCGAGATGGCGCGTGCTGCTGACTTACCCGCTGAAATACTCACACCTGAGACTGCAGCTTCTCTTGCTCCGGACTTCATTGACCCCGAGTCGGTGGATATTGCATTGCATTTTCCATCTGATGGAACTGCGAACGCGCAGAAAGTTACATCATATTATCTTGATCAAGCGCGGATCCAAGGAGTGGATTTTCTGGAGGCCAACGTCACTGGGTTCACAAGATCGTTTATCGAGGACGAAAAAGCCGAAATGAAAGCTATTCAGACGGCGGAAGGGGACATTAGCCTTACAGGCAGTACCGTCATCCTGGCTTCTGGGATTTGGACTTCGCCGTTGATCGCCTCTGCTCACGCCTCCAAACAACAAGTCACACAAGCTCCCATTCCCATTGTCCCCGTAGCACATCCCTACACATTTACCCCGCCTCGGCCTCCCCGTTCTGGAATTCCATACCCATTCGTTCGCTGGCCAGATCATCATGTCTACGCCAGAGATCACGGTGATCGCGATGGTCTTGGCAGCTACAACCATGCTCCGATCCAGCTAGATCCAACTACTACAGCCATCGGAGCCTGGCCATCGGAATTCGATCAGGTCCTGTCCGAAGCCACTTCGCATCTGAAGAATGGGAACGAATTCCAGGTGCGAGGGTCTGCGGGCGACTCGGACCCCTGGCTTGCCAAGGAACCATTCAATGGAATCTTCGCGGTTACCCCCGATAACCTACCGCTAGCAGGAAAGGTGCCTGATGTTGCAAATCTGTGGATCTGCGCTGCAATCTGGGTTACCACCGCTGCCGGCACTGCAAAGCTGATATCGAGGGAGATTTGTCGTGAAGCTGGGACTGCTTCATCTCCTGAAGATAAGCTCCTTCTAGAGGCTCTGGCCCCTGCTCGTTTCCAGGGTAGCGAGTTGGACTTACTTACTCAGCAGGCATTGAGGAAGTACAACGACATCTACAATCGCAAAACCTAGAACCATATACTAGCAGCATGTACATATCAAGGATATCTAATTCCACGTATGAGTTCATGAAACACCAATTGATCTGAATATACCTCTATACTTGAGTACTACAAGTAGTACTTAAGTAGAAGTAGTAGTAGCCACCCACTGACGTGCGGCCTCCACTCGCCCGATTTCACTAGCGGGGCTCTACTTCTCCACAATTTTTCAAACCGTACCGTGCCGCTCCGTAATAGGTAAGATCTCTCAGCGCTATTGAAAATGCCCAGGGTAGTCGCTGTCAGGAAATCCGTACTCCTCAGTCAAAAGTCTCATACCGCGGGGTAGCGGATCCCATGCTTGAGTGTGCAAGTTTCGAATGTAGATACCAACCCCAAAAGAGCATCGCACGCAAGGGGAGGACGCAGACCCAAAAATGGGAATGGCAAAAAAGACGCAACGAACGTTGGATCAACGAGCCCAAAATCGTTATGGCAGGCGTTTTACATTCGATACACCCACGTGCTCGTCAGGGTGGTCTATTGAATGGATCTACGATACCCTAGTGCTGGGTTCAATGGCCTTGTACTTGTAGTCAGAAACACGGGGCTCGGACAATGCGCACTACAACAGAACCGTTGCTCTGGACCAGCCACAGTGAAAGTAAAAGTATCAAGGGGAATTTCGAAAATTGAATTTACATTGGAGCCTTAATCCAGGCTCAGCCACTCTTGGGCCGTAATCTAGAAAATGATCCGTCAGTCCCAAGGTTCCCTCCAGGGCTGGCGCTACCCCTGACTAAATTACTTCCAAGACCTACAGATTGTATCTGCAAGATTGCCTGAATTTCCCTACTCGTACACTCGCAGTGGTTTTATGTGGACTGATACTGAGAACCAGAAGTCCATGACGACCCTCAGAACTTTATCTGAGCCAGATTCTCCCAATTAGGGCATGCCAAGAAACTCAATTTCCGCCACACGAACCTCCTATATCACGCCTCTTCATCTCTTCACTACTCCAGGCATCTCTTACCCTTCGCCATGGCATTCAACTGTGCTGCATGCCTGGGGATTTCACCTCCAATCTGATCCGCTGATCATGGCAGGCGAAACAGGGCCAGTGGAGGTCTCGCGATCCCATGCAATGGTGATTGCGGGACTGTTTGCCCTAGCGTGTTGGAATGTGCTACACATCATGGTATCAATATTCACCACCTTCAGGCGATACCGCGGCCTCTACTTCTGGAGCATGTTGGTTTCTACCGTGGGAATCCTTCTTCACACCATCACATCTTTTCTTCGCTACTTTGCGCTTGCTCCAAATTTCCCCATGTGTGTCTTGATCTGTATCGGCTGGTACGCTATGGTCACAGGGCAATCCGTGGTGCTATATTCCCGACTCCATCTGGTCACCTCATATGACCGCTACTCACGATGGGTATTATGCATGATTGTCTTCAACTTTTGTGCTTTGCATATACCCACTACCGTCCTTTTCCTTGGCATCAATCGCGGCGCACACTCTCTCGATGAGCCATTCAACATCTACGAGCGCATCCAGCTTGCAGGATTTGCTGCCCAGGAAACCATCCTCAGTGCTCTTTATATCTGGGAAGCCATGACTACCCTGCGACCCATCTTGCAAATCAAGGGTGCTCAGGGTCAGAGAGTCCTGATGAACCTGGTCGCCGTCAATGTCATTGCCGTCTTGCTTGACGCTTCTCTGTTGACAACAGAATACACAAACCACTTCGACGTCCAAACAACCTATAAACCGGTCGTCTACAGCATCAAATCGCTCTTAGAGTTTACTGTACTCAACAGCCTACTTGTCATTGTGCGCGCAAATCCATCAGGCATCGAGAATCTCGACCAGTCGAACAGAGACGAGCTTCATATGGAGCTGCAGTGGAGCGGCAACCGCTCAGACAACGCCACCCCTTCCAGCTTTGGCCCACCAAGGTCCGACCAGGTTATTCAAAAGTTTCCATCCCGAGAGTCACATCTCAAACTCAATGGCTACTGGTCATCATGTAATGAGCAGCGGGAACCGGTTTGACCTCTCTGTATTCAATATTTTTCTTGTTCGCTGTCTTTTGTCTTTAGCGTGATACCATTGTCTTTTTTTTTTTTCTCCTTCTCTTTTACTATCCTTAGATTTCCTCGATCATTCGGGCTCGGATCATCCTAGAATTGGCGAAAATAAACCCGTTAGAACATCCAGATCTACTGATCGGCTTGGATATGAATTCAATTTCAACAAATGTTATTCCCAAGAACAAAGCATACCAATATGCGTAAATACTCACGGTGAAGCTGAGGAATAATGAGATATTCACGACAGAATTGGTGTCCAGGTGGTGGCAGGCCCAAATGAATAACCTTGGAAGTGAATCAACCTTTGAAGTACTCTGTACTGTGATCAGAAATGAAGTTGGCACAAACGTGAAAGTCATTCTTAATGGCCCCGGTCTGACTGGATTCACAACTTCTAAAGTTGTTCTTTTCAAAAAAAAAAACTTAGAAATACATCCACAATGACCTCGGGAATAGAACCGAAAACATATACTGTTACTTCGGTTTGGGTAACCCTGCAAAGCCTTGTTATCAAGTCCTTTGAAAACAATGTCAGTCAATTGATCTGTTTCCCTCACACCTATCATGCTTGTCTTGACCTCGGGACTCATCAAACCCTCCAAAATACTTAGTATCCCATCACCTCTCGTCCAGTGAAGAAAACCCAGTATAATTCAGGTCACTGGTACCTGCCTGGTATATGCCTCACTCTGCGAAGCAAAAGAACATGGCTGATATTCACAAGCTCAGAACAATTTCACCGCCATTTTACCATCCTCCCTCGTTTAAATCTCCAGTCACAAGCCCCTGGCGCGACGACAGATTCGGTGGGTTATCCACTCCAAACGCGAAAGAGACGTCTTCTAATTGATAGAAACAGCCCGATAAGATATTTTGCCAGCTCACACCGCCTGTCCAACCCTCGCGATTGAAGTCCCGGACCTGCCAACCCGCCTGAAAGAGTTCCTCGCCAATATACGTCTCTCTGAGCTTGGACTCCAGCTTAGATCTGTGCTAGCAACGCTTCATCCCTCGACAATCTTAACTGGTGGTAAAGTTTCTCCACCTACCGACCACCTACCCGAAAGGGAATTTTCCTGTTTCGCGCGACGACAGCAGGTCTACTTGCTCAGAACCCGGCAGCATGCCTAAATATAAGTATTTCTGTTCCATGGATGCTGAGCTGAAAGCTAACCTGCTGTGCACTCTTCTGTAGGTTGCTCCATTGAACTGAGTCTCAACAGATCAAGCCGTGCCATGTCGGGCTCATTCCGGGCGCGGATGCGACGTGATATACGACCCTCAACCTGGAAACTAGCTTCTCGGCTCTGTACAGACTGGATTGCTGACTCGGATCTCAATTCACAGGCGACTACTGCGATGTCTACCTGACACACGACTCGATGAGTGTGCGCAAAGCGCATAACTCTGGCCGAAACCACTTGAGGAACGTGGTGGATTACTACCAACGTATGCACAACGAGGGCACAAAGCCGCGCCCCTCATTCCTGCTAGGCCGATACTAACTGCAACATTCAGAAATTGGACAAGAAAAGGCTCAATCCGTCATCGATTCAATCACCTCCTCCTACGCAGCAGAGGGCCAGCAGGTCCCCAACATGATGCCCCCAGGCGCATTCCCTCCTCCTTTCGGTGGCTTCCCTGGTATTACAGCCCCCCACGACACATTAAGCAGAATCCTAACAGCTCCAGGTCGCCCCGGCATGCCCCCTCCACCATTCGGCATCCCGCCACCCGGTGCCCCAGGCGCCCCAGCCATGATCCCTCGTATGTCTCTTCCCATCCCACCCCAGATCCCGGGCTCCCAATTTCTACCCTATGGACACCTCCCAGCTAACCATGCTTGGTTTCAAGCCCCCGGATCTCACGGTCTTCCATTCCCGCCACCTTTCAACGCCGGAACCCCACCAACAGGCGGCTTCCCCCCTCCCCTCCCTAACATGCCCCAGGGTGCTATCCCCCCTCCAGGCCCAGGCGGCTTCCCTAACCTTCCATTCCCCCCGCCTGGTGGATTCCCACCCATGCCCCAGGGTATGGCCCCTGGCCCGGGTGGTCCTATTCCCGGTGGCCCTTCGCCTATCCCTACTGGTCCCCGCGGCTTGGAGGCGTATCCTCCTCCCCCTGGGGGTGGACCTCCCCCCGGGATGGATCAACGGTGGTGAGCTCGTGCGTTACTGATACCTTTGACCGCGATGTGATGCACCAATGCACAAGGACATGGACAAGTACTCGTGGTTCTTTCTTTTATTTTTAATGTAAAATAGCGATCTCTTTTTGGTGCAATGCTTTTCCATGATATATATTCCGTATCAGATCTCCTGGCGTTCTTGTCTTGAACGACAAGTCAATAATCTGAGAATGGAACAGGTCTTCATCACGACATCTACTCCGTACCTAGGTATACTCCGGAGATACATGTTGATATACCTGTGCTGTTGCAGGAAAATGATTCTAAAGTTTGATTACATCTATAGATGGTCTCATCCCCCGCCGGAACTTAGAATACCTGCTACGTAGGAAGTATCCGAACTTTAGAATGTAATCGCCATCTCAAGGTTAGCACATTCATCCATGGACATGGTCCTGGAGGTTGGTCATTACTTAAGTAGACGTGACAGCTCCTTCTGCTGACATCGAGCTACTTAGCTCGCTAAGTCTTGTCATTGCTCCTGAAGTCTAGACAACTACGAATTACCATACTGACATTGAATCGGAGGATATGGAAGATGGAGGAGCTTGAAGGTTGAAGGGTAATATTCGACAGCAGACAGCTTGCAAAGCCCTCAAAATAAAAATTGAAACCCAAGGCCAATCACCAGATCCAAGATGCATCAATAACGCCGAGCGGAAGTAAAAACAAGGGAAATAGCCGATCGCGAAGTGATCTGGACCAGTGGGGAGAAGAATGGAACAGATCAAGGAGAAATAGATGAGAAGGAAAGGAAATACAGGCTCAAAGGGAGAAAAAAAAAAGTAAAAAAAAAAGAATCGCACCATTGAAAGGCCGGTGGATTAAGAAAATAATTGTATCTGATTAAGCCGGCGAGAGAGCAGCGCACTTAAGACAGAGGTAAATAAGAAAAAAGACCGAACCCAGAGGAATGGCGATTGGAAAAAGATCATAGACCATCGGTATCCCGCGCTAAAAAGAAATCACATATCTTCATCTCGGAAGCAAAACAATACGAGACCACTGGCCTCTTTTAGTGGTCATAGCCAGCGCCCCGCTGCCATGGACTGGCATTATTTTGAGCTCGGAAATTTGTCGACAAAGCAGATTGGCCAACCGGAGAGGTGTTATCAAAGCTCCGTGGCGCAGGTGAGGGTGCGCGACCGTATTGGTCATATCCTGGGGGAGCGTGGTGGCCCGAGACGTTGCTGGGAAACAGTGGCACTGATGGGTCAACGGGTGACCTGGGGGCCTGGGTGACGGAGTGCTGTTGGTGGGTAGTTTGCATTTGGTGGCCAACGGTGGCACCATTGCCGCTGGAGATGGAGGCGGTATCATCGTCGAATGGGTTGTTGTGATACTCCCCAGGCTTGGTGTCGCCACGCGCAGTAGCACCAAGGGCATCCAGCTCAGTGGTAAGCTGGGTCTGGGACTTGATGAAAGAGCCACGGTCGTCACGCATTGGCTGGTATCGTGTATCAGGGTCCTTTGATACAACGGCGTAGACCGAGGCGATCAGGACAAGTACCAAGAGAATCAAAGCGAAGACAGCGTTGTAAACGAAGAAAATCACACCCATCACACCAATCATCATTCCAGGGGGGTTGAACACATCGGAGAAAACCAAGAGGAAGATAGAGTTGAGAAAGTTAATCACCGCGATAGAAATATTGAAGACGTTGGTCTTCTTGTCCATCCATGGGCGAAGAACGCAGACTCCAACGAGCATAGCGAGCTCGAGAACCAAGAGGGCGACAGTCTGAACGACTGGCGCAGGTTGGCTCAGACCAATGAACATACCCTTTATCAGAGTGTAGATGAGGAATGGGACGACGAAGTAATAGGCTGTCGCACGGTACTGCACGTACAAGAAGCCCCACTTGTTGAGGCAAGATGGGTCGGAGTACAAAATGTATGCCGGGTTCTTGTGCATGGTGACAGAGCGCTTTGCGAGTCGGATTACCTTCTGAGAGGCCCATCCCAGGGAGACCAGCATAGAGAGAATCATGACCACTGCTAGGACGACCTCGGCCGCCGAATCACGCTGGGTAAACTCCCACAAGCAAAGTACCGTCATTTGAGGGAAACCAATCAGAGTCAGTCGGAAGAGAATACCACGAAGCACAACCCTCCATCCATTGCGGAAGTCCTGGAAGCGTTCCGGCTTCATTTTGCCGTGCTTGACGAGTAGCTCGGTAATTCCCTTGAATGCGGCGACAATAAGAACGACAATAATGACAAAGGCGGCAAAGAAGATCAGTCCAGTCATGAAAATGTTGGTTTCCTCGATGTTAGCGCGGAATCCAACACGCTCGATTCCTCGGATGACAAGAAGTTTCTGGCTTGAGTCGGCTCTCCTGGCCATCCCAGTCGCACGCTTTATCAGTGCACCGGCGGACCGCTTTACTATGCCCATTGCAGAATCATTCAGGTCACGCTTACGACGCTTGAGGACTTCCACGGAAGTATCTCCAAGCTGTGAGAAAACCGTCGAGGGAGTTCCACCGGTCGCCCGCTGATACCAGGTAGCGATAGTCTGAATGAATCCGATGTCGATGATACCCATACTCCATTGGAAGTTCTGGGTCCAAGACTGTACAATGGGGGGCATGTGCACGGAGGTCATGCCAATCATTGCTTGCGATTGCATGAAACCAAAGAGGGACAATGCGTTCGCTGCAACGTGCGCTGCAGTGTTGGAATGACCGAGCCCCGAAGTAATTGCGGATGCAGCTAGACCCAAGCCCGATATAATGGCAGTTGTCCACGCGACTCCGACTTGGTAGACAGTTTTACCATTGGAAAGCGAGGCCTCAACACAAGCGATCTTTTCTTTAGTGTCGGCCGTCTTGATCACGATTCGGACATTCGCATCAAGATCGGGGACGGTGTATGCAATGCCTGGGTTCTTTGGGTTAGTACACCTCCATGCGGATCCCCAACAGACGCGTGCTTCTCACTTACCTGGAATGCTGCTAGCTGTGTCACCTGGCAAGTCAAGCGAGAGAGGGCCCAAATCCATGGGACCAGCAGCCATGGGACACATTCCCATGCCTTCAATCTCACAGGGGTTCAGGGTTTTGGAATAAGCCTCGTAGCCATACGCGGTCAGGGTCATCTCCGCGACGACCTTACCCGTGATATATGAAACACCATCAAAGCCGATCACAAGGGAGTTGTTGCCTGGGTAGAAGACAACATTGAAATAGGTTGCCGTGAAGTTACTACTTTCCATGCACACGCTGAGCGCATTAGATTCGAGGAGCTTTAGAGCAGAGGCCATCGGCGCCAGGAAGGCGACGAAGCAGGTGAGAAGCGATATTAACCGCATTTTGGCGTATATCAAATGTGTAAAGTGTGCGAGACACTGAAGGAACTTCCACTGGTGAAAATGAGAGGGGGGGATCTGAGGGCAATTGTGTCAGCGGTACTCCCGAGTACCACGTTGCCAGTCGCCGGATGCGGAAGTTTCTGTCCAGCTGAATCTTCTTGGATGACCGTGGGGCTGGATTTTTCCCGATGTCTCCTGAGACTGTCACGGTGTTGTTTGTTTGTCGCAAGTTATGTCGTAGGGGGTCAAGTCGCGGTTCACGCCTTTCACTAGAGCATTGAACGTGAGGGGCGCGGGTGGAATGTCGCGAAAGTCTGTCTTTGGGTGTGATTTGAATTTGAAGGAGAGTCGATTTGAGATTTGAAAGACAGTCGAAGGGTATAGAAGAGGCCTAGGCCATCAAGATAGTGTTGAGAGAGCGAGTGAATAGGGCGATACGCAGTATTGCCCAGGAAAAAAAAAAATAGGGAAAAAAAAGGAGTTAAGGAGTCAAAGACATTCAAAAGGCGAAATGTGTTCAAGTCGATTCCCTATCGACAGCAGAAGAGAAAATAAGACAATGAGAGACTGAGGGTGAAAAGGGTGGATAGGGAGTCCAGGGACACAGAAGGGGGATATGCTGCAACGGCCGATTGGAATGGGTGCAAGTATGCGATTACCTACGTATTACCGTAATATGACACTGGCGGTTGGGGAGCCAATCAGAACATCCTATTCTCGTTTGAGTTTGTCTGGCCACCGTCAAGTACCAATATTGCCTTCTACTCCATACTCTATCCTCTCAATAGCCTCTTTATGGGGTACTTCTGCTCAATTGCTCCGTTCTGCTCCCTGCTTGCTGTGCTACCTATTCACTCCATCTCCCGAAATCTCTCTTTTCCCCCCCCCCTCTACGTGTCTCATGTCTGGCCCAGGCACCGGAAGCGGTCGTGGCGGAACGGGGCGGGTCCTTGGCTCCTAAGATTCGAGAAACTGTTGCCCCCGACTTTGGAGTGTGCCGCAGTGGAGCGTCACGACACAATTCGATCTACTCGTACATGGTGGTCCAGAATGGTGCGCCCGTGGTTGAATCTCGTCTGCCTGGTCCAATGGTCCGCAATGGAAATGAGTACTCGTCGTACTTAAATGAGGGAGGGTCTCATTACCACCCCCGTCAGGCATCTTCATTAGCCCTGAAGTACGGAGTACTCCTGAATCCCGAATCATGTAGTGCATAAACCGCCTATCAATATAGTCTTTAGCTTTGATATTGATGACCCAACTCTTTTCAAGGTTTCTACATATTATTCTCCACCATATCTCTAGATCCTGGAGGCAATGAGCCTCTGGTGCGCCAGAGGTACCAGGGCAATACAGAAAGAAATAACCTCAAAAGGCTGCATAATGTAATGATGATCAACGCCTATCAATTGACCTTGGCGTTCGCACACTTGCACAGCCTCCTTTGACAGGCCCAGCGGTGTTCTCTTGTTTCAGAAATAAAGAACCCATGGGCCACATAATTGAGCTTCGTCTACTCCGTATTCCAACTGATCTCTAGGGAAATTATCTCGTACTCGTGTTTTAGATAATTGACTGTCACGGCTATTTTTGGCCATTGGCCGCCCCTGCGAATGTTTCTTGAATGTAATTGGCTAGAAATCTCTGTCGGCAATGATCTTTGTCGCGATTGGATTGTTTGAAGTTTACCCCGTATGCATGCATCACTTGAGGTGCATGTTCATAGGCTAGTCGAAACCCATGCAGTCCGATCATTATTCAGACTTGTCAGACACTTCGTGCCTATCACGGGACCGTGCACTACCTCTACTCGTACATTAACTGCCAGCAGCCAGTCGGTATATAGTCAGGCAGCACAGAATACGCCGTACTCTTACTATACTCGGGATTCGCCCGTTAGGGTCAGTGCCTGGAGGGCCAACTCTCTTCATATGGGACACCGCTTCAACTCCGCAGAATAATGTATTGTCTGCTGTCCAGCAGCCCTTACCTAAAACTCTCCTCTATCTCCAGGCCTGGGCTGAGCTGGGCTCCCGAGTCCTTCATTCCTCTTTTGCTCCCGACAGCCTATCCCGCGGCCCTTCTAAACGTTGGGAGCCGTGTCATTTCGGTGAGCATGCTTGTAGGCGCGCGATTCTGGTGCACTCTTCATTGGTATATGCCTGGGCATGGTGCATCACGACCATCGCCATAAGCACGCCACCATTCCCTCGGCGCTACTACAGGCTTCTCACAGAAGCGCCCGGGCGACCGGTAGTTGCGAGACAAACTCTAGAACTTGATCTCAAAGCTCATGGACTTCTAAAGCCATCAGGCTTCCATCCTTAGTAGACACCTGGGCACCTGGGCATCTCTTGGCCCCTTTTCAACCCCTCGAACGATATTTGTAGTCCAGTGGATGTGCAATCTTGGTTTTCAATACAAGCCTCTCATATTTCAAGATATAGTTAGTCCAAGGTCTGAATCTATTCAGTCTCTACTTAAGTAAAAGGTACACGCATGGGTCCACGGGTAGGACCTTGGGTGGTGAGATACTGCGCAGAGAAGAGATCGCAGAAGCAGGTACTTTTTATATGGGACTCTCATATGAAAAATACATGGTGCCAAGAGTCCCTGGCCTGGATGGGGCGGTGAAGAGGAGGATGCGTGCAGTTCTGCCGTACCTCACCGATAAAAAAAAATTGCTTTCCGCCGGCAGAGATCACCCATATTCTGGACCTGCAAAACACAAGGTCGTGGTGAAACGATCTATCCTATTGTTGTTTCCTTGCTTTAGTGTCAATTTGTCACCGTCGCAAGACCAACGAACAAAATGCCTGGCCCAGTGGACACCGCAAAGTCCATCAACAAGCGGAAGAGAAAGCACGGCTCCAAGTCAGAGAGCGATGTCGCCAAGCCCGTTGAATCTAAGTCGAGCCCTGCTATGACACCGAAGAAGTCATCATCGACCCCCAAGCCTAAGGCTTCAGCCGAGAAGTCTACCAAGAAGCGCAAGGTCAGCCCTTCACCAAGCGCCGAGCAAGAGAGCGCCGAGGAGGCTGAGGATGTTGAGGAGGCCAACGCCGAAGAGGAAAGCGACGTCGAGGATATTGATGCCGCCAACGGTGCCGACCTTCCCACCATGGACGATGTTCGTCTCCCACAGACCGAGGGTGAGCTGCAGGAGTTCTCTGAGCTCAACCTCTCGGAAAACACAATGAAGGGTATTCGAGACATGGGCTTCACGAAGATGACCGAGATTCAACAGAGAACCATTCCCGCCCTGCTTGCGGGTAGGGATGTTCTTGGAGCGGCCAAGACTGGTTCTGGAAAGACTTTATCCTTCTTGATCCCCGCAATTGAGATGCTGCAGGCTCTGCGCTTCAAGCCCAGAAACGGTTAGTCTCCATTGCTCTCTTCTTTACCTTCCTACTACAGAGGCCTCTTATTAACATCGCATTACAGGTACTGGTGTTCTTGTTGTATCTCCTACCCGCGAATTGGCCCTCCAGATCTTTGGTGTTGCCCGTGAACTCATGACCCACCACTCGCAGACCTTCGGTATTGTCATTGGAGGCGCCAACCGTCGTGCCGAGGCCGAGAAGCTGATGAAGGGTGTCAACCTACTCATCGCAACTCCCGGTCGTCTGCTGGATCACTTGCAAAACACCCAAGGATTCATCTTCAAGAACCTGAAGACCCTGATCATCGACGAAGCCGATCGAATTCTCGAGGTCGGATTCGAAGATGAGATGCGCCAGATTGTCAAGATTCTGCCCACCGAAGAACGTCAAACCATGCTTTTCTCCGCCACACAGACTACCAAGGTCGAGGATTTGGCGCGCATATCCTTGCGCCCCGGTCCCCTTTACATCAATGTTGACCACCGAAAGGAACACAGCACAGTGGCCGGTCTGGAACAGGGCTACGTGCTTTGTGAGGCTGACAAGCGTTTCTTGCTTTTGTTCTCCTTCTTGAAGCGCAACCTAAAGAAGAAGATCATTGTTTTCTTCTCGAGTTGCAACTGCGTTAAATACCACGCTGAGCTTTTGAACTACATTGATCTCCCCGTCTTGGAGTTGCACGGCAAACAGAAGCAACAGAAACGCACCAACACGTTCTTCGAGTAAGTGAAAGTCCAACCCTCGCAGGTTCGAAATATCTAACTGAATCTAGGTTTTGCAACGCCAAGCAAGGTACCCTGATCTGTACCGATGTCGCCGCCCGTGGCTTGGATATCCCTGCTGTTGACTGGATTATCCAATTCGACCCCCCTGATGATCCTCGTGATTACATTCACCGTGTTGGACGTACCGCTCGTGGTGCCGAAGGCAAGGGTCGCAGTCTGATGTTCCTTCAGCCCTCCGAGGTCGGCTTCTTGAAGCACCTGAAGGAGGCCCGTGTGCCCGTAGTCGAGTTTGAGTTCCCAGCATCCAAGATTGTCAACGTGCAGTCTCAGCTGGAGAAACTCATTGGACAGAACTACTATCTTAACAAGGTACGCCCTTTCTCACCACCCTAGTCACTCATGCTCAATACTAACGAAACCAGTCTGCCAAGGATGGTTACCGATCCTACCTGCAGGCTTATGCCTCGCACTCTCTCCGTACTGTCTTTGATGTCAACAAGCTTGATCTCGTCAAGGTTGCGAAGGGCTTTGGTTTCAATGCCCCGCCTCGCATCGACATTCAACTAGGTGCCAGCTTGAGCCGTGACAAGAAGCAGGAGCAGCAAGGACGCCGCACATACGGCAGTCAGCCCAAGAACGGTGCTGGACTGAAATTCAAGCGCAAGCACGATGACTGAGGACAACCTGTATGAATATCAAAAGCGGTCATTTGTCTCTGCATATTATTTTAGGAACTTCGGAGTTCAGCAATGTGGATATATCTATTTGTGTTTCAAGTTTTGTCCCTTCACTTTGTAGTCTGAAGACATATGGTCCTCGAATTCTTGAAATGAATCTGATCTGAACTTGAGATGAGACGACAGATGTCACATACTTCCACACCTCAGGCACTCAGTCATAGTCATCTCGTGCAAGGTTGAACAGATGCACGGTCAATAGTCGAATGAAATTTGCTCTTCCATCATACCTGGCCCTGGTGCTACAGATCCCTAGGTCGCACTCGCCACTATCAGTGGATGTTATACTTAGGCATTGTTCAGAAGCGTTACTGTCCACTTTTCGAAATAGTTCCAGTTTCCTGATTGGGACGGATCATTTTTGATAGACTCTTCTTCAAGTTGCCATTTGTCTTTGAAAAGGCCGCTTAAGAATCCGGTAGCACCAAGGATCTTGCTCCTATCGCTCCAGTATTTCCTAGGAGCGCCATCGAATAGAGCGTGCAGGTTCCACAGCCAATGTTTCCGCTCCTGAATAGTGTAATCTTGCTTAAAGGTGGCGACTTTGTCTGCGCCTTAGGTGTCTGCGGGCTGGGAGGCTCTAAAGCGATTCGCTGGAGATTCTCTAGCGAATCGCTAACGTACCACGAGGGGTTCGTTTTGGCCTTGTATGAAGTCAGGACTTCTTACAATTAAGACCGCGGAGAATATCAACCCCACGGTGAAAGTCAATACAGCCAAGCCAATCGCGCATATGCCCGACGAGGTGGGGAATGGGGGTGGTAGGTTGGGCGTGATACCCTGGATGACAGCTGGCTCGCACTCAACAACCTGAGCTCCAGATCGAGTGTGTTCCGTCCATCTCTGCCGAGGTCCTATCTCTGTTCCTGCAACGTTGTCCATGGACCTCCGGCATGGGGGCTATCGAATGGTAATGATTAATCAAGCCACCCTCTTGACTTGAATATAGATAGAATGCTGGAAAATGCAATGTTGATAGGTGAAATGGTTCTGGCTTTGAAGTGCCAATATCGGCAACCTTGGAACGCCGTAGCCTTATCCAATGCCCGATGGACCTTGTATTACACGAATGATGTGGTTCTGGGCTGGCTGTGATAAATTCTAAAGTTGGGGCGAGCAATGCCGACAGACTGTTGCTTGAGCTGGTGATCATCTCATTAAATTTGAATTCTGATAATTCCATGCGATTTCTAGGATAGACATTATCAATTGATTTCCAGAAATTGTTGCCATGGGTATAAAGTAAGGGAAACCGACAGATGCCATTGAAATTGGCGGTCTGAAAAGGATTGTAGAAGTGGAGCATTTGAATTGTACACCGTGTGGCAAGGCACATCTGATAGTTATACTGTACGGAGTACAATGTAAAAGAATACTCTCAACCAAAGTTCTATCTAGGATACAAACCGATAGGCCAAACGCATATATAAACATTGTCGCAAGAAGAGCGTTTGGCAATCTAAAGCAACGCCGTCTGCCACTAATCATGTAGGAAATGCAGCGATTCCTTCGTGCAAGTACAAGTAGCCCCGATGGGAATGGCCTGCAGCCCCCTTGCAAGCGCTGGCGTGTAATTATTGCTTCTATCCAGTGATAGCCAGCGCTGTCTGATCTCAGTGTTGAGGTTGCAAAGGAAATACAGATTAGTTCCCGGTGCAAGGAAGATCTGACCCGGTGATACACCAACAACCAACGATTCCTGGCAAAGTCCGAGCACTGGGCACACGAGTGTGATGAGTTGGCAGGCGCCCGCTCCACGCTGGGGCCAATCAATCGAACTCCCAATAGTGTTCTTCTGTCGTCTGGGCGACGGAAAAGTGCGGTGGTGGACCGTGTGTGACGGGAGATGCGTGTTTGGGTGGTCTCTTAGAAATAGTTGTGTGCCCATAAGGGAAAAATATCATCGGATGGAATGATGTACCTTAAATGAGGTGGGATCCACGGATAGGGTCCCTAGGAACCATGGAACCACAGTATGAAGCCGATCCCGTTTGTTTTGGTGTATTTTTTTCGGGGAAAACAAAAAATACCAAAAAGTGGGAGGCTGGAAGTGTTTGACCAGATGGGATGCAGGTCAAGCCTTAGCGTGGTGTACAGAAAGGTACTGGGGCTAGTTAAAATATATTACCCGCATAATAAAGAGAGGTATGGAGGTGGTCACCGACAGTACCCAATACTAGTGGTCACCAATTAAGGTAAAAAAGGTTCACTGAAGGGTGGCTTGAACAAAACGGAGGCTGGGGCCAGTTCGGATCAGTATTACTATTATATCTGGGTACTTGCGTTGCCATCTTTTTCATCTCTCATCCCTCGTTGTGAAGTTGCATTCTTCCTGTCCGCTTGAATCCAATCACATCTCCTAAACCGCTCCCTTTTTCATATTTCTCCCCACCTTTCTCAGGTGGTCTGCGCTGGTACGCTTTACACTCCTAACTATCCTGACCTCTCTTCTGGATTTCATCTTTCCCCACGCCAAGCACCAAGTGACCCAAAACAAAAGCCCCCTTCTGATCCCATCTCGGTCGAGACAGAGCATGCCATTTGGACTGAAGGACGCCTCTCCATAATGGGGGTCGACACCCGCAGACCGATTCTTCCCGCCCCCACAGAATCTATCATCGATACGGGGGAAAGTACAACGGGCACTGATCTGGCAACTGACATTTCTCGTCGCACAGACAAAACGTCGTACTCTATCCCAGACGACGGAAGCCCCATAACTGTCTCCACCCGGCGACAGCGGGACCGCGAAGAAAGGGTGCCTCGCTCACACCGCGACTCCCGCGACTCTCACACCTCGCTATTGATCGAGTACTTCGAGGGGGGTAAAGGATCAGGCGGCATTGTATCTCGCCCCAGTGTTCGAGTGCGCGTCACACCATCTTCGTCAAGAAAATCGAAAGAAAAGAGGGATCATTTCCAAGTTACGGAGACCAGCGGAAGCGGCAGCCGCAAGCCTTCATATACCCATCGAATTTCCCTGCCATCGCCATCATCAAAACAAAGACAATTGGAGCCAGGGACAGCGGATGATCAGAGCGTCAGTTCCCTTTCAGCTGAGGAGGAGGGTCATCAACCATCACGTCAGCCGGTAGATATCGAATTCGTGAACCGCGGACTCGACAGCGAAATGTCTACCCTTTCGCACGATACTCGATATATGCCCGTTTCATCAGACGTCTCCTCTATGCCACCGGACAGCATGATCAACGCGTCGTCAGCAGGCCCTCGGCGCAAACGCAGCCAGAGTCTTGAGCGCGGCTCACCTCGCGAAGAAAAGGAAAAGGGCTTGCTGAAAACCCCACAGCGCAAACGAAGTCGCAGCCTCAGCACTGAGCGTATAGCGCATCGTGTCGCAGAGAAACTCGCCGAACCACAAGAATCATCCCACGGCAAGCGCAGGAGCAAAAGTAAAAGTGGCAAGGATTACCTTGAAGCTGAGCCGAAATCAACTTCCCGTCGCCGCAGACACAAGTACGCGGAGGAAGACATGGCCAGCCCCGAATCCAGTCTTCTCAGCACATCCGCGGTCTCTAAGTCTGATCAGTACTCGGTTCGTTCCGGAGCATCCAAGTCCTCCCTCAACAACCCAAAACTCCTTGAGACAGTGGAAGATGCCATCCGAAGATTGATTCTGCCAGAGCTCAAGGAACTCAAAAAAGACCAGAAGGTCATGACCAACAAGAGCAAGTTCGACCGGGATATGGCTACAACGCAGTCGTCGGGCACCAGCTCCAGGGATGGGTTGGGCCGAAGTCTGTCCAAGCATGCCAGTGCTCCTGATGTCATGAAGCCCAAGGTAGTCCTGAACAAGGACAGCAAAGACGAAGGCATTGTCCTCTCCGGATCTGGTTCGGGCGAGCCAGCTCCACAAAGCAAGGAACGCAAGTCAAGCAAAAGCAGCGAGACTTCTGATATGGCTATGCGATGGGCCAATCGACCCGATTTCACCGAGCAGGACAAGATCCGAAGACAAAAAAGCAAGGGGTTGCGTGATGCGCATGCCGCTGCTCGGGTCGGATCGGCTCTCACCGCGGCTTCACTGAAGCACCATGACTCCAACTCCAGTCTCGATAAGCAGGAGACTCGCAGCCGTAAGGGTGGCTCTCGAAAGAGCACCGAGAGTATGAAATACAACGAAACCGAACTCGTCTTCCAAAAGCACAATGTTGCCCCAATGCCCATGCGCAGCGAGATGGAATCTCAGCTGACCAGAACATCCTTGCTTTCTGAGCGCACTGAGAGCCCAGCTCCGCAAAAGCGAACCTCTCAACTGGATTTGGCTCGCGGGCCATCAAGGCAGACTGCATCGCCTGCCTCTCGTGCCCCTACCCGAAACTCTGTCGACTCTCGTCGCGGTCTCGGAATGCGTCACGACAACCAGTCGCATAATAATATCTCACTTCACAGTGCCTCGGATCGCGACTTGCACCGCAAGAGTCAATCCCCCGGGACTGATGGCGGTGACTGGGCCATCGCAGCAGCAGCCGCAGCTAATCTCCTTGATGCCGCTCATCCAGGACAACACGAAACGGAAGATGAATACCACCACCATGACATTGACCGTGAATTGAGTCCCATTCAAAGCATTGCAAGCGGACACACTGAAACCTACCACGACCAATACCCAGCTCATGGTGACACCCAGTGGGAAGGAAAGCGTGAGATGGAGCCTCGGCTTTCCATTGACACACTCTCCTCTGCACCTAGCACAAATCTTGCACGATCTACCCGACTAGGAACCAGTCTGCAGAGCCAAAGTGGCGTTTCCAAGCAAGCCAGCCAAGAATCGCCTGGACTTGGATACGAGCATTCGCGCCAGGGCTCTCGGGATGACGGATTCTTCGGTTACGCCGAGGAGAGCCGACTGACTGCCGATAACGACGATAGCGAGGTTGACTTCATGGACAAGCTCAAAGAGGGTCAAGAAGTGACTACCGGTGCCGCTGCCAACCCCAAGTTCATCCACCCGATGGCCGTTGAATCTGCGGTTGCCTCTTTAATGGATCCATCTGTTCTTGAATCTCAGATCGAATCCCAGCTTTCTTCTAGCACTCGCTCACAGACTGAGCTTAGCCAACGACCAGGCAGCCGGAGCCCCGAAAAGCCACTCAGCGAGTACCGTGGAAGCCCCTTGAAGCAGCGACAAGATGCCGATGAGACCTCGTTCCCTCGACGCATGGGCGCCTCGTCGCCCCCTCAGAGTGTTACCCAGTCCTACGAGGATCTGGATGATGCAACCCCGTTGGGCGCTAGTGTCCCTAGAGGCATGGGTAGTCCTCTTCATGACGAAGAGAGCCAGCTCTCGGAATCCGAAATCAACACCAACCCCTCGATCATTCAGGGGCCCGGAGGCGTTGCCCAAGGTGACCACTGGGCATACGATTCAAGCCCTGCCCAGGCGGATCACTACTATGGCAACACCTCTGGTGGTCCGAAGAGTATTGATGCTGAGTACTATCAGACTGCCAATGATATCTTCGGTGGTGACGACTATTCCATTCAGTCCCACGAGGCTGCTCAACCACGGCCATTGTTTGGCACTCCTCCGGGAGCTAAGGACGAGGGCTACGTTTCGGCTGCCAATCCCATGTCGCCCAGCATTGGAACCCCAAAGCAAGGCAGCCGTGGCATGGCTGGTCCAGATGTCGCTGGCATGGGCGGTCTAGACAGCCCCGCTAGTCCAGATGATCCTTTCACCGCTGGCCACGAACGCCATTTCAGCGGCTACTCACACGGTGTCAGCTCGCCGCTCTATGACAGTGCGACAGGTCGTGGTATCGAGAGAATCCAATCTCAGGACATTGTGGCTCTTATGGATCATCTCACTGTTCGTGATGCCCAGCGAAATGCTAGAGATACCGAGATTCTTGTGACCCTCGTTCGCAGTGCTGCTGAGATGCGCACTTCTTTCGAGCAGATGAAGCGATTCATTGCTGAACAGGATGACCTTATCATGGACACCAGCGACAGAGGGCATGAGCGCACCCACAAGGCCCTCGGTGGTCCTCGCCCATTGCCTCCCAGTACTTCCCGCAATCGCCAGCTGAACACGGCCGATGAAGAAGATAAGCGCAAGAACATCTTCAAGCGTGCGCTTAAGGGGCTAAGTCTCAAGTCGGGTGGTGATTTGTCCAAGATTGAAGGAATGCTTGAGCAGCTGCTTGATGAGGTTGAGGCTCTCCGAGAAGGCCAAGATGGCTCTGGTCCCCGCCCCACCGCCATGAGAATGGGAAGCATTGATGGCGGCGGTTACGAAACCCCCGGTCCAAACGGTGCTCCGGTTGAGACTAGCCGATCTCCCTACGGAGCCAGCCCCTCTCGTCCGGTGAATGGACATCAGCGTAGAGATTCGGATCAGCGAGTCAGCACTGTCCATGAAGTCGATGAAGAAGACCTTGAGCTTGACGAGGGTGATGACTTCCTGACATCCCACCTTCCTATCCGTGATCAGCCTCGCCACGAGCGCTCCGGCTCACTGCCCCTGAACACGCCGCCTCGCAAGCCGGTAGCCTCTGGAGCTCGAAGCACCGAGACTACTCCCAAGACCGAGAAGGCTCGCAAGCACAAGTCGAGCAGCTCCTCTATTTTCCCTAAGATCTCTCGCTGGTCTAAATCCACCGCCACCTCCATGGGCGATGGTATCCGCAACAGCATCCAACCCTCTCGCAAGGAGCGTCCATCCTACGACCAGTCTCGATCCGGGTCTGATCTTGCCAATGACCCCTATAAAGGCGACTACTATGATCCTCAAGGCGACGACAGAATCCGATCCACATACACCCTGAACGAGGGACAGGAGAACCGACCTCCCTCCCCACTGGTGCCCTCCCAGGTCTCCGAGGTACCCAAGTATCGTGGTAACCGCGGGAGCCTCGAGCTCCAGCACCCCCAGCCTCGCCAGGGCCCTACCGGCCGCTACCAATCCCGTCTGGAAAGCGAAGCCCAAACCTATGGAGGTCCTATCTCCCCAGCCGGCTCGGAACAGTGGGAATCAAACCCCAGTCTGCCCGCCGTCAACCCCAACCCCAACCGCCACAGCGGTGTCAGCGGCGCCACCCGTCTCTCCCCCATCTCCGATGCAGGCTACTCGGAGAGCAGCTCCCGCGCTGACCGAACCCCCGGTCCTCCCCGTCCTCCCAAAGTTAAGGACGATGGCCCTCTAATTCCTGAACGTCCCGCCAAGCTAGCAGAGGATGACGACACTTATGGCGGCGACCGTGTAGTTTCAAGAGTATGTGCAATCTCCAATCCAATTTTGAACCCCTTACTAACCACTCCATCAGAGCTCTGCTATCCGTTCCCCTCCTGGACGCAAGCCAACTGGCCCGCGCCCTCTCACATCCGGCGGCGGCGGCTCCTACAGCCCAGGAAACATCAAGCGAAGCCGTTACCGAGGCAGTCCCATGCAAGACTATGATGAAGATTATTGAGCTTCTGTGATACCCCCGGAATGATTTCCTTCATTGTTTATTCTAGCGTTTTTCCTGCCAATTACGACTTTCATGACTTGGATCTGACTCATCGGTTCCTATCTCTTCTACCCTACGAGAAATGTCTGTGTTTTCAATATCTACAATACCTCATGTTCTATGTTAGCAAGCGAAGTTATGTCTTCTGCCAGCTGAGCCTTTTTACCTCATACTTTTTTTACCCACATTTGTTTTTCCTGGTGTTGCCTTCACTGAGCAAATACTTTTGCATTGTGAGCGTTTGGCTTCAAGCGCCAATTTCTGTAGTTTCGTTGTAGATAGTGTGCTGGAATCCACAACCCGTTTTAAGCTGTGAGACGTAATCAGATTCTTTTTCTTCCAATGTTCAATGTTCAATGTGTTCATTCCTATCATTTGTGAACCTTGGAAATAAGCTCGTGTTCAGAGGATTGATACAGTGGTTTAATTGAAGTACTCGATTGAATATGTTCAGTTCTCATGAAGTTTGCTGCTACCTACCTCGAACTGCCTTTCAGACAGCCAATTCGATGACAAGTACTCCATGGAATGACAGGTTTGACTTTTTGGATATAGATACTGTAGCCACGAGACAAGTAATAGTTTCCGATGTATGTCCAAAGAGGCGGACACGACGCAAGTAAGGTACAAAGCCCAAGACCGAAAGAAAGAAAGTGCTCACAGCAGTTTCCAACAACACCAACAACACCAACAATAAGCACGAGTATACCGATCCGAAAACCAGAATATGGAAAGGTGAAAGGATTTCATATCCTCAACCCACCGCTTCAAATGACCAAGCCTCTAGTAATCCGAGAATGGACGCACAGAGGTGGTTCCCCTTCCTCGCACGGCAAAGGCACTGGCAAGGGAGCTGTACTCCAAGGAATCGCTAACAGGAAATTTCCCGGGGTAGCTTTCGATGGAATGATATTTCCGGCTCCGGTTCATCTGTACCGTCCCAGTATAGTCATCCACATCATCCATCACACCCTTCGACACTGCCTCTGGCATTTTCTCCACCTTCAGCCCGGAAGATGGACCGGGATCACTGAAGTGTTCGGCCAGACGTGCAGCAGCAGAGATTTGAACTGGTTTATCAAACACCGATTTCCTGGGAAATCGTTTCTGGATTGGCATAGGCCTCGCCGGTTCGTCGGGGAGCGTTGGCTGGAGCTTTTCACGAGGCTCATCGGAGGCTGCCCCGTCAAGGTTTCGTGGCAGAAGCGAAAGAGGCTTAGAAGTGCCGGGTTGGTGGAAGATGGCTTTTGCTGAGCTGGTCATTGAAGATAGGCTCTCGCGGGTGTTTGACTTGATGTTCTGGACAGCATCGTAGATGGAAGAGCCGGTTCGGCGTATAGCGCCAGAACGAGCTAGAGAGGTCTCGTTCTCAGTTTGGATGTTGCCATGGTATCGCTGAGGCTTTAATGACCAGTCTCTAGCATAGACAGGCTCGGGGCATGGGGGAACCACGAGTGCCGGTCCTCCATAGTTTAAAGCCCCGTTTCCTGATGATAAACGCCACTCGCGCTCTGTCGCTGTTGCAGAGCTGTAGGCTGTCAGTGGAACCACACCCAGGATGACGTTGCTGATATTCACTTCTATCTTATTGATGGCCCTATTCAACGGTGGAAACTCGCGATGGGCGCTGCCTGCGAATGGCTGTGCTAGGTAGGAGACCGCATAGAGAAGCTGAAGCTGGAGAAGATCTCCGATGAGATGAAACGTTGTCCGGAAACTTAAGGGGAAGGCCCCTTGAGCGAAAGGTCTTTGATCCATTGGAGAGCACAGAAGAACAGAGGAAATGGAATTGGCCAAGTGCAAAATCCCAAAGTTGTTAGGGCAAGAGGCCCGCTCCTTCCGTATAGATCTCCCCGCGCTTGGCAACTCCACTTCTCGACTTCCTTCCTTTCCACTCCATGTCTTTTTTGCACGTACGCGCAATGGCCGCCTGTAAGCAGCTTCGTCCTCGCAAGTTTGCACCGCTTGATCCCGCACGAGCATCAAATGCACCTCCTTTGAAGGGCATAGTGTTCGACGTGGATGGCACACTCTGGTGAGTCATGAACCTCGGATATCCATTCATTGGAGAATGCGAAAGTCAGGTTTCCAATGAAGCCCAGCGGTAGCATGAACCCAGTCTCTATGCAGTTGGATGCATAATGTTCGACATAATGCCTTGCCTGCATTGATGGGCCAAATCTCGAAATATCTTGCATATACCCGCAATTACCCGCATATCATATGTAGTTGGCATCATTTGCGGGCTCAGTTCAGATCTTTATAGTAAATCGCTAACATTAACAGTTTACCACAACACCATATGTTCTCTGAGATGAGGTAAATATGAGCCGCCGTTAAAAAAATCCAAGATCATGAAAGTAACATGCCCCACAGAGAAGCACTGGGAATCGACCGCTCGATCGACATCCTCCAACATATCCGGGACCTACCAGCTGCCGATCAGCCCACAGCAGTATCTAAGATCCAAGCTGTGGAGCGCCGAGCAATGGCAGACCAGCAACCACAGCCTGGCCTGGTCCGACTAATGGATTATCTCGAGTCACGCGGACTCCGCCGGGCCCTTTGCACGCGCAACTTCGAGTACGTACAGGCACGGCTAGGTCGTAAATACCTAGGTATGCAGTCATGCTAATGGATTGCAGGACACCTGTCAAGAATCTCCTTGACAATCATCTCCCTGCTCATGTATTCTTGCCGATCATCACGCGGGATACACCGAATCTTCTCCCTAAGCCTGACCCTGCAGGTATCTTGCATATTGCAAGTGAGTGGGGACTGGGCAATGGTGAGAATATGATCATGGTTGGTGATAGTATCGATGATATGACATCTGGTCATATGGCTGGTGCTGCGACAGTGTTGCTTGTGAATGAGCGGAACGGGCATTTGGAGGAACATCCGCATACGGATCTTTGCATTTCGCAGCTAGATGATCTGGTGGATATTCTTGAAGAAGGGTTCCTTGGAACAAGAGAGAATGATGACGTTGAGTGAGGATATTGGTTGTTACTTGATGATTCACCTTGACTCCGGATGTGTTTTGAAATTATCTTGATAAGCTGCTTGTTACGTACAGTAAAGTCGCTTCCCCCCTGAGGACCAAAGGCTCAAAAGCCTGCTTCATATCTTATTCAATCATACATAAGTCCTTAGGTAATTGAGGTCAAATCAGAACATTTGCTCTCTTTGCACATGTCCGCCGGAACAAGTAGGGTTTTACAATTCATCATACATCAAAGGGGAGACTCGTTTAGTGAGCCCGACCACGACCGCCACCCCGCGGCCCGCGCGAGGGACCTCCTCGAGAGGGTCCACGACCACGACCACGTCCGCCACCACGAAGAGGAGGAGGACCCCGCGGGAGTGGTGGGTCAGAGCGATGGCCTCCATTTCCAGGGAATGGGGGCCGGCCACGAGAAGGGCCAGAAGGGCCACGAGAAGGGCCAGAAGGGCCCCGATATCGACTACCTCCAGGGCCGTTTGCGAACTGGATGTTTCCACGATTGTTGCCACGAGGAGCGGGTACGGGGCGGCCTCGGCCACGGGAGACACGGGAAATCATATCACCATCGTCGGAGGAGGGTGGGGACCAATCACGTCGTGCACGAGCTCCGGGTCGACCTGGTGGTGCATTTCGACGAGCGCCGACGGAGTTGGTGTTCGTGATCGTTTCAGGGTCGATGCCTGTCAGGCTAAATGAAGATGATGTGAATTTTGTACGTGAACTTCTGGTTTCGCAATCCCCAATCAGATGCTTCATGCTGCAACAATTGGCACAACAGATGGACACAGTGGTTTGTTGGGAATGGGTTTCTCGGGATGGGAATTTCCATAGGTGATCACACTGGGACTCCAAGTGATCCTGGCCACAATAATCACAAGGGGCTTCAGATGCGGAGCTGCGTAATTTTGACTCGCATTGGGGCTCATCATGGCCTCGCTCGCGACATCTTTGGCATCGCCGCCAGCCGGGACAGGTGCTACTTTGGTGTTGGTCCCATGAGCCGCAATGTATGCACTGCGAATCAAGGTTAGTATGATAGAGACGGATTGGTGTGAAGTCAAGGACCATACCTCTTTGGAGGGACAGACGTCGGCCAAATGACCCTCCCGTTGGCATTCGATGCAGGATACAGGTAGCCTGAGGTCCAGATCGTGAATGTCTGTGCTGAAATGGATGATCTTGGCCTGAATTTCGAGATCTTGCTGGCTTAGATCTATCAAGGAAGTAGGCGCAGTTGGGTATTTGCGAGCGAATTGTCGGAAGGCTTCCTCCTTCCCATGCGAAGATCCACCGCTCATTGTGGTTGTCGTGTTAGACCCATGCTGGTGAGCCAAAGTAGCGGGGTCATAATCATGGGGGCCTCCCACTCCATTCGCCTTTTCGCCAATATTCAGTAAGATGGAATCATCGGCCTCCGAGTCGAGAGAAGTGTCATCCGATTCACTCTTTGAATCAACTTCGCCCTCCTCAAGCCCATCTTCCTCTGCAGATTCAGTACTTCCCCTGGCCTTCTTTGTCTCCGGTCCTTCTGCGCCATCACTGGCCGATGAGACTGAATCACTGCGACTGCGCCAGTATTTGTCATTCACAGCTGTGAATTGGATAGACTTCTCGTTTGGCGCTGATCGCTTTCCTAGCGAGGTCCGCACAGCCGCCTTCTGGCCCTGGTTCCAGCTAATTGCAGGCGTGGTGTTGCCTTCGTGTGGGTTTGCGCTAGGGTTGCGTGCATCGGTATCGCGCTCAGACTCGGAATCGGAATCAGAGGTGGAATCGGCGTCACTTGAGTCTGAACTGCCCGAACTCGATGTACTATCGGGATCAACTGCCAATGTGTTCTCGCTGAAGGAGCCTCCCCGGGGAACTATGTCGCCAAGGCCCGAATCCTTTCTGGTCTTGTTCTTCCGTTGTCTCTTAGCCGGGCGGGAAGTGCTATCGTGCGATGCGGAGCGCGTGGACCGTGGGTTTGCTTTGGTACGCGACGACGCGCCCACCAAAGCTGTCCGCGAGTCTTTATCTTCATCGGATGAGTCAGCCATCTTTGAATATGGTATCCAGGGGGTCTCAGGACACCAAGGCCGAGGTTGTCTAAAAGTACAGGTCCCGGAAGATCGTGCTGGGTTCCAATAAAATTTCACGGTAGACGATATGGACCGGTCGCGCAGTTCTAGGAACCACAGCCGAAGCCCTATGTTGATGTCATATCTACCCCAGAACATTCCATCATTCAGCTGTATGTATTTTCATAGCCGTCAGACTGCAGCATATTCTACGAAGGACGGATAAATGGGATATTCGTGAGGAACAGTTAGCTGCTGGTGGGAATAGAGCGATTACAAGATTGCGGGGGCCCAATTCACTGGCGCGTTCTCTAGTTCGTACAGAATCCAGACATAGTTCACTAAATATTTAATAAAGGACCAGGATGCAATATAACATGTGTTATAATGTATTCATAGAATAAAGAACAGACTTTTATATAGTAAATCTTGTTACATTAATGTATTTGCATGCATCTGGGGGCAACATTGTGTTGGTGGGACCTCGGAATTATAGATTATACAACCCAACTTGGGCGTCGTCAACGGGATTGCCTGATCTCAAGCCAGCAAGAACAAGGGCTATCTTGCCACTTCGGCCGGCAATTGTGGTCTGATTGTGGTTATATAGTCCAACAAGCTCATTTAATCCACCTGTAGACGTCTGGTGATTAAGCCAACGATACAATGTGATCATTCTGAAGTCCTTGAGACTAACTCGGTGCGTGATTCGACTTTACCTGGAAAGGCAACCTAGGCTAACTACTATGGCCAAAAACCTGCTTGATATTATTCCGATGGCCGTCTCACTGCAGCCCTAGAGAACCACAAAGCTGCATGAAGGCCAAATGCTGTCCCCGCGAGTTTGGAATTCTAGCCTGCTCTTTATCACCTCCTTCTAGACAACATAGTGTAAGCGTGGGTTGGGCTTCACTGGTAATGACTCGCTACAAATGAGGTTGGAGTGGTATCCTTGGCCAATTCCAGTGCTCGTTTGATCCTTTTGATCCCGCCACTTTGCTTGAGATCCGATCTCTAAGGACTAGAATCCGCTTGGCACCACGTAAACTGTTATGGATGTTGCCAAGAGTAATTTGAAAGTGAATATTGGCATATGACTTCCCTTGGCACAGGAGAAGCTATCAGTCACTCTGCTTAAGCAGCTGGTCGACAGTTGTTTGCCTGGCAGAGTCTGCGAGATCTCGCCATCATATCCAGGCTACTTACTCCCCTCCATCGCGAGTGCATGGAAAGTGATATGCATCATCCAGCTGTCGACAGGCTGAACAAGCGTTTCCAGGCGCCTGATGACCCTCGTGGCCATATCAGTTCCCCCAACCTGCATAGTCCAATCGGGGCTTTGAGAGCATTGGCCAATGAGGCTTTTGATGAATGTGATCGGGGAATTCTATAGAGTATTGCCCAGAGATAGGTGAATACACCATCACATTGAATGCATTTGCATGAGAGAGTCCGTTCCTTGCGTCTTCCGGTTCATGCAGGGTCTGGACTATTTTCGGAAGAAACCCCAAGTATAGAGCCCCCTTTGTGGTAGTGTCGGGGCTAGACTCCGCACATGCAGGACAAATAGGGATTTGCCTCAAATAAAGTAGGCTAACAAGCCGAGAGAAACGGAATAGAACTAGTCCAAGAATAAATATAGGGCCAACGCCATGCAAGACGCGGACTAAAAAAAAAGGAAAAGGAAGAGTTTGTCCGGTCGGCGGTCACGGGGTGTGCGCAAAAGAGCTCTCTCTCTCTAACCAGTCCGGGCCGTGCCACCTCTTCATCCCCACGCTCCTTTTCCCTGATCTTCCTTCTCCTCCATCTTAGTCTATCTACTTCAACCGTCAAGCTGGCGTCCAGCAATTCCCAAGGGTCCTCCCTGTTGGCCCCTCGTGGCATCTCCTTCCCTCCAGATGTTGACACAGGGCCGCAGCGGTTATCTCCCGGCATGAGCCAAAAACAAGGCCGACGGAGGCGATCCAGCAGTTTGATCTACCAAGAGCCCGCCGAGTCGATCGAGCGGACCAGTGACCAGGCTGCATTGCCAAATCTCAATGCAAACTGGGTGAATGCCAAAGGTGAGTGGTTCATTATCCATCGTCGAAAGAGTTGAGAGAATCCAAATCCTGACACCTCCCCCCGTTCGACTAGGCGCCTGGACAATTCACTTCGTGTGCATCGCCGCCCTCAAGATTTTCTACGATATTATCCCCGGTGTCTCGCAAGAAACCTCATGGACTCTCACCAACATCAGTTACATGTTTGGATCCTTCCTCATGTTTCACTGGGTGCGGGGCATCCCCTTCGAATTCAACGCCGGTGCTTACGATAATCTCAATATGTGGGAGCAAATCGACAATGGCGACCAATACACCCCCGCCAAGAAGTTCTTGCTCTGCGTGCCTATCTTGCTCTTCCTCATCAGCACCCATTACACCCATTTCGACCTGACCCACTTCACTATCAACTTTCTGGCCACATTGGCGGTGGTCATTCCTAAGTTGCCTTTTGTACGTCTTCTGTCGTCCTCTTGGTCGATTTTTCTCCCTTCTTTCTCTCTCTCTCTTTTCTTCTCTTACTCTGTCTCCTTTTATTTCTCTCCCCGTTGCTAACTTGTTTGCAGTCGCATCGCTTGCGAATAGGTCTCTTTTCCGATATACCCGAGGAATCATAAATTCCGCTTAATTTTTTCCCTTTTTTTTCCCTTATTACATCTGATTGCTGTTCACTTCGGTGTCGACTTGACCTTGATTTCTTCAGCTTCGCCTTTGTCTACACACAGAGCCTTTGCATTGCGAAATTGATCGGCGGGTTTGGCCCGTTGTTGGCTGTTGCGCATTCTGACTCTATCTCTTTTCTCTGGCAAATATGAAGACGCGGAGGTCCTTGACCAAGTCCAAATTTACACCCTTTACACCCTTTACACCCTTTACACCCTTTACACCCTTCCTGTTCCCCGGCCCGCTTGTTTAAAGTTCCAATCACTAAATCTTGACATCTGTTCTCGTATATCTGACTCGAGACGGTTGGGCCTTGTAATCTCCCCGGCATTGCATGTGCGACGTAAACAGTATGTGGGATTTGAGTACTTATATGATCGCAATGCAAGCTGATCTCTTGGCCGGGGGCCCATGCGGGGGAATCGCATGCGGCTCAAGAGCCTCCAGGGCCCCCAGGGCATCCTGTTCTCGAAGTGGGTTCTTTTCCACCAGGTTGTCTCAAATTCAAGCACCTGCAGTGACTATTAAATCAAGGGAATTATGGTACTACAGTATGCGCCTTTCAGGGGTTTCCCATTCTGGCTAGTATGCTACAGTTCATTGTGCATTCACATACGCCTTTGTCATCCCAACAAAGAATTGAACCTGTTTTAGATGAATGTTTTGACCGATAGAAAACCCTAGAATATGAATATGCTACTCTGTCAAATTCATCTATTCGAGTTGGACAGAGTACCTCGTCGGGATTTTTAGCTATACTTTCTTATCGATAAGCGCGTACCATAGCCACCTGGGCAAGATGTTCCTCTACAGACTCTTGTACCCCGAACCACCCCCCGTGGAGATCGTGGAGACCATGGATGAGGTGCGCAAACGGGCCCCAGTGCCGTTGGCTTTTGAGCTTGTTCGACAGTCTGAAATCTTCCTCGAAGAGTCTCTCTGTATGTTTTCCCCCGCGACGCGTCGAGTCTACGCTAATTCCCCATGCACAAATAGATCCACAGGCCTTCAGTCTTTTGCTCGATGTTCTCGCGTCAGGCAACATAACCTCCGAAACAGGGACTGTCGCCTCGACCCCGGTAGTGATCCCACAGCCGCAGCACCTCGCTATCGCCGCGACGATGCTTGTCCATCCGCACACCACAACACGTGCCAAACTGGATGCTGAGAAAGAGGCTCCTAATATCGCATTACGTCTGCTTCGATTAACGAATGCTCTCGTTGGGCCTACAGCTGCGCAGTTTCATACGGCTTTCGCTTTCACTCATTTCGAGACCACCCGTCACGGTACACGACGTGGGGGCAGCCCGGCGCTTAAGGAGGCCATGTCCGATGATAGGAAGACGAGCTTCGGTGGAGGCCGCTTAGTCTGGAATGAAGCAGAAGACTTCTGGCATGCCGTCGGCTGGGCATTCAACTGCTCAGTGTTACACCCGGCCCTATGGAAGCATTGGCATTTATGGCTTCAGTTCATGTGCCAAGTGCTTGAAGATGACTGGACCGAACGAGAGCAGCAGTACGCAGAGGCCCAAGAAAAAGAGACTTTGCAGAATTCGGACGGAGAAGCTTTGAATGTCGAACCTCCAGAGCAGGAAACCCACAAGGGCAAGGGGGGTCGGCCACGGAAAGTCGAACCGAAAGATGGGCTTGAAGTTTTCCGAGAGAGTTTGCTTTATCAATACGTCGCATTGAGCAATATTTATGGACGAGATCGCAGGATTATGCGAGCAATCTTTGCAGATGGCAAACCCAACTCGGCCGAATTCAGGGCCGTCTTCGAAGATGAGATCAAAGTGCACAAGCCCAAGAAGAAGCGGTCAAGCCTGAAGAAGAGAGCAGGAGTCGACCTTAACAAAGGAGAATATGGAGATTACGAGAACGACTCGGAGGACGAATACACCAATCCCAGGGACTCCAGAGCCTCGCCCTCTGCACCCCCTGCACAGAACAGACTGCTACGACGACCCAAGCGCACCCGTCGTACACAAGCTACAATAGACAAAGCCACTGGCTCTGGATTGGATGCATATGATAAGACCGCAGATCACGAAAACGGCATCGCCTCTTTAGGCGGCTACAACTCCCTCGTTCTCAGGCAACGACTTCTCGTTCTCCTTTACAGGCTCTCAATTAAACTCCCCAAAGACTTCATGTCCACAGAAGATGCCTGCCATATGTTTAAAGAGAACATTCGAGACCTTCCGCTCCCCGTATTTCAACACATGGTCACTCCCTCCAACATTCAGGGCCTCGAGCTAGGGGCGCACTCCTATCTTTGTGAACAATTATCCTACAGCATGCACGAGAGCTCTGCTCCTCCTTTCAATGATGATCTCCTGACTCAGCTGAAACTGGAGAGATGCTTCCTCCCCTATATGGCGGCTAGTCCGAGTGCGGCGAATAATGCCAAAATTTCCATGTTGCTCGAGGCTATGATGACTCTCCTTCATGATTCCAAGATGCTTTCAGCGACCCCGGAGTTGAAAGAGGCGGTTCGGAATGGCATTGAGCGTCGGCAGTCTGCTTGCTGTGGCGACAGCAATGCCGTGGCGTTGGCTTACTTGCGGGAAAGTAGCCTTCGGATACAATTTATGGTGGACTTTGTTTTACCTTGACGATACTTATGGTTGAGTTTAGCTTCTTGAGCGTTGTGATATCCTTTTGTTTGATTATGACTTGCATAGCCGGTAACTTAAAATGAAGGCTTAAAGCCATTCAGTGGAAATACGCGTAAATCATTATGTTAATATAAAGAAGGCTTTATCCTGGTCTTCATTGATGCTTCAGCCTGTTGGGCAATTACGGGCTGGGCCGATTGGACTCCTCGGGAGAATTGATGAGATTCAGTTCAATCACGACCTTGGGGGCTGTTTTACTTAATAGGCCACGTTATCTACTGGGTTGAGCAATTAAGGGGTTTTCCAAAGGACCATTGATTAGAGCTTCATAAGAGATGCTATCTACAATCACATCGTGAAAAGCAAATAGCCGGTAACTTAAAATGAAGGCTTAAAGCCATTCAGTGGAAATACGCGTAAATCATTATGTTAATATAAAGAAGGCTTTATCCTGGTCTTCATTGATGCTTCAGCCTGTTGGGCAATTACGGGCTGGGCCGATTGGACTCCTCGGGAGAATTGATGAGATTCAGTTCAATCACGACCTTGGGGGCTGTTTTACTTAATAGGCCACGTTATCTACTGGGTTGAGCAATTAAGGGGTTTTCCAAAGGACCATTGATTAGAGCTTCATAAGAGATGCTATCTACAATCACATCGTGAAAAGCAAATAGCGCGGGCTAGGACGGGAATCATATAACGAGATAATGTAACGACCACTTGAAGCAGTGCCGTAAGTCAGATTCGCAGGGACGGTAGAAACCCATGAACCATGATGAGAAGGGAAGGTAAGAGAGCAATAAGATGATGCGAGTATGAGAAAAGGTGGGAAACAAAGGAATGAGGGTGCAGATGTGGAAGCCCACAGTCGAAGTCAAGATCAGCACAGCAAGCACAACAACTACCAGCAATAGGAATTAGAGATCAACAACTCATGGTGGCGGCCGAGGCCCAATGATCTGGCGTCTTGCACCACCAACACCAAGGCCCATGCCACCGCGATTTTGGTTATCGCCGCCCATGTAGCCATACTGATGAACGTCCCAGGACTGACCGGGGCCCGAGCCGTGAGTAGGATCGTTGACACCCCGCTCAACCGCGGCAGCTGTCTGCTTTTGATTCTCTTCCCACTCCTGTTGGCGAGCACGTTCACGCTCCATCTCACGCTCCAAAAGAGACTTGGATGCCCAGCCACCGGCCTTGGTCTTCTGCTGCGATGCTTCCCGGCGCCGGTTCTCGGCATCGACTTCGGTAGTCGTTGTGTAGTCTTGGAATTGGTGAGTTGCTGGAGCCGGGGCTGCAGGTGCTGGATTGGAGGAGAGGAAGTTATCCACACGATTCTCGCTGTTCCGCTTGGCATGATATGCCACGGGGTCTGGCAAGGGTCGAGGAGGTTGGGGGAGCTCCCTGGGCGGAAGAACGGGCTGTGCAGAGAAAGAAGATGGCTTCGGCTCGGGGAGTGGGCGAGGCGAGGGAAGTGGGCGAGCTGGTGGAGGTGGAGCTTGCTCTTGAGCGGGTTCAGGCTCTTCGGAGGTCGCTGGCATATCTTGAGTGTTTTGCCACTCTGTGCGCAGAAGTCGCCGTTCTTGCTCGAGGGAAGACAGATCGTAGCTTGGCTTAGGGGGTACGGGTACGGGACGAGAGCGACTTTGACTACGAGGCTCGGGCTTTTCGCCAGTGTTGCGAGGTTGAAGTCGCTCGGACTCGTACTCGCGCTCCCGTTCCTTTGCTAGCTGTAGCTCACGCTCGAGCTCTTTGATGCGGAGACTTTCTGGTGTTTCCTCGACCGATCTCACTCCACTGGACGCATCGCTGGTCTGAGAATTGGAGGCCTGGTACTGACTCAAGAACTGGCCATTGAGGCGATTATCATTGAGGCTCCGTCTTTGCTGGCGCTCCTTTTCAAATCGCTCCTCGGCTTCCTTCTCTTCTGCCAGACGACGTTGCTCCTCTGCCTCCCATTGACGCTTTTCCTCGTCCCATTTCTTTCTCTCAGCTTCCACCTTGAGGCGTTCCTGTTCTCTTGCACGGGCGGTTTCCTCTTCCCATCGGCGGTCCTCTTCTGCTTTAGCGCGGGCCTCTCCTTCCTGAATCTGCGCCTGGCGTGTCCGTTCCGCTTCATCCCTCTCTGCGTTCTCTTGGCGAATTCTGTCTTCCTCTTCGCGCCTTCGCTTCTCTTTTTCTGCAAGGCTAGGAACAGCGGGCCCTGGGGTGGTGATTTGTCGACGAGCGCCAAAGGCGACGCCTTGGTTGCCTTGGCTGGCGCCACCCATGTAACCATACTGATGAATGTTCCAAGCCGGCGTAGTCCCCTGCTCGTCTCCCTTCTTAGTCCAAGTACTGTATGATCCAGAAGGTTTGGCGGGACTGCCTGCTCGAGCTGGAAGAGGGGGTCCCGCGTCGCCAACATTGCTCGAGGAACGGGCTGAGCGGGGTGTGTATCCTCCACTCGAGGACCCTGTCGCATCCGGGCTGATCACGCCGCGTTTGCTTTGCGGCCCAACGGTACGTGAGAACTTATTCGGTGCAATCGCATTGGCCCGTCGACTGAAAGCTGCCAGACACTGAAGGACTTGCGCCGGGTCTTTGGCTTCGTATAGATCGACTGTCAGGAAGACGTCGTGTGGGGGTAGACTGAGGGGAGGCAGTTGGCATGCGCGCAGGAAATGAGAAATGTTCTCCATCTGTACAAACGGCGCCGACAACTGCTTAAACTTCACGCCTGGTGACACGGCGAGGTTCACCAACCTTGTAAATAAAGGGGGTTAGCGGGGGGTCCTCGGTACTTTGATGTCGCAAATGCGCAATTCTCACTCACCTGCAAAGCGCAATACCGCTCTTGAGGCCCTCCAACAAGTCTGGCGATGGCAGTTTCTCCTGCAGCATTTCCTCGATCCAGTCGCGCACCTCCGCGGCGGCCTGCGGGGTATAGCGGGACAGGCGCATGTTGCGCAGGTCCTTATCCAACGAGGTAACTGAAGCCATGATGGATGTTGATGGATCAATTCTCGATCTTGGAGAGTGGGAGAAGATGTAGGACTGTTGCCACTGAAGGGGGCTATGTATCCCTTCGCCGGTGCCTGATCGGCCCTAGAAGTGGCGTTTCTGGCGGAGTAAGATCCGCGACTCGATTGAGATGCAAAGAAGAAAGCAGAGAGCAGATGTGAAGAAATACAAGGCTCCAGGGCTAGAAGAAAGGAGAGAAGCGAGATGAGGTATGGAATGGAATGCTCCAGGACTGTTGATCCCAATGACGTTCCGTGCGGGCATTTTTAGCAGTTCCGCTTTCCTCCACTTTTGTATAGAGATCGAAGTATAACCTGGGAACTACATGGGTGTTCGACTTCAGGACTATTGTTTTAATAGGATATGTGGTTCTCGTTATTCCTGGTGTTCAAAGGATACTATACAGATGCTCTTTGTTTACCGTGTGGTCGGAGTGTATACTTCCCAGGCTGCAGGGCCCGGGATATATAGTACGAGTAGTATGCTACTCAAGTTCGATTACCAACGCTGAGACTTCAGGATATTAGAACGTTACTACTGTCAAAACTCGAGATCATTCATAGATAACTAGATACCGAGTGTACTTAAGTACAATTCATACAGCTGAGTGGTACTTAAGTATAGGGAACTGCTTAAGTGTTGATGTTATACTATACATTCCCAAGTTATCGCCATGGCCACTAAAACACCCGTCAACGGGCCTGGCCGCATAAAAAAAGATTCCTCCTCCACTCTTCGCGCACCTGAGCAACAATGGTGAACAGCCTGTGGTTCAAGTGGAAGAAGCTCCGTTTGCCCTGGCGGAAGTCTTTCTTGGTTGGTAAGTGTGTCTGCTTGATTTTTCTCTTCCGAGGTCCCCCGCTGACCTCCTCACAGGCCAGGACCTTAAGGGCAACACCTTCTGGGAATTCAATGATGTGATGAACGCAGCCCGGATGCGACGAATTGTCAGATTCGACCCCAAAACACATTACAGCGACGTCCAAGTCACGCGTGAGTCGTCAGTATCTGCGTCTCCATTCCACACGGTAACTAATCTACTCCCATCTAGCGCAATGGCACCAATGGCTACGACATGTCCGCGAACACCCACCTAGTATCCAAGAGCAACAACAAGATCTGGTCCGGCAAGCGCAAATGAAGGAGCTTGCTCGGCTGGCCGATGAGCGCTGGGCCAGCAAACCATCTTACCTCGATAAACCGAAGACCGAACCACTTCCTCAAACGACCAATGCGCAGATCACACCGGAGCAGCAGGCCTCCCCATCCCCCGAGGCGACGAAATCCGAACCTGCCTCTGCCGAGAAAAAGGAGAACCCTTGGAATAACGCTAGCACTGCCAACCCAGGAGAGGAATGGCAACCTGAGGCCTGGTCGCCGAGCTCCAAGCGGTGAATGTGATACCAAGGTATCTTGGCCGGATCTTCGAATTGGCAAAGCTATGCGCGGTGACTGATACCATAGAGAGGGCTCCAACGATTCAACCCGGTCAATGAGAGATCATGGCCGTGGCGTATCGAATAACCGGGGGTTCCTCCGCGCAATCCATCTATGGATGGACGCGGACGAAGGTCTTTCCTCTCCCGAGTCCAACTACATGTGTCTGAAGAGACGTGCCCAGTGACCCTGATTGAGTTGGGGCTGCCCTTAACTATTGCCCTGGCACTTGTACATTATCTCCTTTTATATTGAGCGCTTTTCATCCAAACATATCCTCATCGTTCTGACTGTCTTGGTCTTCTTACTACGTAGCCTGCAAGTTATGTACCAGGCTAACCATGAGATCTAAAACCTACAATTGATACGAGAGTAAAGCAAGTTTTTTTTTAAAAAAAATTTCATTTTTAACATCCCCTGTTTTTGGCTTTTCAAGTTTTTCCACCCACCGAACGACAATATCAAAGATTCACGAAACCATCCCCCTGTTTTTGGCATTTCAGATTTTCCGACAGAACAAAATTATCAAAGATTCACGAAATCATCCCCGGTTGTTGTTTTTTGGTTTTCAAATTTTCCATTCCCTTGTTGAAGTACAGGGCGTACTTTGGCGCAATCACCTCGCAAGCAACAATCCGACAGCTCATGAAGATCACAATGAGGATCAACCCAGTAACAAATAAGAGCACCGATAGAAGAGTGAACAATACACCGAGAACCACCACAAACCATGTCCAGAAAGGCCAGAAAAGCCAGACGCTCAGACAGAGCCAACAAAGCAAGGCTGACTTAGATGTAAACCATACTGTTGGGGAAGTGCGAGTGCACTGCCATGACCATTGACTCATTGCTCTTGTCCTTCTGGTCCTTGGCCTTCTGGTCCTTGGACTTTGGCTTTGACTTCCCAGACTTCTCCAATTCGGCATTGTATCGGTCTACCGCATTCTTGGCTGCCACATATTTGCGAGCACGATCACAGTATCGGTCAGCCAAAAAGGCAGGAGTGGCATAGCTGACAGAGCGTGTAGCTCGGCCCATCATGTAACAGATGTTATGGGTTAGTTCTTGGGCAACATCAGCTGGCTTGCCAGGACTGATCTTTGGGTCAGTGAAGATCTCATCATGGATGACAATGTAGTGAGCCGGACGAGCGGATCCCTGGAGAGGAGATTGGGCCTGTAGGTAGAATTCCCAATACAAGGGCCGAGTGACAACACGGTCAACAATGGCTCCATTGATGGGATTGCTGGTTCTATCGGCATCTGCTGTCTTGGTCGGATAGAAACGCACATGGTGGCGTTTTCCAGAGATAATGATAGTGACCTTGGGGCTGTAACCCTGGAATTTGTGGTATTCGGGGCGGTACCGACTGAGATCCGCAGCGGCCTGGCGAACCCTGGGCAGCTCGTCTTTGAGGACCATCATGAATTGACCCTCGCTCACACCATCACGGTAGATGATGATGTTTGATGGAGGGGCTTTGTTGTGCTTGATCCAAAGATCGAGGCGCGCCAACAACAAACTATCAAGACAGACAATCTCTTCGCTGCGGGATTCCTGGGGTCTAACCTCACCCGGCCATTGTCCCATGTGACCGTCAATAGAGGCCACAATTCCGGCAATACTAGGCATCCAGACTTCTCCGGATGCTGGATGAGTGACATCTAACCCAACAACCATAGTCTTCCCTTGCGCGATGAATTTGAGGCCAGATGGTTCCAGGAACTGATTGCAACCGCCCATCTTGAGGTTAATCTTCATGGCATTGTTGCTGATGTATTGATCCTGACCCTGTTGCTTCTTCAATTTGTCAAGTATCATGCAGTGGGTTAGAACCCCAAGCCGCAGATCTCCGAGCAGCTTGATCCAGTCAAAGATTGCAGCATCGGTGTCTGGCAAAATGACAATCACCAGATCGTATCCCTCGTTTTTCTGCAAGCTGATGAAGGTCTTTTCCAGTGTATCGCGGTTCTCTGCGTGGTCGTACCCGAGATCAACAGAGATGAAGGGCGTCACAGGGCGTGCTATATTGATTCCATGGGCACGCAGCTTTGATTGCATCAAGTTCATCTCGCTGTCAACGTTTGAGGTATGTTTTCCCCGCCTGCGCACGGTGAGGCAAGTCCAAGTCTTGATGTTTGCGCCTTCACAGAACTTTGTCTCTTGCAGGTTCCACTGACCCCTTTGGGGTTTGTTGACTTTCTTCCCGTAAACGAGATTTGGAGCATTCAAGATGCGCGCTGGTACCATCGCCATATCCTTGCGACATTTGATTCCGACGGTCTTCGTGTCATTATCGATACCCATGATCTCCATCCCCTCTTTCATGATGGAGTCATAGTTTTGAGGGGGACGACGGCAGCTGAACCTGATCATGTTCGACGACATGCTGCCAGTTTGCGTCCCACCAAAGATCTGCCCAGGAAGAATCTCACAGAGCTCAGCTGGAAGATAACTGGCACTTTTCCTGCTCCCGACATTCACGATAGGATGAGTAGCACCATACTTGAGTTGACGGTTGTACCCTGTTCAAAACTGTTAGCCTCCGGTCTTTTGCTGCTCAATGATGCAGAAAACTTACTTCGGCGGAAATACTCAGTCACAGTGATGTACCCTTCGTTATCGCCGTCCTCGTACCAGAACTGGACGTTGTCCGCGCAAGATGCCACATTCTTCACTCTGGGAGGATGCTTGTCCTCCTGCCCATCCCCAGGCTTAGCGGTGCCCAGGATATGCTTGACAGGAAATTCCATCTTGCCATCCCCGTTTTCCCTTTTTGGAAGATGAAGGGCGTAAACTTTCAAGCGGGAGAGCCAAGAGTTCAACAACTCGCGTGATTCGCCGTTTAGCGCCCTAAACTCGTCCATCATGTTGATGAGTGATCCGGGGCGGAACATTGCACTGTGGCTGATATTCAAGTTGAGCATTATGTGACCTGCTGCCAATCGAACACTTGAGTAGTATCCACGGACAGCTTCGATGCCACCCCCTAGATAATGGCTCTGCTTTTCATGATCCAGCCGGAAGACCTTGTTGCGCCCCCTTCCAACAATGAAGGTTCCAGGAGTCCTGTTCGGGTAGGTACTCATCAAGATGTTAAGCATTCGCACGAGATTCGTCTCAGCATATGTCCCATGTGAGCCCTCAGTATCCGAGGCATCCTTGTTGGGGACGACCTTTCGGAACCTGGGATCACGGAGGCCCCCGAGGACATCGTTGATGAGATGAGACTCTTTGTGTTCTACGGTGACAGTCCAACGTGCACCTTGACCCTGTTGACTGCGTTGAGGACGTTGAGAATGCTGAGGACGCTGCCCAGTGTTGTCATTGCCATTACCCTTTGGCATAGAAACGCGATGAACCCCTCGGTCCTCCGGCAGAGGATCAAGAGTCACCACTTCGGTGGCACCATCGGTGGCAATGCGGGCGCCTTTCTCAACAAAAGGAGCATACAGACGAAGCATGTGCTTGATCACGAATGTCTGCTGGCCTCTGGTGATATCCGTCGGACTGAACTTCAGCCGGTAGGAATGCACCTTCATGCCGGGTTGGAAGTCCATCACAAACATGTTCGCCCGGTAGTTCAATGGGCGCCCCAAGGTTCCATAGCCGGGACGGTAAGCAAGGACAACGCCTTTGGCATCAGTGACGCGGGATTTCGGGTCTTTCCTATCTTCGAGGAAACTGGCGACGCATTGGTCTTCATGACTGATCATTCTGGCATCGAGGTTGGGGATTTGATCCTTAAACATCCTGTTTTCATGTTAATTTCAACTCCTCATCCTGGTGCGGCAAGTGGCACTTACCTGGAGTCATTATCCGACACAGCAGACCGGCCTCGGTCGCTTCCACGGCCTCGGTCATCACCACGACCACGGCCACGACCACCACCCCCTCGGGGGCCCCGAATCGGCAGATCACGACTTCCACGACCCGACATTGTGGAGGATAGTCGAGGGCAAGTCGTAAAAGAGAAGAGAAAGGAAGGTAGAATGAGGAGCGCAATATGAGGTGACGGAGATCTCAATTGACGAGATCCCAATGGAAAGGAGGAGAGATCGAAAAGTGCGTTGAACAAGACTCGTATGTTCACCAGACTTGTCCAGAGTAGGAGAGCGTGAAAACGTAGTGAAACTGCAGAAGTATTGTTCTGTGATGATAAGTCAGAGAGAGGAGTTCAAGGTTCAGTGCGTCAGGAGTCTCGTGTAGAAATGGATTGATACAAGGGAAGGGAGGACTCAGATGCAGTCATGTAAAACGCTGAGACACGTAGTCCAACACACAACAAACAACAAAAGGAGGGTAAACACGTTGCCAATGGTGATAGAGACAATGATAAGACGACAACAATTTTTGAGATGACAAGGATGATTGAGACGGGAAAGTTGGATGTGTTTTAATTCGAGGGTAATGCTTCAAGTGAGAGCAGCTAACAAGGACACGCAGAAAAAAGCAAACTTGCCTCAGCAAGCGAAGAAGCTTTGGGATCTGCAATAGTAAAGGGGATGAGGGGTTGCAAATTACCTGGTCTCGGTGACAGCTGAGATGAGTGAGAAACAAGAGAAGATTACAGGAAAGCGAAAGGTACACAGAGGAATTGGGGAGGCAAAGGGAGGGAAAGGAAGCAACACCAGAGATGGGAAAGTAAGGCAGGAGGCAATCAGGTGGAATATGGGGAAGGAGCAAAGCTGAGCATCAGAGGGAAGGAACAGAAATCACAACAGGGAAATCCAGAGACCCATGTAGTGATAGCAAACCATGAAGTGATAGTGATTCAAATGGTAAAATCGTTCACTTCACTTTGCCAACACAATCACTTGTATGGACATAGGCATAAAGAAAGTGAATGAAAATCAAACTGAATATAAAGATATTCATATTCAATAAGGCAGAGAGAGAGGCAGTGTGTATGGGTGGAATGCCTACCTACCTTTACCTATAGATAGACCGTAGGTAAAAGGTAGGCAGTAGTAGGTAGATAGGGACAACACTCACATAGATGTTTCGTAACTATGAAGAGAACTGTCAAAGGCGGCGAAGTAAAGAAGAGAGAGAGAGAGAGAGAGAGAGAGAGAGAGAGAATGCAAATTAGGATATTTATACTCGTAGTGCTGAAGAATGACATCGTTAGGTCTGATATGACATCGCTAGGTCTGATATGACATCGCTAGGTCTGATATGACATCGCTAGGTCTGATATGACATCGCTAGGTCTGATGTAGTGATGCGAAGGGCTTTGTGGCGAGGATAGGCAACGTCAACCTTAGAAGGAATTGAAACAAATATAGGAAAGACATGGCAAATGAAAATTGGCCTCAAGGACAGAGCTTGAAGAATGTTCTGGGAGAGAGGAAGCCAGAGGCATTGTCAGTTGAAGTAGAAGTTCGGAGAGTTAGCTGGACTTACCAGTATGTTGAACAATACAAGCCTCAATAGAAGCTTGAATGAATAACCCAAAGAAGGATCTACAATGAGAGGAAAGTGAGAGATCACAAAGAATTATGAAATTAGATATCCACACAATAGTCTAAATATTAGAACAGTCTAACATTTTGGTAGGACCCGGGCCCGGGTCTAAAAGCAAAGAAACACCAAGACAAACAATGATATAACCCAAAAAACACCGGCTGAAAAAAGCAGAAAAATATGAATCAATAGTAAAACACATAGATTAACAGAGCACAGCCTCAAGAGCTTCGACGTCGCCGCCAGCGCTGCGCACAGCCCTCAATGCGGCTTCACTCAGCTTGCGACGTCTATCGCGGGCTTCTTGCTCGCGACGAGCCTTGGTCTTCGAGCTGCCGGAGGGAGCAACTCCGGTCAGGATCTTCTTGCTGTCGTGGGCGGTAAAATTGACAAAGGATACGCTCACAGACTTGTTTGCGCCTCGGGGAGACGAACCAGATGCCTTGGCTGGCTTGGGGCCGTTCATGCTCTGACCGGAGAGCTTGCGGCTGTGTGTGCGGCGGTGAGTGGGCTTGGAGATGGAGGAGTTGCGACTATCCCAGGGTGAGGTTTCGGCTTTGGGAGAGAGAGATGGTGATCGGGAGTGGTTGTGAGTTTGGGAGGGGTTGAATGGGGTGACGAATTTTTGGGTGGGAATCATGTTGGAGGATGGGAATGAGGATTCAGCGGACATTTCGAAAGATGGATCGAATTGGATCATGAGTCCTCCTTGAGTCAGGTCATTTTGGCTTCCACTGCTTTGCAAGCGGTTGGGTGTGGGAGATGCAAGATAGGCGGCTTGTTGTTGGGCCACTCGGGAAGGCATGGGGGACCACCATTGAGCATCTTGGCCTTGGAGGTCGGGAGTAAAGGAGATAGATGATGCATGAAGAGGGTCGGATTGCCAGGAAGAAGAGAGAGAGTGAGGGTCGGAAGAATGGGACGATGAGAAGATATCATCGGCAGAGGGAGGGCTGGAGTTCGTCAAGTTCGAGGAACTTGTGCGACCCATATACTGTTGCTGTTGGTGGGTTGCCATTGCAGTGTTTGGTGATGGCATTGAAACTGAGGGGGTCTGGAACAATCTTGCGTCGTACTGAGTAGGCATCTCAGCTGATTCCCTGGGTTGGTTCATGACTTCGGTGGGCATATGCTCATGCTTAATGAGGACATCCGAGGGAGGAGGCGATAGCGGCAGACGATCTTCTGAGCCATGAAGATTGAAGTTCTGGATTCGCTGGGCCCAAATCTCGGGGTATGCCATTCTTTCTTTAGCAAGGTGGGAAGAACGCATCAAACTGGGAGAGAAGCTTTGCTTGTGCAGCAGAGAGCGACGCTCATTCGGGCTGCGATGGCGAATAGACTTAGGAGTGATAAGGGCACTTTGGGTGGGTTTGCGTCTGGGAGTAGTAGGGGGGGTAGATGGCGATGTGGACAAGCCGTTTGTTGCAGCAGGGCGGGAGACTTCAAAGTTATTCAAGCCAGTGTCTGAAATGGCGGACGGGTGGACGGTGTCATGGAAAGCAAGATGATCGGCGGCGGCTCCGTCATCCAGCAGGGACCAGTCATTGCTCCAGGGTTGCGGCGATTGATGGGGTTTAGAAGTGGAGACGGTGGGGGAGAGATCGCCACAGTCACTGGAGAGAGAGTCAAGTGGGAAAAACTGATCAAGATCACCGGGCATCGACGAATCCTTGCCATCGGCGGCTGAGGTCTCCATGTTGACGTATTGGCTGAACAAGTCATTGAACGAATGATCGTACGTTTGGGCGAACATCTTGTCGGGATTTCCGTTTGCGGCGAAGTTAATTGGCAATTGTGTAGTCAGCGACTATGAGTCCAAGGACTGCTTGTGATTGGTTAACCACAGAAGTCTTTGAATTAGAGCTGGAAGGTTTGCGATGCGGAGATCGTCCCGGATATCCGAAGGATGCAAAGAGTGCAAAGGATGCAAAATGTTGGATTGTTTGATGGTTTGTCAATCAAAGAAAACACTGCAGATGATGCAAAGAAAGCAAAGCAAACAAACAGATGCAAGCCCTATTTGAATGGCTGCCAGGGACACCAGCCTCGGAGTATTTGAGGCACATTCCAGCTCTAAAGATGGGACGAGGAATGGGCCATAGTGAGTCTGGTTGGCTACGGCCCACTCCACCAACCCCCCGGAAGAATGATTCAAGATCCGCAGGTCTTTGGGGCCAATGGCAGACGGGAGAGCTTAGGAGGGGCTGATGGAGCTGTCAATCTTTGTCAAATCCTAAGAAGCTTGCGCGACGGCCACCCATGAGAATGTAACCCCAATCCACTAGTCCAGAAGCAGCAGAGCATGGGTCAGGTCAGCTTGAGTGAGCGGGTCTGGGGAGGACACTTGGAAATGTCGAGCGTGAACCTGAGCATCCCGTACCCCCGCGATTCCAGATGAATCAGGGCTAGAAGTGGTTGTCCGAGAAGTCCCGGACTGGTCGAGTTGGTAAGTGCCGAAACCCGATGTGTGAATATATCAGGTTCGCCCTAATGTAAGCGTCATGATGAGTGTAATCTAATCATCAGTCGCTGGAAGAGGACTGGGCGACAGTAGGATCGGCAGCACTCCAGTCAGTGCCTTCCGATCCACCGCCATTTGTCAATATAATTCAATTCCAGTGGATATGATAATGCGAGAGCCAATGTGCTGGTCATGATAAGCGGTCAGGAATGTGGACCGGAATGTAGAGGCTGGGCGGAATGCAACGCCCGCTTGAACAATGCACCGAAGAATTTGAGGGATTCGAGAAGGACAGATCTGCCCTAGAAGCTCTGGAAGCGCTAGTACCCATGATCGGAAGTTTTGGAACCCTTGGCCTGCAGGAGATCGTCCAATTGCTTATCCCCATGTTCTATATTTGGAGTACATGATCAAAGGGCTTATCATAAGCCACTCGTATGTTCGGATGCAGTCAAAAAAGCCTTTGTTCCTGTAAGCTAGGTGCCCTTTTTTTTGTCAACCCCTAGTGTGACACATTATTGGGAGATTGACCATGAGGTCTTGGCCCATCGATATCAGGGGTGTTCCGTGGCCCATACTCCGTGACCAGTAAGTCACTGATTGAATTTTCAGTTACCACAGAGTACTGCGTACTCCGTATTGTCATCGGAGTTTGTTGAATAACAATTTGAAGCCACCGAATGTCCAAAAAGACACTGTACTTGGGCATTTGTACAAGTCATAGATAGATCTGCAGGGTCATTTGCCGAGGCTCAATCAGGTAACCCGTGTTAGGGCTGGAGCACGTCTGGTGTGACTATTTCCAAAAGCGATCAAAGGCATTGGCGTAGCCAACATTTCGGCCCAAAAATCAACGGGTTGGAAATCAATGGAGTATTGCCAAATGACAAGTCAAGTGCCCAACCTGATGTGTTAGCGAGTACATCCCCAGGTCCCTTGCGTTTCCAGTGGACAATATATGCAGAATAATCAATGAGGCGTCTGTGAGCGTAGTACAAAGTACTCCGTACGAGTACTCCATATGTGCCCAAGTTGTGATTGATTTTAGAAAAAGATATTTGAGTTGCACAGAAGGAAAAGCAAAGAGTCGGGGATGTGTATAGCCGTCGGCTACGGTCAAAGGCCGAATTTGTGCGACCAAGCGCACTCACCAGAAACCCAGGAAATAGTAGAAACACAGTCTGCGTACTCCGTAAGGGGTCATTTTGTCAAGAACTGTACTCTGTGGTATACCTAGTCCGTGTTAGTACAGAACACTGTACAGAGTCCTCCGTACTTCGTAGAATGTCGAGAGTCGAAGGATCTGGAAACCTTGAAAACCAGGCCGAATGCGCGAGAACACCCAAAATGGGGTCGGGACACAAAGTCGGGCTGAGTCAGATGACGGAGACGGCGAGAAACCCGCGTTTCCTCTCTCTCTTCTCTCTTCTTCTCCCAGGCCCCTTTGAACGGTGACCTTGGACCCTCAAAATCTCTCTATGTTTCTGCGCTTTGCAGACACTGTCTCCTCTACTCAACTTCACCCACTCAACTTATCATTCCGGACGTGACTCAACCCGGTTTTTTTTGCCCCTCGTCACACACCCCGCGGAACGTCGGCATCTCACCCGACTTCCTTTGTCTTCTCCTCTCGCGTCTCAATCTCCGTTTCCTCCACGCAGATCATCTGTGTGATACTTCTCATAACGACTGCGAAACTTGTTGCCCCCGCAACATTCCAACGCCGTTTTCCGTCGCGCAACCACTCAACTTCACCCTTGCCACCACTTCGCACTCTACATGCATCTCGACGAGACTATCAACTTCCGCTACCTCCGTAACCGAAAGCAACTTGTTTCGAACTACCACGATAACTACCAGCCCCGTTGTTGGTCCCCACACCAGACTGGCAAAAAAGCCCACCTTAACAACTAATCATCAAACGCTATCGAACAACCATGTCTTCTTACATTCTTGCTGGGGCCAACCCCGTCAAGTTTCCTTAAGCTATTTCACGCTTCAAGTTAGCCTCACCATGGATCTCTCTCCGTGTTTTGCAGGCCTTCGATGCCCTTGCTTTTTTCTCACATCAATCTCGATCAACTGATCGCAAACCTTTGACTTTCCAGAATCAACAGCACATCCTTTGATCGCTCAAGAGTCCCCAATTACAGGGCTCGGAACCCCTTCGGACTTCACATCTTCATACCTTGAGCAATCCGACATATCACCCACAAGAAACCGTCCTTGACGAAACCATGGACCACGCAACAACCACGCAACCGAGCACCTCGAGCCACCACCGGGGCTCGTGGGGCTCTACATCGTCAGCCTTTTCCAACATCGAAATGTCTTTCTCCCACGACAGTTGCTATGGCTCGGATGAGGTATCTGTCACATCGAATGGTACCACTCCCGGTCAACTGAACTGTTCAACTGCCACCGCGAAGCAATCCATCCGCCCTTTCCTGAAATCGATCCTCAAAAATCCCTCTACCGTCTTTGAGTCCGACGAGGAGTCCGACTCGGAATCGGGTTATAGCTCGGATGAAATCGACTCGGATTACGATGCGCTATCTGATGATGAAGAGGACGATGATATGTCCGACTTCTCAGTCTGGGATGGCGAAGCATCTCAAGAAGTTCCTGAAACGCATGAAGATCATACAGAGTTTTTCGATGATGCATTCATCTCCTTCGAGGAAAATTCCGTGCGCTTTGCCCCTGATGTGCAGTACATTGACAGCACGGAAGTATCGGATGACGAAGATGGTCACCAAATGACCTGTCATGAGATGATGTTGCTTGCACGTAACACCAGCGGTACCCAAACCCTTCTGGATCAGCTCGACAAGATGGACATTCAAGATGAAGAGGACGAAGAACAAGAATGTCACAAAGAGTATGTTCGCAAACCCGTCACTCAACCAGAGGAGTTCTCGCGGGATGCTGTCGATCTTGATCGCAGTCTCTTCCTCGCTTACATCAATGGTATCCATGGTGTCACCAACAAGACATATGAGAAACAGTATGAGACCTACCTCCGGTCTCATGTTGACCACATTCGCCTCGGCAAGGACACCGATGGTATGAATCTCGACGATGCCCCTGCGCTTTATTTTGACACCATCTCGAGTCATGTCATCGGCACTTTCCGCAATCTTCTCGCCGATGATGAGTGGAACGAGTTGATTTCCCTTCGCGCGGAAGAGCAGGTTGACAAAAATGGCGCAAACGCGTGTTCGCTCGACTTGGAACACCATCAAGCCCTCTTGACCAAGATCGAAAAGTTCCTTCTGGAAAGGCTCATGGATGGTCTCGTCGACGTCGCTCCTGAGGAGTTGACGCTCTTTGCTGGTAGCATCGTATCTGAGCTCGATACTAAAACAATGCCCGCACTGCCTCAAGGCGCTAGTGCATAAATGGCAACACACCACGACTTAACGATTATGAAAAGCCCCCTCTGCCGTCAGTATGGATCAGGCATGGGCTCAATGGAATCTCGGGAAGGCTTTTTAGCCAGGAAAAGCAAGTTTCTTTTTTCTTTCAAGTTTTTTTCCCCTAGCGCATTACTCTCGATCTGGATTGACAACTTTCATGTATCTCCCCGAGTGAGTGAGCTAGTACTTACAATTCAAAAACATCTTGAAACTTTGTTATTCCTCGTCAACCAATATACTGGCGTAGCGTAGCGTAAAATGCTCTGCATTGCAATGGCCATTTCGGTCGTTTATCCAGTCTTAGCTCCTGTCTTTGGGATTATTGGAGTGAATCATACGTTCCAGTCAACAATCAATCAACGAATCGGGCAATGGAGCCTTCAAGAGTCTTGGGTATGCCATTTCTACATTGCTAAACATTGCCCGGTAAATCCACCCAATATCCATGGATTAAAACTCGAGCTCGAAACACAAGTCCTCGTCCACATATTCTAAAGTTTCAGACACAATACCTACATATGCAACACCTGGACATCCTGGGCAGACCCGAGCACAGCGAGCCCAACGTTTCAGAATTGTTAAATCCCTGACATTGTACGAGTATGCACCAATCTCTGTCCAGCTACGCATCGAGACCTCTAGAAAGGTCGACGCGCGTATGCAATCCCCTTCGTCAGTGCCCGAAATGAGGACCTAAACGCCACAAATCCGGCTGTCCCGAAATTTGCTTCCTGTCGGAGGAGCTATGAATGGGTTCGGGTGGGCTGCGGGTGGTCAGATGCTTCAAACGTACGGAGTACGAGTCTCCATGTAGTTGCTGTGTGCTTCAAGGAACTAATGACGCACGATGTATAACATCGAGAGAGAGAACACGTTCCACCCTATAGGAGAATTTTCTGATGGCTCCATTTTGTCTCTCCGCTACAGGGCGGGGACTTACCCACTTCCATGTTGCTTGGATGGATTTGTTCATTTATTACTCTTCATTGGATCTTTAAGATGAGGTAATAGTACTATTACCTACAAGTACGAGGGTATGTACTTGTACTCCGTAGGCATAACTTTAGAAACACAAAATGTACTCGTACTTCTGAGGCTGTGTGCTTCTGTACGTGATATATGATTAAAGACTCGTATTTCTAAGTGATAGATCACACTATACAGCCCCCACAGACTTCAGGAAGTCTTGTCGACTCGACGTTTTTAATCAATGCTGATCTTAACGGCGCAAAGCACAGACTACGAGTGGACCATGCCACACAGACTCAGAACTCAATTATGTAGTGCTAAGCTAACATGGAAGGGGATAAAAAAGGGGAAGTACGAGTAGGTTGTTTACTCGTAAGGCTCAAGCCAAAAGGGGCTATGGATTTCCCGAACGATGCGGTGAAGAAACCCAAACTTGTCTCCAGTCCATCCTTGTATTTGTGGGGTCATGGACGATCACACTTTCATGGTCGCATTTTTGTACAGTACGGAGTTAGCATGCGCATTGGGGAAACGTTACTCCGTACATATGATATGTATAATTATCCTTTGTTAAAAGCCGTGAAATATCTATACATAGAAAGGATGTATGTACTTAGATCTACGAAGTACAGGGTGGATAATATTTACAAGTACGGAGTACAAACTACTCGTACGTTATATATTCATACCCCGTACATCGTATCCCGTATACGAGCATAACCAACCGCGTACTCGTAGAATTCACCTTGGCGAATGAATCAATTGACGATCATTGCGGAATTGGAATAACCGTACACTAAATTGTGGGGACGGAAGGGGTTGCCATGCGGTTTTTGACAGCTACGAGTATGGACCGACTGTTCCCACATGGGGTATCATGGCTCCGGCGCTGGAGAAGAGATGGAGTAAAATTGTGGTCTGCAGAGTTTCCCAGGGTTCCAAAGTTAGGTTCAGGGGAAGTGTACTGTAATGTATGTAGTACCGAACTTCAGGGGAACCAGGTTTACTACGAGTATATGGCGATCACAGTCATAGCCACGCGTGCTGCGGGTTCTGGGAGATGGGGATGGGGACGGGGTCGTGGGGAGGTGGAGTATGTATGCACAACCCTGTACGAGTAACTCGTAGGGTTTCTTGCTCGTAGGAGTACATACTACTCGTACATGCAACTGTCACTGAGCCCAAGCTGACCGCGGGTTCGCGGTTCTCCTTGCATTGGACCAGTGTACGTCGTACTTGGCCGTGGGTGCGTGTTGGTAGGGACTCATTGCCCCGATGCTTTTCGATGCACGAGTAATGAGTTCGAGTACAGATCCAGGGGCCAAGCGTACAGATGCGGCCAAAGGATTTGCTACTCGTACACTTGGATCGGGATACAAGTCGGCGCGGGTTCCAAGGTTATGTATTGCATACGAGTACAAGTAACTGGCACATACGTAGAATAAAACTTCAGGTTATCATGATGGTTCACGGCTCACTTATCTGTACGGAGTACCCAATTCTGCACGTGGAGTGAGCGAACCCCGAGTCATTCGTGCCGATCGTGGGATATGCCTCATCTGGGTAAGCTTATCGCAACAATATCCATTGTAATCGTTAGTTGCTGCTAGCCTATTGCTCATCACGCCATGGTCCACTTGACCCAAGGTTGATGAAATCGAGGTTCGATACAAGTTCGGAGCAAAATGTATACATGTTGTCCATGGATCCGACTATGGTGAGAATAAATAGCGAGCTCAGCTGCTCATTCGCAGCTCAGGCTTTTCCAACCTTGGAATCAATATAAATTGCGGCATTCCACGGGTAGGGAGGCCCGGGAAGGTCGTTGATTGGAGGTTCCAAAGTTGGGAGATGAAAGGTTCAGATCCAGGTACCACACCCCAAGGCTGACTCGTGTATGATCTAAAGCACCATACATACCCTCCTCCCCGTCTAGATTCAACGCTATCAGATCGCAAAATAAGATACAGAAAATAGATAAATAGTGGGCATTAGGTTTTCTCGAGACTCGAAAATGGGGATCGGGTATGCGTAGCATTTCCAAGGTTTTACGCCACAGGCTTATCCTCGTGCGTTCCAGGGACCCGTGGAACGGCTGAGGAACGTGTGGAAAAAGGATGCTATGCGCTAGCAGCCGCACTACTGGGTGCCCTGCGGGTCACAGCTGAATTGTCGGGACACAGTTCAAATTTAGATACTCAGGCGTTCTATTTGATTTCGACCGTCAGCAAGGGTCCCTACCCAATGCCCAGGGATTTTCTTCTTTCACAGTCAGACCAGGGCGCTTCAATAGCAAAGACAAGAAAGGAAAGGCTTCAAAGGCTAACCGGGGGTCTCCACTTGCATCCATGGAATGATTCAAGTTGATTGGCCACGAGCAGCCAATGGAGCCACGGAGCCTGAAACCAAAAGGCAAAGCGGGGCCCTTTTAGCGTGTCGATCGAACATTGTTCTTCTCTTTTTTCTCCTGGCGACTGGGCCCCAACGTGGGTATTTGATCGGCTTTTCTTTTTTTTTCTTGTGCTCCTTTCTACTCGTTCCATGGTCCATTCCATGTCCGATAGACTACATACATCATATCATGCTGTACACAGTACGAGTAGGACAAACCAAACACTGTATCATCCCGTAAGATCTACGAGTACGAAATGAGGCGTTTCAGCAGAGCTTAAAGGTACAGGGGTCTTCAAAGATTTGAATGTAAGATTGCATAGCGTGTACAAGCGCCCCATAAATCATTCGGTAGTCGACCCCGAATGTTCCAAAGGTCTCCACTAACGCAGACTGAATAATTACTCCTGACTCGCTCTCTTTCTCTTTCTTCCTGCTTCACGATACCCTTCCCTCCCTTCCCCGTTCTACTAATGCGGCATGAGCACTGATCGCATCTTTGATCAAAACGGGTAAGTTGCAAATCCACCGTCTTCCGTCACGCGGCGATCTGGGCGACGTTGCGCCGATTACACTGCGCCAGCCCAATTACACCCGGTCAGCTTCCCACGACAGGACGGTGCCAGGCTGACTTTTCCTCCCCACGCGCGCATAGGATGATTTAGAAATTTGGTTCCTACCCAGTGTCTTCCCCGTCATCGGTTCGCGACACAAAGAGAACCCGAGCCCTCGAGAACCCTAGATAAGCCCTTGGGCTCAGTCTCAACCATGCAGACCTTCAAAGCACCCGACTTCTTGGAAACCGGGGCCGTGTCGTCTCGCTCGCGCAGCCCCAGTGTCGTTTCCACCGATTCGCAGTTCTCCCGAGTCAACCTCATGTCCCCGCCAACCGTGAGGCCGCCCCCCGCTTTCATATCGGCATCTGCAGCTTCAGAGATCATCTCCGCCGATCAGGAGTTCAATGCCGCCGACTTTGTTCCCGAGGATGAGGTGACTGGCAACGGTGCCACCGCGCTGGTGACACCCGCTGCACTCTCGCTCCTAAACGGGTTCCTGGATAACCTTCTTTACAACATTCTTGCCTCGTCCAAATCAACGCAAATGGCGTGCATTCGCCCCGCAATGGCCGATGTGCTGAAGCCCCGACTTGCTCAAGAAGTCGTGGCTGCGGCCGAAGAAGAACTGAGCGAGTACATGGGCGGAGAGGAGGACGAGCAGACTGAATTTCGCGGTGGTCAAGAACCTGGTGGTGACTTTGATCTGGTGCGGTCATGGAAATTGACCCGTCTGAGATGTATGGTCTACACCCGCCTCGGCGACATGGAGGAGGACGACGAGGACGAGTTTATTGCACAAGATGGACTTGGTGAGAACGATGGGGCACCCCGCCGATTCACCAGTCATGTCGACAACATCACTCCTGCAGCATCTATATTCCTTACCTCGATTATTGAATACATCGGTGAACGTGCGCTCGTTATCGCTGGCGAGACAGCGCGGTCTCGATTGTTGACACAACTCAACGACGATGAGATGATCGGCCCCGAGGAGGAGCGAAAGAGAATCACTCGATTGGTGGTAGAGGATCTCGATATGGAGAAACTGGCCCTGAATGCGACCCTGGGTCGGTTGTGGCGGACGTGGAGAAAGCGCAGGCGCGGTACCACCATCTCTCGGACTTTGTCTCGCGAGTCTATTCGCCGCCGCGGGTACTCTATGGCAAACAGCCGGAAGAGCAGTATTGCGACCATTGAAGAGCCCATTGCACCCAGGGAGCCTGTTCCCCCCGTGGATGTTCCCCCACCTTTCGACCCCGCTACTGTCCCTCTGCCGATGAGCGATTACGATGTTCAGGAAATTGAGGTTCCTGGTTACGTTGGCGATCTGGAAGGCGAGGTGCAGACCATGGAGGCTGTTGTTGCGCACAAAGTGCGACCGCGCAGTCTCATGGTCTTCTCCTCGCCCTCCCTGCTCTCACGATCCCCCGGTTCGGCAACCAACTCTCCTTTGAGCGCGTCGGCCATCGAACCCCCCAAATCGTTCCGTCACCACCGCACAAGGTCTTTGCCGACTGGGGCACCTCCCCCCGACGAGGAGGAACTTGTGGTGCCCGAAGACCAACCCTCGCCTACCCCATCTGAGAAAAAGCAACTCGAGACTATGTACGAAGATGACGAGTCTGCAGAGTTTGTAGATGCAGCCGAGGATGCAGTGGAAACCACCCCTGGCATTGCGATCACCACCGAACCAGGAAGCTCGCGATCACCCGAAGCTGCAGAAAGTTCCGATGATGCAAGAAGGTCAACTCTGCATGAGGAAGCAGTAGCGCCTCCAGCGGTCAACGAAACCATTGCATCCTTGCGTGCTATCGCGGACGATGAGGATTTGACGGATCAAACCAATAGTGCCCGTATCTCCATCGCGTCCCTGGGCGATCGACCGAATCAGAAAGACCCGGAAGTAATTGAGGGCACTGGGACCTGCGAAAAGCCTAAATTGACTTCGGAAATCCAGCGACCAAAAAGGCAGCCCTCTAGGGATATCCTATCATTGCAGGCAAGGTCAATCTCTCCACAGACTAGTGACTCCCAAATGCATGCCGTTGAGGGGCAGATCCCAACGCAAGGGATAGAGTCCACGCCGCCATCTGTGACTCCCGTCGAGGCTGTCACTTCTACTGATCAAGATGCGACTGATCAAGATCAGAACAAGACGATGATGATTTCCACCCCTAGTGGGTCCCTTTCTGAGGGCAAAGAAGACACTCAAACTTCAAAATCTCAAGGATTCCCTCTGGAAGACTCCCGCCCAAATTCTGCTTCAGGCGATTCTCAACGGTCGAAGATTCGCCCAAGACCTGCTCCTTTGGTTGTCGCGGGGAGTAACTTGAGCCCCTCCAGTGAACGCGCTGCTGTACAGCGCATGGGTCCCCGCCCATCGACATCAGGTTCTCCCTCCCTCCACTCCCATTCGCGTCGTTCCGGTAGCTTCGGTAGCGCTCGTGAGATCAAGCGCCCAGTCACAGCTGGTTCAACAACATCCCAAGTTTCCAGCAGGCTGAAAGGCCTCATGGGTCGACCGCAAGGTGACGGGCACTCGCTCCGGTTGCGCAGCTCGTCCGAGACAAGTCGTGCATCTGGCGCCAGTGCAGACTCCGCAGACAATGACATTGCCGACTTGGACAAGTTGATCAACAGCGACGAGACCATCCACTTTACCCTCACCCCGAAGAGTGTGAGGGAGATGTCCTTCCCAGAACCGCCCAGCCGCCCAATCCCCCGCTCAACCGCCCTAGGCGCCGATAGCGCGAATGAGCTCCTGAAAACCAATTCCCCGTCTAGCGAAGAGAAGCACCGTGCCCGTGCTTCAGTTTCCTCTAAGGCAACTGGGGCAACCGCCGGTACTGCAGGCACCGGAAGCAGTGGTGGCATGACAACAGCCTCTCGCACAAGATCGATCGAGTCCAAGCACATCCCAAATTCAGCACGCATCACCCCCACTTCTTCAATCTCGACGTCAAGGTCCAACAAGGCGGCCCAAGCCCGCGACGAGCGGGCGCCTGCAGATTCCACGAATGACTTCGCGGAATTCATGAGGTTGACTGGCCCTCCACCCGCGTCCACCAACGCGCCGCCCAGTGCACCTGCTAATGCAGCTGCCAGTATGTCGCCCGAGCCAAAGACTCCGGCTTCAATCGAGCCCAAGACTCCAGTCTCAAACGAGCGACCAAAGCCTGTTCGCCCTCCTTCTAGTCAGTCAGTCGCATCCCGCGCTACGGCTACATCCCGCGCTACAACTACATCCCGCGGCAACAGACCCAGACTTCAGGCTCGGTCCGCCGAGACCAATGGGTCATCCTCGGACCTCATCGACTTCATTCGCGAGGGCCCCCCAATGCCAGCAGGTGCTCACCGGATCCCTCGCACGGTAGCACCTTTCCGCAACACCATTGATTCGGATGATCTTCATATCGACGCAACTAGCTCGACCGCCAGTACGGGCAACGGGGTCACGCCAGACAAGTCCATGTCCTCACTTGGCTCGCGAACAGGATTGTTGGACTCGGCGAAACAGAACAACGCTACGGCATCGGGGAGCGCAATGGCTTTCGACGACCCCCAGCCTCCTGCTCGGAAGCAACGACGCGTGCCAGACCCCTATGCCATCGATGACGACGACGATGATGAGCTATTGGAAGAGCTTTTGGAGTTAGAGGAGAACCCTAAGCCCAAGCGTGAGGAGGAGAGTATGATGGACTTCCTTCGCAGTGCCCCTCCTCCACCCTCATCCGATGAACCTCCTCAGCCATTCTTGACTTCCAATCCCGCGTCCAATGGCTCTTCCGGTACCTCTGGGATGAAAGCTCGCTTGCTCCGCGGTACCCAGAACCCCCTCCGCCCCCAGAATACCGCCCCCAAGACCCCCGCCAACTATTCGGCAAAGGTTGGCCAAGAACGCTTCCAAGGCTCTATGCCAAATCCTTCAAACCGCAAAACCGATACTAGCGATCTCGCAGACTTTCTGCGAAACTCGGAACCCCCGCGTCCGCCCCAACCGGCTCCAAAGCCGAAGGATGGCGGCTTCGCTCGATTCTTCACACGCCGAAAAAAGACAGAAGCCTGAATGGCTTGAAGTACCCTACATGTCTTGCTTTACTGAGCGTTCATCCTTCTTTCTAATCTAACGATCTACATATCATGTCCATCGCTTCAACCTTTCTTGTTAGTGCGACAGCACAGCCCATTCATGTTCCTTTCTCAAATTCGTTTACATAGAGTCATGTCTTCCTATCATTGTGTTCCGTGGCTACGACCGGGTGGCTTTTTGATCTCATCACTTGCATCTGACTGCGAAACTTATCTATTCTTTTTATTTATCCATCATTAATGGGACATTCAGCGAGTCATGGACGTTGGCTTTTTCTTTCTATTGAGACATCAGTTTTGCTTTTGTGGATTTTGAGATACCATGATTGTCCTCGCCTTGAGCCATTGGCCACCAGAAACAAATATTACAGAACATTCACTCTTACATGCTACGATATGATATGGTAGAAATCAAAGTAATATTTTCTCGTGGACTGAGTGTTCCTAGTAGCCCTGCATGACTGCAGAGGCAATGGCAGAGCACTGCTGTATACATAGATAGATCTTGGCCGGAACAACGTTGTCCCGCAATCGCTCCCCTTACCAGGTGGCATCAACAACCACGCATCCGTGTTTACAATCGTCAATTCCACGCCACGATCATGGGCGCCTCACCAATTACACTAAGGAGCATTCTTGGCTTCCTATTTGTCTTCGTGCAGCTGGCCTCTGCCCTCAAATTTGACCTCACTGCCACCTCAGGCGGCGGCAAGAACGAGCGATGCATCCGTAACTTCGTCTCGAAGGACCAGCTGGTCGTTGTTACTGCCACTGTCGGCGGCACCAAGGGTGACGGACAGAAGGTCAACATTCACGTATGTGGTATCCAACCTGGGCAAAAAACCAGATAGGCGCAGTCTAGCGGCTGTCAGAACAACCCAACGCCCACCAATCCCCAGAATCACATACATGGGCCCTCGCTGACCTCCGACTTTCAATTATAGATCAAGGACGCAATGGGCAACGACTATGGCCGCCCCAAGGACGTGATCGGTGAAACCCGTCAACTTTTTACCTCGCCCGCGGACACCGCGTTCGACGTCTGCTTTGAGAACCAGCTCACCGGCCACAGTAAGCACATTGCAATCAGATCATGAACTATTGACCAACAACCACAGATGGTATTTCCAACCCCACCCGACCCATCGAACTCGACGTCGACATTGGCGCCGATGCCCGCGACTGGAACAGCATTCAGCACCAGGAGAAGCTCAAGCCCGTTGAGACGGACCTTCGCCGTATCGAGGAGATGGTCACTGATATTGTGACCGAGATGGAGTACCTGCGCGAGCGTGAGCAGCGTCTGCGTGATACGAACGAGAGCACCAATGAGCGAGTCAAGTGGTTCGCTTTCGGCACTATGGGTATGCTTGTCGGGCTTGGTGCTTGGCAGGTTGTTTACCTGAGAGCTTACTTCAGGTATGATCATGTCGAGGTGGAATGGGAGGTGAAAATAGATTCGGTCACTGACTTTGTTGCAGATCTAAGCACCTTATTTAGGTTTTCGGCCTCGGGGTTGCTTGCATATTTTGTCGGTTCTTTTTGGTTTGGTAGCTGCATTGCAAATCTCTTCGCTTGTCGAGTGGCATTCTGTTCTAACAGTCATGATCTCAATGATATAAAATGTAAACCATGCTTTTTGCAGCCTGGCCATAATAATACTTTTTTTTGCATGCATGCATGTATGTATACTTCCCAGCCCTGTAGTGGCGCTGATCCAGGTACTGCATCTATGAATGCTTAGCTGCCATTACAACTTAGAAAGCTGCTCGTCGAACGCTAAGCTTAAATTTGTGAAATAACTGAGCTTGTGAGCAGCTTCAATTGGCGTGCCGGCATATCTATAGATACAATGATCCACCTAAACAAGCTACAAGTTCGGGACAATTGTATACCGGTTGCCACAGGTACTATAGGTCCTCTAAATGTGTTGCAAATGTGTTTTTGATCAAAACGACAACATTCTGTGAGATATTAGGCATTTTACAGCTCTCGCATTTGTAGCAAGAATGAGCCTATAGCATAGAGATGTTTACATTGCAGTGCAAACGGTGCAAACACCGGGCATTGCAGGAGCTTTTCGGTTCCCCGACATTACGGCGGATGATGTCAAAGCCGAAGCATTCAACCCCAACTCCTCCCAAGTGAACACGAGATTACAACCTTTCTCGTAGAAAGATATGTCTACTTCACGCTTTGTCTGTCGCCTCGCGCGACCAGTGCCGTCTGGCTTTAGCCCAGTTTCACCATCAATCCGGCAATTCGGTACGTCGGCTCGACGCCTGCAAAATGCCAGCGATGAAGCTTCCAAGGCGACACAGCAGCACCGCGCCAACCAGGCCAACAAGCCTCCCAATCAGTTCGTCCCCAACACAACTTCGACCATGACAAAGGACTTCCCCAATGTCGGCAAAAAGCCGGCGCCTCCAGAGATGCTCAACTCTGTCGAGCCCAACTACCGGCCTGCCGATCCGTACCCGGGAAAGATTGAGCATTTCACCGGCGGTCGCCAGGATAACGGCGCGCAAAAGCCCGAGCTTGACGTCGGCGAGATGGAAGGCATCACTTTCAAGGTTGAGCCCTTGAAGCGTGTTGGGGAGGAGCTTGCGACCAAACGGGCACGCCTACTATGTTCGTCTCCATCCATACCAGCACCCGGCTGACAAGCATTTGCTGGTGCATCGACCCACTAAGAACCACATGCTAATCAACTCTATCTAGATCAAAGTCGCAAGCGCGGAATTTTGGAGTCAGACCTGCTTCTCTCCACTTTCGCAGATGTCAACTTGGGTAAGATGAACTACGACCAGCTCGTCGAGTACGATAGCTTCCTTGACGAGAATGATTGGGACATCTACTACTGGGCGACCCAGGACTCTCCAGAGGACCTTCCTCCTTCCACTCCCAAGGAGGATACCATCACCGAGACTTGGAAGGAGACTGGTGCCAAGAGTGGTGAATGGGCGCAGACAATTGGCGCTTTCAGAGCCGCTTACCGTCCTGTTCCAACACGTTGGCAGAATTCCGAGGTGCTCACTTTGTTAAGGGAGCATGTTCGTGATAAGAGTGCCACGGGCTTTGAGAAGGCGAAGAATAAGAAGACTGGTGGCGGCGGCGGTTTGGGCAGAATGCCTGACGTCCAGGTTTTTGACAACTAAACCGAAGACACGGAGCTCAGACGAACCGTTGAACTTGAGATTTGTACTATATTTTGTCCAGAGGCGTGTATTAAAAATGGTGTATATTGGCGAAACTAGTGCAAGACATGGTTGAAGTCAGGCTGCTATGGCCGGAAGACGACAAGACCACTTGGAAAAACATCAAATTCCAATACTCTCGACCGTCATAATGATAGCTCGAGATCAATATCCGAGTTCTGCACCTGCGGGCATACTCCACTTGATAGAGTCGATAAGATAAGGATCAGGTGACCTTCGCTTAATGAGGGCTCCGCGGAAGGCACACACCAATGGCAAGAGCGGCTTAGGGCTTGAGCGGGCAGGTCTGTCTCCCGGTTTCGATTTTACTCACCCCCCAGAGTCAACGACAATCTCCGCCTATCCTCCTCCCTCCTTCATCACTCATTTCCATCATGGCTGAGCAGCTGGTTCTTCGCGGCACCCTTGAGGGCCACAATGGCTGGGTTACTTCTCTCGCCACCTCCCTGGAGAAGTAAGAACGACCTATTCCGAATGCGCAGATTGAATTTTTGATGGGACAATCTTCTGACTTGAACGTTTGATAATAGCCCCAACATGCTGTTGTCCGCTTCCCGCGACAAGACCCTGATCATCTGGAACCTTACCCGTGATGAGCAGGCCTACGGTTACCCCAAGCGCAGCCTCGAGGGTCACTCCCACATCGTCTCTGACTGTGTACGTTTCTCCCCCCGAATGAACCGAATTTGGACGCGACAACCCAGGATTGGAGGAAAAGAATGGAGCAAAGTTCTCAAGATGGAACCGTTTTGGCTGACCGTTGGTCTTGTCTGCGTTATAGGTGATCTCCTCCGACGGTGCCTACGCTCTGTCCGCTTCTTGGGATAAGTCTCTCCGCCTCTGGGAGCTCTCCACCGGAAACACCACCCGCACTTTCGTCGGCCACACCAACGACGTTCTGTCCGTCTCGTTCTCCGCCGACAACCGTCAGATCGTCTCCGGATCCCGTGACCGCTCCATCAAGCTGTGGAACACCCTCGGTGACTGCAAGTACACCATCACCGACAAGGGCCACACCGAGTGGGTTTCCTGCGTCCGCTTCAGCCCCAACCCCCAGAACCCCGTCATTGTCTCCGCTGGCTGGGACAAGCTCGTCAAGGTACGCTATCGATCTCGAAATTTCCTACAGAATTCTCTTCTCTCGCATTGCTTTGCCCGCGTGATGTTTGCAATAAACGTATTTGCTACTTCAGAGCCCTCCGGGGCCATGAGACAACTTTCACCCAATTTGCCTGATGGGCATAGCAACAAATTTTTCTTGTTTTTTCTGTTTGGTTTTTGAATGATTGGAGGACTCGGAAAATTTTTTCCTTGGACACTTTCACTTCACTACGAGGTCATGACGCTGACAATACATCCGCGTTTAGGTTTGGGAGCTCGCTTCTTGCCGTCTCCAGACCGACCACATCGGTCACACCGGCTACATCAACACCGTCACCATCTCCCCCGACGGATCCCTCTGCGCTTCCGGTGGCAAGGACGGTACCACCATGCTCTGGGACCTTAACGAGTCCAAGCACCTCTACTCCCTCTCCGCTGGCGATGAGATCCACGCTCTCGTCTTCTCCCCCAACCGCTACTGGCTGTGCGCTGCCACCAGCAGCTCCATCACCATCTTCGACCTCGAGAAGAAGAGCAAGGTTGATGAGCTCAAGCCTGAGTTCGTTGAGAAGGGCAAGAAGAGCCGTGACCCCGAGTGCATCAGCTTGGCTTGGTCCGCTGATGGCCAGACTCTGTTCGCTGGTTACACTGACAACAAGATCCGTGCCTGGGGTGTTATGTCGCGCGCATAGATTTGAGTTGTTGTAACGGAGCTTGAGGAGCCTCTTTTTGTTCTATTGACAAGGGAATTGAAAAAAAGTCCAAAGAATATGGCAAGAAGAGCATTGGTTTGGGATGTATGAGCCACGAGCAATGAAGCACTTCGAGCCGGGACCAAGTCGTCCCCGGCCCGAGGGTTTTCTGACATGTCTAGCTATACTTGGTCCGCATTGAACGGAATGTTTGGATTCTAGTTCAAGGCATGTGATGTTCTAATACCAGTTAAGGCATCAAAATGTTTCCTATTTTTCTCTATATTTTAAAGCTTTCTTGAGGTCTTCCGGCGTAGTAGCCTTCTAAGTATCCACACGTTTGTGAATTAGAGTGCCCCGTCGTTGGTATGTACCACCTTTGCTATGTGTTTCGCCACTTTTGAGGTGCAAAAAAGTAGTCAGATATACAGGAGTTGGTTCTATTTGTAATTTGTCGTAATGTACATCAGGCTATATCAATGCCTCCATAGAAAGTCCGTTAGTTCTTTCCAAGTCTCTTCAAGGCTTCTTTGGCCATCAGACTTCCTTCCTGGTATCCTATCTTGTCAGCCAATTGCCGGGCCTCGGTATAACGCTGCTTGGCGACATCAGGCTTCTTTTGTAGTTCAGCTAACTCGCCCAGGTTATAAGTCGCAACGACGCAAGTAAGATCACATTCCTCATCGCGCACCGGGGGTTGAATGTGCGCCGCAACCTCGATGGCCTTTTCAGCCCACTGGCGAGCTGACTCAACGGTCTGCGCTGCGGCAACAGGCTCCTGTGGCTGAGCCTTGGCCGGCACTTGGACCTGGCCAACTAACGCGGATGCAACACCGTTAAGCAACACGACCTGCTTGCAGGAGATGGCGCTGCCTTCTGCGTGGCGGATCAAATCCAACGCACGTAGATACAACGGCATGGCCAAATCATACCGTTCCTTGGCGGTATACGTAGTGGCAAGCTCGGCCAAAGCCGTCGCAATCTCAGTGAGGTTCAGCCATGCGTCGCCCGCTGATCCATCATCACTGTTAGAGCTACCAACAGGAAGACCAAGTTTTTGGCGGCGGTGCATCTCCTTCAAGCAAAGCTCCACGGCGGCGACCTGCGCAGCCTCGGCTTTCTTATCCTCCTGGATGTGCTCGCTGGAGTAAAGCTCGCCAAGCTTCATCATAATTCCAACGACTTTCTTGAGCGCCTTGTCGCGTTGACGAACCTCATATTGGGCCAAGGCTTCCAAATCCTGCGCGGTTTCTTGCTTGGTCGAAGTATCAACTTCGATATTGGCACTTGTCTTTTGCGCTTGATCTTGCGCCTCCTTTACCTTTGCGGCGGCAGCAACAGCATCACCTGCCCGTCCCGCGTCCACCCAGGCAAGAGTCTCGATCTTTGTCCGTTCCAATACATCGATAGCCGGCTTCACCAACCCAGCTTTCTCCAGCATCATAGCAGCCTGAAGTTTGATGCCCAGCACCTCGTCTGAGAATGGGTGAACATCGAGCTCGGCTGCTATCCGCAGTGCCTCCTTGTATGCCTTGAGCGCCTTGGGTGGGTTCAGGTCGATCTCGGTGTAGTAGACAGCGGTGCGGAGGGCATCGGCCACGGGTGGTGGGAAGTTGTGGTACTGTGGACCAACACGCGTCACTTCCACGTATGAAATGTAGGCGAATATGAAGGCTCCGCCGACAATGGAGAAGATAGCAAGTGGCATGAGGACGGGGTTCTTGCGCCAGATTCCTTTTGATGCTTCGCGGTATCGGCGCCCGATCTTTTGCAGGATCGTCAGGTGTCGTGTGCCGGAGATGTAGGGAGTAGCCAGAGGCCTAGCATTTTTAATTTGGCTTTGGAGGGTTGGCCGGGTGGTGGTGGTGGTGTAGATTGAATGGGCTCGGCTCTTTGGTTGTGACTGTAGAAGTTTTGCGACGTTCGCGCCAGTGCGCCGTGATGCTGCTCGGAACATGATGGTTGTGTGATTCAATTGAATTAGATTGAGTGAAATGTAAGACCACCAGAATCAATGTGTAGTACTGATGTTCGGGGAGTGATGGTGGTGAGTTGATGATCGCAGTCGATTTTCTCGTGGTCCAAGCTCCGCTCCGCTGCATGACGTCGCCTGAAGTATGCACTCTCTGCTGCCTTTCTGTTCTCCTTGTAAACCACCTTCGTTTATTTCCAATTCTAAACTATTGGTCTTTGGAAATCTTTGATATTGCTCAACATGTGTGGGCGTTATGCTTTGGGCGTGGTAGGTTGTCGCCACCTGCATCTATATATACCATCCACACTGACGGTCTCTAGCGGTTGGCCTATGTCCAACAACGCCTGCAAGAACAGGGAATGCGAGTAGACGAAGCACCTGACGATGACACAATCCGAGAGACATACAACTTTGCACCTGGAAACTTTGGTGCTGTCTACCGCGCCGAAAGAGTGATCAAGGAACGTAACCAGGTCGGACAAGAAGCAGATGCCGACAACGAAGACCATCCCTTGAAAAAGAGCAATGACGGTCAGACGAAAGAAGAAAACCCCTCAAACAGTCCTGCTCGCAGGTATAAGCTTCAGAGCATGAAATGGGGCCTGATCCCATTCTGGACAAAACGACAACCGGACTGGGGATCCATGATGCGCACGATCAACTGCCGTGATGACTCGCTGATCGAAGATTATGGCATGTGGACCACAATGAAAAGAGACAACAGATGTGTTGTTGTCTGCCAAGGCTTCTATGAATGGCTGAGAAAGGGCCCCGGGGGAAAAGAAAAAGTCCCTCACTACGTGAAGCGCAGAGACGGGGAATTGATGTGCTTTGCCGGCCTTTGGGATTGTGTTTCTTATGAGGGTAATGTCTATCTCTTGCCTTTGAAACAGCGGTTGGATGATTGCTAAACTTGCAAAGGTTCCGACGAAAAGCTTTATACCTATACGGTCATAACAACATCTTCCAACTCTTACCTCAAATTCTTGCATGAACGCATGCCGGTCATCCTGGACCCTGGCAGCGACGCCATGAATACATGGCTTGACCCGCTTCGAACAAGTTGGTCGAAAGAGCTGCAGTCGATTCTCAAGCCATATGAGGGCGAGCTTGAATGCTACCCTGTCCACCAAGATGTTGGGAAAGTGGGAAATAATTCGCCAAACTTCATTGTTCCGGTCGACAGTAAAGATAATAAAGGCAATATCGCCAACTTCTTTGCCAATTCTCCAAAGAAAGCGCCCGTTCCGTCAAAACCAAGACCAGCAAAAGATGAGCGCCCTACCAATGACATCGAATGGAGTGAAGACAACGCCCCAAAGCCGGTGCCAGCCCTCAAGAGAGAGCATAGTCCAGATACAGCAGGTGATGCAGAAGATAATTCCAAACCCGAAGTGGAGACAGAACCAACAAACTCGTCGCCGCAAAAGAAAAAACTGCGAAGTGCAACCCAAAATAGTCCGATGAAGGGATCCAATGGAACGAAAGCCCCTAGAGCACAGCCAATTACGAACTTTTTCAAGAAGTGAACGTTATCAGGTTGATCCCTATCATAGAGGGGATCCTGATCCCTCCCCTAAACTGGATCGGCTTGAAATGTGTTTTTCCGATGAGAATGGCAAAGGTAACGATGTCATTTGTCTTTAGTATTACGATAATGTTAAACAAACCTCCCGTGAATCATATGAAGCACGTTCAGCTGGACTTTTCAAGTTCTTGGAGCTTTTGTACAAGCTTCTCCCTGAGGAAGGGGCTCAATCCAAAGCTGTGTCTATCGTCAGCATCCATAATTGTACCAGATGATCTTCACTCAAGCAAATTAAAGAGGAGAGGTACTCACATTCCATCTCGTGTCACAACGCGGTAAGTACCTGGGGGAAGTTAGGTTAATTTGTCAGGCCCCGCAAATGAAGAAAGCATACCGCTTGGTTGATAATTTCCGTTGCCCCCAACAAATTGACCACTGGCATCAACCTCAAGGCTTCCGAACATATCCTCCGGCCTGAGAAGTTAGTATTACTCTCAACCTAGGTGACTCGCAGGCCACGAGAACAGAAATCCACATACCAAGCAATTCGACCATAGTCAGGCGGCCGCCTGCCATCGGAGACATGAATCCAACCACCACGACCACCAGAGCCCGCACCACCCTGACCACTTGCACCGCCGCTCGAATCACCACTCTCATTGCGACGTCTGCGTCCACGCTGACCACCCAATAGCACACCGCCCGAGCTCAAGTTTGCACCGGCAATTGATACCATGACCTGAGCTTGGGACTTAGCATCGGGATCTTCGACCGCATGCTCAGAGCATACTTCCTGGAGAACATCCAGGAACTTGGGGTTCTCTTTGAACGAGTCTGTTGTCGGTGGAAGTTGAGTTGTGAGTCCAATGGCCAGTTCTGGGTTTACTGGCTCAGAAGGTAGCAATGACAGGATGTGGCTTCCACTTGCTGGTCCATTGGTTGGGTGTACGTACTGCCAAGCTGTCAGCATTGAACAGGATTGTAGACATGCTTTCATATGTGTAAAGACACGAAAATACGTACTATGTATGGGGTTCCTTCCAGGGTTGATACACAGCGAAATTGAGTCCTCATTAGAGGAGCTCGAGTCTGCCGGCTGAGCAACCTAGTTGTAAACATTTTTTTTTTGAAAACAAAGTAGTGAATATTCGGCAGCCTTGTAATAAAGACCGAGTATTAATGGGTTAGCCAACAATTGCATCCAAGTTTGTCATATGGAGTAAATGACAGGCGGTTCGAAGGGCGGTGTACTGGCGTTATGGAGATTGAGCATACTGCCGGAGATTTGATGTCGCCAGGCGGTGAGCTTCCACTATGACGACTCCCACGTGATCCAATCTTTTTGAGCTGTTTGGACTTCGACATTCAGAAACGGCGCTTGTGCAAGAATTCATGGGAAAGGGGGAGCTTTCGGATGGGCCATGATATTCAATCTATAATTTAATCAGGCAACAAAATTTTCACATATCATTTGGCCACATACCCACCCGCGTGGATGTGAATTGAGTCGCATCCAAGATACCAAGCAAGTCCTTTGCTTTGTCCTTCGCTTCCTTCATTTGATACCTGTGTTTTGACCTCACTTATCCCTGTCACTTCTCGAATATTTGTTTGCCATGGCGACTCCTTCCGTTAAACCTGGCACAACGCCGACTCATTTGTCTTCTCCCCACCCCTCCTCCGCGCCTCTCTCCCGATCTCTAGCCCACAGGTCTCCTTCCATGAGAACCCCAACAGGCTCGGGCCCAGCACACGGCCAAACCAGTGTATCGTCACATCAATACTCCACACCTCTCGCTGTCACGAGTGGGGTTGACGACCCGGTAAATTTCAGCTCTCCTTCAGCACTCTTGGCGCTCGGGGGGTATACTGGGATCAGTCCTTCACCTGCAGTACATGATGGCCTTGGTACGGGAATGAACGAGAATGATATTCAAAATTTGGGCATGCAAGGTCTCAAGCTTGGGGTCGCGCGCGACAACGACGAAGAGCAGAGAAATCGCATTGAGGAGGTTGTTCAATTGTTGCGCGCACGCGTTTCGGGGAGAGGCGTTAGCCGTGAGAGCGTGGAGCGATTAAGTCGGCTTGAAGGATTCGAGTCCATCTGGCAGGACGATAACCTCAACATAGCAGGAAACTTCGTCGACTTGGAAGTCGAATTCTATTCCGGCCTCGATGTTGTCAAGGACGTCAGTTTACGCTACGCCACGCCAGAATACACAGAAGGTGTGCGGCGTGATCAGGCTACGACAGTCTTGAAACGCACCCTTGCGCAGTCGCCGGAGGATGCAGATATTGGAAAGTGGAGGTCACTACAAGAATTTCACGAGAACCTGCAATGGCTTGCCAAGCTTGACAAGCTCAGCCAGGAGGTCAATTGTTTTGAAGCATTGGAGAATCTTGAAGAGAACTTCAAGCGGATTTGGGTCGAGGAAAGCAAGAATGGCAAACATGGTGGTGAATACCAGCACCTTTGCACAGGTGTTCTCGGGCGTCCTAGAATGCACAAAGGCACCCGAATTGGCCTCGGCTTGGAATATTGGGTTGAACAGGCCAAAGTCCTGGATGCGAAAAACAGCAAGCAATCGTCAGATGCCATGGAAATTGACCAGCAACAAGATCAGGAGTCGAAGATTGAGCTGGAGGACCAAGACAGATCATGGGCCGTCATGGTTGAATGTGAGGTGGGATATCCCTCTCTTCGCATCTCAAAGGACTGGGTCGGGAATGAAGCATTAACTGCAGGCGAAAGCAATGAGTCGCTTCCTTCTAATGGTGCCGCGGGCTCTGTGAACTGGCTGGATCCTCCACAGACCATGCGCTTGACACACGGTAACCATGACCCCATGGCCATGGACTCTAGCATGCTGGAGTCGTCACCGCCCAACCGTCGTTTCGTCGCTAGACTGGAGCCGGCCCTTGACGTCCCCATACTTGCCGCCTCTGACATCTACCGACACCTCGGCATGCAATTGCCGCAGGAATTCAAAATAGTGACATATGACGCCTTGCTGGTATCAGATTCTTCGCCAAATTTGTCAGGCTCGTCTCCCCACCTTGGCCGCAGGAAGCGCAAGATGCAGGTACAGGCGGTCGACTCGAAGGGTGAGCAACAGACGAAACAGCATAACTACACCTTCCAGGCGTTTGAGTCCATTGCTGGTCGGACTATTACTGAGCTGCCGTTTTCGCACCCACGACAACTTGCGGACATTCTTCCGGTATGGCACGGTCCGCTTATTCTTGCAGTAATCTAAACTGATCCTTTTCAGATTCTCCGACAATACGCAATGCTGGCCAACTTGATCAAAAAAACATTCCAATTACCTGATCCAGAGGCAGGCGAAACTAATGGAACCTCCGCTAAAACTCCCTCCCCACCACACCACGCGCCACACGAAACCGAAAGCCTGGACGGTATCACTATTTTGAACAACGATGACCCCAATGAGGGTAGACTAGATTTCCTGCTTGGTCTGAGCACAGCAGAAGGAAGCAACTCAAATTCCAGCCACGGAAGCACGACCCCTCTCAGTGGGGGAAAAACTCTTGCTCAGTCCCTTATGGACGACGTTAAAGTGGATGTAACATTGCGCACCCAACTTGGGCAAGCACCTGCTTTGATGTTATTGATTACGGACCAGAAGAGTCGAGATGGGGACTCCCAAGTTCAAAAACCCCGCCAAATCGCAGTCTGCTTTGAGGTCGGGCTGAACGGCCAAGTCTCGGTTGTAGAGACTGCAGGGTTGACAGATCGCGGAAGCAGCGGTGACGCGGAAATGCAGGGCACAGACGACTCTGGCTCCGGGGCTGGAGAAATCCAAAAGCAGATTGCTAGAGTGCTTGAGGTCTCACAAGACTTGGGCATCCTTGTGGAGTGGGTTTTGCGTTGGCTCCAGCAGCGGACTGACGGGTAAGGATTGTGGCGCTTAACCCAATCTCTTGGGACATCCTTGCACATGAAACTAGTGTACGTGGGTGTTACCTTACCTGCATATGTACCTAGAGCAGTGTTTACCGGAATTTAGGCCATAATCGCGATTGTCCTGATCGGGGTGCCGCTTTATGAGAAACCTTAGGGTACTGCCCATTGAGTATTTTCCAACGCAGGGTATTTCGTCCTGCTGTGGACGACTGCCTAGGTGGCCCGCAGGCCCCGACAGCTAACCACACCCATCCCCAAGGCTAGCTAAGCCATCAGACGACTTGAAGATTAACTACGACCCTAGGCGGCTGTTCCGCTGCCTGAGGGTATTGTAATTCATTGAATTTATGCCAGTGATCGCTCACATGTGCCAGTGTAATCCTCGCCCAAAACCGTTTATAAGTACGATGTACTTGGTACTGGTAGTGATTTGGTCCTAACTGCCATACCCTACGTGTTTCGATTTGTGCTTTAACTATGAGATTATTCTTGCACCAGCCCTGTAGCCCCTTTGGCCCGAATCTAGGATTGAAAGAAAACAGAGGCTATATGAAATGCTCCAGTGGAAAAGTGACATTCAACATGTTGATTCATTCCTTGCCATACGTCCAAGGCATTGCGACTAATTTTACTTGAAACCTTTAGATGGTTATCTAAGTATAGATCCATAAGTATCCGTCGCCATATCAAGAGTCGTACCCAGACGATGCTCAGTTAACTCAGTGAGCAAAAAGCGGCGAGGGGTGAGCACTGGAAGGGAATACCATTTCTCGCAACTTAAATCCGATATATACGAACTTTATTACTTAGAATAAGTACTAGGTCTCCGCGCTCCGTACATGTACGGAGCGCGGAGATCGGAAATGACTAATGTTCTGCATCGCCGGCTGTTCCAGCGCATGGCCACGATGCACAGTTGATAGATCCGAAACCCCACAAGCTGCAGTCTCTGATTTGCTTGATGCACTACGGGGCAGAAAAAGAACAACGGACAAGAAACGTGGCATGAAGCGAAATATCGCGCTCTGAATAGTCTCATTTTGGGCGCAGAGAGGGGGGATCTCTACATGAGAGCGCTTGGTAGAAGCTACAAGTGCTGGATGCCCAGGTGGTATTCAGCGCTACCTTAGCAGGAGCTTTCGTCACAGAATCCCTAGCATTGATCGTCCCATTATGCTTGCCTTGGACTTTGGTTGGTAACCTTGAAAGTAGCTTAATTGCCGTTGTGATGACCCTGGTAGATCCATGGCGCGGAACCGGAGGGGTGGATGTCGATGCTTGGGGGCCATGCTTGATGCTGTATTCTAGACTTGTTGTAAGAAGTTCTCCGTACGAGTACAGTCAGGACACCACCCAAGTGCATCTACCGAGCTCCGACAGGGTCCCACTTAGGGTACAAGGTTGGGCACTCCTGCCGTCAAATTTAGGTGTCGGGGCATATTCATGTGGACGGTTCATCTCTGCATACTGCGCTGGCCTAGCTAGGCATAAGGTACAACTTTAGAACCCAGCATATCGGACATATCATCCTAAGGCTCCAGGGTATCTATGGTCTTCCTGAAGTCCAAGGGATGGCTGGGAACTTACGAGTCATTCCAACCTCATAAAAATCCCATTGTATACATCTCCAGCCTGGATCCAACCCAGCTCTAGAGCTCTTCCTAGGCACTCCGGACTGCGTACACAACTCTATATTTTTCGACAACCCCTTGTGCCGCCAAAATATAGATCCGAAACCAAGCCATCCCCGATTCTTACGAAAGCGCATGCGTACATGTGAGATGCAGACTGTTTCAGAGTCGATCAGATAAGTCTAGACCGTATACAATGCGGGGGGCAGTGGACCGTGCCATGTGCGTCACTTGTAGTTCCTACATATGTCCGAGGCTGCCTGGGACATGACACGACGGGTCAGGTGCAAAGCGTATACAGGAGGTATTCGATTGATGAATGGGTAGAGGAGACGCGCCGAGCCGGGTTTGTATTTTATAAGAGATCTGGGCGTCAAGGAAATGTCGATCGCATGGTGGTTCTAAAGTTTTTTTGTCCATTTTCGGTCATCGACCGAGATGTACGAGTACGGTGTACGAGTAGGGATTGGACGCGAGGTATTAGATGGCTTTGATTTTAGCCAACGGGTTCGTCAGGTGCGCGGGCATGCAGCCTATTTATTGAGCCGTGCGGTAATTGAAAGCTTCCAATGCGATCTTGACACTCATCTATTGGAGTATGTTCATACTGTACAGAGTACTTTGGGTCAGGCGTTGGAAGGAGAGCGAGAAATCTCCGAGATGCTACACTGCAAGGTTATTATCCCTGCCCCTCAGTTTAGATGGAGCGATCTATGTCATCATCGGTAACTAGTTTCTGAGAACAAGGCAGAAACTTGAATTGCCCCTCATTCTGGTTGTTTCTTTTGATACTACGTCGGTCAAACATGTAAAAGATCCTCATTTGTGGAAATAGCAAGTGGTCGTCCAGGAAGACTTGTAGACCTGATGTCAGTATAAAGTCTTGGCGCATGGGCCATCTGGATGTACTCCAGAGAGGACTCCGTATTGTACATCCAAGTGCTCCATACGGAATACTTCAATCAGAACCGGCACCGAAACATCTCCGTATCCTTTTACCAGCAAGGAGTAATGTAGAGTATCAACAATCCATGTGTCATGTTTCCGTTTTCTCACATTCCGATGCGGCATTTAGCAGCATAGTTCTATAAAACGCTCACAAAAATGCGTTGATCAGGGCTTTTCTTCGGCTATTCCAGGTAAGAAATGGAAACCTCTGACCTGACTCATTTGCACACGGCAAATAAGGAGCAAGCAATTACGTGAGTATCAGGGCAAGTGTGCACTTTGCCAGTCAGCGCGGTTTGTCAATGAACTAAGGAGCCAATAGGAGGCCAGTGATAAGAATGTCGATCTACTGTTCTTTTTTTTTAAAAAAAAAATCAATTTTTTAAACGATTTTGTTGGATTCTTTTTACGTGTAGTACACAATTCTACATTGACTTGTTGAATCTGATACTTATTGCTTTGGAGAGTATACATGATAGTATGTCATGCATTGATCTCGGTGTCTGCTGGACTCCGAATATCTCAATCTGTCCGGACAAACGGTACACAGCCCCCGGACTTGGCCGGTGACTAAGCCCGGATTTGGATTGTCTCATGCTATTAATATCCCGGGGTCTTTGTACGAGAAGAACTCAGCCTTGAAGGTGATAACTATATGGAGATATGTATTCAGATCTAAATATGACTTGAAGCTAGGAGTTCGGCATGCTAGTGCCATGTCCGAAAACCTGGAGAAGGGAGCTTGACAGGGCTGAGGATCGGAACACCAGCCACTACCCTTCGATTCCTGAAACTCCCGACATTTGCCTGTCTTCCATTTGCCCACGGAGAAAATACGGGGGAGGAAGATCAAAGTCGCCACTTTTTCTCTGGAGAATCCCTGACTCTCAACTCCCGAGATGCATCTTTTGTACACCCAAGTAGTCTTTACCCAGGATAATGTAGAATTTGACGAGGCGGCTCCCCCCCCTGGAAAAACCCACCCCAAGTCGTGATTTCTACAGTACCTAATCGAAATGGCCGCTATGAATAACCCGAAACCCTTGCCGACCTGTAATACTGCAGTGATTCTCTTATCCATGGCCGACGTCGGGGTGGTTCCAGCTCGGCGGGGCTGTGTAGTCTGATTGGTGTATCAACGGGGGTTTCGAGAACGTTTTGCCACGCCCCCCACCGGCCTATGACTTGATCGATCCCACTTGCGTGGCTGGGCTCCAGAGCTTCTCCATCAAATTGGGTCTGGTGCGGAGCGTATCACCCATGTATTGTATCAGTACTCATCGCCGGTCCGGTCGGTGGGTACCTGTCTATCTTGCTGCAGGAACAGTAGATGCCAGTACTCCGTACTTCGTATATACTGGATCACTATAGTAAGAGACTATTGTACTAAGCTTGCAAGGAATGGCGTTCCGGTCCTGATCTGACATGATAAGGCCCGCCATTATCATTTGGTGATAGCTCCGACGCGATCTCAGGAACGGAGTCCTTAACCGCTCGCGTTGTACGGAGTACACACCGAACTTTCGCGATACGCGCGTGATTATCAGTTCTAGACTTCGTAAAACACGTACTTTTTACTTTGGATATTGTATATTATATGCTGTATAGAGACTCAAAAGGAAGGAGCAAAAAACAAAAAAAAGGGGGAGAGTTTCTAGAATCTATGTATGAAGTATGGAGTGCATTGAATGAAGCGTGTTGCATTTGTGCGTTCTAAAGTTGATCGCAACGTCTAGAATACACTGTGCGCTTTGCAGCTGATATGCGGTCTGTCCAGGGGTCCTGGCGTCGCCCACGTATCACTTGGGTATACTTGTATTTAGATGTGAGCCTGATGAGAAGAGGTCCAGGCTTTTTGTGTATACTCCGTGCTCCAGCGACTTGCAGGATCTGACAAGGCGTGGGTTCGGGAACACGACCCAGCGCTATACTCGGCTTGATAGTACCTGTTCTATCAACGCGTGATCGTACTATAGTTAGATATTGGCGGTACATCGTATACTCCGGCCTTGTACATGGGATCGATAGAGCCGTCTTATCGGGCCAACGGGAGAAAAGGGATTGATCATATCGAGTTGAGTTTCACCTGACCGCCGATTGGCATCAGCTGAGTTTTATGTACGGAGTACGAGTACCTATGAGTAGGTATATCCAGGGGAAAGCTTGGAGATGAAAATCCGGAGAAGAGGAAACGAGTGTCAGGTCGCGTTGATGTAATAGTATGGTAAGGGAAGTAACTACTCCGTACAGAAAAGTTAGACGGCAGATCCCTCGGCGAGGACCGGTTATGTGATCTTGGATGATGCGATTATGACCAGTGAGTGGCGTGAAAGGTTCAAATGTTGAAACGCCCTCGGCTGTTTGAGTATTCGTATGTTTTGAACTATTTGCGGATTTTTTTCAATATTGAGGCATTAAACGTACATATCAAAATGTTTTGAATATGCAATGCCAGAAGCATTAAATTGCGCAAGTGAGGGTTTTTTCTCTTTTTGTACTCCGTATTCTTTTAATTAATTTCCCTTTTTTTTTATGTTTCCCCAACGACACCGGTTTCGGGAAAGAATGAACCGTGGAAGTACATGGGTAGCCGACTGAATATGCCGCTATGGGGGAAGTACCCAGGAAGTACCCTGAAAGTATCCAGCACGTACCCATCCTCATACGGGGGCAATACCGCACTAGACCTAAACGGGGAGCTGATCCACCGCGCATTTTCCCAATTTTTCTGAATTTTTCCATTTTTTTTCCAAAAAAGAACTCAGCCGTGACTAAATTTAAATCTTTATCATCCCTCTTTGCCCCTCCACATCTTTAAATCTCCCATCTCGCTCTCCTTCTTGGAATTCATTCCATCTTTGCTTTGTACCATTCGTGGTTGTTGTTTCCTTTTTCGGGACTTCCCTTCTAGACTTCTTTCAAAGTCACAAAAACCAAAAACTACAAAAACCCTTTCTCACATATACACATATCCCATATTCATTATGGTATGTTCTCTCTGACTCACCATCCAACGAATTCACACTAACTCATCTTCTTAGGCTGCTGAATCTTCAACTGTCGTCTCCAACACGGGGAATGTGCGTTTGATTCTTGATTGGATTTCCGCAATGGCTCTAGAGCCAGCGAGGAAAGACACCATACTGACTTGAACAGCTCCTCAAGTACATGAACCTGGACCAACGTGGTCGCGTTCAAGCTGAATACGTCTGGATTGACTCCAACGGTGGCACTCGCTCCAAGACCAAGGTATGACTCAAATCTACAGATTCTACAACCAGGGTGGGGTGCGGCATATACTCTTATCTGGAGAACCCCCGGCTTATCGAGAGAGCCGTGGGGATTCCGGGTCTGAGACTTGACGCAGCCACCCGCTGTCACGTGAACACGACGCTAACTCGGCGATCTCTGCAGACCCTGTCCAAGCCCGTCACAAGTGTTGATGAGCTGCCCGAATGGAACTTCGATGGCTCCTCCACTTCCCAGGCTCCCGGTGACAACTCCGATGTCTACCTCCGCCCCGTCGCCTACTACCCCGACCCCTTCCGACAGGGTGACAACATCCTGGTTCTCTGCGAGACCTGGGATGCCGATGGAAGCCCCAACAAGTTCAACTACCGTCACGACGCCAACCGTCTGATGGAGACCAACGCCCACGAGGGCTTCTGGTTCGGTCTGGAGCAGGAGTACACTCTTCTCGGCACTGATGGATGGCCCTACGGCTGGCCCCGTGGCGGTTTCCCCGGTGCCCAGGGTCCTTACTACTGCGGTGTCGGTACCGGCAAGGTTTACTGCCGTGACATCGTTGAGGCTCACTACCGTGCCTGCCTCTACGCTGGTATCAACATCTCCGGTATCAACGCCGAGGTTATGCCCTCCCAGTGGGAATACCAGGTTGGCCCCTGCCCCGGAATTGACAGTAAGTTTTGAAACATCATATCCCAACCCCAAAATTCCAGTCCCGAGTCTAACAATCCTGCAGTGGGTGACCACCTCTGGATGTCCCGTTTCCTCCTCCACCGTGTCGCCGAGGAGTTCGGTGTTCGCATCTCTTTCGAGCCCAAGCCCATCAAGGGTGAGTGGAACGGTGCCGGTCTGCACTCCAACGTTTCCACCAACGGTACCCGTGCCGAGGGTGGTATGAAGGTCATCGAGGCCGCCATGAAGAAGCTTGAGGCCCGCCACATTGAGCACATCGCCGTCTACGGTGAGGGCAACGAGGAGCGTCTCACTGGTCGCCACGAGACTGGTAACATCGATAAGTTCTCTTACGGTGTTGCTGACCGTGGTGGCTCCATCCGTATCCCCCGCCAGGTCGCCAAGGACGGCAAGGGTTACTTCGAGGACCGCCGCCCCGCGTCTAACGCCGATCCTTACCAGATTACCGGTATCATCGTCGAGACCATGTGTGGTGGCCTTTAAATGGATGAAAGGAATCATTTGGTCTTAGCGCTCCGATACCCTCCGGCATCAACCTGGGAGTCGGACCAGAGTGGCCTGGCTGCATGAGGAAGTTCTCACATATCTTCCCTACGCTCTCGCTTCTTAACGTTCCATCCTTCTTTGCTCCCGGCACCCGTGTCTGCCCTCTGTGTGCCTTCTACCCATTGTTGTAGCCGCCCTCTTTTTTTTTTTTGTTTCTCTTTGACTACCCACTGGGTAATGTGACACGTACAATAGCATAGAATTCCATGGATGGGGTGAATCACACCATTCGTTTATCGAGAGATATCATATTGATATCGTTCCTCTGGAGAATCGACAATTAATTCCAAGTTTCAACTTTTACTGACCCACTGACCACTGACTCTACACTGTAAACCCGCAACTTCCAATCAAAAGTATTGAACCCCTTTGGATCGGTGACACGACTGAATCTGGATCTCGAACTTAATCGAGTTAGATCCATCCGTGTCCAATCAGCATGGTACAACACTCACATTAGTACGGAGTGCCAGGGTACATTATACTGTACATTATTTGGGCATAAAGGTGGAATGTATAGGATGGATGCATAACAAGCATCAATCCCTCTTCGAAACTTATTCATTTTTGGTCCAATTCAAAGTTGACGCCAAAATGCAAAGCCTCCTATCATATCCTGCCTTATTCAGACCGTGCAACTTGCCCAAGCATCCATCACCTGGGCATTCCATGAAAGAAACAGACGATGATGCAAGGGGGATGTGACTAGAAGAGTGGGTGCTCTCGCTCAAGGCCGGTGTACCTGGATGCTGGGAAAGGTGATGCGAAACGCTTGACAGGTGAAAGAGGGTGTGGAAACATGACCGAAGATGGCAAACAGAGCCTTGGGTATAATTCACTTCTTTCTATCAGTCTATCCAGTCTATAGACCACAACTAAACATTAAAGAATTATAAAAAAAAGAAAACTTTTACTTCACGATCCTCTTCCCACGTCTCGCCCACCGCATCACGCCAGCTCCAAGTCCACTCAATCCACGCTGGCGCACTTCGCGTCTCCCAGCACCATCAACCACTTCCTCATCTCCATGTCGTCCATCGACAAACCGCAGCGCAACCTCCATCAACACTGCAGCCAAAATACTCGCAATCAAGATCCCAATCATAACAAGGTTACTCTTGCGGTACTTTTGGCGACCTGGGGCCTCGTAGTCACTGGCCCATCCGGAATACAGTGCATATGTCGTGAGAATACTGCCCAGATTACCCCAGCCAGAGACAACGGCTGAAGCAGCAGCTACACCGACCTCGCCGTGGCGCGGCTGGAAAATCTCCGCTGTCCAGGTCATGGTGATTGGCACTGTGGGACCAAGGCCAAAGCCGACGATCAGTAGTCCACCGTACCGAGGCCAAGGGTTGGCGTCTGAGCCCGCATAGCTGGTAAGTAGGAGGCCTAGGATTTGAAGAAGGACCGGAATGGAGAAGAAAAGGGCACGGTGACGATGGAAGCGATCAGACATTGGCGTGACGAGGAGGATGGCGATGAGATCCATCTGCAGCAGAAATATGTGAGTATTTCTTTGTTTTTGTCCTTTCAATCCTCGGGGCATATTGAGAGGGATTCAAAACTTACAATCCAGATCGGGGCTGTCAATAGACTCAAATCCACACCACTGAGATTAGGATTGATGGCCTGGATAATCAAGTTGGCATACAGCTGGACTCCAATTCCAACACCCACAACACCAAAGTACATCACGAGCAAGGGCCAAAGTCTCCAGTCCAAAAACACAGCCAAGAGATCTCGCAGCGACCACGGCCGCGCATGATAAACCCGCTTCATATCGTGGTAATGCACGATAGCGTCTTGGCCTTGCAGCGCAGGCTTACTATCAGGGACCCAGCGCATCAGAGCGCTGCGCTTGGGAGGCTCCTCACCCGGCGGTGTCGGGCGATCAGGAAGCCACCAAAGGAGCACGAAACCGAGTGCTACGGTGATGACGCCGTAGACAAGGAACATCCATTGGAAGCCTACGAGGCCCTTTGCGCCATCCATCTTTTGGAAGCCGGCGGAGACGAGACCCACGACTGCAGCGGAGACTTGGGATGCGGTGAAGTATTGACCGATTCGCTTGCCGATTCTGGATGGTGGGTAGAATAGTGTCAAGTAGTACGTCATGCCGGGCCACATTCCTGCCGTGACGATACCCAGAAGCAAGCGGAGGAGACTGGGCGATGTTAGTTGTTGTGGGGGTGGATTTGAAGAGAAGAGGAAGGACGTACTAGAAGCTCCAGGCGGCTTTCATCGCGGCAAGACAGCTACCTATCAGACCGACACTGATGACAATGCGACTCATCCAGACGTGGGGGCTGAGACGGGTCATGATGAGATTCGACGGCAGGTCGAAGATTACATAGCAAACGTAAAAGAGGGCCAGACCTGTCGAGATCTGGTGCGGTGTGAGGTGGAGGACGTCGGCGAGGTCGTGCCCAGAGTCCGCGTTCATGGTCTGGGCCAGGCCTACATTGGACCGGATGGCCGAGCAGAGGAAATAGAGGATCCAAAAAGCGGAGATGATGCGGCGGTCCAGCTTTCTGTTGACATGTCAGGTCTGATATTTGGTTAAGATGGGACGAAATTACCTGTAGATTCGCTCGATGTTGGCGACGCTGTGTTCGTCGGATTCGACATTGTCCAGAGATGCCTGGCTCTCCGCGGTGGGAGCTCCGGCCTCTGGCTGCTCCAAGACACTCTCTGCAACGGGCTGCTTGTCGCCATCAACGGCGACAGAGTGGTGTTCGCCCGACATTTCGTTCTATAGCTCTATACGGGGAATTCCTGTCCCGATTCGGCACGCAGTTGGCGATACAGCACCGAGACACTGATGATAAACAGTGTCGATCAGTCTCACAGAGTCGAAGCAGCCTCTGGGCGGGTTGAAATTCTATATGTTCCCCTCGGAGACGCTAGAAGCGCTAACGAGTTTACCGAGGTCAAGCGTCCCGTCACGAAAAGGGCCAGAATGAGCTCTGTGTCGGAAGAAAAAAAAAATAATGTCGCGGGGAAAGTCGACCGCTTTCGGATCTGATAAAATCGCAGGTCTTGGCGGAAAACAGTCAAGTTCCGGCCTCACGCGATACCCAGCCTATTTAACTACTTAGTAAAAGACCCCAAGACTTTAGCGCTGAGAGAAACGCGTGACTCACAATCCCCAACATCCGTAAAAATCACATTGAGCTTGGCTTCGGTGAAAAATGACCCTTCCGAGCATCGGTCAGAGTCAACAGTTCACCGAGGATAACCTTATTTGGGCTCTCCACTGGTCTGGACTTATATTGTTCCCCTTGATATCCGTCATATAAGCTAATTTTTGAACCCCTATCACAAAATTGTGTTTTATAGAGTTGTGATACCAGAAAAACAAAATAAACAAAATCAAAAGGGACATAGGTTAAAAAGTTCCGACTCGGGTGCACTTCCGAGGTTATCGTCGTCCGATGGTGTATAGTACCTAACCTTGGAAGGTTGTTTACTGCGACGGGCCGGAAACGGCGATAAAGAGTACTCCGATAGGGACATTCTATCGAGGTCGGGTCTAGTAAGAAGTATGAAAATAAATCCTTAATTGTAGATAACACACCCGGGCAACCATATTTGCCAAGGCATATGGGGATTAGAAATGACAAGAGGCAGTAGAGAAGGAAAGACCGTTACTACCCATTGCCATAGACAACCTTGGAACTTAAAAACTACCTGGAAGCTCTGCAGGGGCATCTTAATATCTTTTTTGCCTTGGGGAGATAGTCAGACGGAAAGCCGAATGAAACAAGGCGACGTGCAAAAGCCCCTCATGTTTCGATCTGGTTTTGACCGTCGTCTTCAGCCGTCCGCCTTATCAACACATACTAAGCCGTGAATCATGAGAGCTATACGGCAAACAATACCATTCCGGCTCTTTGCTGAGGATGGGTGTACCGTGATGATGCAGACGTGAAGCGACGACTTGGTCAGAAAAAGATGAGCGCTCATCACCTGATTTTAGGTCCCCATTTCATCTTCCATGATCATTGTGAACATTGCGCCATGCTAGGACCCTGACAAGAAGTACGAAATTGGATTAAACCATTTTTTTCGAATGAGATGGGGAGAGACAGAGAAGAAGAGAGCAGAGGGTGCCCCCGAGGTCCTGCAAGCCCTTAAGAGGCAGACCTTCCCAAAATTATGAGAACCAGAACATCACATGATGGGCTTAATTCAATGTTGTCTCCAACAGTTCCTGTATTTTCTGCCTGCATTTTCTGCTTGGTTATACCACCAACTGCCTTCCGAGCCTTGGAGAGACAGTCACAAGTTGGTTTGTCGGGAGCTACACCGCGTACCATCAGGGGTATTTTCAATCAGCTGCAAACAGCTATACTTGTATCATCACATGTGTCTCACAGCTCACGGGCCATTCCAATAGTTTGTTTGAATGATCAGCGCTGAGCCATGAGAGAAGAGGGACGCTAGATGCCGGATTGCGACGCATCTTCCCGCGCGAGAGCAGTTGAAACCAAGGTCATGGTCGGCGACATGATACTCGCAACCAGTAGCTCAAAGCTATCCATGGTTATTGAGTATCATGTTGTTTTGGTCTTATTGCACAATTCTAAAGATCTATCTCGCCTTCCAACCGCTTCATAATGCTGATCGACACTGAAGCGAAACGACACACCACAGGGGTACGCAGCCCGTCACGGCCAGCTAAATTCATAGTGGCCAATTGGAACTAGATACATAGAAATGGAATTGAATCAATCCTACCAAAGAAAAGGAGAAGACCAATTGATGTCATTTGTAGACTTAGGCAAGAAGACTAACTGCAACTGCACGCAGCTTTCCCCCAAGATGTATGTACCTACCAATTCATGGAAGAGCCCAATGTCTCAGCCCTAAACAGATCATTGTAGCCTAAAATCTAAGCATAGTAGCTTGTAACGCAATCGCCCAAGCGCCTGGAAATATAGAACTCCGATTACTCATCCCTTAGTGGGTCTGGAGTCTGGACGATCCGCATGGCCGCGCGTGCAACTATGTACTTGCAACCTCAAAATTCTATTTTTAAGAACAACTGGGTTGTAGATCCAGTTGAGCTGATCGCTGGGATTTGACGCCGATTGCCTCATATTCTGGCTGCTGGAGTGCTTTGTATGGACGTTCCAGGCACAACGCAAGCTTATGTGGCACAGAGGCTCCACTTAGGGCTCCGGAGTATACGAGTAGCAACGGCCAAGTTATTTGCGGAGAAGAGTTGCAGATTGGATCCACCTCGACTCGTAAGTCGTTCATTCAGCTTGACTAGTCTTCAAGATGCGCCATGAGAGCACTGCTCTGGCAAGACTGGTTCCTATGACCTCACGTTCGTGCGTCTTCCGATATTCCTTCTGCTTTCCTGAAAAGTCACCAGGCTGACGACGAGATCGACCGTTCTGAGACGAATCCATTCATCTCTGCCGAGTTGAATGATGTGACAATGGACCTGACTCCTTTCGAGGCGTATGGTGGTAGAATGCCCTCGAGGTATAAATGGGGACTCATGGCCGTCTTCATATCTATTCATAACAATCAATCAAACCAACAAATCACTTCCCAATCAATCAACTCTTTACAACCACCATCATGAAGGTTTCCGCTATTATGTGCAGCTTCATGGCCGCTGGCCTGGTCGCCGCTGCTCCTCCTGGTCCTCGTACGTGATCTTAAAGAACGAGACCCGTCTGGGATATAGCCAACTAACCAACTTTTCAGCCCCATCCGACATCTCTGCCCCTCCTCCTCTTCCAACCGGCACTGATATCCCCCCTCCTCCCAAGTCTGAGGGTGGCAACGACAACGAGAAGCGCGAGGACAACCCTCCTCCCGTACCCAGCGGCACTGACGCTCCTCCTCCCCCCAAGCCTACCGGCATGGACGTGCCCCCTCCTCCCAAGTCTGAGGGAGGCAACGAGAGGCGCGGAGATGCTCCTCCCCCTCCTCCTTCTGGAACTGATGTTCCTCCCCCCAAGCCTACTGGCACCGATATCCCACCTCCCCCCAAGTCTGAGGGAGACAAAGAGAAGCGCGGAGATGCTCCTCCCCCTCCTTCTGGGACTGATGTTCCTCCTGAGCCTACTGGCACCGACATCCCGCCTCCCCCTAAGTCTGAGAACGATAACGAGAAGCGCGGAGATGCCCCTCCTCCCCCTCCTCAGACAACCGATATCCCTCCCCCTCCTAAGCCCACTTCTGAGGCTTAAATCTTGGCAGACTTTTGGAGATCTCTTGAGATTGAACTCCTTTGAATAAAGCCACAGATAACATGTGACATCTTTGTACTAGGTACTATATAGTCAGAGCTTCAAATCTCTGATAGATTGAAGCTGATTACAGTCGTTTCTATACATATCATCATAAATTGATTTCATCTCCATACAGATCTGCCTCTATATGCATATGATCAGGATGGGCCTTTTTTTCTCACAAGCTAAGCCAAGCTCTGCGATTGAAATGATGTGCTTATAAATTATAAGTACTTAAACTTAGAGCCTAACAGAGTTAACAAGAAAGAGAGAGCAAGTGACTTCTTGTATTGGTGAAAGCCACACATATCCAAATGTATATCATGATCAGATGCTTTCCTCTTCTTCCTCTTCTTCCTCTTCTTCTTCTCCTCGATGCTCATAACTCACCAGTTTCCAAGGTTTGGATGGACGGCGATGAGATCAACATGAGAATGTGAATAGCTGATTAAGTGAGGGCTCTTCACTCTCGATCTTCTCGAGTTTTGAAATTTCTCCTAACTTCTTTCATGACAGATTGACCATCATCGACAAACACTTGAAATTATTCTTAGCTTCAAAGAAAACCGACCAAGCCGTTTATCACAACTATCATCGGTATGGATTCCATTTGATTTGTTGACTTGATGACTACACTGATTTGATGCTGATGAAATTCAAAGTTGGACCCCGCCGGTCAGACATGGAGCCTGATCTTTGGATTATGTCGTCCCCTAAGAAGCCAGTCATCTCGCCAATCATTTTATCTCAAAATCCGTCCCCATCGGGAATCATCTGTGACGAGCATACCGGCAACCGGTTCATCCCAGCTTCCGTCCGTGCGGATGGCACAACACGCAAACAGATCCGAGTACGGCCAGGATACCAGCCCAAAGAAGACATACTCCGCTACAGATGTCCCCGTGCACGAGCTGCAGCGCAGATGTCACTCGAACAGGGTGCGGTGGATTCGACCCCAGGATCAAAGGATAGAGTCGAGACAAATGAGCAGAATATCCTCATCCAGCAATTTCGTGACGCAAAGCTGGACTCTTCGGAAAAGCCTGAGATTGAAAGTCTGATCAAAGGCAAAGAGGAGTCGTCTGATGAACACCCTGAAGGGCGGATGGTTCCAGAGGAATCACGATGTGGTGAAATTGATGTGGTCTGTTCGGCAAAAGTGTACTGATCGCTGTTGAACAATAATTGGCAGTCACTGGAAGCACATACAGAGTGATGACAACGCTTTTGGTAGGGATCGTCACGCCCGAGGCCTTTCCTAGTTGACCAGCGAACAAACACCACCTCTTTTGCCCTCCACTCTCCAGAGACTCTGGTGCTTCAAGAATCCTCAATTACTGTGCTTTGGTTTTCTTTCCAAGGTGTGTATCGTCCCACAATACATGGGCGGATACGGAGTACTCATCTCCCACTTGTTTTCTAACTATTAATACTCCCAACGAGATTAGGGCTTCAACCACGACACTCATGCCAAGTCCCCTTGGGAGTATTTTGAGATCACGAGTCAGGGCCCCGGCTGATATCCACCAATACCCTCTCGACAGTTCTTGGTATCTCAAGATGCACCCCGTAAAACAACACCAAAACGCGGCTTGAGTGTGCGCCAAGAAGCACCATCTCGTATTTACGGAACCCCAAAACAGAGCTATCGCCCAAAGAGTTCGTGGATACGAACGAGAAGGACCCTGTTACTTCTCGCTTCTGCTAAATTCCCCTCGGACTCAGCCGCATTGATTCCGCAGGGTCCAATGCTCTGCAACTTAAATGTCGCGTCTGCCCGACTTCCCCATACAGTGGAAGCGATCAAGGTCCAAACCGCCGGCATAACCCTAACTTGTGAAAATGAGAGCCCCAACCCCCCTTTTCGCAGGAATTGTCGCTTCTTTCCTTTTCTTCGCCAATATTGCATCCAGTGCTTCGCCGGAAATCCTCAAAGATGAGCCTCGGCAGTACGCCAATGTCTCCCTCAACACAGATACCCAGGGTTTCGCCTTCAGCGATAACCATAACCCAGACCTCAGTCTGGTGGCTCGCGAATATGTCTGTTCAGTCGGATACAGTGAATGCGCCTACAACTCCATGAAATGCTGTCCCATTGGTAGCAGCTGCTGTGGAAATGGATACTGCGCCGACCCTGGTGAGACATGCTGCTCGGTCGGTGGTACTTGTCGCAGTGGCTTCAAATGCTGCGCTGGAACAGATGGGTGTGCCCCCATCGGTGGCGAGTGTTGCTCTGATGGCACTTATTGCCGTGCTGGCAAGGAGTGTCGAACATTCCTTGGACGGAAGACCTGCTGTGCCCCGTCTGGATGTATCGGAGAGCATGATTCAGGTAGTGATGACCTTGGAGTCACCGCTCCTACTTTGACAGAGACGGCTACTGCAACAGAGACGGAGACGGAGACTGCTACCAGTACCTCTTTCAAGTACTATTACACCACCATCTATTGGTGAGAATCAATGAGTACATATTCTGACCTGGACTGACTTGGTTAGGACTTACTACTATTACTTCTGGACATCATATGCCCCATACACCGCTCAGACAGTCACCTCCACCCGCACCACCACAACGACCGTCTGGTCTGTGCTTGCGACAAACAGTCTCGAGGCTGATGTGGAACTGATCTCTTCGTCGAGAGATTACACTTTCTCGGCACCGTACTCGGCTACCTCTTTGAAGACCTCCTCAGAGCCTGTTACGACTTCGACTAGATCGGCCGCTCCGTCTGCAACTTCAACTTCGTCTGTCGATGATGGTGAGGTCTCGGGCTCGGGCGATCCGGGTATGTTCCCTGATAGTGCAGCTGGTACAGCTGGTTTGAGCTTCAGTGTTAGCACTACTGGGCTTATCGCTGGTACACTCGCCGCTGCCATTGGTGGCCTGGCATTTGGGCTGTGAGCCACGTGAACCTTGTTTTGACGACCTCGGGACTGTCGAATGTTTCCATGGATTCACAAATGCTTAATGTGTCTGCTTAATTTGGAACTTTATGAATATCATGAAAACCCTATTCCACCTAGCTTTGTCAAGATTCAGTAAAAAACTTGTGCAATGTAAATAGAATACGAGCCCCCGAGCCCCTAGTTGCTATCAAAGGCACTGGCGCTGTCCTTACGGTGCTCAACGTGAGTACCCTTCCCAGTCTCCAAATCACCATTCCCAGAGACTACCTTGCCCTTTGGCTTTTCGGAAACATAGCTGGCGCGACGAAGGTGCTCCTCAGTATCTTCATAGTTGATGAGTAGCTCGCCGTTCTTCCCATAGCGATGGGGCTCATTGCGGGCGACCAAGACCAAATTAAAGACGCTGCTAGTCTTGTGGAAAATAGTGTCCATTTCTTCCAGGGATCGGTAAGCCGTTTCGGGGTAGAAGAAGTAGATAACAGGGAAAATGAAGGCGTTGCTTTGAATGTCAGTTCCAGGTTCAGTTCTGGCATGGGGATGGGGAAACTCACATGACTGCAAAGATAATATATGTCTTATATTTAATGGAGTCGAAGGCAACCGGGGTAATCATGACCACCATGAAGTTGAATATCCAATTGCCCGAGGTGGCGAGTGCATTGGCTGGGGCACGGATGCGTAGAGGAACCTACTCGATGGTCAGCATTGTCGGAGGTTTTCAAGAATGAATGACTTACAATCTCTGCAGGATATAACCAGGTCATACCCAGCCAACCAAGGGCAAAGAAGGTGTTGAAAACAAACAGAAACACGGCGGCCGCGATACCGGCTTGGCTGTTGCCCTTGAAGCTCGTGGCGATGGCCAAGACAGCCATCGAGATAGACATGCCAGCGGCACCAATTAACATTAGCTGTCGACGGCCTACCTTCTCAATGATGAAGATCGGGATCAAGGATGCTAGGAAATACTCGGTACCGTTACAGGCGGCAAGAATGCGCGAGGTCAAGCCATCCATTCCGATGCTTTCGTAGATAGTAGCGGCGTAGTATGTGATTAGGTTGATACCGGATATCTGCTGGAACATCTGATTGACGTAGGCGAGAACGACGCGGTGTAAATGGCGATCTTCATCCATAGTGAAAAGGTCGCGGAAGCTAACACTCGAAGCTTCGAGGACTGCATCCTTGATCGCGGAAAACTCAGAGTGGACGTATGGGTCGCTTTCATCAAGATCGAGAATCGCAGCGAGAACCTCCATGGCTTCCTCCTCGCGACCCTTGAGAATCAACCAACGAGGTGATTCTGGCAAAGGCAGAACAAAAATCAAAATGATCAAGGCAAAAGCATTCTGGAAGGCGATTGGGAATCGCCACGCAACCGAGCTGGGGTCCAGGAAAGAGAAACCAAGATCTATCCAGTAACTAATCGTGATGCCGGCGGCGATCAATGAGCCTTCTAGCATGACTAGCTTGCCACGATGGTGTGATTTAGAGCACTCTGTAAGGAGTCAGTATGGTATTTGATTAAACTCCAATGTTAGTGCTCACCCGACTGCCATGTGGGAACGGTGGATGTGTTCATGCCATTGCCAATACCGGTCACAATTCGACCGACGATGAGATGCGGTAGCGAATATGCGCATGCTTGCAGGGTTGCACCAATGATCATGATGATTGAGCCGGTGAAGATGGTCTTGCGGCGGCCAAGGTAGTTTCCGATCCAGATACAAAAGATTGCACCGAAGAAACAACCGAGATTGTAAGAGGCAGTGGTGATGCCTGGTAAATAAGTATATGATCACTTTGAGAATCGAATAGGAGTTCCTTACCCTGGTTGGTGGAATTGGTACTTGTAGAGGAACTCGAGTGAGTAGTATCAATCTCGGGGAAGACGGTGACGAATGAATTCAAGGTCAACAGACCTCCCATTACACCCCTGTTGAGTGGAGCGTTAGTAATAACTCAATATATAAACTATGTGATCGACGGTCACACACTGGTCATATCCGAATAGCCTGCATCGCAACTTGTCAGCATTGCATGCTTCGAGATCCAGGAGATATCACGAACAAGAAATCAAGACCGGCAATGATACTGATCATGATGTTGAGGCTTGAGCCTCGAAGCCCGAAATACGGCTTCATGGTGGATATATCGAAAGAAAGCCTTTAGAACCACGAATCGTGTACAAGATGCAAGCAATTTATGCAAGCCCTGGAGATTGGATATAGTCCGACTATGTCCCAGGAAGACAGCGAATGTAGACAGCGAAACCAAAGACTAATTTCCATCACCTGTGCATCCAGGGCCCTTATGAACCAGGCCGGCCCCGCCTCTGAATACAGGTTTCAGGACGCAAATCGGAAGCCAGAGCGAGCAAGACTCCATCTACCAATGAGGAGCAGTGGTAGGGTCGCATTGGTGATGCCTATACAATCGCCGGATCGGGAGGAACGAGCCACCAGGTCAAGGCCGGGCATTGAATCGCTTCGGGTTCCACCCGGAATATGGACAAATCGGCGTCCAGGACCGGTCGGGTTCTCTCCGGTTTTGTTGTGCATATAAGGGCATCATGGATATTCGTCCTGTTACTCGAAATCACCATTTCCGGCGACAGGGACGGGCTGCGGATATCGCGTGGTGCCATGTGAATGGGGCCGATCTGACTGTTTCCTTTCCTTTTTGGATTTTCATATTCCTCCTTACCTGAAGATACTCCATGTCCCCCAGACCCCCAGACCCCCATTTTTCCCCCGGTTTTGCGTTAGGGGCTGATGTGGAGTGCCCAGGTGGAGTAGGGTTGAAAGCCAGGCTCTCCATACGTAATTTCAGACCAGGAGTTCCATGCATGATCGGCTTCGAATACAGGGTATTCCCCCAGTTTCGCGAGGTTTCAAGCTTTCGGGCTCGGAAACCCTGGGACGTACAAGCCAAGGCCGATGACATCATATGTATACTCTTCGGTGTCTTGGCCGTTGTCTTGAAGTATAAAATAATGTCAATACGAACAGTTTCAAAATACTGAGTAGATAGCAGCGAACACAAAACACCAAGCTCCTCAATTCGGTCCCGAATGAATGGGACTTCTCTGACGGGATACCCGATTCGGAACCGCGGCTATTACCACCCTGTACTTTTGTCCTGGGCATGTTACCCAATGATCACAGCTATCATGTTAACTTTAGAAGAGGTATCTGGGACGCGTAACTCGTCTACCGATGTCGAGACCTAGGTCTTGACCTTTGCAGCGCAGTGCCGCGCGAGTGCATACCCAATTGGGCGGGTGGGGCCTTCATAAGTTATGTCGGCTTATACGGAGTCCTGTGGATCATATCTGTTTACAAGAAAGCGAATGTACCTAAATCGATGTTTCATTGAGCTAACTTTGCAGTCAAATCACAATGAGCGTCCGAAGATCATCAGGGCAAGCTCTCATACCCAGACCAACCATTGGCCAAGCACCGTGCCGCCCAGCGAAATCCCAACTGACATACATTAGATATTTTCTGTGGATAATTTGAAATAAGAAAGAAACCAGCAACCGGTGGTCACCATGCACAAATTTGGGGCCTGGACTTCTAGAATCTCCGTGAGGAGTCTCAGAGAAGAGCATTCCGCAATTTGGCATCGTGCCATTCAGGGCAGTGGGAGATAAAAAGTCGCAGTTGAGCTTTGAGTCTCCACATCACCCGATTTCGCCGGTGTGGTTTACCAGCGATCGTCTTGATCACGACGACGGAAACCTCCCTCGTCGTCACCGCCGGCGGCAGCAGATGCTCCGCGATCATTAAAGCTGCCATGAGGAGGGCTCCCAGGTGGGGAGAAAGAAGGCACGTCCTCCGCCTCTTCCTTGGGGGGCTGCTTGCAACGGCGGAAGGTGTGGCCGACTGTAGATTATTAGATGACTTGTTGGGCAATTACGGACGGACTTGACTCACATTCTCCACAGTTGTTGCACTGAACCTTTGAATAGTCCCTTGGCTGGGGGCAATCCTTGGAGAGGTGACCAACTAGACACCGAAGTCGTCAGATAAATGTGTTTCCCAAACACGGAGACCCGAGAGCAGTATGGCTCCCAAGGAACGAGCGCAACTTACCTTGTTCGCAGTTGCGACAGGTCATGGTAGCGGGATTACGGGGCTGATCACATTCACGCGCCAGGTGGTCCTCAGATCTGTAACTTGGTTAAAGCGGTCATCTTCAAGGCTTCAAGCATAAGTGAACCTACCCGCAGTTGCGGCACTGGCGAGGGCCACGATCAGCGGCAGTGGGACAGTCCTTGGCGAAGTGGCCAGCTTGAAAAGAAAAGAAAAAAAGGATATTAGTACATCTAGGCTCTTTGGAGAGGGTTGACCCATGCATTGACATACTCTGGTTGCATCTGCGGCATTCAACACCTTCGGCAGAGCGTTCCTCAGTGCATTCGGCGGCCATGTGGTCTCCAGAGCTTTGCGAAATCAGCCTGTCACATTCAAATTTGCTTGGGGACTTGCAACACTCACCCGCAGTTGCGGCATCCATGTCTGTACTTGCGTTTGACCATGCAGTCACGCACCCGGTGTCCAACCTCATCGCAGTTGGAACATTTGATCTCCACGCGATCATCGTTCTCAACGCGCTCCTCCTTGCAACTCTTCCTGATGTGACCCAGCTCTAGAGTAAGCATGTTAGCACCCAAGTGATCGAACACCATGCAGTGTCTGGGATCTCACCTCCACAGTTGAGACACTTGGGAATCTTGCGGTCAAATGGGAGACCAGCGTTGGCCAGTCGCTCCAGGTTTTCCTCTGGGTCGGCAGGCCAGCGCTCTCGCAGCTTGCCGCGCGTCGCCTTTGCACGGAAATAGAAACCAACGATGTACTCGCGGTCCAATGTTCCCTGAAGATCAATCAGGCTGATAACATCATCGACCTCCTTCTCCTGTTGACATTCATAAGCAATTGATCCTTGGATATGTAACACGAACCCAGTGCTTACCAGAGCAATGATGAAAATCTTGAAGTCCTCCTCGCGCATCTTCTTTTCAATATCGGCGAAGGTTTCCTCGGGGGATGACTTCGAATAAATCTTGAGCGCCTGGAATCAAGTAAGCAAAAGCTACGCAGTGTATTCGGTTGGAATGGAATCACCTCGCGGAAATCGTCAAGATCCCTCTCATCGCTAGCCTTCTTCATTGCAGCCCAAGCCTCCACGGGAAGCATGTCAGCAACATGGTTGAGATCGAACTTTCGCTTCTCGGTGCATTCGATCGTCTTGTGTCCCTCAGAAAGACAGTTCTTGCACACGTCGGGGGGTCGCTCAGGGCACTCGGCAGCAGGGTGTCCCTCCTTCTCGCAGATACGGCAAGCGCCCTTGAAAACACGGGGCTGAGGGCAATCGGCCTTGGAATGACTAGTTTGAAGATCGATATGTCAATAGAGCAGAATAGATCAAGCGTGGTCGCACTCACCCCTCCTCGCCACAGTTGAAGCAAGCGCCCATCTTGCGAGGCTGAGGGCAGTCGGCCTTGGAGTGACTGCCTCATCGTTAGTTTTAAGCAGCCCAGACAACTCAACAACGAAGGGGAGAACTCACCCTTCCTCGCCGCAATTGTAGCAAGCGCCCATCTTACGGGGCTCAGGGCAATCGGCCTTGTTGTGACTGCATGTGTAGAGCAAGATCAGCATGGGGAAACGTATAAATGGCAAAAGCACCATACCCAGCCTGGCCGCAGTTAAAACAAGCACGGTCACCACTCTCGCCAGCGTCGTCGCCATATGAAGCACCGTAGGAAACGCTGTGTTGGCAAAGGTAACATGTTAGCACAAACGAACTGTAGAAGAACTGGCACATGATACATACTTGCTAGCCTTGGAGTGAAGATGCACAGGCTCATTGGGGCATTGACGAGTCATGTGGCCGGATTCACCACAGCTAAGAAGGTCAGTAACACGGTATCCAGGGTCTGCTCCCCCCAGCACTGGAGGTGGCATGTGAAGTGGGGATTGCTTACTTTCCGCAGGCGAAGCCATCGTCGACAGCGTCATAAGCACGTGGGCCTTCGCCACGGCCACGATCTATTTTGTGTTAGAACTGTGAACAGAAGACCCGACCGAGGGACGGAAATGTATCCTCGGTGACCAGATAGGCAGGAAGACTTACTGTTCTCTTCCCATCCAGCCATTACGAGGATGGATAATGAGCTAGATGAGCATTGCAATTAGCCAAGTCCCAGTCGAAGAAGGGTATGTGTGTGGAAATGATAGCGTGGTTGAGAATCAATAACCGCCGAGAACATGAGCGAACGAGCAAGGTGCAGGGAGGGGAGGGAACAACAACCTCATAGGAGACGCGAAGAAGGCACACAGAGTGGAAAGAAAGGTGATATTTTGTTTGCACAACGTGCTCCAAAGGTGTTTATGCAGTGAAAGAAAAAGAGGTAGATGATACAACAACTTACAAATTAAGGGTTTGATGAAGTGTTGCAGTTGAGAAAATCTCGGTGAAGAGAGGAAGAGAGAAGAAGAGGAGGAAAGGAAAAGAGAGAAGTTAAGGTGACGCTTGGGTGCTGCAGGAACTGGGGGAAAGTGTTCTGCTGTAATAGGAAGGCACGCTCGTTGGGAACAATATGGACACTCCGGACCTGACCTTTGCCAGAGCACTTGAGCACGCTACGACCCTCCTCTATTTCGCACGCACACTTGAGATTGGTCCACAATGAATTGGTAGACTGGGTTGGAACTTGCATGTATTTGAGTATAAAAAGTACTCAAACAACTCCGCTAGAGATACAGTTCAGGGTACACACAGTGCGATGAATGCCTATGGAAGACCCATGTCGCCAGTCAATGGGTTGGATTAGCGGAAGACTCTGCCCAGCAGACCTCCAGCAAGGTTGTTGACAATACCACCACCCAAAGCCGAGCTGGCATATGTGGAGGCCTGTCCGAATTTGTCACAGCGGGAGAAAGCCACGGTATTTGTGATAGTCAGAATGAGGGCAATGACTAAAACACAAGGTCAGTATGCCAGGTATCGACAAAAAGTATATCAGAACGGGAGATTTACCAATCAGACTGAGCCAAATCGGACTCACGAATCTCACAATAGCCAGGATAGCCAGGCCCACCCAGAGGGCTGGTGTGATATACAAACTCAGCCAGAAGAATCGCTTGTCCGTAGCTGTCACGGTGCGGACGTTGGGGTCAGATGATTCAAAGACCCATTTTGAGTCCCCAGAGTTGGTGTCAACCTCATTCCACCAGCGTAGTCCCACCAAGCGGCGACCGGCAATGTTCTTCAGGTAGTAGAAATCCGCGGAGAGCAGGAGAAGGGTGAAGATAAACACGAGGATACTAGATTAGGCTGTTAGTTATGGAAGGCTGCCAGGTGGGCGGACAAGCTCATACAAGTCATTGATGAAGAGGAGGCCAAAGAGGTACATCAAGAGTGCACCTAAAAATACAGTCAGTCAATGCCACTGGTGTCCAGACAAGGGGGGTTACAAACCAATGCGAATGCCCAAGAAGACAAGTAGCGTGATTGGATGCGCACTGAGGCGCCAGTTGAGGTCACCTTGGCCTGTGTTCTGGTCCATGGTGATTGTGAGCAGACTGGTATGATTGAATAAGGGTCCACCTCGGATTAGCGAATATTGGCAGCCTTGATATGAGACGAGACGATTGGAGTTGGTGATACCTCATGGTCGCAACACGGGCTGAGGGCGGTCTGCATGGGCAGATTTGAAGATGACGTGCCACGTGCTTCCGCGGAGTTTGAGTTCTTGAACGTTGCCATGGTCTACTCCATACAGGTGGACTCGACCTAGTCAGAAGCCCTGGAGACCCAGAAGATTATCTAGATAAACATCGTGTCATCACTGCTTCATACTATATCCATTTTCTAGGTACCAGTCCTTAGATAGCTCTACTGTGAGCAGCTGGTAGTGGAAAAACCCCCTTAGAATATATCACCTGGGATACACAGCATAAATATCGCGATCATACAGCCTAAAGTCATGCATACCAAATAGTTGATTGTAGCTAGTGGTTGTGCTTAAGACGTCAAGGCTGTTACCCCAACCTTTTGTGGAGCACACCCAAAGCTACGCGGCTCTACTCCGTACGGATAGCCGAGTCGGCTTCTTCCCCGGAATGAGGTCACTTAAAACGACCAATTCCCCCCAAAATATCAGGTACCACCACAGACCTATACATATACAACATTATGGCGGCCCGAAACACTCTCCGTCGCTCTCTCCTTTATGGTAACTTCCAACCTCCAAGCTCCCCACCTTCCAGAGCTCCAACCGGAAGCTCCAAGCTCCAAAAGAACTCGAACTGATCATCAACCAGTCCCGGGCTCCTCCCAACGCTTCCTAGACAAGTCCCGCTCATTAACAGCCGACTGTCTCACCTACGACCTAGAGGATAGCGTAACACCGCATATGAAAGCAGAGGCTCGCAACCTAGTACGGAGAGCAATCGACCAACCCTCGCCAACAGGGATTCGCGAACGAGCTGTACGAATCAACTCTGTAGACAGCGGACTCGCGCTGGGCGATTTGACCGAAGTGGTAAGTCCACTATCAACAACGCCCCGACAGCACCGACTAACACCAATAGCTCAAATCACCCAACTTGACTACAATCGTCATTCCGAAAGTCAACTCGGCTTCTGATTTGACATTCGTGACAGATGTCGTGAACCACACACTTGCCCAGCAAGATAGAACAGAGAGAACGCCTATCTCGCTCCTGGCCCTAGTTGAATCCGCCAAGTCTCTCACGAACCTATCGCAGATATGTGACGCTTCGCCGCTTCTGCAGGGGTTGATTTTCGCGGCCGAGGACTTCGCTTTGGATTTGAGTATTACGCGAACGCCCTCGTTGACGGAGTTCCTGTTTGCACGCTCCGCTATCGTGACTGCGGCACGGGCTGCGAATCTACCTTCAACTATTGACCTCGTCTGCACGGCTTACAAGTCTGAGAAGGGCGATGGGCCGCCTGCCGTGTTGCAGGAGGAATGCCGTGATGGTAGACGGCTGGGATTCAATGGTAAGCAATGTATTCATCCTACTCAGGCGAAGGTTGCAGATGAGATCTTTGGGCCTGATCCGGCGGAGACGGAGTGGGCTATGCGGGTTGTGGTAGCAGACGAGAAGGCTGCTAAGGCAGGACGGGGTGCTTGGACTCTCGACGGGAAGATGATCGATGTCCCTGTTGCGCAAAAGGCGAAGGCTATTGTGAAGAAGGCACAGGCTTGTGGGGTTGATGTTGATGCCTTGAGGGGAGAGTGGGAGCATCAGGAGCCAGAGTAATGGTTCCACATGGCATATATCTTGTTACCTGAATAGCAAACGATAGCTGTATTTACTGTTGCTTTCAAATGAAAATCATTGGCAAACATAGCCCTGGGGCTCAATTTTGTAATTGGTTCATCCTAAGGCCTGACTGAAGGAATTTTCATAATCTACCTGTAGACCAGGGTCTAGCTCTGGAATGAAGTTGATATATCCCAAGGTTCGGAGGTCAATCTTCGTCAACTTCCTACCCCCAACCGAATCATCTGAAAATGATCCATCAAGATATCTTACACAACTTTAGAAGAGGACATGCGTTCCAAAATAGAGAGGAGATGTAATTCTGATGTATGCTGAATTCTCTCACTTTGCTACTTCTAATGCCGAACCCAGCCCATTCCAGCGGTATCGAAGCCGCAGAACCAGACAGCCAGGAACAGAGTAATTCGTACTGTAATCCATAATGAAACTTCCGTACTTATAGGGGTCAATCGCACAAATCAGTCAAAAGGACAAAGAAATCCAAAAAAAAGCTCAAAAGCTAAAAGTACTGATGGGTATCATGCCGCTTTGACGCAAAGATCGAGTCGAATGGCATGCCAGGCCACCGGGGTTAAGTCTCTATGTCCTCACGCTTGAGTAATTGAACTTTGCCCATTGTTAGGGTTGGAGGTTCGCCAGCGTTAGCCTCCGCCGAATCACTAGTCAGCTCCTTGGCTAATGACTTGTCGTAACTGGTGGGATCGATGCCGAGGATACCTCCCACGTAACCGCCCCGCTCACCAGGGACGCTGAATTCACGGAAGAGATAGCGCCATTCGTTGAGCCATGCTTTGACGGCCTTGCCGATTTTGTCTTTGCCATTCTTCGAGTGGTGACCAGTGCCCGTGATGGCATAGACGACCCGCAATCCTTCTCTGGCGTGCTTGAGAAGGATTTTCTCGAGATATTCGATGGCTTCTTCGGGATGAAGCCCGTGCAGGTCAATGTAGAGTTCCTCAGATGATTCATCCAGGCCTTTATGCGAGATATGCTGGTTCCGTTCTTCGTATAGTTGACGTGCAGCTTCTCGATGGCATCTACGCATGGCATCGTTCTCTGCCTGGCCACGTAAAGACAAGGCTTTGGCGGCTCGGGCATCGTTCCGGTTCCATGCTTGGGCAGCACTAGTAGAAATGCGTTAGGAGAAGGACAGAAGAGAGCGGGACTGAGGATTTACCTTTGGAGGAACTTGTTTCTCACGGTTCCATGGCGGATGGCTTCCGTTCGGTACTTGATATATTGTTGGTTGGCTCGCGTGCCTGTCTCAAGCCAAGGAATATTTTGCGGGGCTTGTATGGACTGAGCTGCTGCACTATTTTCACGGCTCTTTGTGTCTTTATTTTTGAAACCCGACTTTGATTTCCCTGGAACAGGAGACGGGGTCATTCGGACCACATCTGCAAGCGACGAAGGGATGTTTTCCTTGTTCAGGCCTGCATCACGGTTGTTATGGCCACCTCGCTTCCCATGATGCTTCTTCCCGGCGTTCTTTGCTTGCACCGCAGCCAGAGACGGGAAGGCATCTTGATCATCTACAGATGGCGCCGTCAGATTCATTTCCCGGTTCTGGTGACGACTTGATGGTCGCGAGTTGGTATGTCCAAGATGAGTTGCACTGCCGTTTCTTTTGCCCATCCCAGGAAGTAAGCCTGGAGGGGCGTATTTAGAGGTTTGATAAACAGAAAGGTGGGAGGGATAGCGGCCAACGTATTGATTTCCCCATTGATCGCCACTTTCCGCGGCTTGTAGGGGCGGGAAGGCCTCGGAGCCGCTGTCTACCTGGAATGGGGCGTTCGCCGGCGAAGCTGGCCGACTGCCGCCCGTGACACTCAGGTTGCCAATAAGCGCTGAAGGGTCGTGCGAAAAGGGACAGCCATCGCCAGCTAAACAATTACCCATGACCCAGTATCTGTTGGGTTTAGTTAGCATATGGTCCCAACCGACATCTGTTTCGAAGATACTCACTTGCAGACATGGGTGGTAAGATCATGGCTGAATCGGCAATCCGCCCGGAGACATTGTCCAGTGGACAGCCAATATTTGCAGACCACCGGGCTGCGACTACTTCCCAGTGGTGTGACTGGACGAACTTGCTCCATTGCCATGGACTTACCCACCAGAACACGGCCATCCTCCTGTTGTTTTGAGATTGCCTCTGCCTCTATGTCCTGCGAGAGAGAGGCGATTGTAGCTCCGAGATCGTAGCTGTTGGCCTCAAGCGCTGCTTCTATTTCGTCGTTCGTTCGTTTATCGCCCAACACCGTGCGCAGAATGTCATGGGGGCTCATGTCCGGTACAAACTCAACTGCAGTGGCGCTCAAAGCTCCTGGAGTGCTGACCCCGCCCGCAGACGAGGTGGTACTGTTGGCATCATCTGCGACTAGCCAGTCGATATTATTGTCACCTCCGAGGTCTCCATAATAGTCAGAGATCTGACTTTGGTCGGAAAATTCGTATGCATTCAGATTTGGGGAATGAGGAATCGGCTGCGCAAGTGCAAGCCGAGGTGAAGGTCGGGGTGAGGTGAATGGCGAGACGGTGGATGAGAGCGGAGGCCGTGCAAATGCTCCGCGTGGGCTTGGCATCCACGAGGTACTTCCGGGGCTTGTTCCTAATGTCGGATGGGGAGATAGCGGTGTAGCCGAGCGAGCCATCTGCCACGGGGCTGGCGATGAGCGCCGGATGACGGTGTGCCGGGCAGGGGGCGATGCATCTGGCAGGTTGCGATTGCGATGGCGCCAGAGGATGTCCAGAACAGCATTCTCCAAGGGCGACCCTGATAGGGTGGTGTTCGTGCGCAAGAAGTCCTCCACTTTTTCAACCTGCTCCTCCTCATCCAGTGCCTGATCCTGCAGGATTTGGAGACATTTCTCAAGGAGGTCGTCGGAGACCATGATGTTCTTGCCGCGCGTCGGCGAGCGGATCGGAGAGCGAGCAGAGATTCAGGCGGGGTTGACGTTAGTGACCTAGGTTTGGCGACTGCGGGGATGCAAAAATATATGTGCTGTGATATGTGCGAAATGCAAGATTCTAAGGGTTCCAAGCTAACGACCCATATTCTGGGTGAAGTGGTATATGTGAAGGAAGGTCGAGTAGGGGGGGGGGAGAGGGGGGGCGTTCTTTTTTTTTTTCTTTTCCGCTACGGCGCAAGGCACGAAATCGAGGAAGGGATAGATGAATGAAAACCGAGAGTTACATCGCAGCGCCTGGCCGCGATCGAATTGATCAAGAGGGTGAGGTGAGATCCAAACAAAGGAGGGGGAGGCGGAGAAGGAGATCAACACTGGGGATCACGCTTATCTCTCCGGAGCTCTCTTTCTCTCTTTGTGTGCTCTAGGCTTATAGAGAGACCTGCAGGTGTACTCTGTATATGTACTGCATAGTACTGGTTGATTTTTGTATTTCCTTTTCCTTTTCCTTTTTCTTCTCCCGGTTTTTCCCTCTTATTCCTTGATTATTTCCTATCCTTTTCAATTCCATTAGATTTGAATTCCATTTGCTGCGTCCAGTAGTACCAATATGGAGTTCTGCAATTGTAATAGGTGAAGCCCAAGCAGGTTACACTAGATAGAAGACATAGGAAATAACTAAGTATTTGACTATACGGAAAATAGTATTCATCAGATATGGAGACCAAGGGGACTCCAAAGTACGGAGTACTACACCCAGACAGACAGATCTCCGGGAACAGCAGTAGATCGGTAAACACCCGAGTCCGGCGGATCCGCAAGGTGTCTTGAACTGAACTTTCAGCCTAAAGCGCTTGGCTTACTTCTCCATTTCTCATGCTTCGACCACGTTGGGCTAAGAAACGCCCCAGTGGAAATCGTTGATCATTTTACTCCGTACTCAAGGTCTCGATTCGTCATACCTTAGACCCTGAGACCCTGATCATCCCCCCATCTAAATTCCCACTTTCACGCCCACCATGCCTGCGGACTACCAGTCCACCGCGAGGGCATTGTCTCTTTCTCCTTCATCCCCCGATCCGATACCTTCGTCGCCGGACGATGCTGAACCGTGGGGTCGCGCGAGGCAGAACTCCGCCCGCTGGTCTGGTGAACAGAGCTATCGCGACCTGATCATACAGCGCGGCACCGAGCTGTACCAGCGCCTGGATAAGATGTGGCAGGAAATGACCTTCTGGCAGAAAACGGCCTATCTAGCTGCTTCTTTACTCGTGGGCGCATCGGGAATTGGATTCTTAGTCCTCACTGGGAAGGTGTTCATTTGGCTTGGACCGGTCGCCGAGAAGTGGGAAAGCTCGTGGCTAGTTGCTTTTGTTTTATGGCTGTGTGTCTTTTTCGTATCGTTCCCTCCTTTATTGGGTTGGTCTACGTTTGGAACTGTCGCGGGCTTCATATTTGGCGTGTGGAAAGGGTAAGACTGCTTGAACCGCGCTGTCTGAGAATAAAAGCTGACTCGTGATATCAAATAGATGGTTAATCTACGCCTCCGCAACAATTCTGGGATCAACTGCCTCGTTCTATGTTTCCCGGACGATTTTATCGGGCTTTGTGCATCGTCTGATGGAGCGGGACAAGAGGTTTGCCGCACTGGCATTGACTCTGAAATATGACGGACTCAAGCTGCTTTGCATGATTCGCCTCTGTCCTCTACCCTACTCAATCTGTAACGGTGCCGTGTCTACATTCCCCACAGTCCAGCCATTGATGTATGGACTTGCCACGGCTATCATCTCCCCCAAGTTGTTGGTCCCTGCCTTTGTCGGAAGCCGAATTCGGCTCCTCTCTGAGAAGGGCGAGGAGATGAGTGCTGGATCCAAGGCTGTCAATGTTTGCAGTATTATTATTACCGTCGGTATTGGAATCTTTACCGGGTGGTATATCTACCAAAGGTTTGAATCCTTCCCCCCCGGGATTCACCGGAGTTCGATGTCTTCTGAATTCATGCTAATATTTGTCTTCCCTTTTATAGAACTTTGGCCCGTGCAGCAGAGCTCGAAGCCCAGGAGCGTGCGGATCTGCGAGGCTCCTTCGATGCTGACCATGCATCGCGCCGCCCTCATGGGTTCTCCCAGGATCCGAGTAGCAAAGCGGCCGCTTCGCTCGCAAAAGATGAAGAGGAACGCGTTGGATTCACCGATTTGGACGATGATAACGTTGATCTCGTACTGGGTGATAGCGACAGTGATCAACCAGGGCCCTGGAAGAAGTCGAACCGCCGATCATATCACGACGAGTTCACCGATAATGATTCTGATGAATTCGCAGAGGAAGGTGCCTATGGGCTGCACAATCATGTCTCCAAATAGCTTGTAATCGAAGATAGAGAATAGAAAGTTTGTGAATAGCTACGTTAACCGTGTGCCGCAACCGCCGGACTGAGAAATACGCCCCGCTTCCGAACCAAAGCCAGGGTTTTTCTACTCTCCCCATCGTCCCCTTCGTCAAGGTCAACATATCGATACAGATCTGAATCCAGGACAAATTTTATTCCCAATCTATTGATGGGTTGCCTTTCCGCCAATTCTCTGCGTAGGATTTGTGGGAAGGGGTGAACTTGATGTATGTCCTGATCCGTGCTTCCTCAGCCTTCGCATCTATCCTCCCATACTCCCCTGACCCTCCATCTACTTCATTGGCCACTGTGTTTTCTGACACCAATTTAGTTGATCTATTTGTTCAATCCTGTGTTCCTTCGGCTTCTGCAGATCGGGTTTCCATGCGGGTTCATATAATGGGCGAAGGCTTCAACATCTGATATCCACACATTCCCCAGGCTAGGAAGGGCAGCCAGTGACATCAGTCTACAAATTGCCCACTGCATCCTTTCCAGTCCATCGGAATTTCTTCAATTCGATTTGAAAGCTCCTTGAATCGTTCTTTTGGGGCCCTTCGAACTGCAATTACCCGTGTATGAGCATGCAGGGCGCCTCCATGACATTCCAGGCTGGGGGTAGGATGCCCTCGGCTCAAGATCCATGCATGAATCAATATGTGACAAGTTCAGAGACTGCAATTCAGAACCCGGGAACCCTCCTATCTGAATCTGGTGATCTCTCTGAACCACCCACAAAGCGGTTGCGGATCACGCATAATACCTTTGATGCCACGACACCAATCCGTTTGGATGGTGCAGGACAAGCTGCTTCTCACGCTCATTCGTTGCCGACTGAAGGGTCAAACCTTGCTTTTCCCAGTGAGAGATTTGACAATGGTGGCAGCAGCAGTACTCCTAATGAATCCACCACCTCAACCGACTTGACATCTTCATTTGAGCCGAAAACGTCTGCTTCTCCTCCACCGGCCCCCTTACAGTCAATCCCTACACAGTCAGTTGTATTTGGGCCTAATGTGCTTGAAAGTGGTAAGGTCGATTTATCCAAATGTCGACCTCGCGCATCCATTCCATCCAAACTCCACCCATCTGTCTATGGTGGGCAATGTGTTAGGGCGGCATACGCGTCTCGTTTAAATCCCTATGCACTTCACCGTCAAGAGCAAGATTTCCTACAAGATCATCTTTGCCATGTTCACGTCACGATATATCTTAACATTCGAAACGGGATTCTGCTACTCTGGGGCAGGAATCCAATGGTTGCTGTGACCAGGGAAGAGGCACTCGGATGTGCAAAGGATTATCGGTGGATGAACTTGGCTTCGTTTGCTTACGACTGGCTGGTTCGCAATGGCTACATCAATCATGGCTGTGTGGAGGCCCCATTAGCTCCGGTGAAACCTAAGCGTGGAAGACGAAAGGAAGGGCCTACAATTGTTGTCATCGGTGCTGGAATGGCAGGTCTGGGATGCGCACGCCAACTGGAGAGCCTGTTCCGCCAATACCGTGATTCTAATATGTTGCCTCGCGTGATTGTCCTTGAAGGACGCCGAAGGCTTGGTGGCCGCATTTACTCCCACCCATTGACTAGTCTGAAGTCTAAAAGCCTACCCAAAGGACTCGTTCCAAAGGCAGAGATGGGCGCTCAGATAATTGTTGGCTTTGATCATGGTAACCCCCTAGATCAGATTGTTCGTGGTCAGCTGGCGCTTAACTATCACAAAATCCGAGATGTCTCCACGATCTACGACATTGACGGGTCGCCAGTGAACGAGAATCAAGATGCGATGGCTGAAAAGCTCTACAATGATGTCCTTGACCGAACCGGATTCTACCGCCATAAAGCCAAGATCCTACCAACCGCTGAGGGGAACCGCGAGATGATTGATGCTGGCCGAGAATCAGTGGTAGACGATGGACTCACTGTGCGACAGTACGAGGAGGCCAGAGCGGCCGGAACAATTGACCTATTGGTACCCACCAAGCGAGTTCGACGAGGAATCAAACACAAGACTGCAGAGAATCAATTGTCTGTGGACGTCGCGAGTGATCTGGTGGGAAACTCAGATGATGATCCCGCAGCTTTGACCTGTCAGACTACTGGATGGAAACTCAACCCTGGTTACACGGTGAGCGACACCATCGAGTTAGACCACATTGCGAAGGTATCTCAGGCGCAGACACTTGGGGCAGTCATGGACGAAGGCGTCAAACAATATCAGCGCATGCTTCCATTGACACCCAAGGATATGCGTCTGATGAATTGGCATTTCGCCAATCTTGAGTACGCAAATGCGACAAATGTGAACCGGTTGAGTTTGTCCGGGTGGGATCAAGACATTGGGAATGAATTTGAGGGTGAGCACTCCCAGGTAATTGGAGGCTACCAGCAACTTCCCTATGGGCTATACAATTTGCCAGAGAAGCTCGATGTCCGTACACAGAAGATTGTTACCAACATCTCATACAGTACCAGTGAAGGGAACAAAAATTCGAAAGCGGTAGTCAAGTGCGAAGATGGGGACACATTCACAGCGGATCATGTTGTATTCACAGGCTCACTCGGTGTCTTGAAACAACAGAATATTAACTTTGAGCCCCCTCTTCCCGATTGGAAACGCGGTGCAATTGAGAGATTAGGATTCGGTATCATGAATAAGGTGATCTTGGTCTTTGAACAGCCTTTCTGGGACACCAGGCGGGACATGTTCGGTCTCCTTCGAGAACCAGCGAACGCTGTTACCATGGTGCAAGAAGAATATGCAGCAAACCGTGGCCGTTTCTACCTGTTCTGGAACGTAATGAAAACGACTGGACTTCCATGCCTGATCGCTCTCATGGCTGGCGATGCAGCCCATCAAGCCGAATCCAGACCAGACGAAGACATTGTCAAGGAAGTCACTGGTCAGCTCCGCAATGTGTTCAAACACACTCCGGTCCCTGATCCCCTCGAAACAATCATCACTCGCTGGGGCCAGGACCCCTTCACATATGGCAGCTACTCCTACGTCGCCGCGTCAGCTTTCCCAGACGACTATGACCTGATGGCGCAACCAATCGGCAACCTGCACTTTGCTGGCGAAGCCACCTGCGGCACTCACCCAGCAACTGTCCATGGGGCATATCTATCCGGCTTACGAGCAGCATCTGAGATCATACTGCCAATCGCTGGCCCGATACAAATGCCTCATCCCTTGGTCCCAGACAAATCTAAAGTCCGGAGCAAATCCTCCACACCCACGGACTCAACAAAGAAAAAGCGAGGACTCACATCCAGCTCCCCTGAAACGCCCTCGAACCTCAACACTCAACCCTCAATCTCAAACTCCCGCAAACCAACAACATCCGACCAAAACCGCCGTGACGCCTACGACCAAGCCCTCTGGACAACAATCTACGCAGAATTAGGATCACCCCCGATTCGACCCACCAAGTCAGGCCTGAACCCCTTCCTCTTTTACCAAAAAGACTTCTGGGCCCAATGCCGCGAAAACTGTGACAATTTGCGCCGCACGGCATCCAATAACCCCAATGCAAAGGCTCCTCGTGATGAAATCCGCGCTGCACTCGGCCAAATGTGGCGCTCTGCAACTCCTGCCGAGAAAAAGCCTTATCTTGACCAGACGGAAATCAATCGTCGCGCCAACGCCGAGGCATGGGATAAGTGGAAAGTCGATATCGCGGAGTGGGAGCGTGGCACATTTGTTGTCAAGGATCGATGGTGTGCCGAGAATCCGTTCGAGAGTTGGGTGATGCCTGATTATCTTGCTGAAGGGACTGCTCAGCCTGTTCCTGTGCTTGGTACGGCCTTTGATGTGAAGTGATGGAGATGTGTATCATTTCAACCGCATTAATTAGGATGGTGATCCGTCGGCCACGACCTTATCGTTACAAGTATTCATTTAGCCTCATGTCCAGCTAATGGAAAGAAATGACTTATTCAATATTTGATACAATTTATAGCTTTTCCGTAGATGTCTTGGGCTTAAACTAGAAACCTTGGAACCAATGAAGAGGGAGGCTTTTTGATCGAGTGTACATGGGAATGTTGGTATTTGAAATAACGTCTAACAATGTCTAACCGGGTAAAAATCATCCAAACACAGGCCAGAGATTATGTTTCATGTATCATGATAATGCAAACAGAAAGGGAATGTATTTAAAGCAGGGGGTTGGACTTGTACTCAGCCGGGGCATCGGCAGGAGCATCCTTTTCAACAGCGGGTTCGTGAGTCTCGGACTCAGCAAGGAACTTCTCGGCCTCGAGGGCAGCAACACAGCCAGATCCTGATATCGATTAGCAAATGATCATGAATGGAGAATCTTGTTGGTACATACCGGCACTGGTAATAGCCTGGCGGTAACGCTTATCTTGGACATCACCGCAAGCGAAGACACCCTCAATGTTGGTGAAGCTGGTACCGGGCTTGGTGACAATGTAACCCTCATCATCGAGCTCGACCTGGCCCTTGACCAGAGCGTTGGCAGGGTCGTGACCAACAGCGTAGAAAAGACCGTTGGCATCCACGATCTCCTCCTTCTCGGAGATCACATCCTTGACACGGAGGTGGGTCATCAGGCCATTAGGCTTGTTCTCACCGATGACCTCGGTGGCAACGGTGTTGAAGCGAACCTTGCACTTGGGGTGAGCAAGCAGACGCTCAGCCATGACCTTGGAAGCACGAAGCTTGTCCTTGCGCACAAGAACAGTCACCTCGCTACCGTACTTGGCGAGGAACATAGCTTCCTCGGCAGCAGAGTCACCACCTCCAATGACGTAAAGGGGCTTGTTACGGAAGATGGGGACAGCACCGTCGCAGACAGCGCAGGCACTGATACCGTTTTGCCAGAAGGTCTCTTCACCGGGGAGGTTGAGACGACGGGCATTGGCACCAGTGGCAATGATGACGGCGTCGGCGGTGCGAACGGGCTCGCTGCCTTCAGCGTCGTTCCATTCGGTCCACATCTTGAAGGGGCGGGAAGAGAGGTCCAGCTTGGAGATGGTCTCGGTGATGATTTCGGTACCGAAACGCTCGGATTGCGCGCGCATGTTGTCCATGAGCTCGGAACCGCCAATGCCATTGGGGAATCCGGGGAAGTTCTCGACATCCGTCGTCGTGGTGAGTTGGCCACCTGCGGCGGTGCCGTTGGCGAGCATACCCTCGTACAGGACGGGCTGGAGCTCAGCGCGAGAGAGGTAGATGGCGGCGGTGTGCGCACCAGGGCCGGAGCCAATGACTGGGGGTTGTTAGAATGGGTCCCGGTGGGAGATTAGGCCAAAAAGTGTTAAGCAGGTTTCACTCACCAACTACTTTGGAGTGCACCATTCTGGCGTTTGTGTGATTGACGCGCAGCGGCGTCGAGAATTTAGAGAAGACCGAGGTCGAAGGCGGAGATTGTTGGTGGACAGTGGTTGCCGCGGCGGCAGTTAGTCCAATGGATCGGAGGGCGGAGGGAAAGCGACGGAAAGTTGAGGAAAACAGCTTGAAGGTGTCCGAGGAAAGACGGGGAGGAGGGGGGTTATATCTTTTTTTCGGAGGGGCAGTGGGGATGATTAGGTGATGTAGTGATTGATAACCAGCAATGAGATCAGAGACTGGACCCGTCGAATTTCTTTCTTTCGTTTTCGAGTGACTGCGGAGCTTATACAATTATTCAATTGGAACCGATTCGACCTTTTACATTGGGCGTAAGGCCCTTTCGTCGAGATCCTCGGCTTTCTAAGCATATGTCACGTGCCCGGTCGAGACCGCGGGCTGATGTAATATCATCAGCTCATCTCGGCCCGGCTCCAGGGCTCTTCGGGTGTTTCTCTACGGAGTACGAAGTAATTGGTCTTTTAAGATCAAACCTGATTATAGTCCTTTCTTATAATTATCACTCACTCCGTGTGATATGAACATAACTAGGTGGAGCGCTGGCACCGTGAGACACTGCAGAACATTCATATTAAGAGCCGGGTACTCCGCATGTACGGAGTACTCCGTACTCGTACCCATGGTCTCCGCATAGCGTGACGGGATTAGGAGCCTACATAGTGGTGACTTGCAAACACTAGGGTTTCACATAGTGAAGGTAAAGTACTCCGTACCATGCAAGTCGTGAGGTGGAAAAAGCCGAGTAAAATAATGCCCGAAAAGTCAGGCAGGTGCATGCTCGTGGTTCTCTGCCCAGATTTAGCCCTGGAGCTACTCAAGTAGCAATCTTCTGAGTTGTATATCAATTCTTCCTCCTAGGCAAGAAGTCAGGATGTATCGATAGTTTCTAAAAGTTCCAAGGTTGTCTATTGAAACCTTGGGAGTAAATATCGATCTAAAAATACTCAATCCGTACCAATTCTTTGAAGGCCAAATCCTCCCATCACCGTATGGAGTACATCTTCAGGGCTCCCATAGAAATTGTGCAAACTGTGCAAACTCTAGCTATACTGTGACGTGAATGAGGCTATCGAGCCAAATCCGTGATATCCCGCCTTCCCCGATTAGAAAAGCATTCCATCTGCACAGGGGAAAGATCGAGGTATATCTAAGCCAAAAAAACTCTGACATCAATTATGAGCTTGGCAAAGAAATGACACATCCACCTTGGAACTAATGGTCTTTCAAAGGGTAGCACTTGTATCTCTGTCTCGCCCTCAGCTGATCGGCCGCACCAATCTCAAGCTCTGCAACCCAACCGCAAGTCTCTTTATCGCAGTCGGTTATGAATTCTTTATTCGCAGTTGATCCAATCCACCCCGGTACTTCGTCCAGCGCAGAAACTTGGTCTTCTTCATATGTGACCAACAAAGGTACTCTGTCTGCAATAGCAGAGCCAATCCTCATCATTGTGAATCCATTCAGCGAACTGGCCCAGCGGGGAGAGAAAGCAGCGTAGCTAGCCAGCCAGAGCAGGAGAAATAGGAATACAAAAAGCAGAGTTGATATGACTGAGATGGATGCCACAGATATTTCGGGAATTGATGAATGGACGCCGTTGTCTGAAGTTATGGGGACAGTATAATTCGGCCCGGCGGACCAGCGGAGACAGTTTTGCCAAGCGTCAAGGGCAAAGTAAAGGCCGACATTGAAAGCTTTTTCAAGCTTCACTATACTGTGGCTGTCTCTTGGACTTCCAAGAAGTACCAACCACTCGAAGAATTCGAGAAAATCCAAATCGTTGCTGAAATCATGCCTGCTGGCCCAATCACCAAAGATTGTGCCATAGGGATATTCGTCATCATAGAACCATGAGAACAGAGGCTGATTATTACGCGCGCAGTAGCGAACATTGGTTGAGCCTGTGTAGTTACGGAAAGTGGCACCATTGAGCGCCGTGGTGCAGGTTGCCATAAAGGAGTCTTTGGCGCCAAATAGAGAGTATGCCAGAATCAACAGTGGGCCTGGGGCTAAGATGCTGTCAATTTCACTATTTCCATAGCCAGGATCCCCCACCTGCAGGCTTCGAGATTCGAGACTGTGCTCAATAATGTCGTCCCTGCAAGATGGTTAAACATATATAGATGGAGCAACAATCTTCAGAACCAGAGTGACTTACTCGTACTTAGCGCCCCCACCACTGGCTCCTGTTCTCTGATCCACCGTATCTCGCCCAAGTAGCTTCGTTGGATCTTTGTCTTCGAGAGCCCCTGGTTTGCCAGAATTCATGTAATTTGGAAGTTCAAACCAGCCAGAAGTGGTGGACGCTGTGATTTTCCAAGCTTGTTCAAAAAACCGAGTACTTTCTGGTCCCACAGTCCTGGACTGATTTTTGAGTTTCAAACCGAGAAACAACTCTTCAGAAACGTCCTGTCGGTCCCGGGTCTGTCTCCACGGGCTTTCGTCATAACGCAGCGAGCGTTCCTGGCCGAGAGGATACAGTCCATCAGTGGAGTTCGGGTATGTTTTAAGTGGATAACATGCTTGGACAGCCCAATCAGTTCCTTGATAGGAAACATGGAAGCTTCGGTCTGTATTACAAACCGCTGGTAGCTCTGACAGTGACAAAGACTCTACCTGTGCACTAGAGTTGAGACGAGGAGCATACTGACGAAGGACGCCAGTGTTAAATCCGTTGGGTAGTTGGGCAATGAACGGATCCTGTAATTTGGGCAGTGTTTTGAATGTCATATTAGACCCACAATATGTTGGTGATGTGTCGTTCAAGCTTGTGCAATGAGTACCAGAGGACTGCCAGAGATATTGACTGTAAGCCTCATCACCAGGGAGAGATCGAATCGCAACAGTGGCTATAGAACTAAGTACCAACCCAATAGGGTATGACTCCGCCCCTTTTGGCATGAGTTCAGAGATGCCAGTAATTTGGGAGCTGCCTGGAACTTTGATCGACTTGGTAGATAGAAGTAACGTTTGGAGTGGAGAAATAAGACCACCGAGAACATGCAGAGCGAAGGCCATCAGAAGAAAGTAGGTAAAGTACAGTTTCCAACAACGCACAGGATTCTTGGCAGTCTTCCAGCACAGCTCGATGTCGGTCCATCTTTTGTCAGAAAGAGCAAGCAGCTGTCGCATGGTCATTTTGTTTGCTTTCCCGTGACGTTGTACAAACACAACAGCTGCATTGGAGCACACAGCAGAAGTCAAGGGAATGGTTAAAACCCCCGCGATGGACTGGATGACTCGGGCGGCACGATACCATTGCTCATTTGCAGAATAACTAGATGCTAACGGATGGTAATAGCGGGCGTTGGTGCCATTGGGCGTGGCCTTATAAGAGTTGGTCGTCACAGGCCGAAAGGACAAGATACAAAGGATTATCCACGAGGAAGTGGCCAGAATGCTGTAGAAGCCAGCAAGAACCAGAATCCAAGGTGAGCGCTGTAACTCCGTCGATTCATGTGGATGGCTTTCATTGGATTCAATCGTATCATGTTGCTGGTGTTCATCTATGTTCTCAGGGGTTTGTGCCAGTAGATCAAGAGACGCCCCGTATTCTTCGGACTCTTCGCGGCAATATGAAGATTTCCTGTCAGTCTTCATTCTTGGTGAATGAAATGAATGGTTGCTTGAGGTTCTCATTTTGGTGTGCTCCTCTTTTGGTGCGCTTCTCTGATTTTTGATTCGAGAATCACAAGGTGGTTTGGGGGTTGGGGCTGAGGATCGTCACATCAGGTGAGGCTGAATATGACCTCCTTGCAGAGTAGGTTTAGGGACTTGCCTAGCCCTCGTTTGGTCCACTTAGTTGAATGAGGCTTATTCCAGGCTTCGGGGCCTCTGGTAATTGTGGACGTTGCCTGCTTAAGCCTTCTGATGAAGCGAGAAACTAGTCAAATGATTGACTCGGAGAGCGAACCCTTTAAATGTTGGGAGTGAGATCTGCAGAACCAAGCAGAGGACGCCAACATCACATGAGAACCACTGAGTACTATCTGGCGTATCACCACCATGATCTGCTGAAACCAAAAAAAAAAAAAAAAAAAAAAAAAAAAAAAAAAAAAAAAAAAAAAAAAAGGGTGATGTGTTGATAATTTTATATTGGCAAATTACAAGATTGTATCGAGGCAAAAGGTCGAGCATTCAAGTCATGAGAGTTCATTATTCATAACGCAAAGAAACGAAAACAAAAAGTACACAAAATGCTCAAGTCCATCTACGCAGTAGCATATAGTACATTAGATCACACCAAACCACTTCTTCCGGGGACGAGTATTCTCCTCAGACTCAGGGTATGGCTCAGCCATCATGTGTTGCGGCAGGCGCTGAGGAACTTCGCTTTCCGAATAATCATCCTCCTCGCTCCCGGGATATCCTTCATACTGTGGTTGCTGGGCCATAGCGGCGTTGGCGCGGGTATTGTTGATCAGGTCGTGGTCCTCGTCATCTAGGTCATCATCGCTGAGATCGTCTTCTGCATCTTTCTCTGCACCGGTGCTCATTTCGTGCTTCTTTCGGCGTGGTATGAACTTTCTCCAGCCCTTGACGATCTGTGTTGGTGGTGGGTCATATTCGGTTCCATCATAGTATAGTGCAGGGATCAGCATTTTGTAAGGAGCTGTGATGCCTGCTGGGTCAGAGTGGCTGATCTCAAGGTTTAAAGTAACGGCGAGCCCGCCTTCAAGGTTGATGTAGGTGCCCGCACCGTCATCGCCCTTGGCAGCCTTTCTGGCCTTTTGGCTGAGGTTTGTTGGCCGACGGTGGAAGGTCCCAGGCCGTTGCGGTGCTGCCGTCCCTGAAAAGTAGCTGTCCTCCCCTTCGTGGGGCTGTGATGGGACATCGACGCTGGCACGTCGGTTGAAACTGGTCTCGTCACCTCGGCTGAAGCTCATAGTTCTTGTGGGAGGGGCACCACGGGTTGAAAGGCGTCGGAGAATTCCGGGCTTTCCTGTGCCTGAGGGTCCCTTGTCGCCACGGCCCAGGGACAAAGTGCGCTGCAACTTGCCTGGTCGGGGCTCTGGGGTTGGTGGACTCTCAGACTCGGGGGTACCGGGGGGAGTAGACCCAGGCTTATACTCGCGAATAGAGCACCAATTTCGACGAGGCAACAGTCGTTTGTTATTTCGGGGTTTGCCATTCACGTCCTGTGTGAAGATCGAGATGACATCTTCATCGGTGTTTGAGTCCATGTGGTGGACAGTGTTTCCCTTGTTAAGCATGTCTGAAATCAAGTCTGTCTCCGGAATGTCCGCAATAGCGGAGGAGATGACGTTTGGCATGTATCGATAATCATGATCCTTGGCGACGCCCATCTTTGGATTTGAGTAGAACTGCCCGATTGCAGCAAGATGCACATCACCACTGGGAGGGAAGGGTTAGTCCAGTACCCAGGCACAGCAGATAAAAAACTTACCTTAGAATCGTTACACGGACTGATTTCTCTGCAGCCAGGTCCTGAAGATCCTCAACCAGCCATGTCCGTTCAGACTTGAGGTGTTTACCAGCCCAGTGATCATCAAACACCTCAACATTGCCACCAGACTTATTAACGAGACCACCGAGGACACCAGCCTTACCGAGAGACTTGCGGCTGTTCATGAAGTTTCTGAGCATCGCCTATCATTGTGTTAGTAGAGGAATCCCAATATAAGAGAACAGAGCCACATACCACTCTGGGGTAGGCCACAGGAACACTCGAGAGGACAATCAAGTGCTTCGTCTCTCCTTTCATAATCTCTCTATGGCAGCGATCCCATAACATATCGCAGGTCTCCTCACTAAGGACCTCGTTGCTCTGCAAAAAAAGGTCAGTATGCTCCGACAAAACCGACAAATGGGACTTCTTACCCGTCTTTCAGTACGGCAGTCCAGCCCCAGGAAGGAGATTCCCTTTCCAAACGACATGAACAGATTTCGGCTTTTCTGGTCAATGTAGGGACCTGGATGAGCACCAAGAAGCCAACTGGGCTCTTCAACCTCCGTTTCATCGGGAACACTATGATGTTGGAAAAGTAAATAATACTTGAAAGCAATTTTGCCAATTCCGGAGATGACCGAAGTGTGCATAAAGTCCTCATGATAGGACCCGAAGCCTTCAAAAATCTCATGATCATTCCAAACATTGACCATGGGGATTTGCGAGTTAGCCAAAGAGAAGAGACCTTGTGAGAACCATGCGGCATAATTCTCAAGGTAAAACTGCTCGATCTCAGCTCGGAAAGCAGGCGTGAACGGCGCGCCATATCTCTCAGCGGCGTTCTTGATCTTGATCCATTCCTGGAAGTGCTTGGACTGGGTGATTACAGAGTCATTGAAGATCTGGTCACCACCTCCTACCATAACGTGGAATGGACGAGTCTGATGCTCGTTCAGAATATCGCGCCATAGCGGATCGGGCCCGCAGACACGATCCGAGTCAACGGAGGGGCTGAATCCGTTGCCAGTGTGGAACATGATATTCATTGATTCCCCAGCAGGAGGGACCCAGAATCCGAGGGCCGGTCCTTGGTTGATTCGATATGCGATTCGCTGCTCTGTTGAGCGTAGCTCGACCTCCAGATTGAATTTCCAGAATGTGGCATCTCTTGCAGCGTCAGCATACAGTCGGACTCCCGGAATGTCACAATGAAGGCCGGCTGTTTCGCCATCGATAGAATGCATTCTGTTAGAAGGTATAGGTTGTTTGAGGCCCTCGCTGGTGTAGTCAACAATGCTGGGTGAGAGCTCATAGATGCCATCCTCCGTTTGCTCGAATGACAGATCGACTTGCTCCTCAATGTGTTCAACGGGCTTCACGTAGAGGGGCCGACCATCTCGACCGACTTTCATTAGACCGGCTGTTGGGTCAACATATTCAGGGGCCAATTGCATCCCATCTTCACGACTGACCTCCACGGGCGGAGGTGGGAGAAGGTCCATAGGCTGTGAGAATAGTCTCAACGTGGGTGGGGTTTCATAAGAAGATCGAACATCCCCAGTTGCAATCAGAATAGAGCCTCGCCAGATATTTTTCTCTACAGGCTCGGTGGGAGTACCGGTGTTGATCTGCTTAATTCCGCTGTATCGCAGTAAAGGACCACATCGCAAGAAAAGGCGAGGCTGAAAGTTTTTATGCTCAGTCACTCCTGGTTCATGTTAGCACGACCTCTTCCCAAATCTTTTACAACTCAACAAGGATATAAAAAACGGGTCTTACCTGTCAACTTTTGGGCGGGGGTCTGATAATTCTTGGGGAGAGCTCTGCTCTTTCGACGATCCTTGTTGTCACCACCTTCCCACCACGCTTTGCTTCTGTTGATGTCAAGATTCTGGAAATCGAAATCAGAGGCCCTCAGCTGAGCAGGCTGTGCACCTCTCCATTCAAAGATAGGTGGTGGCGTAGGTGGTGGTACATTGAACGAAACATTCTTGGGTTTGCTCTGTGACTCAGCACTATCTTGGGGAGCAAGCGGCGCTGGAGATAATTCCGGCGTTCTTTCTGCTCTGAGGGCCGAAGGCACCTGTCCAGGGCGATGGGCCGCCTGAGACATGGACTTGCTATGGTTGATATTAGGAGAAAGGCCCGGCTTTGCTGGCCCACTGACCGTCACTGATCTTTGAGGCACATTTCCTATCCTGGCGGATGATGGTATAGCAGCTTGTGCTTGTGTGAATTTGGAGTTTTCGGGATGTCGGACGACAGGATTTTGCGGGTTTGCCGAGCCATTCCTGCCGTGGCGTACAGCAGTGTTTCCCGGTTGTCTTTGCTGCTGGGCGCTGGCGTGTCCATTTCGAATGTCACGATTGACCGGGATATCGTTTTGCTCGTTCCTTCTCCTTGCGCCGGGTGACGGCTGGCTACCTTCCACAGGCGCTGCCGATGCTTGAAGTGATGCGGCCGCCAATGCAGCCTTTTCCTCTTTAGCTTTTTTGCGGGCCATTCGCTCACGGGCTTTAGCTTCCGCTTCTCGCACACGCAAGCGCTTTTCTTCTTTGCTGATTCCTGTCAAGGTAACCTCCAACTTTTGCAGAGGTGATCGATCCGACGCCCAGTCCCGCCGAGAGTCATCACCTGCGTCTGAGCGCATGGTGTTTGACCGAGATGGGGCAGCAGATGTAATCGATGCAGGTGGCGGAGACGAGACTTGGATATCTGGCATGGCGGTAGAGTTTGAAGGACGAGCACCCGCGGGGAGGCCTCGCGGCGTGGTAGACTCTTCTGACAATTCTGATGTAAATTCGGGTACTGGTTTGCGAGTAGTGTAATTCAGATTGCCCTCGGGTTGGTCTCGGGCTCGGGCTGCGAAGCTCTTGTCCTCCTGGCCTGGGGAATGGGCACCATTTGGGCTGTGAGGTCTATATGAGTCCTCGTAGCTGTCGCTGGAAGGGGCCGCTCTGCGATTGCGTCTGCCTGCCCTTTGGGTCCCATTGGCGTGTTCCGAACTGACATTTGCCATGTCGGGTGATCCACGCATGATGGCCGCCATATGTGGATTTGCGCCCAAGATCAACAGGATCGGAAAAAATGCGTTGGTGCCAAGGAAGAGGTTGACAATGCAACTGGAATGGAAGTCAACAGTGCGGGTTGGGTAGATCCAGAAGGGATTCGAATCTAGATTAATCGGATGCCTAACGCAGGTAATGCAGGTAACGCAGGTCACCACACCATGGCCCGATCTGATTCGCACTGAGGTCAGGCCAAGTCGTTTGTGCGACCAGGCATATGGGGTGTCTGAGAGTATGGATATATGGGGATAAAAAAAAGGATGAGGGAGAGAAAGAGATTTCTATCTACGGAGTAGTAGCCTTGGAAGTATCCAATATCCTGGTGGCTGGTATAATTGCCCCAGCCTTCGCGCGGGGCATCAAGGAGAGCCAATAATAGACCCTATCGGAAGAATTCGATAATATCCTATACTTCGTATGGAGTACGAAAACGACAGCTAGAGAAAAAAAAGGATATATTTAAGCAGCTTGGGTGTATTTTGTGTCGACGTTAACTACTGAGTAGTAAGTACTCTATAGTCTTCATCCTGTACGGAGTAGTTGTGCCATACTATCTATAGATATTCTACAAATCTAAGTTGTGTTCTTTAGGTCCTGACCGATTGATAAAATATTCCCTTCCTTTCTTTTCAGTTTGGTTTTCTTCTAGTGATTATTGGAGGCCTTAATTGCTAGAAATGCAAGGGCCGAGTTGGTCTACGAGGAAGTATGGAGTGCTCCGTACGGAGTAGTGCTACCCATAATTGGGGTTGATCATAGCTTTCTTGAGGCTCAATGAGGTATGGACATCCAGAAGATCGAAAATACTCATGTCCATAATATACTACGAGTACAATTCAATGTTAGGACAGACTACTCCGTAAGCGGGAGAAGAGGTGAGAACCCGTGGCCTTTGAACGTCAATAAGAGCCCCGAATGGGATCCCGTGCGTGGCCTCTGACGATCCTCCTATTTTACCTCTTGGCTTTCTCAACACCTCACTCACACTTAACCATACATATCATTACGTCTATTTTGGTTCTTCGACTGTCAAGTTTCCTAGTTGCCCAGGGTCCGGAACCGATGGCAACCGTTTGCTAGCTTCCTATACAACCTCACCCTCGCCGAACCTACCTTGCCCTCCTTTTTTCCGATTGATATACACACTATGCGTTTCGCTATTGCCGCCACACTAGGGCTGGCCGGTGCGGTCGCTGGAAACCTACACCCTCGCTCTCAAGAATCCCGCGACTTTTTCGCTCTCCACCTCGATGACACCACCTCTCCTTCCCACATCGCACAGGTCTTAGGCGCCCGCCACGAGGGCCAGATCGGTGAACTCGATGGTCACCACACCTTTTCCCTGCCTCGGGGACAATCAATCGAGACAGATACCCTGCTAGATGATTTGAGGGTGAAGAGGAAGCTCCGACGGCGGTCCGGCGCAATCGACACGCAGAGTGACGATCCACTGCATGGAGTCCTGTGGTCGCATAAGCTCGCCCCAGCAAGACAAAGACTTCATAAACGGCTACCTCCGGTGTCGGTACCCTACGAAACCTTGGACAAGCGAAAGGTGGACGCGCAGGCCGCTGCTGCCCAGAAAAACGTCATGTCCACCCTAGGAATCAACGACCCCATTTTCAAAGAGCAATGGCATCTTTTGAACACCCTGCAACCGGGCCATGATCTCAATGTGACCGGTCTTTGGTTAGAAGGCATTACAGGCGAAGGAATCGCTACCGCGGTGGTGGACGACGGTTTGGATATGGACAGCAATGACCTGAAGCCAAATTATTTCGCGGAAGGCTCATGGGATTTCAACGAGGGAGGCCCCGACCCTCGTCCTCTTTTACTTGATGACAAACACGGTACTCGATGCTGCGGCGAGATCTCAGCGTCCAAGAATGATGTCTGCGGCGTGGGTGTTGCTTACGACAGCAAAATTGCCGGTATTCGAATCCTCTCCAAGCCCATTGATGATGTTGACGAGGCGGCTGCGATCAACTACGGATACCAAAAGAACGATATCTATTCATGCTCGTGGGGCCCAATTGATGACGGTGCTACGATGGATGCGCCCGGAATCCTGATTAAACGAGCCATGGCAAATGGCATACAGAAGGGCCGAGGCGGCAAAGGCTCGGTCTTCGTATTTGCTGCCGGCAATGGTGCACTATACGGCGACAACTGCAACTTCGACGGTTACACCAACAGCATCTACAGCATCACAGTCGGTGCCATTGATCGACAGGGCAACCACCCCACGTACTCGGAGTCATGCTCGGCCCAGCTTGTTGTAGCATACAGCAGTGGGTCTGGGGACGCAATCCACACCACTGATGTGGGCGCTGACAAGTGCTTCTCTGGACACGGTGGTACTTCCGCAGCTGGTCCTTTGGCCGCAGGAAGTGTAGCGCTGGCGCTCAGCGCACGGCCAGAGTTGACCTGGCGTGATCTCCAACACATCATGGTGGAAACTGCTGTCCCCGTGAGCGAAGACGATGGCAGCTGGCAGATACTGCCATCTGGTCGCAAGTTCAGCCATGACTGGGGTTTCGGCAAGGTCGATACCTATACCATGGTCCAGCGCGCTAAAACGTGGGAACTTGTGAAGCCGCAGGCATGGTTCAATTCGCCTTGGTTGAGAGTACATCAAGCGATTCCCGAGGGTGACCAGGGTCTCCTTAGTCATTACACGGTAACTGAGGACCACATGAAGAAGGCCAATTTTGCCAAGTTGGAACATGTCACTGTGACTATGAATGTCAATCATACCCGCCGTGGTGACATTAGCGTTGAGCTACGCAGCCCCGGTGGCATTGTGAGCTACCTGAGTGTTGCTCGCAGAAATGACAACATGGCGACTGGTTACAATGATTGGACTTTCATGTCTGTTGCTCACTGGTATGCTATTTCCCCCTTCATCAAATTCTGCACCTTGCTAACTATTCAACCTTAGGGGTGAATCTGCCTTGGGTGAATGGTCGGTCATTGTGAGGGATACCGACAAGAATGAGAACACCGGCTCTTTTGTCGATTGGCGGCTGAACCTTTGGGGTGAAGCTGCTGACGGGTCTAAGCAGCCACCCCACCCTCTGCCTGAAGAGAATGACGATGATCACCCTTACGAGGATGCCCGTGTGGCCACGACCAGCGTCGCATCGTCCCCTGTAAAGACCGGAGCTCCCGAGAACCCGGACGACCATCACGACCGACCCGTGAATGCCAAGCCACAGGAGACCCCAACGCCAGTACCGGAACCCAAGCCAGAGTCCGAAACCAAGCCGGACTCCATCCCGATTGAAGATCAGAAAGAACCCACCAACACCTCCGGTGGTGAAACCGCCTCACCTTCACCCTCCTCGTCAGACTATATATCATCATACCTCCCCACATTTGGTACCTCCAAACGTACCCAGGTTTGGATATATGCCTCTTTCGCAATGATAGTTGTTTTCTTCATCGGACTGGGTGTCTACTTCCAGTTGCAACGAGTCAAGCGTCGTCGCACCACAGCTCACGATGACTACGAGTTTGAAATGATTGAAGATGAGGATGAGACACAACCAATGGCAGGAGCCTCTGGCCGGACGCAGCGCCGGGGTGGTGAGCTGTATAATGCATTTGCCGGTGAAAGTGACGAGGAGATGTTCAGTGATGATGATGAACCCTACCGAGACGGGTTGGCCAATCACCCAGAGAGACCTAGCGACGATGAATCGCCTGATAGGCGTCAGGAAAAGCCTTAGTTAGGTGTTGGGACCCTTCATTTGCATTCTGTTTGGTGTTGTCGATATGCTACATTGATTCGAGGGTTGACTTCAGAATAGATGGGATATGAAAAAGGCCTATCTGTATATCTATTTTTTTAATAGAAGTTTATTCTGTGCATACAGCCAGAATGAAACAAACGAATTCCTTGATGTAGACCGGAAATTTGAGGGTTAAGCATACATAGTAGGGTAACTCCGCAGTGTAGAGTAAATAATCCCATGTCAAAGGGCGATGACGCTGTTTCGGGAACTCCGCCTTGGGGAACGACGATCATCGAACTCAGCTACCTCCAAAACATCCCCCCCTCATTCCACCTCTCTTGCCCTTCTGTTCCTTATTAATTGCTATCTCCGGCATATTCTACTGCAGCAAATATTCGCTGTTGGCACAACAAGAGTTCCCAAAACCAACTGCCGGGTGACCACGGCCGACCGCCGCGCCCCCACGATGGATCAGCACGACGACTTCGACAGTGTTTCTTGGAAGCACGACCCAGATAGCGATGCGTCACGGCCTACTACTGCTGGCACTGATGCCGCAGAATCGAGCGAAATAGGTCATGACATCAATGGCAAGCGCAGAATGAGCTCCGCCCACGAAGAGTCCCAGGCTGGCCCGCTCGCCGACGCCGTGGACCTGGCGGGCATTGGCGACGGGGTCCTTGAATGCCAGGTTGACTCTCCACTTAAAGAAAACGACGGCACAAAAGATGCATATATCTCGTACCTAGTTACTACACATGTATGTGCCCTTTTTACCTTTACAGCTGCTGCCTGGATGCTCCGTACCTAGGACCGTGTAGACTCCACCGAACAATTACTGATTAAAGCAGACCGACTTCAAGTCATTCCAGAAGCCCGAGTTCACTGTTCGGCGACGATTTACCGACTTTTACTTTCTATACAAGACGCTCTATCGCGAATACCCAGCATGCGCGGTACCGCCGCTCCCGGACAAGCACAAGATGGAGTACGTGCGAGGAGACCGATTCGGGCAGGAGTTCACAACGCGACGAGCATGGTCGCTGCATCGGTTCCTGAAACGCCTGACTCTTCATCCTGTTCTCCGCCGGGCTCCTTTGCTCACTATTTTCTTGGAGTCGCCGGACTGGAACGCTCATATGCGCCTACACTCAACTCGAACATCCACTAATACCAATTCAGATGGTGCCTCCACTGGCATCTTCGATAACTTCACCGATACCTTTGTCAACGCCTTCTCTAAAGTCCACAAGCCGGACCGGCGCTTCATCGAAGTCCGCGAAAAGGCCGACAAACTAGATGAGGACCTGTCGCACGTGGAGAAGACCGTCGCTCGCGTTGCGCGCCGCGAGTCGGATCTGGAAACAGACTATGCCGAGTTGGCAACGCAGTTCCGCAAGCTTGTTCAATTGGAGCCTGCCGTTGAGGTGCCGCTGCAGGTCTTCGCGGCTTCCGTGGAGGAGACCGCGCGTGGAATGCGCGGGTTAAAAGAGCACACTGATCAAAATTACCTTGGCTCCCTGCGTGATACAGAGTCCTACATCATGTCTTTAAAGACCCTTCTGAAGACCCGCGAGCAGAAGCAGCTCGATTTCGAGGCTTTGGTTGATTACCGCAACAAAGCTGTGACTGAGCGTGACTCTCTCGCCGCTAACCCGGCTGCATACTATGCTTCGAACCCGCTTACCTCCTCCCCTGCGTCCTTTATTCGTTCCAAGATGGAAGACATGCGGGGTGTTGATCACGAACAGTCTCGCCGTGAGCGAGTTCGCAAACTCGAGCTCCGCATTGACGAATTAACTCGTGAAGTGGAGTCCGCAAAGACTACCTCTGAGATGTTCGATGAGGAAGTTGTCCGTGAAGTGGCGGACTTTGAACGTATCAAGGCAGTCGAGTTCCGTGATGGTCTAGGTTCCTTTGCCGATTCGCACATCGAATTCTATCAAGGCGTTCTTTCTACATGGGAGAGGTTTGTGGCTGAGATGGAGAGCGAGGGAGAGGGCCGTGACTCTGATGCAGCTGCTTTCGGTGCTGTCTAGGACATTGATATTGGCTAGGGTGTATTACCCGGACAGAGTTTGTTTAGTTGGCAGTTCATGTTGGTCTCTTTTCCTAGCTGTATCCCATTTCTCATACCCGCAATACCATCATGAATTATCACTTCCTATGGTTTACCAATATGCCGATTATCTTCACTCTCATCATACCAGCGTAGTAGAAGCAGCGGGCTTATACTGTAGGAAATGGGGTTAATAGGAATATCAAATTTAGCAATAAGAGAGGTTAAGAGGAATTTAAGGAGCAACTTTCTAACTCCTACCTCCAATAGCTCAATTGGATTATGCACGCAGGGTTCGCCTCTTCCTTCCGGGGTTGAGTCCCTCACTTTGGTGTTGGATAGCCACCTGCTAGCGTCAACTGTGCCAGTAATTTGATGCTTGCGCGTTCGAGTCTTGACGGAGTCGATTGGAATTTATTCCTTTCTTTCCTGAAGACGCGTTTAAAGCCTGTCACTCTACTGGATGGTGAAAGCCGGAGGATAAGCACAACTGGTCTCCTGCGCACGGCCAACTCATATGAAGCTCGTGAAAAGGGAGTTGTAGTTTCCGGAACACCAACAAGAGGAACAGCTGCCTCTCAATATCCTTTTTTTATCTTCTTCTCTAAATACTCCGTACCTAAGTTGTTGGATTATATATTTCCTAATCGGGCAATGAACCATGTTTGCACTGTTTGTGTCTTCCACATCTATCTTCCAACGTACGATTCAATCTCCGAAATCCAGACAAAATGCGTCCAATTTCCAGATCTGCTCTCCGGCCATATGTTTGCCAAACCTGTCGCCATGGTATCGGCGCTGGCCGGCGGCGATTTGCATCTCAATCCGGTTCTCCTGACCTTTACGACGTCGTTTGTGTTGGAGGCGGGCCTGCCGGCCTAGGGTTAATGGCTGCACTTCGTATGTATATCTCCTGCCAAATATATGACAGCTCTTAATACCAATTATATAGGGGCGTCGCCTATCACCTCTAAGCTCCGAGTCGCTCTCATTGAGACCCAGGATCTCACCAAAGCTCAAGCTTGGAATCTCGAGCCAACCCAATATTCCAACAGAGTCAGCAGCCTGACCCCCTCGTCCGTGGCATTCCTACGCCAAATCGGCGCATACGACCACCTCGATGTCAACCGTGTCCAGGACTACCAGGACATGCAGGTCTGGGACGGCCAGACTGGGTCCTCAATATCATTCGATTGGTCCATGGAGACATCCCCGTTCGAGGACCCGCGCACCGTAGCAACAATGACCGAGAACGCAAACCTGGTGCGCGCACTGCTCCGCCGCATCGCACAGTCCGGCGACGAAAACCTCTCCCTCTTCTCAAACTCAACCGTTGCCTCCATTGAAACCGGCTCCGACCTCAAACCAGAAGGACCTGACCTCTCCGCCTGGCCTGTCCTCTCCATCAAACCCACCGGCCCAGGCGAATCAACCCCCAAGCGCATCGCTGCTCGCCTTCTCGTCGGCGCAGACGGTATCAACAGCCCCGTCCGCTCGTTCGCCGATATCTCAACCCACGGCTGGGACTATGGTCGCCACGGAATTGTCGCAACACTCGCACTAGGCGATCTCGACATCCCACCTTTCCCCGCCTCAAAGCGAACCGCCTACCAGCGCTTCCTTCCGGCTCTGGGTGGTCCAATTGCCCTCCTACCGCTTCCCAATAACCACGCAACCCTGGTCTGGTCTACAACACCCGAGAACGCCGCGTATCTCAAGTCCCTCTCCACCCCCTCTTTCCTCGCAATGGTCAACGCCGCCTTCCGCCTCGAGATGACTGACCTCAGCTACATGATGGGCATGTCTTCCACCTCCGACATCTCCCACCAAGATGAACTCACCTGGCGCACTCAGCACACCGCCCTCCCCTCTCAGGTCCCTCCTCCTGCAACAGCCGTGCAAGAAGGAACAATCGCCTCCTTCCCATTGCGCTTTAGACATGCCGCGCAGTATGTTTCTCCGCGTGTGGCACTTGTTGGAGACGCCGCGCATGTCATCCACCCACTTGCTGGTCAGGGTCTGAACCTCGGCTTGGCAGATGTGGCTTCCCTGTCCAAGACAATCCAATATGCCGTTTCGCATGGTATGGATGTCGGTGATTTGCTTACGTTGGAACGTTATTCATCTGAGCGGTACTTGCCCAATGCCAAGATTGGTGGTGCTTGTGATTTGCTGCATAAGATGTACACGGTTCCTGGGGAGGGGCCTGTTGCTTGGGCCCGGAGCGTTGGACTGGGTGTTGTTGATCGTTTGCCTTTTGTCAAGTCGTTCTTGATGAAGAATGCCGAAGGTTATTAGATTCAGTGTCGTTGTATATGTATCTTTTTGTAATTCTAGTGTCAAATGCAAGCATTTTGATAATTTACTTCTGCCCCTCTTGATGACGAGAGGCTTTAGTTCGTGACCAATACAGGAAGAAATGGAAATGCGATAAATTGGGTATTGGCATGTCCATGCCCAGATCCGTTAAATGTATCCCTTGAAAAACATCCGTATCCTTTTGTAGGCCATCAAGCTCCGGGTTCGACAATGCAAGAGATCTATATAATTTTGGGAGGGAAACCCTTTTAACAAACAACGCTCATGGGAAGGGGTAAAGAAAAACGAGAAAGAAACGATGAGAATGTGATGTGCGTAGTCTTGTCTTAGGTTTTAGACAGTTGTACCCTGCAGCTGCTGCGCCAGAGAGGTAACAACTCCGTCCTGCTTCTTAGCGAGACGGGCCTGCAGTTCAGTAACCAAGGTCTCGAGTGTGACCTCAACACCTTCCTTCTCAGGGTGTCCGTCGGGAAGACCCATCTCCTTGATACGGCATTTGCCAGCGGCAAGCTCTTCTTCGCCAAGAATGATACCGAAGGGAATGGCACCCTGCTCGGCAGCCTTGAATTGCTGGGGAAGCTTGGGCTTCAGCTTGTAGGAGAACTCGGCCTGGGGTGATATTAGAAAAACTTCGTTGAAAAGTGAGAATATATATGCATACCTTGATACCGGCGTTCCACAGCTTCTGGCAAACGTCCATGCGCTCCTTCAACATGCCGGTGAAACCCTTACCACCAAAGGCCATAACATAAGCATCAACTTCGCTGCTGCGGAGAGCGGTGCTCTTCTGCTCGCGCTCAAGACGCGCCTTAGTGATGGAGAAGATACGGTCGACACCGAAAGAAATTCCGACACAGGGGATCTGGGCCTTGGGCAGGAACATGCTGACCAGGTTGTCGTAGCGACCACCAGCGGCGACACTACCAACACCGAGGGTGGGATCGTTGGAACGATCGTCATCCTCAGAGGGCTTGCCCTTGTCCTTCTTACCAGAAGGCTTTTGATTCTCAGCAACTGCGACCTGCACACCAGCAGAGCCCTCCGTGACAACCTCGTAAATGACACCGGTGTAGTAGTCAAGACCACGAGCAAGAGACATGTCAAAGGAGATCTTGTCCAGCACACCGAATGCCTCCAAGTAGTCCATCATCAAAGCCATGTCCTCAAGACCGGCCTTGGCGGAGGCATTGGTGTTGAGTGCCTCATCCTTCAAGAGAGATTCAAGCAGCTCACGGGAGCCCTTGTTCATAACGTACTTCTCAATGCGATCCGCAACCTCGCCATCAAGACCCTTATCGTCGACCATCTCCTTGCGCACATCCGCCCAAGGCATCTTGTCCAACTTGTCAACGGCACTAGAGATAGGGCGGATCTTGTCCTCTGGCACACCACAGACGGCGAAGACACCATCCAGGATCTTACGGTGATTAAGCTTGATAGTGTACCGGCCATTCCATCCCAACTCCTCAAAGACCTCGCAGATGATGCGCAGGATCTCGGCATCGGGCACCATAGCGTCGAAGGTACCAGCGATATCGAAGTCGCACTGGTAGAATTCACGCATACGGCCCTTGCTGACAGCAGGCTGGTCGCGACGGTAGACCTTGGCGATGTGGTAGCGCTTGATGCTGCGAACGTCGGTGTTCATGGCCAACCAGCGCGCAAAGGGCACAGTGAGATCGTAACGGAGGGAGCAGATCTCGCCACCCTGATCCTGCAGGTCGTAGATGAGCTTAGAGTCCTCGCCATATTTTCCAGCCAGGATTTCACGACGCTCGAAGACCGGGGTGTCGAGAGCGGTTCCGCCGTGGCGCTTGAAAACGTTGGAGATGGTGGTGAAGATGCGGTCTCGGAGGAGGGCGTCGGAGCCTGCCCAATCCTTGGTGCCCTTAGGGGTCTTAAGGTTGAAAGAAGGAGCCTTGTCTTTCCCCATTTCGTCTTGAGTGCAATGTGAAGAGGAAAACTGACGAGTGCGGCGGGGAGAAGTTTGGTGGGGGATGGTGGGGGCTCGGATATTATTTTTATTCAAGATGACTCGACGGTGCAGGGTACACTGACTGCGATAGACAGGCGACACGCCAAAAAAACTGGCAATTGCTCGAACGGAGCGAAGAGTCACACGGCAGGACGTCATAAAAGAATCAAACACGCTGCGCAAATGAAAATATCGGGGTTCATCCACGGATCTCCTGGTCTCCTGAGGCTGCTGTTGATTGGGTGGTCCCTTCTGCTTTTGGATAGTTCTCCCGGCAGTTTATCCGAGGAAAAAACATGGATCGCTCTGTGTGTTTGCCCAGTTTGCACTTATGTTTGGTTTATGATGTTTGCTTTGTTTGCCAATGGGGCTCCTCCGGTGCTTCCAGGACTTCCCTGGTCTCCGGGAAGACCCCCAAAGCATCCTTGAACCACTGGTATGATGACCAGCTGCACATAAGCCAAGCGTTCTTCGATCTTTTGTCCTACCTATTTCGTGCCTAGCTGGTGGCTTGCGGTTACCAAATGCTACCTTGCTAAATCGGCAGTCATGCCTATTCGTTGAACAAAGAAAGAAATATCACCCTATAAAATACGCCAGTTCCATAAGTAGGAGTGCATTGTACGGCGTATTTCTCGCGCAGGTTAGATCAAGAGTTATAGATATGGTACATAAGGGGCATTGATCGCCTTTAATTATATATAGACTGACTTAAATTCCCCGGATCTACTCCGTAATGCGTACGGAATACACAGTGCCTTGATTGCAACCCTAAAGAAATGACTCATGCGGCTTACGCGCGAATGTGGAAAGGACACCGTTGGCTTTGTGTTTCAAGGTACTGCATTCCGATGTCATACAGGAGAGTCAAAAGTATAATGACTTTCAACATCGGATGGAGCGCTGTATAGTTACAAGTATGCAGCACGGAGGACGGGGTACTCGTAAATCACTCACAATTCGGGACAATCCGATCTACTCCACACTCCCGAGCAACGTCATTGATCGGAACTAGTGTAGAACGGGCATTTAGGTGACCTGACATGCTGTGTAGGTTGCTTTTTCCTATCTTGAGATGCCGGCCTACAACATGCGCCTTTTTTTCCTTGTTACGAGCCCCTTGGGAGGTCAAGCTTATGCCTCGCCACCCCCACTTTGGATTGATTCGGTAACGGACGGAACGCCTTGAGTGGTCTCCTGCATTGCCGCCTAGATACCTCGTTTAAATTAACCAACTCTCATAGGGTGGTCAGATGCCCCCAGAGGAGGATCTCCTACGTACGTATATTCATAATCCGACGTCGAAGCCAGAGCACATATTATTACACAGGAACGTGCACTGTGTACGGCATGAAAGGAGTGGCTGGGCTTTGGGTCTATTGGGTCCGACAGTGAAGTCCATATGCAAGAAGGTGTCGTCAATTATCGCGTCCCGCGGACAGCGGCCGAGCAACATGGAATTCAGGTGGTCTTCCCCCTTGCGGATATGAAGCACGCTGGGCACCATACGATGAGATAACCATCAACTCAGATTCAGCAAGGAACACGCTTGTTTCGAAGGCCGGGGCCACCGCCACTTTTTTTTTGTTACCTCCACGGTGTGCATGGTCATTGGCCGTTGCGGCACGCCATGCGAGGGGCGGACACATGGCCCGTGAGCGAGGGAGGGTAGGAGCCAATCAGCGGAGCGGAATGAACTGAGTTCTGTGTGGTCCAGTCGCCGGAGAGGGGATTTGTGTCCCATGGGCGTGGGGGAAGAGGCCGCTCCGCTGGGGAAGAGCCTGGGCCAATTACCGGATGCTTAAGATTGGGGCTCCTCCGGTACCGCCGGAAGTGTCCAGGATCTCAGCAAAGGCATTTTGTTGAGTTCTGTGTGTGTGTATAATGTGTCGAGGACTTCATCGAACAAACAAATAAATAGTGAGAGGGCCAAAAAAAGCAAAATCGGCGATTGGAGTACAGTACCGGTCCCCACGTGGCTCAACAGACTAGGATGAAAAGGGTAGGTCAAGAAAGGATGCGGAGAGTGGCCTTCTGGATGTTTCCGCAGTTCCTGGTAATTTGGTTACCTGGTCTTTGTAACTTGAGTTAATCAGTCTGATTGTACGCCAGAAGTTATAATGCGTATTAATCTCAGTGTACTCTCCAGCGCTAGTCTTGTATCTCTTCCCCTCCTCGGCTTTATCTCCAATTCCTCCACTTGACCACCTCTTTCGCTTCAGACCGGGACTTCGTCTTGTCTCATACACATCTCCCGTTACCATTCCCGTCCCCCTCTCCCATTTCCACCGGAGCCTAAACCTTATGCGAGAACGTTCGACGTATCCGAACTAGTTCATTTCCCCGGTTCCTTCTCCGACTTCACTTTACACGCCCTTTCGTCCTACTTGTTTCCCCCCGGACCAATGCAGACTGCGAGCACTCATTAAGCCATTATGAAGGGGTTTTTCTCCAAAGGCTCGAAGAATGGGGTAAGCACATGTTCCCTACCAGTCTCGCTCTTGTAGCACAGCAGGTGCCTCGGGCACCCCCGTGAGACCCAGGAACCATTGGAATCGAGACTAACCTCGACCTCGCGCAGGCCTCCAACCCCCCGGCTGCAGCGCCGCCCGTGAAGAAAGATATTGCCCCGCAGATATCCCCGCTGGAAAAGAGGTTGCAGGACCTGGGTGCTATCCGTGAGGATGGAAGTGACAAGTTTTTTGGTATGGAGAACGTGAGTTGTGCACCTCCCTAGACTCGAGCCCGCTGTGACCGACACGCTGACCATCTGCGTGCGCCTGGATAGTACGGAAACACCTGTTACTGCAATTCCATTCTCCAGTGCCTCTACTACTCGGTCCCTTTCCGCGAAGCCGTCATCAACTACCCGCAACGAACGCCACTTGACACCCTGGAGGCTGCTCTCGCAACAAACCTGCGATACCAGAACCCCACAGCCTATCTCGAAGCCGAGGCCTTAGCCGCAAAGCAAAAGGCTACCTCGCCACCGTCAGCGCGCCAGGCCGGCGCACCCCCGAATCAACCACAAAAGCCCGAAGATAAGGACTCGGCTGAATACAAGAAGAAGGTTGCGCTACAGACGCTTCCTATTCTGGAAACGAAAAATAATGCGGCTAGTTATGGAATGTCGGAATCCCTCTTCACCTCGCTGAAGGATATCTTCGAGTCAGTGGTGGGGAGTCAATCGCGCATCGGCGTGGTCCGTCCACAGCAGTTTCTCGACGTCCTACGACGAGAAAACGAAATGTTCCGGTCTGCCATGCACCAGGATGCGCATGAGTTTTTGAACCTACTGCTCAACGAGGTTGTCGCCAACGTCGAAACAGAAGCCACAAAACAAGCGTTCGCGGAAAAGGCTTTGCCACCAACAGAGAGTGAGGACTCCCTAGGGATGCTGGCATCCACAGGCTCAAAGTCACCAAACACCACGAGGTGGGTCCACGAATTGTTCGAGGGAACTTTAACCTCTGAGACCAAATGTCTCACTTGCGAGAAGGTCTCACAAAGAGACGAGGTGTTTTTGGACTTGTCGGTGGATTTAGAACAACACTCATCTGTCACTTCATGTCTTCGAAAGTTCTCGGCGGAAGAGATGCTTTGCGAGCGAAACAAGTTCCACTGTGACAATTGCGGTGGTCTTCAAGAAGCGGAGAAGCGCATGAAGATCAAAAGATTGCCCCGTGTATTGGCATTGCACCTGAAGCGTTTTAAATACACAGAAGACCTGCAGCGCCTGCAGAAACTTTTCCATCGTGTCGTTTACCCCTACCACCTTCGTCTGTTCAACACCACAGATGATGCCGAAGACCCAGATCGACTCTATGAATTGTATGCGGTGGTAGTTCATATTGGCGGAGGACCATACCACGGACATTACGTTGCCATTATCAAGACCGAAGACCGTGGCTGGCTGCTGTTCGACGACGAGCTTGTTGAGCCGGTTGACAAAAACTATGTCCGCAACTTCTTCGGAGATCGCCCTGGCTTGGCTTGCGCCTATGTTCTGTTCTACCAAGAGACTACCCTCGAGGCTGTTATGCGGGAACAAGCACAGGAAGATCAGGCCTCAATGAGTGCAGCGTCTGAAGCAGGCGATGCCGCAAAGCAAAATGGCTACCCACTCTCCACACCGCTGTCCCATGCGCAAAGTGCAACTCAGCTGCCTTCTGACGACTCCTCTCGCCATACACCCCTCAGCCGCATTCCCACGGCACCTCCACTGTCAACATATCCAGAAGAACCCTCGGAGCCGATGTCACCCCTACCAACTTCCCCGCAGCCCGTTCAGCCCGTCCAGCCTGTCCAGCCACCTCTACCGCCGATACCCGATGAACCAACCCCTCCATTGACCCCGAAAAAGAGCGACCACCAGCTGCGCAAGGAGAGACGCGCCCAGGAGAAGGAGAAGGAGAAGAACGAGAAGACTCGTCAGAAAGAGCAAGATCAACAGAATAGAGAAAGACAGCGACGTGAAGCCGAGGACTTGAGGAAAGCCATTGAAGCCAGCAGAGCCGACGCAAGTGATGTCGGTGGCGAGAATGGATCCCCCAGGAAATCAACAAGCTTCGGTTTCCTGAAGCGAGGCAGCCGCAGCATCAGCCATCGGCTCAGCAAAGACAAAGAACCCCGGGTGTCAACATCTGACCTCTCGACCTCACCACTTCTTCCCACATCGGTCCCAGAAGCGCCCAAAGAGGTGCCCACAGAGGCAGACTCAACTTTGCCCAAGCCTATCAAATCAATCCCCATGTCCTCCCCAATTCAATCCCCCATCTCTCCGCGAGAATTCTCGCCGTTATCAAACCCGAAACAGCCAATTCGGGGCACCGATTCGTCTCTTACCAAAGACCATAACCACGACAAGCCCACCCACCGGTGGCGATCGTTCAGTTTCAAGAAGGTCTCTTGAATACCCCCAGTCCCCGTTCCGTCCTACTTTTGACTCCGGAGATACCCATGCACATACGAGCGCTCTTGCTTTGCACATAACTTCCAACGGATGTATTATCAGTTATGATCTTGCCATTCTCCAGTGGTTCTTCCACAATGTCTTTCTAGACTGTATTGCTCCGGTCTTCTTTGCTTATTTGTTTCCATCTTTGTTTCACTTTTCGCCGTTGTATCATGATCGTGTGATACCATCATTCGAAAAGAGGCGTTTGGCTTATTATTTCCCCTAGCGTCGGTTGGTTCCAGGTGTTTTATATCTTCTTTCTTACTTCTCATTGCAGAGCGAATCTTTGGGTCTTTTACCTACATATCTTCCACTACACGTATAGGTGCTTTGCGTCTGGTTATGCCAAAGAAGAGCCTGGGGTCCATGTACCAAATGTATCCAACTAGAATCCTTATCCTTCACGTTGCCATAACTCGTTCATTGCGTCAGCTCTAGCATCTACATACAGAACTGGTCTCAAGGCAGATTCATGGGTGGATGTGATCGAGGACGTCCTTCTCGTGAGCTGGGTCAAACAGCGCACTATAGCATCCTGACGTATTCTCGCCATTTTATCCAATGAGCCCGTTCAAGTGGATAATGTCGCGAGTCTTGTCGCTTTTGATATTCCAATTTCCATTCGGTTTGGGAGGGGTGGTTCGAAACCTACGCGAGTCGCAGGGATATAGGATTAGGTGTTGGAGTTCAGTCGTGAGGTATTGGTTTCGATGACATTCGGCGCGCAGGAGAAACGTAGCGAGAAGGGCAAATTTAACCCAGGATCAACTCGTACACGATGATGACAGTGTTGATGATGATGAGCGGTACTGGAGAGAGTCCGTTAATATACCATCCAGACCTGTCTCGAGACATGCTTGTCGCAAAAGACAACACGAGGGGTTCCGGTGGGAAACGTACTTCGCATCACAGTGCGCACACTTGCGATCAGGTTTATGGTCTTGGCCTTAACGCTTGTGCTATCGTATGAAGCGCCGAAGCCTGGCTCTGCTTGCGTGCGACCCCATCCGACTGTGTATGTGTTAGAGTGGTCCGCGAGGTGGGTGGTTGGGGACATACCGCGAGCTAGGAAACGGTCTTCGGAGAGGATGGCGATGGCATTGATGATAAGGATGATGACTAGATGAAGATCAGCAGAGCTCTAGTGTTTGAGTGAAAACAGGCCATACCGTAAAACAGCTTCCCCAGGCCGAAGAAAAACATTGCGTCGAGCTGAGGATGATGTTAAGGTGAGGGTGCGGGAAGCCGCCAGATCTCCGCAACTCTCACCTCGGAAGCCACCATGGGATATGGTTCGTTGGACTCGCGACATGAACAGGGCTATACTAATTCCATCTAGTTGCGGGCCTCGCTCTTCTATTCCCCGTTCTGATTCTTTTGCACCTACTCGTCGCTCCTTACACGAAAGTCGAAGAGTCCTTCCATGTCCAGGCTACCCATGACCTCTTAGCTCACGGTTTGCCTAACGGTTGGAATGATACAGCACTTGACCGAACAAACTATGACCATTTCGCTTTTCCTGGGGCAGTCCCCCGCAGTGCCATTGGGGCAGCAGCTCTCGCTCTGCTTTCCAAGCCCATAATCTTATTACACGATGAGATCAACCAGCAGCTACTAGGTACTGCATCTACCCTTTCAAATACCAATTTGAAAGTGCATTCTAGCTGACAGAATCTCCAGCTCGAGCCGTCTTGGGACTATTCAACGCTTCGTCTTTGGCAATCTATGCATTTGGGCTGCGTCGCAGTTTTGGGCAGGTAGTCGCCATCTGGTACATCATCCTCCAAGCAAGCCAGTTCCACCTCATTTACTATGCATCCCGGCCACTTTCTAACATGTTCGCCTTTGGGATCACAACCCTCGCATTCTGGCTGCTTCTTCCACGGCCAAAGCCATCTAAGTCCCAGCAAAGCCTCGCATTGTCTTTGCTCACTTTCGCAGGCGTAGTTTTCCGCTCCGAACTTGCCCTGTTGGTAGGAACTCAGACTCTGTCCCTTCTATTTATGCGACGAATCAGTCTCCACAGAACCATCTTCGCAGGACTGATCGGTCTAGCAAGTGGTCTCATTTTGACAGTCTGCATAGACGGAGCCTTTTGGCAGACTTTCCCGTTATGGCCCGAATTTGAAGCATTCCGTTTCAACGTGCTGGCCGGTCAATCTTCAGAGTGGGGAACAGAGCCGTGGTCTTTCTATTTCTTCAATGCTCTCCCTCGCCTCATCTTCAATCCGCTTTGCTATCTCCTCGCTATCCCAGTTGCCCTACGACAGCCAGCTACTCGGAACAATGCACTGTCACTTCTCATCCCGGCGATGGCCTTTGTGGCGCTGTATAGCTTCCAGCCTCACAAAGAGTGGCGATTCATCATCTATATCATTCCGTCTATCACCTCCGCTGCAGCTCTTGGCGCCGGGTATCTTTGGACCCGTCGTTCTCGCTCCTTTTTTGCGCGTTGGGCGACTCGTGCCATGGCGATTTCGTCCCTTGCGGTATTCTTGCTGTCGAACCTGATTCTTCTTCCTGCTTCTGCGGCTAACTATCCCGGTGGGCAAGCGATTGATGCTCTGCACCGCCAACACGCTTTGCACAAGAACATCTCTACGCAGGCAGATATAAACGTCTACTTGGGTAACCTGGCTTGCCAAACTGGTGTGACACGCTTCCTACAGCAAGATCCTTCGTCCGGGTGGATTTACGATAAGACCGAAGACGAGCGCACGAAGACAACCAGTGAGTTCTGGGATCAGTTCGACTATGTCGTGCTGGAGGCTTCGTCAGACGCAAACTTCATGGATACAGACGAGACCAGACTTCGTCGTGCACTGCCAAGCTCTACGTGGGATAGCGTCTACGTTGTAAATGGGTTCACTGGTATATCGATTTTGAGACCCGGTGTTCCAGCAGTGGGGATTGCCGAAAGACGCATTCTTGGGTGCCTTGGTGGTGTGCGTGCAGTCGAGCTGTTTGAACGCATACGCGGGCATGCGAGGGTACTGTCGCGCGGGTGGTGGGTTGAGCCGAGGATGGAGCCCAGAGTTCAGATTCTGAAACGTGTGAGACCTTGATCTCAAGGTTCGACATAGTTTTCCAAATGTATTTGTATATTTGATTGAAATATTTGGTTTTGTTCATTGGTATTGATGGAAAAGATATTAACAAACGTAACCACACAAGCCCTAGCATTCAGGGCACATGCAAAGTGGGTATTATTCAAACCGGATCAAAAGCAGATAGAGACGAATCAGAGTCCGGGTGCTTCAAGACGTCCCAGGCGAGATTCCAAATCCCTCACCCATGGCTCAACGGTCTCGACATTTGAGCGCAGAGCAGCTTCACCCTGTCGCATTTTCTCTTCTACATTGGTCAACCCTTCACGCCACTGCCCAATCTCCGATGCCATCTCAGCCTGGCGTTTCTCCAACTCATCGAGTGATTCAGCGGCATGGGCTGCACCGGCGTGGCAAGCTCGGAGAGAGCGCAGACGCTCCAGAACGCTGGGAAGCAATGGATGTAAAGATTGAATAGTCGGTAGAGTAGCATAGAGGGCTTGAATCTTAGCTGTGTGTTCCTCGTCTGCAGAAGCTTCCAGTGCAGATGTGTCAGCGTCGGAACTTGCCAGGCGGGCATTGTGTGCAGCCTTCGCGGCATCAAATGCCTTTCTGCGAGCCGCTGTCAGGGCTTCTGCGTCTGCTGTCAACTTCCGCACGCGAGTGGAAAGAGCTTCGAGGTGCGGAGTGGTCATTCCCGGTCCGCTCGGCGTGCCTGAAGATGGATTTGTGCCCACTAAAAGACCGGTTAGGGCGGAGAGCCGGGAGGTGAGTTGATCCAAAGCTGGGATGACTGGGTGTGGTGTTGTCTCGCTGATGCCGTCGGCAACAAATGGGTTTGAAGAGTTGGAGATGCCTATGGAGCTCTCGATGAGAGCTAGGCGGCTGTCGAAAGCTGCCGCATGGGAGAGAATTCCTGCAGGGACAGGCTGGACCGGTACTGCCGGGGGAACATTCTGTGCACCTGAAGCTTGTGTCTTTTCTTCTGGGGTGGCTTGAGCTCCAAGTTTCTGGGATAACAATGCGGCAGCCGAGTGTGACGGTGTATCACCTCGGGAGGCGTGTAAGTTGTCCAAGGCGCGGCTCAACTCAGCAACACCATCGCCCAAATTCTCAGATTTATCAGTGGCGTTCTGCGACTTGTCGCCCTCAGGTTTCTGTGTGGCCATCTCCACTTTGAGGGCTTCAACTTCCCTTCGCAAACGGGCCAGTCTTCGCTCCACGGATTCGTCCTCGCTGTCACTCAGGTCACCGACCTCTTCTGTCCCGTCGGCGCGTCTCCGACGACGACTGATACTCTTGCTCCGATATGCCTGACGTTTCATCGAGATACTATCAGAGAAATTGACATCGCGGGCGTCCACGGCCGCACCCATGAAGTGCATACGCGCCTGGTCTGCGTTGACTCCCTCGCGGTCAATGTCTGAGCTAGAGTCATCATGGTCGGATTCGGTGCGGATAGTACCCGCCTAGCCAAGATCAGTTATCGCCAATGACGTCTTCTTCAATTGGACTCACGGGGAGGGTTGATGCTTCATCGGTCAGGTCGGGGGTTTCGTAGATATCCGGGGAGGGATCCTGAGCCGTCAGCGAGATTCCCCATTAGTGCAAAGCAGTTATGCTCACTAGGTCCGGCAGACCGGCATATTTCTTGTTGAAAGCCATTTGGGGCTGTAGCTCCGCATCGGACAGGGTAAACATCAGGAGGCCGACGAGCGGGTGAGTCAGCAAAAGCACGTGTCAAGCCTCGGACCGCCACATGCAATTGACACAACGAGTTAAGCTCATTTTCCAGATGTCCAGGAGTATATAACACTTCATTCTTCCTTTCTGGCTTTCTTCCCCTTGTCAATCTTCAATTGAGCGAAATATCCACGAGACATTCCCCCTTCAACCTCTCCACTCTCTACATCTTCTCTACCCCGCATTCCGAGCTATAGCTACTTCCAAAATGGCCGTTCCAGCAGACGTCACTATCAAGAACCTCAGCGGTGAATGGGTCATGGTATGATCATGAACGGGTCAATTCTAAAGAATCATAAGCTCATTCATCGCAGGAATCATCCTTGTCCACCCCGACAGACGCTGTCCTTTCTCTGGTATGAAACCCGAAGCCCTAACCCAAAATTGAGTACCTCCAAGGTGGCACAAACCCGAAACACCCAATATTCAGGGCTGCCCCTTGTCATCTATAGACCCACACGATCTATCACAAAACTCAACTAACACCAACTAGCAAGGAATGGGCTGGGTCACACGCAAGGCTCTCTCCCTCGCCAAAGTAACCATCTATATCCACGAGTACCCAGACAGCGAAAAGCCCGAAATCTTCCATGTCGACGGTCAGTCCGTGCTCACCGGTGGCATCCAAGGCACGAAGGAATCCCGCACTCTTGACTGGCAACAGCGGGAGCACACCGACCACATCTTCGGCAAGTTGGTCGGCCAGTCGCGCCACTTCGCCGATATCAAGAGCATTGATATCCAAACCTCCGTTGGTAATGCCGAGGATGATGCGCGAGTTGCCAAGTTCTTGAGTGGTGAGACCTTGGTCGATGGTTCGAAGAGTGAGGGTTTCCTCGAGGAAGAGGCGTTCATGCAGAGCTTTGTGCAGAACTCCGAGAGTGGCTGGACTGCTGAGCAGATCTGGGGCTTTGAGATTATTGATGGCCAAAGACTTCACACCCGCCGGGTTGCAGTTACGAAGAATGGCAAGGTTGAATTGGCCAGACTTGTCTACTCTTTCAAGGCTCCCAGGACTGAAGAGTAATATGTCTCTGTAGGTGATGCTGGCATGTACCTATGAGACTGATGAGCTAGTTATACCATTGAAATCAATCTAGCGTTGAATATTCACTTTGTGCTGGCACTGCTTTGTAGTATGTCAATGGTCTGTACGGAGTATTATCCCAAGTTCTGATTAAACGTTTAGATGCTCTATGATGATCACGGTGCCAGTTATCGGAACAGAGACGGGAAGTTGTGCACCTGGGCATGAATGGAATAGAGTCTGTAAAAATTGTTTCTATGCAGGCGTCTGACAATGCCGCTAAGATCAACGAAAATCTCCGGTGTGTGGCTGGCTGAGCACGCGCAACCTTGCGGGGCTTCGTACGAACACATGGTTGCCTTTTTCATCACAACGAGACCTGTCAATGATATCTGTCAATGATATCTGTATCACAAAAGCTCCCGGTGCGCCATAATTCGCATTATGCAAATTGAATATGTACTCTCTCTCCTCCTTACTATGTACAGTCCAGTTATCTAGTGCCTAGATGTGCATGAGAATTAACCAAAAAAGAGTACTCCTTACAAACTACTACTCTGTAATCATAAATTTTCTCCGTTTTGAGACAGGGAATATTTAAGGATCTGTCACTAGTCATAAAACCACCTAAAATCACATACCCGTCACGTTGCTGACCAGCACCCAAAGTGGGCCAATTGATATAGGAAGAAATTCAGCAAGGCGCTTTGGCTGTGTACATTGTTATCCCCAAATCCACATCCTACATGTATCGGCTGCCAACCCCTCCATGCCGCTTTTGTCAACGTTTAACACAGCCCAGTCTTCCATCTTAGTTGCACCCAGTTTATCATAGAAATTCAAAGCGCGAAGATTGTCCTGCAGACAGACCCAATCCATCTTGACACATCCTGCTTTCTGCGCAGCAGAAGCCATAGCCTCAACCAACATACGCCCATATCCGTGACGTCTATATTCAGGTACGACGTATAATTCTTCCAAGCAGACACCCGGAGCTGCTTTCCATGTGGAATAGTTATGGAAATAAATCAAGAGTCCGGCTGGGGAGCCGGCTGGGGAGTATATCAGAATAGCCCAGGCAAAGCGGGTTGAGGAAACCGGGCCATCGGAAGGTGGGCCGAAGTGCAGGGTGTTGGCGAGGCTATCTTCTGAGGCAGCAATAGTAGTGCCAGTTGCTTGATCTTCAGCGGCTTCTTTGATGAACTGTAGTATTAGTGGAACATCTGGGAAGCATCACTTGATCAGTATGATTCGTCTTGTATGGGTTGCGTCTAGTATACCTTCAAGCAGAGCGTAACGAATCAACGGCGAGTTAGACATGTTCTGAATTTGCAATTGATTCTGTTTTGTATATATTTCAAGATAAAAGAAAGGAAAGGGGGAAGCGGACCTGGGCAATGATGCTCGACTTGAATAAGAGCGATATGCAAGACCCACTTGTCATTCTGCGCCCTTCACAAAGACCCACATCCTTCCGGAGTATACGGAGTGCGGAGTAACTACTACGAGTAACTATTTACACCGTAAGTGAGGTATGCTTCTGGAATGATGTCGTCTTGGATTGGGCTTGCAACCTGGTATCTAAGTACTCCTGAGTAGCCAAGATGCACCCACCATCGCTATTCTGCTTTTTGAGTGACATGAAGACCTCCCGCCAAAGAGGCAATGTAGCTACATACCCCCCATGAGCAAAACCAATAGCTCATTCTAAATTTATCGCCGACTAAGACAAGGATTACAAGAGCCGCGGAAGACAAACAACTCGCTGCTATTTTCTCTAACAGTTTCAACACTTACCATCTCGCCATCGCGCGTATTATTCGATTCCGTCTTTCCGTTTCACTTATACTTATCACAATACATCTCTTTAAATGCTGTCTGGGTCATACTCGGGGTCTCACGCTGAAGATTCCCGCTGGTGGTTTCCCTCCAACCTTTGAACATACTGGCTTCGTGCTCGCAACACCGGTCCATATCGCTGGAGTACAAAGGGGACAGGTGCCAGTGCCAACAGTACAAATGCACAAAGACTGATAGTCCAGTCAAACCCAATGCGGTCTACCATTTGAGTAGTAAACAGAGGGAAGACAGACGAAAATGTATAGCGCATAGCAACGTCGACAGCAAACGAGGAGGCTCCGAACTCAGCTCCGTAAACCTCATTCTTGTACAACGGATATACCAACTGTTTTTTTAGTTGCATTAGCACGGCCTAAGAAGATTGTTTATTGGTCAAATACCTGTGATAGTGCAAAGGCTAGCCCATAGAGGCCTCCGGCAATGAGCGGACATATCCAGTGAATACCGTCTCGAGCTGTCCATGCAAGCCTAACCGTCTGTATCAGTACCCCTATGCAACATAGGAGTAATTGAAAGATTCACATACCAAAACAAACTAATTGGTAACAAAATACCTGCTATACTAGCCGCGGGCATTGAATCCTCGGGCTGTGAAGTCGTTGCCTTTTCTCTCTTCTTCATGACCACTGATATGACCGGCAGTGCAAGCAAACTGCCAATCAGCAGCGGGATGAAAGCTAGTCCAATTTCATATGCTGTGAATTGATACACCCGTGAGAGCACCAATGGGTAGCTTGCATAAAACACAAACACAACAACTTGACCCATGGTAACGATAGCAGCCGTCGGAAGGATGATCGGCTCAACCATCAGCATATGAATTGGACGCGCAAATGCAGGAGCCAGGCAGTGCCAGAGACTCCGCCGGGGCAGTTTGAGCATCTTCCTTCTTATCTCGGGTTGGTATGTCTCCGGCACAGTGACCATTGCCAGGAAACACGCTCCAACTAGCATTGCCGTGAGCCAAAAGGTCCAGCGCCAGTCACGGTCACTGACTATTGCCTCACCTGCAATGGGCCCGATCTCAGTAGCAATCGCACCCATTATGCCATACATGGCAAACAGGGTCCCGCCCAATTTGTCCTCGGGCATCCTCCATAAATCGTTCAGCAGGCCCGAGAAGACGGTCACGCACGGGGACCCAACTATCCCACAAACACCACGGGCGACTGCGATTGTTCTGAAATTCTGGGCCGCCCCACCGACGATGGTGAAGACCATGTGAAGAAACAGAGAGATCTTGAAGATGTATTGTCTGCCAAATTCCTCTGAGAGCGCAGATGTGCACATCGGTCCGATCACGAATCCGATTGCATAGAAGGTTATAGGGGAGATTGCCAATGTCTGCCCAACCCGAAACTCTTTCATGATTCCAGGAATACTCGCGACATATACCGAAGTTGCAAACGTACTAAAGTATCACATTGGCTCGAGTCAGCTTCACTCAAAGTTGGTCCGCAGGCTCGGGTGACTTAACTCACATGAAGAAGTAAGAGATAATCGCGCTGAAAGAAACAAAAAGCTTGTACTTTGGGCTCCATTTGCGAGCGTCAGGTATTTGAAGCTCCTGGTTGTCATGACAAGTCTCGTCGCCATTGTGAACTTCTTTGGGGCTTTCGTTCTCGGTGCCATAGGTGGTATCCGACGAGGAATAAGTCACATCATTTTCAACTCCAGACACGGAGCTGCTCGAAGTCAACTCACTGGCACCAGGAGCCTGACCTTCCTGCTGCAAATCCTTCATAGTAGGCGAGGGATTCGGTCACCAGCCAAGGACGTCCGTCTTGGAATTAAAAAGCGAAGTTTTGTACAAACGGCCCAAATCCTTGGTGTAATTTAAGGCCAGCTTTTTGAGACAAATGTGGATGGTAGCTGTAGATGAAAATCATAGAAAGAGAGGGGCCAAGAACAACTATAAGCTCGCTGCTTGGGCATGAGATTGACAAACTGCATTAGCGTCACCAACTCCTACTTTTTACGCTCTAGTAATTTATACCTTGCGAAGTTGTTTAGAGAGTTCTGAGATTTCAAGTCAAGATTATCTATTCGCACACCCCTAGGCCCGTGTTATTCGATAGGAAACGGCAGCCAGCATAGCTAACATGCAACCTTGGAAAAATCTTCGGTCATCCAAGGCTGATCCAACTTACCCTTTCTGTCCATTGAGTCTCGTATTCAATGCTAAGTGTTTCCAAATGGGCCGAGCCTTGGAAGGGTAGGTGCGTGCTGCTAAGAGACTGTTAATAATGACTGTTACAATACGGACGGGTACGCGCCGAACTAACGCGAGGATAGCACTTTGTGAGCGATCTTTGTGGATCTCAAGTGCAATGTAGATCCCCTACGTATACCCACAGACCGTCTTCGTGTTTAGTGAATTGAGCAACGTCGGCTCAGCTGAGTTTTGCTCTCGGGACCGAGCAAATCTGCATTGTATGAGTTCACCCAGCATGATATTAGCGCCAGATCTGGATCCACCGTTTGTAAATCCCCACTATTTCTTACTGTAGTCCAAATTCTGAGCCAAACGGATTAAGAAGTCCGGCCTAAGTGATATTCGTTCCTATGTTGTGTTGGTCTATGGAAACCATGGGAATAGACGATAAATAATTTTCACCGCGTGAGAGGGATATGCAAGGTTTTTTTTTTGTTTGGTTTTTTTTTTCTTCTAATCTCACCTCGTTTTTTTACCCGTAAATTTATCCTATCCCCGGGGGATTTTTTCTCTCTTATGGACGAAACACTAGGTTGTTTGCCTGTTTAATCTTTGTTCAGTAGACATGTGATGTACAGGGGAAGCCTTTATTCCAATGAGTTCCAGACACCAGGTTGTCCTGGAAGATTGATGCCCAGGTGAGTATAGATGCGGTCGTCGATTTAATCACCCAAATGGGAAATAGCAATTACACCGATGCATGGCAGTAATAGGCAGCTTCGTCTGCCGTCCCTGGGGGCGATCAAGTGATGATCATGCGCAAGATGAATATGACACGTAAGTATGGGAGCGTGTCCAGATGTGCCTCTATGCATGCTGTATCTGCCGCTGTTGCAAACTCAGACGAATGCATGATATAATTAAATAAAAATGCCTATGGACGTAAGTCGCGATTGGAAGATTCTAAAGTTTGTTCAGTATAGTAAGTATTGAAGGGCTGGCGAATCAGCTTATCGGGCCCGGTGTAGCGCTGAAGGGGGCTAAATCAGGCGCCCAGGTGGGGGGCATTGCCACGTTTCGGTGTCAATCTCGGTGGCTTTTGGCTGACGGTTGATCGTCGATCATCTTAGAAGCCCGTATATCTCCGTGCTATAGACTATCATCGCATAATTCCCCCCACATATACTTAAGTATAGTTTACTGGTAGGAAACACGGAATCTACCTCCTTGCGTGTACACAATCTGCATCTGAAAATCTTATATTTACATCATTTGTCTCGCCTGATTCCTAACATCGCTTAGACTCACGCAGTTTTACTGAAGTGACCCCCAGGGCTGGGTCAGCCACCGACATCCCTGTATTCTTCAAGGCTGGATTGACAGCATCTGCCTCGCCTATAATTATCCTTCAATCTTAGGACCCATGAATTCCTTCCTGAAATAGTAATCAGCACGTCTCAGACATTTGGGGTGAGAACCTCCACAGCCCGACAAAGGGGCCCAATCCTGTAATTAATAACAATCTCAGCCGTGATTGGAGTACCTAACTTGCCGGTGTAAGATAAGGTTACCCGATACTTAAGTATGTAGAAGATCAAATGTGCCCAGACGTGCTCATGATGACATCCCACGTATCTGGGCCGTCCTGAGGTCAAGCCAACTGGCGGTGGGATAGGTGAGAATGCTCCATGACCCAGGTACATAGTTGTACACCCAATGTCAGAACAAAACGTGATGAACATACTGTTGGCGCCCAGGACTGCTCAGGTGTCTTTCTAAAGTTGGTCGGGCCCACCATGTGAAGATGGATATGCCTCTTTAATCTCTCCTATATTCTCATCTCTGGTTGGCAATACTTAAGTACAATCCATTCAACCCTTCTCCGGAGCTTGATGTTTTATACTTGACATTTGTCAAATCCAACCCACAATGTCTAAGTTAATACCAGCAGCGGCTATTGCCTGGATAATATGGGTAAGCTATTCTACATATATCTTTGAACCTTGGAAATCAAAAAAGAAAACAAGCCACGAGAGAAGTCAAAGGCCCTGTATTCACACTAACTTTGACAGGCGATTGGAATCAGCATCTACCGCCTGCTCTTCCACCCGCTGGCAAAGTACCCAGGCCCTCGCTTGGCAGCTATAACAAATTGGTATACCGCCTTTTATGCTTGGAGGGGAGATCTTCATCTTCAAAATCGGAAACTGCATCAGAAATATGGTAGGTTTCTTCTCTCATCTTCTACCTCAAATGCTAACACCTGCTCAGGAGATATCGTACGATATGGTCCCAACAGTTTGGACTTCAACACCCACTCGGGAATGAACGCAATATACGGCACTCGAGCCAACGTTCGCAAAGCTGACACTTATGCTGTCATGAGTGCCAGTCGACGAACCCCTAATACTATCTCCGCTACCGATAAGACTGTTCATGGGTTCAAGCGTCGGATCATGTCCCAGACTTTCTCAGACCACGGCCTACGCAACGTCGAAGAGCGCTTAATGGCTCGAATCGACGATTTCATCACACCACTTGCAGATGGCTCTCAGCCCGGCTCCCATGGCACACAGGATGGTTGGGGAAGTCCAAGGAACATGGCTTTGATGTGCAATTGGTTGGCATTTGATATCATCAGTGATCTTAGCTTTGGTGAGCATTTCAACATGTTAAAGTCGCCAGAGCTACGCTGGTTCCCGTCGGTGATAACAAAGGCATCTCATAGAATGGTGATTGTATGTTTTCTGGTGCTGGATTGTGGGTCTCTCACTGACTTTTGTTACTCAGGGCATGATACAACCCAAGTTCTTCAACTTCAGAATAGATCGACTGTTCATGGCACCTCAGCTAAAAGATATCTTAAACGCCAGCGAATGGATTCGGAAACGATCACAGTCCCGGGCCTTCTTGGGCAATGACATCAAACAAAAAGACTTGATCTACAATATGATGAATGCCACTGACCCCAAAACGGGCCAGAGCTTCACGCAGAAGGATCTTTGGTTAGAGTCGTTCTTATTACTTACTGCTGGTAAGAATTTTTCCAACTATGAGTCCTACGGGATCTGATTTCCTCGTCCTTAGGCTCCGACACAACCTCCGCCGCTATGAGCAGCGCACTATTTCTCCTAGGGCACAATCCGGCTGCTCTTGCACGTCTAAGAGAAGAGCTTCGCTTGACGTTCTCGAACGAAGACGAAATTCACATGGGCCAACAGCTCAACTCATGCAAATTCCTTCAAGCATGCATCAACGAATCATTACGCCTAGTACCACCCATTCCCAATTCTCCTCCACGGGTAGTTCAAGACGGCGGAACCCAGATCGACCAAGAGTTCATTCCCGCCGGAACCACAGTCGGCACATCTATCTACACACTTCAGCGAAATCCAAGATACTTTACAGCTCCTGATGAGTTCCACCCGGAGAGGTGGCTCACCGACTCGAGTACGACAGAGAGTATCAATGGTACCAGGGAAGGATTTTGCCCGTTCGGGTATGGGCCGCGGTCTTGTGTCGCTTGGAAACTCGCTTGGGTAGAATTAAACGTGACTCTTGCGAGGGCGTTATTCAGGTATGATATGAGGCTAGCGCCTGAGTCGACATGTTGCGGCGGCACACGGAATGATTGTCAACATCCATTCAAGGGCTTTGTTACTGCTGCTGTCGAAGGTCCTTGGATGCAGTTTCGACCTAGTCGAAGTTGAGTAAGAGCATTGAGTGTGCAAGTGGTGGATGCCTCATGCAATGTGTATGAATATGGATGAATGGTGGGAAGAGCACATACTTAAATAGCGGTTCTATTTTGCCTAGATGGTTTGTGTCAATTTCGCGTCAGTGCTTGGGAAATGGGCTACCATGCTCAGATATAGCTATACGATCTGAAGTTCCAATTTAAGAACCATTCTCATTTGAGCAGAGGTTCATGAATTAAGAACGACCATTTCAGAATATTTCACAGCTAAGACCCACCACAATCCGAGTGATATTGGACATATATTTCAATTTGTCAAGTCAACATCCATGGATGTATTCACAAACTCATAACTTAAAATATAAACCGTAGTTCGTGATATTCATAGAGCGCAAATTTTGGAGTCAACAGAAAAAAAAGTAGAAGAAAAGAGAAAATGCCAAATATGAGCTATGTAAGTCCAAGAACCAAATCAGATTGCTCAAGAGTGAGTAGGCATCACGACGCTGGCCTTGGTGCTGACGGCATCCTCACTCTTCCACAAGCTGGTAACGGTCTTCTGCTGAGTGTAGAATTGCAAACCTGGCTTGCCATAGAAAGTGTTGGCACCACCACCGGCGATACTCTTCTTGTTACCGGTGAAAGAGAACATGGGGAGAGGGACAGGGATGGGCACGTTGATACCAAGCTGACCGGCCTCGACGTCCTTTTGGAACTTGGAGGCAGTGGAACCAGAGCGGGTGAAGATGGCGGCGCCGTTGCCGTATTCGTTGGCGTTGATAGTGCTAATGGCGTCATCGAGAGTCTCGGCGTTAAGGCAAACAAGAACGGGTCCGAAGATCTCCTCCTTGTAGCACTTCATGTCGGTGGTGACATTGGTGATGATGGTAGGACCGACGAAGTTGCCGTCGGGGTATCCATCGGGCTTGTATCCACGGCCGTCCAGAAGGATAGTAGCACCCTCTTCTTCAGCACTGGCAATGAGGTCCTCAATGCGCTTCTTGCTCTCGGGGCTGATGACGGGACCAAGATCAGCACCCTCCTCGAAGCCACCGTTAACGTTGAGGGCCTTGGCGCGCTCGGCAATCTCGGGCAGCCACTCCTTGGTCTCGGCAACCATAACGCAAGTGCTCAATGCCATGCAGCGCTGACCAGCAGCACCAAAGGCAGCACCGACAATGGCGTTGAGAGCCTGGTTCTTGTTGGCGTCGGGCAGGACAGCGGCGTGGTTCTTAGCGCCCAGGTTGGCCTGCACACGCTTGCCGTTGGCAGAGCCCCGGCTGTAGATGTACTCGCCAGCACGGTTGCTGCCAACAAAGCTGATGGCCTTAATGGCAGGCTCATCAAGAATGAAGTCCACGGTACGGGCAGAGCCGTGGATGATGTTAAGAACACCAGGAGGGAAACCAGCCTCGGCGGCGAGCTCAGCGAGAATCATCGCAGCACCGGGGTCACGCTCGGAAGGCTTCATGACCAAGCAGTTACCAGTTGCCACTGCAACGGGAATACACCAGAGAGGAATCATGGCGGGGAAGTCTAGATCTTATTAGCATGTCATAATAGCAATCGTCTCAAGAATGCAACTCACTGAAGGGGCAGATAGCAGCCACGACACCGAGGGGCTCACGGTAGCTTCTAGTCTCCATATCCTTGGCCACCTCCAAGACCTCTCCGGTCATCTGGGTAGTGATACCACAGGCGGTCTCGGCGACCTGCAGGCCACGGAGAACATCTCCCCTGGCATCGGCGAAGGTCTTACCCTGCTCAAGGGTAATAGAGGCAGCCAGTCGGTCCCAGTGCTCACGGATCAGACTTGTGAACTTGAAGAGAATCTGCTGACGGGCCATGATGCTGGTTGACCGCCAGGCGGGGAAGGCCTTCTCGGCCGACTCCACGGCGGCCTTGAGCTCCTCATCTGTGCTCTGAGGCACACGGGTGACCAAGTTGTTGGTGGCAGGGTCATGGAGGTCAATCCAGGTAGCAGCCTTTGAAGCCACAAACTGGTTGTCAATGAAATTGGCGGTGTCGATGGGGTTGGTGATCTTTTGGTGGCTAGTTGGGTATTCGGTTGGAGTCGACATAGCCGAGGTCGTTGAAGGTGCGAATTTGTGAGCAGTGGTCTGCAAACGGCGAGTTGCCGAAAGTGATGAAGGTGCCATGGTTACTCTACGGGAGGAGATGGAAAGGGGAGAGGCAGTAGTAATAGATCGGGCTGAAGATGCAGCTCTAGCGGTCACCGTCGGCGTGCGGGGAAGCGCGCGGAGAGCGGGGATAGAACGGGCAATTGACCGACAAGCAGCCATGGCGAATTGATAGAAAAGGATAGAAAGGGAAGTAAAGGAGGGTTCTCGGCGGGCGAGTCAGGGATTAAGTAGAAGAGCAGAGGGAGTATGGAGTGAAGAATAGTAAGTTGATAAACTGGGTTACCCCAGGTCCGAGGTCAACCGCCTTAGTCAGTTGGAACGACTGCCCCATCGGATGGATACGATGACCTCGGGAAGCCCCCCAGATAAGCTGTTGTTCGGCGATTGGAGCCAATCAACTGCTGCTAATCGACACGAATCGCCGACATTCTGTAATTGGTGTCCCTCGCGTACAGGTACCCGGCCACGGTATGCTTTCCGACGCTCAGATCCCCATGGGAAGGTCGTTCCGATGTGGTAGGTGTTTCCCCTCTACAAGAGCAATAGGAAATTGAGCATTGGGAGATTAAAAAATGGACATAGTTCTGGTTTTCAGGAATGACTTAATTGAGTATTTTTTTTTGTTTTAAGGGGAAAAAAAAGCAATTGTCTCCGAAACAGTGGCTAGAAATAATTGAGAAAAATGGCACAAGTGGAAAGTATACAAATCGGGCCTCCGTTCAAACTACATAGGCCAAGACAAACAGAAGGGGGATCACTGCGGTAATTGAATGCAAAGCTCTTCGCTGATTGGGTTTATGGGTAAAGTTCTGATCTCCGTGTAATTGGTTGCCCATTGCGTTTACTCCGCGGAGGAGCGGGTGTTGCGCTTAGTGGCACCGCCCTTGGTAGTCTCAGCAGAGGAGCTGACAGCCTCACCCTTCTTCTCCTTGGGAGCAGTGGCGGGGGCCTTGCCCTTCTTGTCGGCGGGGGCGGGGCTGCTGGCACCGATGGCACCAACGACAACGAGGATCATGGTCAGCAGAAGGGCACCCAGACCACCAGCAACCTCGGGGAGGGTCTTGACAGCGTGGATAGGGTCCTCCTGGGCAAGCTCAACGAACTGGTTAACCTTCTGGCGGACAAAAGTAACGGGATCCTCCTGGAAGGTGGTGGTGGTGCCGTCCTCCTTGATCTCGGGCTTGGGCTTGCTAGCTTCCTCCTCAGCCTCCTCAATAGGGAACTTGACATCGAAGGTTTCCTGGCGGAGCTTCTCAGCATCCTCAACGGAGTGACCAATGTAAACATTGTCAAACAGAATGTCACTCTGCATGGTCCAGATCTCGAAACCGATGGCGCCCATAGGCTCCAAGTTGGAGGGAGTCTTGTCCTCGAAGAAGGCGGGGTTCTTGATCTTGCGGGGGGCCCAGATGCCCTTGTAGGCAGGGTTGTCAATGAGAGGAGCCTCCCACTTGCCCTTGTACTCGGGGTTCTTGGTCATGGGGCGGGTCCAGGGACCACATCCAGAGACATCGGCGCACTTGGGGTTGGGGACGGTAGGGGCGAGCCAATCTCCATCCTCCTCATCATCCCAATCCTCGGGCTTCTCAGCCTCTGGGTCGGGAATGCTGGTGGCCTCGTCCTCCAACCAATCGGCGGGCTGAGTGGCGGCCTCGTCCACAATCTCAAAGGGAGCCTCCTCATCCCAGTCAGTGGGCTTGGTAGCCTCGGGGTCGGCGATCTGGATCTCATCAACCCAGTCGGCAGGCTTGGTGTCCTTGGGGTCGTCAATCTCCTTCTCGGGGTTGACAGGGGGGTTGAAGTCCTCGAGGAGGCTGCCGGCCTTGGCAGACTCGCCGTTGATGAGAATCTCGAAAGTCTGATCGGGCTTGACGATCAGGGTGTAGAGGGAGGTGACCTTGTTGGTACGGGCCACTGGGGGGGTCTTGAGGTGCTTCTCCTCGTACTCGCCGGTCTTGGGGTTCTTGTGGCGGAAGATGAAGTGAACCTTGTTGGTGGCTCCGCACTTGTCGGGGCCGAACATGACCACATAAGGAGTGGCGTTAGAGAACTCCTCCTGGTGGAGCTTCTTGTTCTCCTGGAGGAGCTTCAGGTAGGCACCACCGCAAACCAGAGAGTCTAACAAGAAAGATGCGATTAGCGCACGAGAAAAGGTAACCAAGTTAGATATCCTTCACTTACTTTGCGGCTTCACCTCGTACTGAACCACCAAGGTCTTGCCCTTGTTGTCAATCTTCTTGGGGAACTTGGCGGAGATGGCGTGGTGAGCGGCAGCGTTCTTCACGACCAGACCCTTATCACCATCGATACCCTTCAGCACGGTGGGCTCTTCAACGGCCCATTCACCGACGTAGGCCCATTCATCGTCGGACTTAGTGTCGTCCTTCTTCGCGGTCGAAGGCTTCCACCGCGCCTGCCAGTCATCGGTGAATTGCTCCAGGAAGGGGGCCTTGAGGGCAGAGGGCTAGATAAATGATTAGCCTAGAACAGGAGTTACAGGATCAATTGCGACATACAGTGAAGGCAGGCTTCTCAATGACAGTGGCATCAGCAACCTCCTCCTCCGCATGGGCATAGCCCATGAGACTGGCGGAGGAGACCAGAGCCGAAGTGAGCGCAGTGTTGAAACGCATGGCTAAACACTATGAGAAGAACAAAAAAACCCAAGAATGAGAGTGGAGCGCCAAAGTGAGGAGAAGGGAGGTTTTAAAGTGGAGGGAACATTTGAAGGTCCAGGTGGCCTCTTCAAAACAGCTACCCAATCGGGACTAGGCTACACACGGGCTTCGATGTTGTTCTATACTCTCTTTGCCCTTTTTACACGACTCTTCAATGAGAATGGTTTCAGATGTTTATTTAGAATTGATGAAGAAATGGAAGATTTAATTCTCCTTCTTGCCTTTTGACTGTCCTTTTACTCTCATGATAATCATGGGAACAACAGTAATTTATGGCGTGCTGCACCAGGCCGCAGATCCCCGATTGACTTCTTCCCCGCCTAATCCATCTTAATCCCGACACTCGTTCTGGCATATAACGTTCTCCGATATAAAACAGAACTTGATCGCAATTCTAAAGTGAGTCGATTATGCTGCACTGCTACAAACCCCCTTGCTTCCTCGTTTCCTCGTCTCCTCTAGGAAGGCCATACTGACGCGTAGTGCCTCTTGCAGCCATGTGCCCCATCGACAAAGCTGTCGCAACGGCCGACAACAATGACCATCTGGTCCAGTCTGAAGATCCGGAACACCCTGCCAACTTGATCCCAACGCTCTGCAAAAACTTCTACAACTGGGGATGGGTGACTGGCACCGGTGGTGGTGTAAGCTAGCGGAAGAAAAAAAAATTGTCCGGTACCCCGCTGATGGAGAATGTAGGCTTCGATCCGCCAGGGCGACCATATCTTCATTGCTCCCTCTGGGGTCCAAAAGGAATTGATCCAGCCACAGAACATCTTCGTCGTTCAATGGCCCACACCCAAGTACCCCGCCGAGGCGCGCAACTATATCCGCAAACCCCTCAAGCTCAATCCCTCCGCCTGCACCCCGCTGTTCCTAACTGCTTTTGAGCAGGGTGCTGGATGTTGCATCCACACGCACTCGCAATGGGCTGTTCTCGTGACCCTGCTGGTGGAGCAGGCGAGTGGCCCAGATGCTTGCTTCGAGATCAACAACATTGAGCAGATCAAGGGTATCCCCCGTGGCAAGGGCAAGGGTATGCTTGGGTTCTTCGATACCCTGAAGATCCCCATCATTGAGAACACTGCCTTCGAGGAGGACTTGACCAGTGGTCTGGAGGCTGCTATGAACAAATACCCCGACACATATGCCGTGCTTGTCCGCCGACATGGAATGTAAGTCATGCACCCACTGCGCATGGGTGTCAATATGCTAACACGCTGGATCCTGCAGATATGTCTGGGGCGATACCACCGCTAAAGCGAAGACCCAGTGCGAGAGTCTCGACTACTTGTTCCAGCTGGCTGTCGAGATGCACAAGCTGGGACTTCCATGGATCAAATAAAGCATGTGTAGTTATTGACGGGATTTCGACTGGCCGATCTAGGCCCGGGACTCGTAATACTATACCAGTTACTCTGTAGAAGTTCCAATAGATATGATGTGACGTATTGTGGCATGGGCATTGAAAACATCACTGAAGCTAGCCACGGGGCATTGTAGGGAAATATTAGGTCAGTCAGGCCTAAGAAGCAAGCATGAAATCATGCCCAAGACTCTGCACCAGCAAGATTGATGAAGTGGGCGAAATGCGCAAGTCAAGACGACACCTTGTGGACTTGGGGATCCCGTGATCCATTGCGGATCGGCCTCCGCTCCACCAGCTTCCTCTCCAACTCTTGCCCCGTCTAAGCTCCGATTGAACCATTCATGTCCAGTATTTGATTCGTCTCACTTGATATCTACCTCTTCGTTTCTCTTTAGTCCCACACGACAATTTGCAATGGATCTCGACTCTGGGGACTCCCCATGGGGCGGTAGGCAGTCATGAAACCGCAGCTCTTTGAATCGCGTTCTGATATTAGCATTCAGATGAGCCCTCTCAATTCAGGCCTGGCCAAGGCGCTTCCAAGCCCAGCGCTACACCCGGTGGTAGGTTTTCTCCAACCGACGTGCACCACAGCTCACTAAATTCACTCCCGCACAGAAGCCGCACCCCCCGCGTCAGACAGTGCGCCCACTGTCCGCACGCCCGGAAGACGAGGCCCTCGAGGCACACGCAAGATTAGCGCACAAGCCACCAAGCTCGAATCCGTCGATGATTCCGTCGACCCTCTCGGTCCATTGGGTGAAGTCCCGGCCGAGGTTGCCCCAACACCTACAGACGAGGCACCAGCGCCACCCCAGAAGGAACCTTTTACTGGATCTGCGCAATCGCTCTCAACTTTCCAGGCTCCCGGTGAGACAGTCGATTCGGCCAATGTGGACGAGGAAACTGCTGGCTTCCGCGGACCTCCGCCTGTTCAACCGCCAGTTGAAACGGATGGACCGAAGCGCCAGACGCAGCCCAGTATGAGTGTTGAACAGGCTGCGAAGCCCACCTTCCAAATTTATGTCGGCGATCCGCACAAAGTGGGAGATCTGACGAGCAGTCACATTGTTTATCAAGTTTCGACAAAGGTAATATAAATACTGGGAAGCCGCGCACGCATTGGAAAAGAACCAGCTGACCATTTTCTACTCAGACCTCATCCAAAGCTTATCGCAACCCAGAATTTACGGTCACTCGTAGATATCGTGACTTCCTTTGGCTTTACAACTCCCTACATGCCAGCAACCCTGGTGTGGTTGTTGCACCTCCACCAGAGAAGCAGGCCATGGGTCGTTTTGATACCAACTTTGTGGAATCAAGGAGAGCCGCTTTGGAACGGATGCTCAACAAGATTGCCAGCCATCCCATTCTTCAACATGATGGAGATGTGAAAATCTTCCTTGAAAGTGAGGCTTTTAACGTGGACGTTAAGAATAAAGAAAACCGGGAGCCGGATATCGGCCAGAGCAAGGGAATGCTCAGCTCCTTTGGTATATCTGTCGGCGGAGGTAGCAAGTTTGTGGAACATGATGATGTAAGTGGTGATGTTCTAATGCGATGACCACTCCTGTTAACATATAAACAGTGGTTCCATGACCGTAAGGTCTACTTGGATGCTCTGGAGAACCAGCTGAAGGCTTTGATGAAATCGATGGATACTGTGGTGCTGCAACGGAAGGGACTCGCCGATGCGGCAGGCGACTTTTCAAGTTCACTACACGCCTTGTCTGCCGTCGAGCTATCGCCCGCCCTTTCATCTCCACTGGAAGGGTTGTCCGAGCTACAAATTCGCATTCGCGAGCTCTACGACCGACAGGCGCAGCAGGATGTCTTGACCCTGGGAATCACGATTGATGAGTATATCCGCTTAATTGGAAGTGTCAAGATGGCCTTCACCCAACGACAAAAGGCCTTCCATACCTGGCACGCAGCAGAGTCTGATCTACAAAAGCGCAAAAACACGCAAGATAAGCTGCTTCGTCAAGGCAAGACACAGCAAGACCGCCTGAACCAGGTTAATGCCGATGTTGCAGATGCAGAGCGCAAGGTTCACCAAACACGGCTGCTGTTCGAAGACATGGGTCGACTCATGCGAAATGAGCTGCAGCGGTTCGAGAAGGAGAAGGTCGAGGATTTCAAGTCCGGTGTAGAAACATTCCTTGAAAGTGCAGTCGAGGCCCAGAAAGAGGTGAGATCTGACCTATCTCCGAGTGGATCTTATTTAGCTAACCGGTCGACTACAGTTGATCGAACTTTGGGAAACATTCCTCCTGCGCCTTGACGCCGGCGAGGAGGGACTTCCATACTATGTGCCTCCGTCTGAAGTGACTGATGCACCCACAGAATCCACCGAAGCAGGCACAGAGTCGACATCACTACTTGCTGAGGACGCTTAATTTCTCTACGCTCGGCCACCTGCTTCTTGTGTATAAAATCCGCAACAAGCGCCTGCGCTATTTCATGTCTTGTATCCTTTTGCGAGATGACCTCATTTTTCTATTATTTTTATGTGCTGCAAATCATGACCCCAGCAAGCTGATAAGCCACACTCTCTATCTCTATTTTTGCTTCACTCCAAATACCACTGTTCACATGATGTAGAAGCTTCATTTTGGCAGTAATCGACCAACATCTTCCTAACTAGCAGACACTTCAATTTCCGGCAGTTCCAACCCACTGTCCTCGAAAAACTTACGCCCCCTCTCGTCCAACTTGGGATAATCCCATTGTAGCGAGTTGAAAATCAACCAGAACTCCCAATCTTCGGAAGGCATATACCGACGCAGCGTTTGTTTCCATTCAAAATCCACTTGCCCCAGTCCGATTGACAAGGCAGCAAACTCCCACCAGACAGGGAAGTATCCCGCTGCCTCCCAGTCAATTATACCAACCAAATGACCATCTTCAACCATGATATTCACATCCGTTAGATCACCATGGGTAAAGGTATAAGGAGCTGCAGTTGGCAAACGTTCTCGGAGCTTCACTTGTACTTCCCCCGGGACATGCTTCAGACTCTTCGACATCTCAGCCCAAAGTTCATCATCTGACGAGAGAGGACCATGTCCTACGCCATGTGCAGGCGGGAAAAGAAAAGCGTGATAAAGGGGATGACCGCCAAGACATTCCATTCGATCAGAATGGAGCTCTCGCAGCTGCTTTAGATACTCGGCGGTTTGACTCGCGACTCGCTCTTTATCTGTCTGTGACATCGTCGGCCATGCCTCGCTTAAAGGTCGGCCTTTCAGGCGTGTCATGATTTGGAAATAGGCCCCATCATTTTCCGTCCATTCTTGGACAGTTTGAGGAATCGGTATCGTGGTTTTAGAGGACAAAAACTGCAGATTGGCGACTTCAAAATTTGGAGCCTCGCTTGATCGCTCTTTGAGGATGAATTTGGAGCCTAGGGACCATGCTCCCCTGTTACCGGCGCTGTAGAAAAGACTGACGTGACTGTTGTAGGAACAGTGAGACTGCCTCTCTGGTGTCCATGTACATGCTGAGCACGGAATTTCGGCCATTGGGGCTGCTTGGGGATATCGGATGAGGAACTGGTGTATGAGCAGTACCAACTGGGCACATTCACAGTTTACCCCTCTCTATCCTGATGTGCCCTTGGGCTTAGTTATTCGTACTCACCTGCAGTCTTCCGGCGAAGATCCAATCAGAGGTGCAACAGGGCTGAGCGTCAGACAAAGCAACCATCAATAGAACCCGGGCCTGATTGACTCCTCGTCCAAAGAGATTCAAAGTCGCCTTCTCTAGATCTGGACTTTTCAAATAAGTCCAAAGCTATAGAGACGGATCAGAGTTATGAAGTTCCTCGGTGGGTTGCAGTTTGATCTGTCGTACAACACGTGGATGCAATAAATTCAATTGATCCATATTTGCAGAGGATATAAGTGTAATAAGATCAAACAGCGAGAAATGAAGAATGCATTCTTGGTATAATACAACAGGCTCATACCAGATATATGTATATTGTACAAGATCAAACAGAAATACAGGACCCAACTCCCAGCAACAGAAGACACTCTATTTCTTATAGGGGTTCTTCTTCTCAGGCGGGGGAGGAGGCGCCCTTTTTCCGAATGAGCTAATCAGATCAAGCATACTGTCCTCCTCGGCTTGGGCAGCCTTAGCTTCCGCAGCCTCCTTCTTAGCATCGGCGGAGTTCTCATCCGTAGGGGGCGCAGCAGCATCATAGCTGCGACCGAATTTGGCACGGAAGGCAGCGAGACGACCGGCTTCGTCGTCCTCGACGTTCATCAACTTGCTGCTGGAAGGGTTCCAGAGGACGGAGTTGCGCGTGTCTCGCGTGGAGCGGTAGATGGGCGCCGGCGAGGTCGTGCGGTGCGTGAAAGTGCTACCGTCAGAGAGGGTGATGAGTTGTGTGAAGGTGTAAGGACGCTTGGGGCGGCGGAGCAATGTTGCATGGCGGCATTGCGAGCAGATGAAAGTTGTGCTCGATTGCGGGAGCCGTGAAGGGAGAATGGTTGTTGTTGAGGTGGTGATTGAGGCCGCGGTGCGGCGGAGGGAGGTGTGCATCGACATTTTGGAGGAGATTGCCGACTGACAGAAGAGGTTGAGCAGGGCGGAGATGGATGGGGCCGCTGTAGGGAGAGTGAAGTCGACGCTATACAGAGAAATTGGAAATTATTCCGGGTTACGTAATCGAGTTGATCGTGATTTTTATTATTGCACGGAGTAGAATGACTTCATTTGCTTGCCTCACGGGTGTATTTCTTACGGCCAGGCATGAAGTGGCGGAGCTCCAATCGCCGTGATCCCCTGTTCTGTTGAATTAACTGAGTCCATCTCAAGGCTCCAGTTCTACGCGGTATGAAGCCCGCCAGTCCAATCGCGCACCGGGTTCGGAGAGGGTTCGGAGGTAGGTTTGATGCAATTCTTCTGTTTCAATCCCATTAACCAAAAGTTTGAGAAGTCTTAAGCAACTCTGTCTATCCTCTTCGGCCATTGGCATTGTTTCCCCGACTCTCTTCGCATGTTTCCATCCATCCACACCCATCACAATGCGCCAAAAGGCATAACAGCAGTGCGGCATCTCCAAGAGATAATGAGCTGAAACCGAAAGTTTCAGCTATTACCAATGAAGCATCAATATCTCTTTCAGATCAAGTCCGCCTGCTCATGCGTCGAGTCCCCTATCCCGTCGCAATCATCACAGCAACCGACCCCTCGGGACCCCAAGAGACATCCTTCCGCGGCATGACAGTATCGTCCTTCAGCACCGTCACTTTGACACCAAACCCCGTGATATCATTCAATGTGCGCCGCCCATCAGAGACATTGAGCGCACTACTCGCGTCACGCCGCTTCCTCGTTCACCTGCTAGCTCCCGGTCCGGCAACTGCTACGTTGGCGAGGGACTTCTCAAAGGGAAATGCCACTTTGTCTGCCATGTTGAAGGGACATGGTGAGTTTGAGCTAGCAGCTTTGGATTCTGGGAACGAGCAAAGACCGCTTCCTATCCTGAAGCGGAGGGGGTCCGGTGATTCACCGGGCGAGGACTTCCCTTTTGTTTTTGAGTGTACGCTACATCCCGAGAAGATTGACGTCCACGATCATTCAATCGTACTTGGAAGTGTGATCAGGACGGTTGAGGGATCTGAATCCTCAGGACAAGATAGCCGGGGGGACGAGCATGCTCCTGATCGGCTTTGTTTGACATATGCCAATACCAAGTTCTGGAAAATGGGTGGTGAGATTTAGGTTGAACCTCATGGACGCTTATTTCATTCTATTGGAACTGTCGACAGGCCCTGGAGGCTGCATCTTTATTTAGAAGCTTGAAAGCATTGTACATATACTTGGGGTTCGGCGTTAGTGGTATATACACTGGTCATGTTAACATAACTAAGACATACGGTACGTATTACGGTATTACATGTTTGACACGGTGGTTTACAGACAGAGACGAGGAATGCATTGACTCATCTACGCTTTGCGGTAGTGTGCAAGAACCAAGTATAGAACATTTTTTTTGGCGTCCGTGACGGGGACAGGCCTGCCAATGGCATGTACTGGGAAGACTCACAGTGTTTCCATCGAACCACTCGTCGCGAGACGCATGCCACTAATACATCGACTCGAAGAGTCATTGCACTAGAGGCCGACAAGGGGCTGGTCAATAAAGGAACCGGCTACAGACGCATACAACCTTGACGCAGCTTTTTGAGAGTGGCTGAGATCAAGCTCCTATGGGACAACGTAGAGCACTATATCACGCGACTAGCAAGAGACTAGTCTCGAGATGAGTGTGGACTGCCGCTCCCACTGCCGCTGCCACCGCTGCCACTGCCAGTCCCGCTACCTCGACTTGCTGCTCGTTGGAAAGGACTTAGAACAGGACGATTGATTCCATGGAGAAATGAATCAGGGCTGGGTCGCGACTTTGCTTCGCCGAGTAGCTCGGACAACTCAAGCTGGAGAGGCGGCATGCGATTCGTATCCAAAAAGTCGGAGCCAAACTGACTACTGCGAGTGGAGCGATTGGAAAATGAACGGTCTCGGTGGTTGATGTCTGGCGCAAAGTACGATCCCATGTTTCCGGCAGGGGATGCCGGGAACTGTGGAAGGAAGGGAAGGTCTTGGGACGGACTAGCAGGATTGGACGAGTCCTCGCGGATTGGTGACGACGAGATCTGAAGCGGGCTAGATCTGGCAGGGGGGAAGCTGAGACCCAAAAGAGACCGCACGTTGGGCGCAGTGGTCGCAGATACGTTCAATGGAGGTCCACTAGTTTCAGGTAGTGGATTGGTACCTGGCAAATTGCCCTCGGGGGTGAGAGGACCCGACTCGAGGAGCATTTGTTGTTGCTGTACCTGAATGGACTGCTCAATTGCGGAAGCCTGTTGCCATAACTGACTTGTGCGGAGTTGAAAATCCTGGACAGATTGGCTGATGCTCGCGAACTGCTCGTGGAAATTGCTCTCCATTTTTGACTGGTCTTGCTCTCTGGCAAACTGTTCCGCAGCCCGACGCTCTCGTTCATTCAATCCCTGGGCGTTGGCCGAGATGATGCGCTCATACTGCTCATTCACCCGAGTACGACGGCCCTGAAGACGCTCTCGCTTCTGAATCACTTGGGTCAAATCAGCTTCCAGTGCCGCCACTTCTTGTGCCGCAGCGGTGCGAGTTGCGGCAACTTCTTCCTTGATGGCATTGAAGCGTTCGGCCTCGCGTTCAAAGTCTGCTTTGTGCGACCTCCACTCCTCCATTTCTTCCTCCGGCACAGTCTCCATTGTATCAAGTTGGGATTCCAGTGCTGCGGTTGCTTCCTCGGTTTGCTTGATGTTTCGTTCCAATTGCAGCGAGCGCTGCTTTTGTCGATTCTCGTCGGTTCCACTGTGAAGTCGAGTGTTGAAGTTGTCAAGTTCCTTGCGGATCTTCGAGATGGCCGTTTTGTGGTCGTTCTTTGTCTTCTTCAGGCGGTTGCGTTTTTCGTTGAGTTTGGATTCCGCGTTAACTATGGAGTTTTTGAGCGTTGTAGTGGGGGATGATGGACGGTATAGTGGCTGTGGGGGTGTCGATATAGTAGAGATGACTGTTCCATATGAGCCATGACCGAGAAAGGACAAACAGTAGCGCGGAGGCGCCGACTTACCTTGCTCTGTGTCGGCCGTAGCAGGCGTCTTGACACTCATGACACAGATTTCCTCATCATTATCAACGCGCACAAACGCGCAGGTATAAGCACAATTGGGCGCAAGACCTGCGATTTCGCCGCGCCACTGCACCACACTTGGTCCCTTGGCATCTGAGACCCTGCATATCGTGGCGGTAGCCCAGAGCGCACCGTTGACGCAGACGTAGAATGGCTCCGCATCTCCTTCTAAGCGCCCAGATTCATAGGAGCCCGAAACCGCTGGATCATCCGTGAATTCACCCGCGGCAAACTTGATTGAAGAACTGTCCACATCCGTTATCCATACTAACCCGTCATCGAGAGAAACACCTTGGAGATCTTCCTCTGTCATTGTAAGATTGCGTGCTGTCTTGGAGACAGCCCGTGAATGTTCATATTCTCGCATAACTGTGACCTTTGTACTTGCGAGAGCAGCCCAGAACGGCTGCCGGCTTCGAACTTGATTCGCTTGTCGTCTGCGTTTTTTGGCGGAGGTAAATCGATCCTTTCCATCTTTGAGTTGACCGTCGGGGCCAACTAAAGAGGATGACACACTGGCAGCAGACTCCAGGGCCGAATCGGGTTGTCCCTGTGAGCCTGCAGAAGCCTCCGTGTCTCCCCTCTTGCCGGTCCGCGATGGTGTCGGTGACCGGTTTTTCGCCATTGAACGTCGTGCCATCGCAGTTCCCGCCTGAGCCAGAATATGAACTGCAAGAAGACTACGAAGCCAACTTGGGGACGATTGGGCTTCGGAGCGTCGGAACTCGGCGGGTAGCAGGTGCGAAAATTGGGAAAGAATATCGGGACTGAGCAGTTTAGCGGACACAAGATAGCCCAGAACAAAGTCCTGTATGCCTTTGCTGCGGACGAGATGAAGAAGTAGAACAATTCCGACACAAAGAGCATTGACCCCGCCATTCTTCCCGGAACCCCCGCCGCCCAAGGTGATAGCGACTTGGACGTGGGCGAGGTCGATGGCAAAATTTTGCGCCCATGTCCACATGAAGAGGCCCCAGAGCAATATGCAGAATCCGTCCATTGCTATCATGGTTCCCAATGAGGGCGTCCCAGCTGGACCCTGAAAGATATCGAAATTTGACGACAAAGAACCGGCCGCGGCGCCACTGGGGGGCATGAAAGTGAGAGAGGCGAAAAGAAATTGAACCAGAGTCAAAACCATTGGTGGCAGTTGGAGCAGAAAAATCAAAATGGCGATGGTGTCGTACATGGGGCACGACTTGAGAATTGTTGAAGCGAGCTGTAGCGGGTTGATGGAGGCATTGGATCCGGATCGTTTCGAGGTTCCATTGCGAGCGCCATGACCTGAGATACCACCATTCTGGGGTGCATCACTGTCCTGCGCAGATGCCAATTCTCCACCTTTGCTGTGCCCGTTCAACATCCCACGCACATTGCCATCCTTTGCACTATCTCCCTTGGCGGCGGCCGTCGGCGAAGTCAGCGCTGTATCGCTCGTAGACCGGATGGAAGATAGATCGCAGGGAACGGACGCGCCCGGACCGGTAGCTGAGCCGTTGCCCGAGTTGCCGTTCAGATGGCTGTTGGATTTCTGCTTGGTCACTTTCTTGCCGGGGCCAACAACGCCATTTTCCTGTCGGTTGCTCTGGTTCTTCCTAGCCGCAGCTGATGAGCGTGGCATGGACGAGGGAGCCCGAAACCCAGGTCCGAGTCAGCTTGGCGGGATAGAGCCAAGGACTGGGACCAGGAAAAAGGCGAAAACTGGCTGGGGGGGTTGGATATGAGGGTGAAGTGTGTGTGGTGTACTATATGAAAGATGAAAAGAGAAAGGAAGGCTTCGGGGTGAGAAAGAAAAAGAAAGAGACAGAGAGAGAGAGAGGAAAGAGACGAGGCTCTACGGGGAAGCGTGAAGGGGAAATGGATTGCCCAGGTGGAAGAATTGTAGGAAAGAAACAGTAGGTATTGGTATTGTCACATTTGTCGATCATTGGTGATATTCGGGTAGGCGGTACCTGGCCATGATACCAACCCCCGATATACTCTTTCGGTACTGTATACTTAGTCGGCGCCGATTTGGGGTTTTGCAATTTCAAAAGCGTTTCTGCATGGACAATCCCGTCAGCCGCCAAGCTTTTGTTCTAACTTCCTCTTGTTGTGTGTCTAAAGGAGACTTGGGATATTTACCTCCAAAGCCCTGCAATTGACAGGTCACGCCCGTATACCTCCAACGGCTGCAGTTTGCCAAGTCATGCAACACGGATACCTGCACAGCCAATCCGGACGTATTTGCTTCCTTGACTCTCTCTACTCCGTAGCTGCTCTAGCTTTCTCTAGCTCTAGTGCGGATTGCTGTAGAGAGAGAGTCCCTTCGACCTCAATCATCCGGATATATTGAATATACTCCTATGCCAAGATCATTGACTAACCGTGTTAAGAAACTAGTCCACGTATTTATTTGGACGCCTAGTTAGGTCACGGGCTTTCGTAGTGTGTTGGCTATCAGACCGACTGGTTGACGATCAACCGTTTCTTGGCCTATCTGATGCGGGGTCATCCTTGCAGCAGGCCTGCGAGGCCTTCAACGAACCAGGTTATGTGATTAGTGCTTCTGGGCTTCGCATCCAAGGGCATGGGACCACACGCGCAGAGAAGTATGGGGAACTGAAGCTTGTATCGAAGCGCACTCTTATCACATGCTCGGTTAGCGTGAAGGATTCGCACAGCGTCAAGTTTGAATTGAATAATTCAACAGTTCAACAAATTCAATTACAATTGATAGAAACAATGCAGTTTCCATTTGGTATACCCTATAAAACACTAAGGTATAGTCCAGACTCATAGCCTTGAAGACAGAGGACATATGTACAAGAATCACCCCTCTTGGACTCCGTACGATATCCGGTCTTGGCAGGGTTTCGTAGATCAGCCACACATTCAGCAATGATCGGCCCGTGATCTTGCTCTATGCGGCCCTACCGGTTCGTACTAGAGGTACGAGTACGAGTACATGCTGTGTGCTGCGTGCTATGTCCTGTGTCCTGTATGCTGTACTTTTCTATGTCACACTGACTTGAAGATGTCGATATAGATCTATGCTTGAATATAGAGCTCTCGGAATTTGCTTGGGGCCGATAAACTTCGGGGCTTTTTAAACTTGCGGTCGATCATTCCGGTTTTCCTCCTGGTTTCGGCGGCCACGTCCTGCCTCGGTAAGGTCTCCGAATGCAACATTTTATTTTATTGCTACGCTGTATAGATTGTACGAGCTCATGAGCTTCCGTGCTATGCTCCGTACTCTATCGTAATTTCGCACTTTGCGTAGGATAGAACACCTTCCTAGGGGTATTTAGAGTTCATTATGGCTTGGAGGGATGTCAGATAGTATCCCTATATGGTGCAGATAGTGTGTCAATCCTCCACGCTCCCTGCTCCAAACTGCTTGAGTAACAGCATGAATTACATATTAAGAGGCCATCTCCGCAAGGGTTGAAGGTGTATTCGGACACGGAGTACTCTGTACCAGTATAACTAGCATGGTAATACACACGCAGAGCTGTCTTGCCACACTGCCCCACCTAAATGGAGGATGGGTCTGTTCCTAAAAACAGATTTTTGGACCTTCAGGTATTTTTCGTATAGGGCTTAGAAACAACAAATACCTGTCTCCCCCGTTCTATTTCTTGTACCCGATTCCCGAAGCCCCCAATCCCTGTACATAGGAAGATCACAAATAAACCTCACTGAATTTTACATACTTCGTGATTATAGTCAAGCCCATATATACGCATCAGCTTCCATCACTCTAGACTACCTTGATACCTTGAGTGTATCTTGCTCGGGCAGTGATCGAGGTCATTATTCATCAGTCTGGTCTAAAATCTGGTTTTCACCCACGCTCTTAACTCCCGTATGTTGCTTATGACTTCTTTACAGAGTGTACTGATATTGTTATCGGGACATCCATGTAGAAATCCAGATGAACCAACATTGAAGTGAAGCTGCAGATGGAATACCGCTGGAATGAGCAAGGGTCAATTTCCTACAGATGATCACCATGGCATATGTACTCTAACAAAACAGAACCGGGGGTTCACATTCCATCCCCCGCATCTGCTTAACTTAAATTTTTAGAGTTGTGCTCAGATGAACCATGATACATCTGGGATAGATGATTCAAAGAGATGACCTGTAGACCCCTCTTGTATAGCACGATTGAACCTCAAGTTCAACACCAACTTTAGAGCAGGCCTCAGATGCTTTCTTTTTCGAACTTCGAACAAAGGAAATATCAATCTAAATGCACAAGAGGATTCACTTCGAAGCAATTGGGAAGTTAACAGAGATGGATGTTCGAAAGCAATATCACACCGAACCACCGGATGTAACAACTTGGAGTACATTTATGCATACTTCAAGGTTGGAGTCACGAAAATCGGGGTTGACAATGTTTTGATGTTGTAAATCCTCCACCTTCGTGCGGGACCAACCTATTCAGGAACAAGACACCTATACTTAAGTATCAATAGAGGCTGAGAACCTAATTGGTCGTCCCCATCACACTTGAGCAGTGAATTCAGGAATGCCAGAATTAGAGGGCAATAGATGGCACTCGAAAATTGCCCAATTCCACGGTATCTATGAGTGCATGTTTAAAGACTGGATTTTAAAGTGCAGATACAGGAGGGGAGACCTCCAGGGCTGCTATATTCTAACTTTAGAAAGTTGTAGCCATGTCCCCATGAAACCGACCTCGAAGTGTTCGACTGGCATCGCTCGGGGGGACAAACTTATCTTCAACCGGCAGCACAGAGATCCTTAGTACAACAGGCAGGTCATACATAAGGACCTGAGTAGACTCCGGAATATGGGTATAGACTGCCTATTCGAATTGAAAAGGCTTGTTTAGCTGGTGATGGGATTCGTTGAGAAATCAGGCCGTGTCTCTAGAGGTTACGGGGCCTGTGCAATCGTCCGAGGCTTCTCCATCTTTTAACGCTCCAGGGTGGGTTGCTTTCAAACTGCTTCCAAGTGCAGTGCAGGATTAGTCGGAGCGCTCAAAGCAGTGATTAGTACCTGGCTACGCAGGGCTGTCCAAGTAAATTTCGAATAGCAGGTGCTTTTGCAGGAAGTCTCCGTTAGAATATACTAACACAGTCCACAACATAAATGGATACAAAATTGCAGTCGACATGGATATCAAAGCAAAAGAGCCTATGGTGTCACTGAGCAGCCTAACTTTAGAAAATAGCAGTTTCCTGGGTAAGTAAGATATGAGTCAAGACGATGCCTTATCAAGCAAACCTCAATCTCAAAGAGTCCACAGGCCATGAGTGACCATTAGGCCTTGGGATCAAAGGGTTGTTCACAGTGGTTGCAATGGATCATCATTCCCATAATCTGGGGGGCTCACAGAGTGGGCTGTGAGGCCTCTAAAGTTGCAGTACTTGAAATGATACCTGAAATAAATTGCCCGGTTATGATAGCGAGACAAGGAATACAGTTATTTGGTTGCTTTGAGTCGGGAAGCAACTCTGGATATCTATAGGTCCATCCATGGATCCATGGGTGGGTGATGGAGTTGGGCTTCGTGAGGCTACAGAATCATGCCTCAGCATTTTCCAAGTGTAGGAAGCTCTCACCCACTGAAGTACTTTAGTGGGCATCAGAGAACAAAATTTCGTGGCATGCATAGCTGTCCTACTTAAGTCTCTTCCCTCTCCCTCCATTGGTATATTCATTGAGTACACTCCCTTAGAGACATACAAATATGCAACTGCCTGGAAATAGGATTTCCCAAAGGCGAAGGTCTGTCAATTCAAGGGGCAAATCGGCTGTGTAACCAACTTGGAAAGCCCTTGTCCAGGACATGAATGAGAAACAGATAGGTCCCGAGGTCTATTTATCAGTTCGACAAATCACACACAATAAATTCAATGGATTGCTATGTACATATGTTGGCTTTACATTCTATAACTTCTTACTGGTTGTGGGCTAGAACTTCAAGACAACCCCACTCAACGCGATTTTGTACACGTAGAATTTGTCTTCACACCGCTGAATACCTTTCAGTTGGGCAGCCCTGCCCAGCTGGAGGGCTCCAGGCCTGATGCCCAGCATGACATAAGCGCATCACCGGCCCGCCCGCCCACGGGCCCGGGCCCTGGAGCTTGTGTCTTCATTTCATGATTTCTCCCTCATACTTACAACCACATCTTCCCGAAGATGACACAACTCAAATCTAAATTCATTTCACGAGAGCCCTTGGTAGGTAACAACTCAAACGACGATTGACAGTCCCTAACCATATTCAGGATCCCCAAGAGGCCAAATGGAAGCGTCTAGTCAAAACATACTACACCGATCCCAATGGAGTTAAGAGAGATTGGGAATCTGCTGAACGCCGAGTAAGAATTCTGCTGCGCATGTGACTTGAACAAAGCTCATATACTGTAGACACGACCTTCTGGCTCTCCAGTTGATGGAGTCGGTATCTTCGCACTTTTAAACGGACCAAGTGGCTCAGAACTACTTCTCGAAAAGCAGTACAGACCTCCAATTGACCAGGTCGTTATCGAGCTTCCAGCAGGCTTGATTGATCCCGGAGAAACTGTAGAGCAAACTGCAGTCCGAGAGCTGAAAGAAGAAACGGGTTATATTGGTGTTGCTGATCAAACGAGTGGGATCATGTATAATGGTTTGTGAAATTTCGTTCTTGTTCAAAATGAAAATCCCACTGACCATGTTTTAGATCCTGGCTTTTGCAACTCTAATTTCAACATGGTTTATCTGCAAGTTGATATGTGTCTTCCAGAAAACCAGAACCCAAAGCCCGACCTGGAGGACAATGAGTTCATTGAATGCTTCACAGTCCCGGTAGCACAGCTTCAGACCGAGTTGCAGAAATTGGAAAAGGAGGGGTATGCAATTGATGCGAGACTTGGGTCAATCGCTGCGGGAATTGAGATTGCTAAGAAGTTGAAATTTTGAGCTCTCAGAAACGGGTTGGGGGTTGCAGGGTTCTCTCAGGTTCCAAGGTTGTTTCTCTGGTTGAGAACATTATGAAGTGCCATTTTGGCCCCGATTATGAGGAGACAGATCCTGAAGTCAGACACATAGGCTCTTCTTGAATTCGAATGCCTGGCTAGTTAGGAGCCCTGCCTGTCAGGTGTACCTGAAATGATATGTACAAGTTGCATGAATCGACTCTTTCGATTGGTCGCAAAAGCCTCAAGATCTTACTGCAGACCACCAAATATTGTCTTACCGTAAGCTCCTCATGGTTGCTATGCAGAGCCATTATCTTCCACGGCGTCAGTCCGGTCCCAGCTTTCGAGTTCAAGACCCCTAACTCTGTTCTCGATGTCGGCGATCTTATGCTGCCACCTTTCCATCTCATTTTCCTGTTGTTCCCACATCACCTTGAACTGATCCATGACAAATGGCGGCAAGTTGACAGTCTTGCGATTTTTCTTGTAATCATAGAGTACGATATCCTCAAAGCAGCGAGCAGAAGGCCGCTGACGCGCCTCGGAGAGAATCATCACCTCAAGACGGAATGCAGATTGGGATGAGAGGTGTCCAGACGGATCTGGAATCAATTTCTGATAAACAGTAATCTTGTCAGGGGATGTCATGGGCTGGGTGGCGGTTAGAGATCAGTATGTCCAGCTGTTGGGTTGGGAACACGGTACAAATTTGTAGTCGACTTTGATGCTCTTCAGGATGAGACCAATTCCGGTGGAGCCAACCATACTGTGCCACTCTTTCTTGTTTGCGGGGTCGATGTGGGTGCCAATATTGCGGGTCCAATTCACTCGAGCAGTCTCGGCATACCGAACGTAAGTGACATTATTGACATGGCCTAACATATGTATCAGTTAATGGGCTGTCATGTGGAGCAATAGAGAGAGATACCCTGGGATTGCTGTTAGCTTCATCCTTTGCTTTCCAGAGAGATCATTTTCATGCACAGCGTGTGTAGGGCATACTCACCATGACATCCTGAGAAGAAGCCACAGACGAAGAGTCAGTAAGTAGCCTCATATAGACCGAAAGTTCCCTCTAGACACCAAGCCATACCTGTTCGCCCCAAACCACACCATGACGGAACAGACTACGTCGCTTCGCCTCAGTGAGAAATCCTTCACTTCCAGCAACCAGCTCGCGCCATTCCCTCGCCAATTGATCCAGGATCCTGCCTCCCTCTTCGATCTGGGCTGGCGGCAGTCCAAACATCATACACTTCCCAATCCTCCGCTTGATCAACGTCAGCCATCTAGGATCTAGTGTCCGGGACTTCACATCAGATAGAACAGGGACAGTCGCAGAGAATGAACGAATGCCATTGGAAGCATATGGAGCGAGCTGCGCTCTCAGGGTGAATCGAAACATCGCGCGTAGTTGCGGAGAGATGGACGGAGCTGCGCTGATAACCGATAACCCCCAAGAGCTTGGGCCATCGGCTAAAACCCCGATCACGCAAGTCGTCATTCCTGCTCTCCACTGTGATGTGCAGGCCTGTTTCTCAAGTACATTGGTACTGGATGATATTATTGTTTGAACTCGGGCAGAAATAATACCGACGTGAACTTCGGACATCTGGAGTGCAGCGGTGGGATTCACAAGGTTACCTCCACTAGCAACGTCACCGATAACACCCGACGCTTCTCAACATTTGAACCTTCTTGCTTCTTCCCACTCTCTTGAACCTCCACTCTACCCAAACTCATCTTGCATGGAGCAATCATGGTGAATATCGAGCTACGCCGACAGGTCATCAACGTATATAAAGGTACACTTCCGACATCCTCACTTGGGGCCATGCTTTCTCCGCAGGTCCGTCTTCTACCTCGGTTCTATGCTGACTATCTACCATGAAGAGCTCTTGTTTCTAGGCCGAGAGTATCCTCTGGGATATCAGTACTTCCGAGATCGGCTGCATCGTGCTTTCTCAAGCCAGACTCAGATCACCGATGAAGACCAGATTCGCAAGGGCATAGCAAGGGCCGAGTTTGTGAAAAAAGGTGAGTCCGATCCAAATCAATTTATTGATTTCTGATGCTGCTGCTACGTGTTACTAACCCCTTTTAAGAAGTAGAAGCGCTGTAAGTCCTGTCCCTGTCCTTCCCTACATCTACTTTGGGAGTGGATTTTGTTCATATATGTCATTTTCTATACATTGTGCCCACAGGACAGTGTCTGGTTAAATACATTGTGCACACTTTCTCGCTCCTCATTATACATCATGGCATAGCATCATGCAAACACAAAATTTTGGCCCACGAAAAAAAAAAAAAAAAAAAGAGGCACTAACAAGGCCAGGTACTATTTGAAGCGGTACCGAACGCTGAAAAAGCGGTATGAAGCAAGTTGAGGCTCTCACGGCTCTCAAATTCTCCTCAAAGATGTTTGGATATGCGTGTTAGAAACCCAGAAAGACAGAAATAAAATTGGGGGTATCACCAATACAAGCAGAATGGTACTTGACTCTCGCCCGGAACTCCAAATTGAGAGGCTTTTACTTTTTTCGACCCCACCAGGCGCTGACCTCGAGGCACTCGCCGCTGGCAAGTCCGCCTTTTTGCAAGAGATCAGCTGTCATCGCGGCCCACCATCGATCCCATTCGTCGCGGCCTTTCCCACTGGACTCCATAAGCAGTGGCTCCAGTCCTTCAATCATTTGAATGGTTGTGAGGAGGGCGGTTCGCCGAATAGATATTTGTTCTGGCGTGAGAGCCTTTCGTGGACGGCCTTTGGAATCTTTGCCCTGGCCGTCTCGCTCCCATCGCAATTCTCCAAGCGGGATCGCGACGCGACGACTATCCACCTTTTCCAACAGATCGACCTCTGAATTGAATGATAGCCCAATAGTGGCGCACGGAAGCGCTGTCAACTTGCGCCGGTCGAACGATTTCTCTACCCAGGAATTATAATCAACGATAAATTTGTTCTGTGCTCGTGTGAACGGTGTGGCGGGTGAAAATGTATAGGTGGCCGTCGTGTCGGCGATTTCCTGTTCTTTCGATGTGGTCTTGCGCGCCGGGGCTGGGTTGGGCAACAGGGAGCGGAAGCTCCAATCTGAATCCCACACTTCCAATATGCCCCCGGATTTTAACACGCGTAACGGTTCGGCCAAACCGGATGCGGACTGTGCCGGACTGGAAGGACACATGCCGGCATCCTTTATGAAAACGAAGTCAAAATAGTCGTCGGGGAAAGGCAAGCGAGGGCGACGCAGGTCATGTCGTTTGAACTGCCAATTCATGCCCTGCTTCCGCAAATCCGGCGCAATGGAGATTACGTCGATTCCCGCAAAGGCCACGTTTGGCTGGCCCCTGCGGGCGAAATATTCGTGGCACAGACCAGACCACAATCCGGACCCGCACGCGATCTCCAGGATGCGTTTCGGTGGGTTGTTGGCGAGGTGGGGGTTGCAGAATGGGCCGCCGAGAACGCGCAGCAGCATCAACGTGCGCAGGCTTTGACGGTGGATTTCGGGCAGGTCGCAGGGCAGAGGGTAAACGTTCTCCGGATCGCGAAAGTACGTGCGGTCGCCATGCCGCACCAGTGGGTATGTTGAATAGTCCGTGAGAGAACTGAGGGACGAGGAGGAAGTTGCTGCCATTGTCGAACTTAGATTAGAGTGTAGATCGGACCCGGAGGCTGTTGGTGCCATGAATCCTGCCATTGTATCCATCTCAAGTCTCGATTGTCCCCTCTGAAGATGATTCGAAGGTCGGTCGCATTCTCGGCGCGAGGCTGGGGCTTCATGAGCGAGGCATGTCTTTGAAATGTCTTGTTTTTTTTTTCGGGCGAGGAAGATAATTCCGAGAGAAAAAAAAAGAAATTCAAATAAGGTCAGGAATGACGGGATCAAAGCGGGTCGGAAAATATCTCTAGTGTAGTCGGGCGCGAACTTCGGGAATGTGGCTTTTCTTCTCTATTTGGTTTCACAAAGAATAAGCGGTACTTTTGAGTCAGATCAAGTATAGGAGAAAAGAGGTCGACTCCGGAGGAATTGGGAGGGGGCAAAGGGAGGGAGAAAAAAAGCAAGCCCCGACCCCCTGGAAGTGGCATTTGAATATCCACTCGAGTCTAGTTTAGTCTCTTCACGTAAAAGTACTCCGTACTCCGTACAGTTTATTGAACTGTAGTATTGGAGACATTGGGGTACATGCTCGGCCAATGGCATGTTCTTATTGCAGAGTCTATCTATCATCTCTGCAGCCTCGGTCTAACGAGTACGGAGAATCACCAGATCTCTCTTACTGGAAAGTGTCCATATGTCCAGATGTCATCTATAACACCGTTGACATCATGACCTCGGGAGGCGCATTGAGTACGAGTTACAATAACCGGAAGAGGAAACCCTGGGACTCAAAATATGGGATTCCAGTCGAACTCAAAAGGATATTCTATTGCGACTATTGCTTTTTCTGTTTCTGTTTTCATGAGCTTTTGGCCACACGTGGGATCACCTGGTCATTACTCTGATCTGTCATGAGGATATGATCTATACAGATCTTATGCATCACACTGTACGGAGTACTCCGTCCTACATGGGGAGGCTTGGAACCCTTGCCGAATCTGCATACTTCTTCCTCCGTACTCCGGGCTTTCGTTACTTCAACGGCTGTAAAACTGAATACACAACGTACGGAGATCCCTACCCGCGATTTCCATCATGCAACCGGGTCTAGCCCCTTTTAACAAAAGTGAAAAACCTGAGACTTAGCTAGCCTCCGCTCTGTCCGCCATTGTCTCTCTATCTGATACCGGATTGCCCCGTAGAATCCCAGACACCCTGTCCACGGTATCGGCTATTAGCGATCCTCTGCACAGACTGTGATCTGTGCCCCTTTCCCACCCACTCGGTAGTAATCTCGTATTTTGTGCTCCGTACTTTAAGTACCCCGTACCTGCAGACCGAATTGCCCTTGCCACGTACTTTTGGGTGGAACATGTCCGTTTTGACGGATGGGCGCGGAGTGGAATTTGACATTATAGGTGGGACTGTTGGAATCATATGCATGCTCGGCTATGTTCAGGCAATTGCTGCATTGAGGTGCATCGATTTGCCTTGCCTGGACATGCTTGGACATACATGGTACGGAGTGATGTATAGGCATGGGTCTGTGCTACGTGCAGCAGATACACATATCACTTATCTGGAGTATGTCTGATTCCCCCAATATGGGCATTGGTGTGGTATAGACCCGAGACCAGTACGGGGGACCCGTAGGTTAGATGAAACAGTTCAGTGACTTATCTTGTCTAAGTGAACATATTCCAGCAAACATCATAGTATACTCCATACTTTGTGGGATATTCCATACTTACAATCTACTCTACCCCCTCGGAGCAAAAAAAGAAGAAAAAAGAAAAAAGAAAGAAGAAAAAAAAAAAACCGACTATGTACGTCCGTTACGCAGTGTCCAATTGCAGCAAGGTGCCATGGCGACCCCCTAAAATCTATTTCCCGCCCAGCCCTATGGAGTACAGGGCACATGGTACCTTGATCTTTACCTACCTACGTAGTTAAGCAATCACTACTAGTTACTACGATGAAGCTCAAAGGGACTGAAGACATACGGAGTAGTGACGGGACAATAGAACCGACATTGGCCAAGGCTATAAGACCATTGTTCATCATGGTCTTTTCTTTGATAGTTCGACTCATGTGTTCCCATCACTTTTGCTAGATCCATCGAAAGAGTCCTGTGACATAACTGTCTACCAGCTCATTGTGCTATCGGCTATCTTGAAACGTGATTGTAAACAAGCCAGACTATTCTGGTTTAAGATGCCAAAGACGGTTGCAGATGTCAGGTTTGAGGTTTTATGGCCACGTGGCTGAGCATTCATATAAACAGAGGGCGATGGCCAGGTGGGATAAAATTAGTCTGTAAAGAAGTGCCAGATTCCCAGCAATATCCAGCGCAGTCCTAGCAAAGAATCAAAGAAAGAGGAGAGAAAAGTACAGGCTTGGCAAAGTCAAGCTCTCACAGCTGGGAAGACTTGGCCCCTGCGGCAATTCACGTGATCCCGTGACTCCCGCCTTGATGCAAACCACTGTCACTTCAGCGCCGTCCACATCGACCCAGAGACAATCGTGTGATTAGTCCATCGTTGCTACCTCTATCTTACCCCGCCGCGTTACTTCGACTCGTCCGTCACTCGATCGTTATTTGCTTTTCCCACTCGTCCTCCTTTCGACGCTTCCGCCCAACGCTCCCGCCCTTAGGTGCCGCATCAATCGATATCGTCTTGCCACTGCCGGCTTTCATTTGTGGTTTGATAAGTGTGGTGTCGCGTTAGGTCTCTATGTGGAAGAAGAGAAGAGACCGGCTCCGATCCTCTACTCCTTTCAGCCCCTCCACCCAACTCAACTCAACACCTACCCACCAACAAGTTTTCCATCAGGGAAACAACACACGGTCTCGTCTGCCACGTTAAATGGCAGATGGTACCTACAGGTTCCAGCAGCCTGGGGCCGGGCAATTTTACTTCCAAACTCAAGCACAACAGAACCCTCATCAGCGACACATCGTTCGAAACGGGACCAATTCCCCGACTGGTCGACTGAAATTCAACCCCGACACCCCATCCCCCTCTCGGTCCCCTGCCCTCAACCAGGCTGCTGCTATTGCGCCTTTTAGCAATATGTACGGTCAAACCCACCAAGGTCAGCATGTCATGATGAATGGCGGTCAAGCCCACCAGCGCTTTGGCATGCAGATCCCGAAATATCAATCGCAAACCCACCACTCTCATCACACCCAGCAGCCACATCACCACAATCATCACACACAAGCAACGCACAATCTTACTCATCAACACAATTTCGCTGCCGGCGGACTCGCAACTTCTACAGCCTCCCATTTCACCTCTACCCACCTCCAGAACGGAGTACCCACCGCAGTCGATGACGATTTGGATGAATCAATGAACGAGCATTGGCAGCAGCAGCTTCAGCTCGCGGCGGAGTCTAGACAAGCCACTTCGCCCCACTACTATGCTCGCGTCATCGCGCAACAAACAAAGGGCATCCAGCTCATGTCTAACCAGGATTCGGAAAATGGCACAGACGGCGGAAAGCCACAAGGTTGGAATGCGCTTGATTTCGGTGGCCAAGGATTGCGCGCTTTGACAACGTCCCTTTTCAACTACGACTTTGTTGAGAAGCTATATCTCAACTCCAACAAGCTCAAGGTGCTCCCTCCAGCCATCGGCAAGCTGCGCAAGTTGACTCATCTGGATCTTTCGGGTAACGAATTGACCGAGCTACCAGAGGAGCTTGGCATGCTTTCAAATCTGAAGAAGCTCCTGCTTTTCGATAACAACATTCGCACTCTTCCTTACGAGATGGGATACCTCTACCGATTGGAAACCTTGGGCATCGAGGGCAACCCGCTTAACGAAGTCCTCAAGTCTCAAATCATGAAAGACGGCACCAAAGCTCTTATCAAGTACCTCAAAGAAGAGATGCCAGGTGCGTGTCAATTGCTTCTACTTTATCTGCCCCTCGGAATTCATGTGGCCTTTTTGCTTACTTGGTCATCACAGTTCACCTACCTCCTCCCGATCGTGATTGGGTCATCCTTGATGATACCTCAACCACCTCCAACAGCACCGCTGAAAAGATCACCGTTCTTTCGTACAACACCCTGTGCGACTCCTCTGCCACCCAATCCCACTACGGATACGTCCCATCACGTGTCCTGTCCTGGGAATTCCGACGCGAGCTCATCCTGAACGAATTACGATCCCACAGTGCAGACATCGTTTGTCTGCAGGAAGTTGACCAAGGAAGCTACAACAATTTCTTCCGGGAGCAGCTCGCCTACAATGACTACAAGGGTGTCTATTGGCCACGTGGACGTGCAATGGGCATGCAGGAGGAAGATGCCCGGTCGGTAGATGGATGTGCTACTTTCTTCAAGGGTAGCAAGTACATCTTGTTGGACAAGCAGTTGATCAACTTCGGCCAAACCGCTGTTCGTCGACCTGACGCCAAGGGCCAGGATGATATCTACAACAGACTTTGGCAGAAGGATCACATTGCCGTTGTTATCTTCTTGGAGAATCGCCAAACCGGTGCGCGCTTCATCAGTGTCAACGCTCATCTGTACTGGGATCCCGCCTTCAAGGATGTCAAGCTCATCCAGACGGCCATCCTGATGGAGGAAATCACCAAGCTCTCGAACAAGTATGCCAAGTGGCCCGCTTGTATGGACAAGACGGCCTTCCGGTTCTCCGAGGCCGAAAGTGGCGCCGAGGACGCACCCGTCGTAGAGCCGGCACCATCAATGGAATACGCTACCGGCGATCAAATTCCTGTTCTCATGTGCGGCGATTTCAACTCTTCTCCCGGATCTGCCGCCTACAACCTCATCTCCACCGGAACCCTACCTGAAGCCCACCCCGATCTCGAGAAGCGCCTCTATGGAAACCTCAGCAAGGTCGGCATGACGCACCCCTTCAAGCTGAAGTCCGCGTACTCGTCCATGGGCGAGCTCAGCTTCACCAACTACACTTCCGACTTCACAGCCATCCTCGACTACGTGTGGTACTCTTCAAATACACTCCATGTGTCGGCTCTGCTCGGCGAAGTGGATAAGGAGTATCTGCGCCGCGTCCCAGGATTCCCTAACTTCCACTTCCCCAGTGATCACGTCGCTTTACTGGCGGAGTTCACGGTGAAGGGTAAGAAGGGCAAGGTTGTGGAGGCAGACTTTGGGCCGCAACGGCACTAACGAATTGGAGCATTTGAAATCCTATGGGGTGTTTGTGCAACTTTCTTCTCTGCTTATTTCGGAATATTTGGGTGGCCTAGCCTGCCGACTGGTGTTTTCTCTTCTTGATTTTTCTCTTCTTACGTATCTCTTTGTTGTTTTCTCTCCTGCTTATGAATGTCTCTTTCCATGCTACTCTCCTCCTACCCGTGTTTGGTGGAGTATTCGTTCCTCCTTGGACAAGATCCACGCTTCTTGGATGTAGTCTATCAGCGTGGTCTGTTCTCGTGGTTCTCCACCCCCTCTATCTCTCTCTCCGTGTCCCTTGGGTTTCCGACATATCTCGTTTTCATCTCACCTAAATCTCTAACGTCATTTTGAGACGCTTCACGACGCTTAGGCGGGGATTGGTGTTCTGGAACAGGTGAAGGGTATCTGTTTCCCCGTGATGAGGTTGCTTTCTTGTTTTCTGGCGACGGGAGTTACGTCTGTTCCATGTACTTGTTTATTCTGTCATCGTCCTCTGCAAGGTCCCGAGAATAGAACGTGGCTTTGTTACGTTTCAAGCTTTTCTTGTTTGTACTCCGTAGACTAATTAGTGTTGTAAACATGTCCTGAGATGGTTGTCCCGAGGACCATGTTTTGTTGTAGTCTGGGCTGGAATATACTTAAATACCTCTGTGTACATGCCCAGGCGGTATCTTGTTGCCTGCTTCTAAAGTTGTGATACCCTGGTCCGCCACCTGGACATCTTGCATGTGTGACGGTGATACTTAAGTACAGAAGGAATCTTGCAGCCTTCTGAAGATGTTAGTGTCACCTACTTACTGAAGTAAGTATATTTCCAAGATTGTTGCGAATGAAATATGCTTACCTGGGCATGTACCTCGGTAACCGGTCTGCCATTGTCAACCTTGGAACTGCATCGTTGGGGGGTTTGTGGATAGTGACAGCTCAGACCTATGCAACGAGTTTTGGTATTCATTCGAAGTATAATATACACGAGAGGAGAGGTATCATGTGATCGTACTACAACTTTAGAACCTTGAAGTGATCCCCATGAGTGCGAGCCCTAGAGAAGGCCATTAAGTATCACAGACATCTGTCAAGTCTGGGCAAACAAGTAAAGCTTGCTCCCCTCGTAGCATCCAATGTAGAGTCCGCTCCCCACTACCCCAGCAACACATGTCATAACAGATCCTCGGAATAAACCAGCTATCCCTTCCTTGCAAAGTATGTTGCCAGCAACAGAGAATGCACTCACGCGTGTCGATAGTCCCTTCCCTCCTTTTGGACTTTGCTGGATATCAGTTGTTCGCTCGCCAACCGCTAGTCTCATCCGTGTCTTCACAACATCAATAGGAACAAATGGCAATGACGCAAATGCCCCAGCAGTACAGGCACTGAGCACGATTGCCTGAAGCTGTGAACCAGTCTCACTACCTGATTGCTTTTGCAGCAAAGACTCCTTGAAAGTCTCATACAAGGCAAATGTTAGACAGATCCCGGGCATTTGACTCGCTACCAGAGTGGTGTATCCAGCCCACAATGCCGAGGGTCGTCCCCTCAGCCTTCTCAACATCTCTATTGTTGGAGACTCTCCGGCCTTGGGTTGCAAAACCTGAGCATTCTGTTTCAGCACCTCCGCCGGATTCAAAATAGCAGAAGCGAGTAACTCGGCTACTGCACTACTGGCAATATGGCCAACAGGTCGTGGCACGCCAGGAAAATAGCCTGCAGCCTGGGCATCCTCAAATGCCGATTTTGTCGCCTCATACGTCGTGAAGAAGGCTGCCGAGCCGATTGTTCCTGCTATCAGGGTTGGCCCGAAGCCTTGATAGAGACCCGTGAAGAGAGAACGGCTTATTGTCCCGTTGACGTGCTTGTATATTTGGGTGTATCTTGCGGATTGCATACGAGTCACAATCGTGTCCATCGGGTGGATGACAACTTCACTGGCTAGAGCGGCGATCATCGCGGCCTGTCGGTCAGGTGGATTTAGGTGCAGATGACTGAGTGCTTACCAGTGTGATGTCTGTGGTGTTTATGGACATTTTAATGTATATCAGACTGACTACCCCAAAAAATGAATTCTCTTAAGGTTGGCCAAGGCAGCTATTTGTAGTATATCTACAAAGCAGTTCGGGTCCCGCGGAGACCGGGATTCATTCGAGCTTGATAAACAGACTCTAAAGTTATTGATTTACTAAATGATGCTATTTATTACTTAAGTATGTATCCATGTACTTGACTATATCGATTGGCATATGTATACAATAACATGAGAGAGCTCCTGGCTGACTTATTGCATATGCATGTGTTGTGCTGATATCACATGTTAAAATCGTGAGTTACTCGACCTCAGCTCCGCAACTAAATCTCCTAAGCACAACAACGCAATGACTGAAGGCTCACTCACTCTACCAGACGGCCTTGAGCTGTATACTAAGACATGGTCGGTATGTGCGCTGATATTCCCTACTTACGTTCCATGGTTAATCCAGTACCAGCCCAACGGAACACCACGGGCTACCATAGCTTTCATCCACGGCTTCAGTGACCACTGTGAGTTCTCCAACAACATACTTGAGTGTAATATTAAACCGAACTAGGCAATGCTTATCATGATCTATTCCCAAACTTGGCATCGGCTGGAATCGAAATCAAGTCTTTCGACCAACGGTATGTTCATTTCAAGCTGGACGCTAGGGATAGCCACCTCTCCGTCTCAACAAGAACCCCCTATTGACAATAAACAGTGGCTGGGGCCGAAGTGTTAAAGAGCCCCGCGATCGGGGCAACACGGGCCCGACCTCCCAAGTGCTCGCGGAGATTCACATCTTCTTGCAGAGTCTGCCCCTATCCGACATCCCGCTCTTCTTGATGGGTCACAGCATGGGCGGTGGACAAGTTCTCAACTACATCTTCCATCCGGACTCGCCCTACCAATCCAGTCCCCCAAAGTTCGCAGGCGTGCTTCTGTACTCCCCTCTGATTGCCATTCATCCCTCTTCCCGTCCATCAAAGGTAACGGTTGCGGCGGGAAGAGTCGTCGCAAGGCTGATCCCGCATAAGCAGCGATACTCCGCGCTGGATGCGAACCTGATCTCTCGTGACCCAGCTATTGTGGAGTACTTCAGGAATGATGATTTGTGTCATGATACAGGCACTTTTGCGGGCTTGGCTGGCATGTTGGATCGTGGGATCTGGCTAGAGAGTATGTTTGCGGGTGATTGGGCTAAGTCTGAGTTGCCCTTCTGGTTCGGGCATGGTAATGGGGATCACATTACTAGCTACGATGCGACGAAGGACTTTGTTCGCGGTTTGCAGAAGAATGGGGGAGACGTGACTTTCGAGACTTATGAGGGTGCTTATCATAAGCTGAGTGCTGATCTGCCAGAAACGAGCACCAAGTTCGCTGAAAATGTGAGGGATTGGGTGCTTGGTCAGGTATCGCAAACCGAGACTTCGGGCAGTCAGAACGAGACTGCGGTGAAGTCGAACGTTCCTCGCGATGGTTCTGTACCGGAAGCCAAAGAGACGAAGTTGTGATGTGTTTTCCTTCTTCTTTTCCCTTTTGTCTTTGTTTTTGCTTTTAGCTTCCTATCCGACATCTCATCATAATCGTCTAAACAATTATCTGGATTGTTTCTATAATACATGAGCCTAATCTTGGACTAGTGATAAATTACAAGTTTAATGGTACACAACGTGCATGGGGTATAAGGTGACCGGTGGCAGCTCAACGGTCTTCGATGCGACGCCAGACTCCGACAAAGCCACCGCCTTGAATGCGCACTCCAACCTTGGGCCGACAAACCAACACAGACTCATCCTTGGGAGGTTGTTCTGGAACCAATGCCTCAGAAGAGTCTGTATCGCTAGCCTCCTCAGTGTCTGGAGCCACACCCTCGGTGTCCGAAGGAGCAACCCAGGATGCTGGATCGGAACTGGACTTCTTAGTAGCGAAACGAACATCCCACAACCGCCCGCCGCTAATTCCGTTGCCGAGCTCGATCACCTTCTCCTGGACGAGAGGTAAATTCTGGTCCTTGATGAGCTTCAAACACTCTCCAATCTGCGTGATGCTAGGCATGAACACCACCAAAAGACCATCCCGCTTCAAGATCGGGCTGACGTGGGGGATTCTCAGATTGGATGAAGGCATATCCAAAATAACATGCGACACAAAAGGCTCGACGGTATTCCCATCCGAAGTTGGTCCCGTCTTGCGCAGCTCCTTCTGTTGCGCAACCCAGGTTTCAACGGGCCCCACGTGGAAATCAACGTCGCCGGCGTAGATCCCGCGACGGAATCCCTTGACGTTTTTCTCGGCCAGCGCAGAAAACTTCGCCCCGGTGTCTACCGTGTGGATGATTGCATTGCGCTGTGCTCGCCACGCATCCCACTCCTCCTGTACTGGGTCCGAGGTCGATTCTGTGGTCTCTTTCGGTCCATCTTTTTCATCCGGTCCCTTGATTCGCCCCTCAATGAATTTAATTTGTGATCGTTTCGGTAAAGGTGGCGGAGTGGTATTGGCGGCGTGAATGGCACGCGCTAGGTGTAGTGTGAGAGAGCCATGGCCTGTTCCGGACTCAAGAATCTCCAAAGGCGGTTGCGTCTCGCCCTCTGCGGGTGTGTTAACGTGAAGGTCGAGGAGTGATGTGATCAAATTCGCATCTTGTGGATAGATCTATCAGAGATTTTGGATTAACGTTTTATGCCGCGTGTTTGTTTTGGAGGGCGCACGTACTGGAGTAACCAATCGAGGCACCAACGAGACATATTCTTCTAGTGTGGGGAAACTGAATCGAACCGGCGAGCCTGTGGTCAATTGACTGTCAGTTATATTCCCGGAGTGCGTGAAGAGCTTTACTGACCTTTGCGCATTTGCACCTTCTCCCAAGGCCGCTTTCCAATGATACTGTCATGTTCCACGGCGCCTGTGGCAAGCTGGAGCTTTTCACCCTTCTTCAGAACCTTGCTCAGCAAGGGATTCTTGCCGTGTAAGATGACTCGGTCTCCCTCTGCAAGAGGTCAGTTTTGATGTTGAGTCAATTGCGATAACAAATACCTTTCACTGTGGAGAAGTTGGTGTCGATACTCCGAAAGCGCAAAGCGCTTGGCGGAGTCGATATGGCCGGGGCCACAGACGGAGTCGTTGGGGTCGAACCCAAGACTCGTTGCAGGACCTGGCTCAACCGAGACATTGTTGACAGGAAGTGCTCCGTACGGGCTCTCGAAGCTATCAAAATGCCTAGGGGAAAATCTTTCTGGATCGAGACTAACCCGCTGCGGTACCGCTTCGACCCACCCCCAGTTCACCGATCGAGGGGCAATTCTTCGACTTTGTGATTCCTTGAACAATCAACTCTCTACAGCTCGCTTTTTAATTTGATCAATACAGCAAACATGGGATCTACCACCCTCCCGTACATGGAGACCAAGCCTAAGCTCATCTTTTTCACCGACTTTGATGGGACGATCACCGTTGACGACAGTAGGTGCTTCCCCACAAATTGTCGCTCTAATGCTGACCAGACTCACAGGCAATGACCATATGGTATATCGAATACAGTACTCCCACCCTGCCCCTCGCTGACACCCCGCAGATCGACAACCTTGGCTTCGGCAAGGAAAAGCGCCTGGTGTTGAACGACCAGGTCCTTGATGAGACCCTGAGCTTCCGGTAGGTGTCACAGCCCATGTGTCATTCGAAGCCGATTATAACTAACGCTTGTTTTTCCTCTACAGGGATGCCTTCCGTCAGATGCTCGGCAGTATCAAGACCCCTTACGATGAGTGCATTCAAATACTGTTGAAGAACATGAAGTTGGACCCATACTTCGAGGAATTCTACTACTGGGCCAAGGATAACAATGTCCCCATTGTTATTCTGTCGTCAGGAATGCACCCTATTATCAGTGCTCTCCTGGAGAAGTTCCTTGGCCACAAGCCCGCCAACCACCTCACTATCATCGCCAATGAGCCCGTGAGCCGGGATGGCAAGGATATCAACAGCGAGGGCGGCTGGCAGATTCAATATCACGATGATAGGTAAGGCGAACCCCATGTTGAGATTGCTTGTTCCAACCAGCTGACCCTCTTTTCTAGCCACTTCGGCCACGACAAGTCCTTGGAAATCAAGCCTTACGCAGCGCTGCCAAATGGAGAGCGCCCAATCCTTCTTTATGCGGGAGACGGTGTCTCTGACTTGTCTGCCGCTGCTGAGACCGACCTCCTCTTTGCGAAGAAGGGCAAAGGTATCTATTCCGCCCTAGAAGCGACATTGCTTGAGACACTGCTAACCTTGTTTTAGATCTGGTGACCTATTGCCAGCGCAGAGGTATGCCCTACACCACCTTCGAGAACTGGTCCACTATCCTTGAATCCACCAAAGATATCTTGAGCGGTAAGGTGACAGCTGGTGAGGTGGCTGCCAAGGCCTCCCTCGGCCAGTAGAAAGGGCTTATAATAGAGCGTGCACTTAGACATGAGTAAGACGGACATATTGGATTAGACAAGAATAATGAGATTATTTCATGATGAAATAAGTGATCAGTATACTCCGTAGGACTCCAGAATTATTATGGAGCAGCCCAGCCAGAAGCCAGAGCATAAAAGCACAAAGAATACAACGAGTCATAGACCAAAGAAGTCAGGGTCTAGAGGCGACACTAAGTCTGAAAGCCTCTGCGAAGGAGTATAGCGGCCATGTCGGATGCAGTGCATCTGGTTAGTTTTTGCGACCATTGGGAATTAATGCCTGAATTCCAAACGGCCTCTTATACCGCCCAGTACGGAGTACAAAATGCTGTAAGTGCTGATTTAGATCTACCTAAAGGGTTTGTCCTGGGAGGAGCTACTTGTTCATCTGCAGATAAGCCTTTATAAACCCTTATCCAGGCCGATTAAGACAAAAATGGACCAAATGCACTGCATCCGACACTGGCCGCTATATTCCTTCGCAGGAAGCCCCCGTCAGGAGTCGACACCGCCTTCAGGGTCCAAGCGTCGTAACTTCACCCAAAACAAATTAAACTTGTCCTTATATTCATGAGTTGACCGTATCTGGTCTTCTCCCTCTCTATATCCTGCGACCCGTGGGCACCATGCGCCTGTGCGCCACAATTTTCTCCAAGTCCTTGCCAGGGTGAATATCTATCTCATCATGGCCCGCCGGCTAGTACGACATTCACTTTCCCCCCTGCGGAGGTAGATTAACTGACATCTGTCCCTTTTAGGTTCGAGCAAGCGTACAGCTCGGTCTCGTCGCAACATTCATTTTACTAGTAATCGTCGTTCTCGATAGTCGATTCAGTGTCCTTCCCTCCTCCATCCATGGCCACCTTCCGTCGCATTACTCCGGCTTCGTGATCACAGACGTAACCGTCACTAAATGTTCTTCCATCAATCCATTCTCGAGTTGCAAGCTCGACCCTGAAAATTGGTACCGTGTCGACAAGGATCTGTACCTCCGCTCGGGCTGGACCTCGAGTGCCTACGTCCAGTTCAAGCGAAAAAAGGAGGTAGAACTCGGTGCCGATGATAAAGTGGTCATCGACCTGAAGATCAGTCGCCTCACTCCGCCATCTGAATACATTGCTGGGCAATCGGAAATCGAGGCATGGGAGCCCCGGCCAGGGGGCATTTGGCTCAAACGCTCGTCATCCCGCCATGCTAGTGATTCGCACAGTGCTGTGACATACATCGATGTTCTATACGGTGCAGATGCCGTTGATCCTCGTCCCAATTGGGAGGTTAAGGACACTCCGATCCTTTTGGATAGTTCAACGGAACAATTAGAAACTCGCTTGAGCATTCGGAGGGGACACCCTCAGGCCAAAACGAAGAAACAGAAACCCACTCTCAGAATCAATGAAAACGGGAGGTTCAAAGTAATGCAACTGGCAGACCTTCACATGAGCACGGGTCTTGGTGCGTGTCGTGACCCAGTCCCTGCGGAAGCGGTAGCGGGCCAAAAATGCGAGGCGGATCCTCGAACTTTGGAATTCGTCGAAAGGCTTCTTGATGAAGAGAAGCCGGACATGGTCGTTTTCTCTGGAGACCAAATCAATGGAGAAACTGCACCCGATGCACAGAGTGCACTTTTCAAATCTGTGAAGCTTTTGGTTGACCGCAAGATTCCATACGCGGCTATTTTCGGAAATCACGACGACGAAGGCGATCTCAACCGAGAGCAACTAATGGCCATATACGAAGAACTACCATACTCCCTGTCTGTTGCCGGACCCGAAGATATTGACGGGGTTGGAAATTACATTGTCGAAGTCCTCGACCGGGGCAAGAGTGCCCACTCTGCCCTCACCTTCTATCTCCTTGATACCCATGCCTACTCTCCCGATGAGCGTCAGTTCCGCGGCTATGACTGGATCAAGCCCAGTCAAACGAGATGGTTCAAGAATACCGCTCAAGGCTTGCGAGCAAAACATAAAGAATACTCACATATCCATATGAACGTAGCGTTCATTCACATCCCTCTCCCTGAATATCGCACTTCAGGAAAGTACTTCAAAGGCGCGTGGATGGAAGCCCCCACCGCCCCAGGGTTCAACTCTGGATTCAAGGACGCTCTGGAAGAAGAGGGTGTCTTGTTTGTCAGCTGTGGGCAGTAAGTTCTATCATGTCAAGCACGCCCATTACATCCAATGCTAACCTACATTTAGTGACCACGTCAACGACTATTGCATGCTTGAGCAAGACGCCACAAACAAGCCCTCTCTCTGGATGTGTTACGGCGGCGGCGTTGGTCTAGGTGGCTACGGCGGCTACGACAACTACGTCCGACGAGTACGTTTTTACGACTTCGATATGGGTCCAGGACGTGTCTCGACATACAAACGTCTCGAGTGGGGTCAAACAGAAGCGAAGATCGATGAAATGATGATTGTGGATGGCGGCACGGTCAACAGCCCCGAAGAAGCGTCATGACAAAATCAGAAGCCTCGTCATTTTCATCCCCTTTGGTATTGAGCTGCTGTCTCTGTGCTGACCTGCTCTCACATACTGTCGTTCCTATCATCAGCGGCCCCCTGTTTTACTGTACATATATTCTTCTACCCCTTGCCAATAGGTTGGCGTCCGCGGGAGTCTATCTTTTCCTGAAATATTGAAGCATTTCTCCTACTCTTGAACCCAAATTTTGTATCAAGTCTTCTGTGTCTACCACCATTTCTCGAAAAAGATTCGCCTATCCCCGTCCTCTCCTAGCATACCTCTCAATTTTTCGACAAAAGAATCAGTCATCTGCGGCGGTCCACAGACGTAGCACACCGTATCCTTGGCACTTGTACCGGTTTCTTCATTGTAAACGGCAGATCGTAAGTCCGAATCCTCAATCCGCGATGAATGAATCGCAATATCAGGCTGATCAAGTATCATATCAACAGACGGATCTATATTTGTGAGGAACAGATCCAGCGTAATTCGCAACCTATGGGAAGTCTTTTGGGCCCGAATCATTTGACGCAGACGCGGAAGAAACAGTATCTGGTCCAGTCCATCTTGAATCGTTTCATGTCGCGGTAGACGACTGGTATACAAGATTCGAATAGTATCCGGAGCCTTAGTTCCAGGCTCATTATTGTTGATGTGCGACAGCATTGATATCAACGGGCTTTCGGCGTTAGTTTGGATTTCCCTGATGATGGGATTTGCACTTACTTGATACCGACGCCGCCAGCGATGAAGACTGCGTTGCGGGCGTCGCTGGCTCCTGGCCAGACGAAGCTTCCTCCTACGCGGATACTCAGCTCTTTACCTATTATTTCCTCTTTGGGTTTCCATAGCCATGCGGCAGAGGGATTTTTCGGTGAGTTTTGGACGGCCAGTTCCACATATGGTGCTCTTCCTTGGGAGTCTGGGGCGGGATCTTCAAGTGCCGAACTGGTGGGGATTGGTAGAGCTTTTGCATCTGCCGGGGTGGATGTGATAGTGAAACCGCCTGCCTGGGCAATGGAGGGGATATGTACGTCAAGCCATTGGCCAGGCAGAAAGCTGAATGGCTGTTGGTTGTTATTCTGCGAGACAAGTTAGTGGTGGTTCGAATGAGGAACATCGGCTCTAGGAGTACGCTGCATGGTATATGGGAATGAGTTTGTGAACCTTGGAAAGTTCTCTATCTTATGTTTGATGTAGGGTTCTGTGTGGTATAGAGAGTCGGAACGTACGCTTTCTGGTGATATATTGAACCGCAAGAGCCGGATCGAGGGGTTGATCTGCTCAACGTGCGATAAATGCACTGGATGGCGCCTATTCTGACGGGGCTCTGCAGCTGTGCGGAGCTCGTGTGGGATTGAATCCTCTCTCTGGGTACTCATTTGGGCTATTCTTTGAAATGCCGTTGGGATGAGATTCAGTGGGTACAGTGAGGTGGATGCGGGGGGTTGTGCCATTTGGCCATTAAACCGGGACTGCCATGGCCCTCCGAAGCTTGACAGCCTCTTGATGCAAATGGACATGTCAAAAGTGTACAGTCTTCGATATCTTGGCTATCAGGAATTGCTTTTCAGTTCAGTCAGTAGTGACAAGTGCAAGTCAATTGTCATTGGGAATTCACCCGAGCCTCACGTCATAGAAGATATGTTAGAGTCAAAAAATCAATACGCTATCAAGTGTGCCATTCCCTTTGTGTAGTTGAGCGACAATCCAGAAGAGAAGTGTATTGCCTATGACCTTTGCTATGAGGCAGGGGCAGCCGAAAACAGCTTTCATTGTACGGAGTACGGAGTATGAGCAGACACTAAAGATTTGTAGTTCATACCATCGCAACTTTAGAAGATTGCGGTAAAGAAACTGCTTTCGCTACTCCGTGGAAAGTGTTGGATTCTACTCCATGCATAAGGGTTATTTCATACGAGTATAGTCTTGACTATGCTCAAGTGGGAAGAAATTTGACGTTGTCAGTGAAGGGCTGCTCCAGGGCTTGAACCTCCTACCACTCCGTACCGCGCTCCATACTTCGCACTGCATTCATGGATTCCCACGGCAACCCGGCTCAAAATTGAAAACCCTTGGAAGATTTTGAAGCGACCACGCTCAAGTGTTGCTTTGACGTTGGGACAAGGATATATGTACACGGGTGGTTCCTGCTCGTACATAGTCACAAGTGTGACTCCTATCACCCAAACTGAGCGTTTCGCTAGGCGCTCAGAACTGCGGGTCACCAGTTGTGGGCGCCAAGGACTTCGAGAGGGGAACTCTGTGATGAGCACTGCTGATGCAGATCTACCACCCCGTCACAGCCTAGCGTGTGACGACCAAGAGCCAACCCAGGATCCCCGTGGTCTCATTGGTGTGATGGCCCCGGGTTCTTACTTGCACTGGCGCTTGCCGCCGTCAAGCATTGGCCAGATGCACCTCCGGGACACACTTCGAGGTCCTCTGCACAGTCACCCCATGCTGATTCGTGCTCCTCTGCATGGCATGGATCGTGTCTGCGACCGCTTGGTTGGCCTCGGGCTCATATCTAACGCTCGTCCTCCAAACCGCCCAGACTTGCGTTCCGATTTTTCTCTCCCTCTTATCTCACGCTGAAGTGCTTGCTCTCTAAGTGACTGCATGTCGAAGCCAGCCGGTCTGGCTCAGTCGCATTGTACAAGGCTGTCACTCCCGAGCTCTTCAGCTAAATAGGCGCCTGGCGTTGAAAATCTCGCAAATCTCGCTGCTTGCATCTCTCAACATTTTCATAATGCATTGCTTCTTCCCCAAGAAGCACAAGAACCACAGGATCGTCCTGTGGTTGATGGCTGGTGAATTTCCGATCACCATCGTAATGCTCACATTAACGGGTATCGCTTCACACAATCTATACCGGACGTTATTATGGCAGGATGGCGCAGACAACGGATTCAACAGTGCTCCCAATGAGGCATTATATGCGGCTGCAAATTACAGACCGTTCACAGCCCCAATGGTCTGGTCTTCATTGTATGCTATCCCTCTTCTCTATACCATGAGTTTACTGCTGACCCAGACAGTATCACCAACTATAATCTTGTGCTCGGCGTTCTGAGCACCTTCTTTTTGATCACCAAGCTACCGGTTCATTGGATGCACCTGTTCTATCCTCCTGTTGCGGTCGGCGTCCATGGTTCCCTGATCATCCTCTATCTCGTGTCGGCGATTTACCAGGGTGGCTCCGACACATCAGACCCTAGACATCTCCAATCGGGGGCACCATGGTACATCACAAAAAGCTGCAGTGTGGCTTATCGCAAATCCAATATTCCCTATTGCATGCAAGCCAAAGCGCTGTTTGCTGTCACAATAATCCTCATGTTCGTTGTCCTCTCAATACATTGCTACAGTCAATTAGAATACAACAGCTAACAAATCTCAGTATTTACTATACAGTGATCCTCGGCTTCAACATTCACTCATGTTTCATCACACCCGAAGAGCGCGACGAAATCCTGGAACAGAGGGAAGAACGTCGGATTGAGAAGGAATTCGAGGACGAGATCATCAAGTCCCCCGGCATGATTCCCATGACTCCTGGCTCAATGCCCCAAGGGCCCGGGATGGTGCCTCGTACCCCAGGGATCCCGCCGATGGCTGTTGGAGGGGGCATCTCACCTTTTGCTCCCCGCACCCTGGCCTTTAACCGACTTGGTAATGGCAGCACCGCCTCTGACTTGCCACTGCGGGACAACCGCGCTCACCAAAGTCAATACCCGTCTCCGCAATCTCACGAAGTGAGCCCAGAGAGCGCGACTACTACATCGCCAATGTACTTCCCACCACCACCCAAGAAGGCTACTAGGGCTTAAGTTCGGTGTTGAGTTGCTTTTTTTTTGTGTTTTTGTGATACCATATATCCCTGCTCATATACCACACGTTCATTATTTAATTGGGCAAAAATGGAGTTTGAACTTGAAGTTTTTCCCCCAGGGCTTCCATGTCGAATTTCATGGTCGCACAAATGCCTATTGTCCTGGGTACATACCAGCATCTCTGGCGTTGAACTTTTGTTTTGTGCCGACAGTTGCATCCCTACTTTGTTTTTTTTTATCTTTTTGAGAATGCATCAATTCCCAAAATCAATTGTTTGGTGTATCAAAGGACTAATATATCCCGAGCTTAATTACACAATGGTTGCATAGGTCAGGGCGAGTCGTCAACAGCCCAACTATATACACTGTATCAAAGAAAGGTCGCAGGGCGTGGTATCATCACCCATGCTCAAGATCACATGGGGCAAAATTGCTCGAAAGCCAAACACCGGGAGATGCCACAAACAGCAAGGTTGGCGCATTCAAAACCCAACATTGAAGGGGTATCTTGGCGGGAAAATCACTAAGGCGCCAAATAAAAAGAGAACAAGTAAAGAAACTCGTTAGGGGGATCTCATATCCAAGAGAACGAGGGCAAATTTCAAGCCGACTCCTGACGCTTCTTTTCCTTCTTAGACCAACGCACTAGGAAAAGAAATAGTCAATGCCAAGAATCGACAGGTATGAAAAACCCACAGGATTGGAGCGGGGATAACGGGAAACTTACAGCCACATGCATTGCACAGAGTCTTAGGCCCATTCGGGCCCTTTCTCCATTCTGGCGAGTCTGCCGTTCCACAGTCGCCACAGACATGCTGGCCCTTGAGGCGCTTGCGCCGGTCGCCTTCCTGTGCATTGCGCTCTTGGTCCGCCGCCGTCGTGATATCGATATCACAATGCACCAACCGTCCGCGGTTGCCGCCCGTGCTGAGTCCATGCGATCGTTCGCCATCACCGTAGTAGAGACCGGTCATGACCTCGATGCCATCGATGTGCGTGTAGGTTTCGGCAGGCGGGTCTGGGTAGTACTCCGCCGATTGATTCGTGTCCGACTCATCGGAATTCGCGCCTAGCGTGTCCGGTGAATGCGATTCATGATCACTGGATCCGGCTCCTGATGGTGCAGATTGTGAAGACCCAGATCCAACCTGAAGGCTGGAAGGTTCGTCGACTCTTGAGTAAGGTGCCCGAGCTGCGGTCGCCTCTTCATCTTCTTCTTGCTTGAGTTTAGCGATCTGTTGAATCAAACGTGCGTTCTCAATCTTGTGTTCTAGGAAAGAGTCGAGGAGCTGCGATATCTTGTTGGGGTACGGTCGGCATATCAGGAAGAAGCCGGTGCAGCGCTCATTGACCGTGCTTTGCCCGGACTGGCGTTCGTTCTGATTTGCAATATGGGGATGTCCATAGGCCTCCATGAGGCAATATGTGCCGTTGGTCTTCTGGAATCGCAAGTGAGTCCGGAAAGATTGGTTCGCGGCGACCGACTCTTCCAAGTCTTTCTGGAGAATTGCCTGGTCATCCTCATGGATGTAGTGTGCCAGGAGGCTTCCCTCTAATTGCTTTGCGCCACGGCCGGTCAAATTCTTACAGGAGGGGGTGGCATAGGTAATTCGACCCTGGGGTGTGAGCAGGACGAGCATGTCCTTCATTTCATCCAGAACTCGCTCTGTCCAGCCAGACTCGGCGGACACACCCTGGTAATCACCATGCTGGGCACCCTGCATACCATAGTGTCCACCATAGGACCCAGCAAGGTGCTGCTGGTCCATTGCGTGAACTGGATGTCCATCATTGGGGCCCGATCGCATTTGCGAGACGGGGAGGGACATGCCCTCGTACGCCTGCGGGCGGCTTAAAGCCATATGGAGGAGGGTGTTGGGAGCGTGGGCAAGGCGATTCTAATATCGGCTAGTGTTGTGCGCTTTCGAATTTCGGGGGTTCGCAAGGAGTACGGGGTATAAGAGTATCCCCTAAAGATGCCCGCACTAGATATGGAGTAGTGTGTGTCCCAGTATGTATGGCAGTGGCGATGCAGTCGTTCTCCAGCGGTGCAATGCGGTTTCCGAGGGATTCGTGAGGTTTGTGTTTAAAGTACCACTGAACAGGTACACATTACCCGGTCTCCTCCTTGGAAAAGAGTCGAGACTGGAAAAAAGAGCCGGCCAGTGCTGATTGACAGCGTCGCCGATCTATGTGGGCCTTGTCTCCAACACGTGATTTCGTGTTGCCTTCGACGCGGGTCATAAATGTGATGGCTCAACTTCTCTACAATATAGGTTTCTTTTTCAGCTTTCTCCCGCGGTCATTTGACTAGATGCTATTGATTCCACTCTGAGCTGAAGGGGGCTCGACCGCATCTCTTCGGACTTTTGTTCACAATGTAAGCGTTCAGACATCCCCGGATAACTTCGCGTCACAGTACTAATGGATTCTAAGGTGTAAGCTCTAAACCTCTCGGCAAGAAAATGAAGAGATCCGACGCTCTAACATATCGCAGCAAAGATCGACAAACTCTCCATCCTGGGGTATGTGCAGGCACTTTTCGACCCGGTGCAACCACCGCGCGGGGTGTATTCATGTTCTCACGCTAATGACGTCGACCTTTAGAGTTCGCTCCTTCGATAATACACGCAGCGAAACGATACAGTTCCACACACCTCTCACGCTGATTGTCGGATACAATGGTTCGGGAAAGACGGTAGGCAATGCCAAATTGGCCGACTAGGCTCCACGACGTACTTGCGCGGAACTGACGGGAATTTAGACTATCATTGAGTGTCTGAAATATGCCACGACCGGTGACCTGCCTCCGAACAGCAAGGGCGGAGCTTTCATCCACGATCCGAAGCTATGTGGCGAGAAGGAGGTACTGGCCCAAGTGAAGCTATCATTCAAGGCTACCTCCGGTGCGAAAATGGTAGCAACGCGCAGCCTACAGCTCACTGTCAAGAAGACTACAAGACAGCAAAAGACTCTGGAAGGACAGCTGCTCATGATCAAGAATGGTGAACGGACAGCTATCTCTTCGCGGGTGGCTGAACTAGATCAGATCATGCCGCAATACCTAGGTGTCTCCAAGGCAGTTCTAGATTCGGTCATTTTCTGTCACCAGGATGAAAGTCTGTGGCCAATGAGTGAGCCCTCGGTGTTGAAAAAGAGATTTGATGAAATTTTCGAGGCCATGAAGTACACCAAAGCCATTGACAACATCAAAGCTCTTCGGAAGAAGCAGAACGAGGACCTTGGGAAGTTCAAAATCATGGAACAGCATGCGAAGGAAGATAAAGACAAAGCGGATCGGGCCGAAAAACGTTCTGTCAAGCTTCAGGATGAGATTGAGGCGCTGCGTGAGGAGACGCAGCAAATGTCGAAAGAGATGCGCCGAGTCGCCGATCTTGCCGATAAGGCCTGGACGCAATCGGAAAGCTATGCCCAGGTCCTCGGTGCTCTTGAAGGGAAGCGCATTGAAGCCAAGAGTATCCAGAATACCATTGACAACCTCAAGAGACATCTGGTAGAATTGGATGACTCTGATGAATGGCTTGAATCTACTCTGGAACAATTTGAAACAAAACAAATCCAATATCAACAACAAGAGGAGTCTCAAAAAGAGAACTACATGGAGCTGAAAGAAAAGATTGAACAAGCCCGCCATCGTCTCGGTCTGAAGCAGGCAGAGAACGGAAAATTTGAGAACGACAAAGCCAACTTCGAACGCCAGTCTGAAAGACGCCAAAAGATGATCAATGAGATTGGTCATGCGAACAGCATTCGCGGCCTTGACGACAGAATGGACCAGAGTGCTGTAGACACCTTCATGCAAAGGATCCGACGCCTCTTGAAGGAACAGAACCAGTCTCTGGATCGTGTGAAGCGTGAAGCTCAGAAAGAGCTCCGCGAAGTTCAGGAAACATTGAATGAAATTGGCCAGACAAAGTCGGCACTCCAAGAAAGCAAGAACGCGGCAAAGCGACAGATTGCGGCGAACGACAAGGAGGCATCGGCTTACCAAGGGAAACTTGATGGCATTGAGGTCGATGAAGGTGTGCAGGCAGCACTCGAGTCAAAGGTTGAGGATATCACATCTAGTCTGGACCACGCGAAAGAGCGAGCCAAGAACGCTTCGTGGGATAAAGAAATCCAGGATACCAACACGGAGATCCGTCGCCTTGAGGATGAAAGCTCGCGGCTTAATACCGAGTTGATTGATTCGACCAAGAAGGCCGGCGAGCTGGCTCGCCTGGATCACCTCAAGAAAGAATCCAAAGACCGCGAGCGCAGCCTACAAACGATGAAAGGAGCCCATGGGGAGCGTCTCGAGAAAGTGGTCGGCTCTGATTGGCAACCAGAGACATTGGAGCGAAGTTTCCAGCAGGCGCTTGATGGCGAAACGAGGAAGGTGACCGATGCGGAGCGAGAACGCGATAGCGTGAGTCGAGAGTTAGAGCAAGTCGAGTTCAAGCTCAAGACTGCCACAAAGAATCTCAAGCAACGACAAAAGGAACTCGACGATTGCGCCAAGGAAATCCACGACGCAGTGGAATCTGAACCTGCAATGTACCCGGAAAAATTAAAGGAACGCCAAGAAAATTATGAGGCAGCCCGCAAGGATGCTGACCAGTACGCTGGAATGGGGGAGTATTTCACTATGTGTGTGAACGCTGCCGAACAAACCAAGAAGTGCCGAACCTGTGCAAGAGCTTTCAAGAATGAGGCAGAAGTTCAAACTTTCACGAAAAAGCTGAATGCCCTCATCAATAAAGCCAGTCTTGATTCTGAGGCTGAGGCCGACTTGAAAAGATTTGAAGAAGAACTTCAAGCTGCCCGTGAAGCCGGTACCTCCTATGACTCTTGGGCCCGCTTATCGAAAACCGATATCCCAGAACTAGAGCAAGAGGAGCAAGAATGTGAATCACAACGTGATCAGCTTTTGGACAAGCTAGAGACCCGCGATGGAAAGGTCACCGAGAGGGTTGAGAGCAAGCGCGAGGTTGAGGCACTCTCCAAAACAGTCAGCACCATCGTACGTTACGATGCGGAGATCAAGACAATCAAATCTCAAATCGAGGAGCTGTCTGCGAAACAGCAAGATGTGAATGCTACTCGCACCCTTGAAGACATTCAAGAGGAAATTGCCGCCATCAACGAGAAGGCCCGGGATTCAAAGAAGGCACTCAATAAAGTGACCAATGAAAAAGACAAGACCCGTGCCGAGATCAACGATCTCGAGCTCAAATTCAGGGACGCGAAGAGCAACTTGGACAATGCCAAATTCCAACTTGAAAAGAAGGCGGATCTGATCGTCCGAATGGAAGAGTTTAAAACCCTTAACTCGCAACAGCGAGAGGCAATCGAGAAGGCAGATCGCGATATCGAGGCTCTCACTCCGGGTTTGCTTCAAGCCCAAGCCCGCTATGATGACATCAGCCAACGAACCGATGAGCGTGAACGAGATCTGCAGCATGAGATCACCCGTCTCTCTGAGAGCATCAATCAACTCGACCTTGCTAATGACGATATTAACTCGTACAATGAGCGAGGTGGCCCAGACCAGCTTGAACGAAGCAAACATGAGCTCCAACGCATCGAAGAAGAAATCGAAAAGCTTGAATCCGAACAAGGCGCGATCACAAAAGATATCAACAAGATTTCGGCGCAGCTAAAGGATAGCGAGAACACCAAACGGCAGTACTCTGACAATCTGACCTATCGCCAAGCTACTCGATCTCTCCAAACGGTTGAGGAAGAAGTCGAGCAACTCGAAGCACAGAATGCCGAAGTTGATCGTAGTCGATTCAAGCAAGAGTCGGAACGCTGGACCCGTGAACATAATGCCCTTGCTGCCAAACAGGCTAGCAAAATGGGTGAAATGAAATCCAAGGACGACCAGCTGATGCAGTTACTGGCGGACTGGAACACAGACTACAAGGATGCTTCCTCAAAGTACAAAGAGTGCCATATCAAAGTTGAAACCACCAAAGCGGCCGTCGATGATCTCGCCCGTTATGGCGGTGCCCTTGATAAAGCAATCATGCAATACCACGGCCTGAAAATGGAAGAAATCAATGCTATTGTGGGTGAACTCTGGCAAAAGACCTACCGCGGAACAGATGTCGACACCATCCTCATTCGATCTGACAATGAGAACGCCAAGGGCAACCGATCCTACAACTACCGCGTGTGCATGGTCAAGTCTGGCGCGGAGATGGATATGCGTGGGCGGTGCAGTGCGGGTCAGAAAGTACTGGCTAGTATTATCATTCGACTTGCCCTTGCGGAGTGTTTCGGTGTGAATTGCGGTTTAATCGCCCTCGATGAGCCCACCACCAACCTGGACCGAGACAACATTCGCTCTTTAGCTGTGTCGTTGCATGACATCATTCGCTCTCGCCAACAACAGGCCAATTTCCAGCTGATTGTCATTACCCACGACGAAGAATTCCTGCGGAACATGCAGTGTGGTGACTTCTGTGATTATTATTACCGCGTTTCGCGCAATGAGAGACAGAAGTCGATCATTGAGCGGCAGTCTATTGCTGAGGTATGTTTTAAATCTACACAGCAGCTATGATCCTTGCTAACAATTCACAGGTCATGTAAATCTTCTCTCCAATCGCTTTATCTTTTTGATCAATTTTTGCCTTGTGCCTTGTTACATAGCCCGGAGTGATGTTTGTCTCCTGCCACCCGCTTTACAGCGTTTATGTTTTCTGACGAGCATATCTCGGAGTTGCTACGAGCTAGCGGTTTTGCATCATTAATATTATCTGATAACCTCGGAACTACTCTCTTCGGCATTTGTGGTCGTCGTCGACTCAGAATTGGGTGCGCGCATTAAATATATTTTCCAAAAATACATAGTCATAAGACAAAGGAAGATGCTATGCTACAGACAGCCGGTCCCTCGTTTAAAGAGACCAGATGGATCGATCAATCGACTCCCAGACAACACCAGAACCAAACAGCACTATCTAGTGAAACATTCTTAAACCTTCTCCACTTCACCCCGAGCCATAGCAAGCATACGCTCCTGGTCCTGCTTGGCCTGGCGGATAGAGTTCACACGCTCACGATCAGGACCAGACTTCTTCGTGATAGCGTCCAACTTCTGCTGCAATGCCACATCCTCACCAGTGGGGTTAACCACCTTCGCATCCGTCATGAGCTGCACACGATCCCAGATTTGCTTGTATGTGTAGTTCCTCAGATCGAGAACAACCGACTGCTCATTGGCCTCGGGCGAAGGTGCAAGGGAGTCTGTGACTTTGCGTTCATTTGCCAGGGCAATGGCGGCACTGCCAGCCTTCTCAGCGGCAAAGTAGATTGTCAATGCCGCGGGTCCGGCCTGATCATCGGTCTGTTTTACTGACATGCCCACACCGGGGTTGTGGTACTTCAGTCGTGGAAGGCAATTACGCCAAAAATGCCGTGCGCCCATGTGACCATTGTCGATCTTGCGAGCATATGTGAGGTGGAGCCGGGTGACAGCTGGGAATTCTTTTGTTGCAGACGCGATGCTGGGGAAGATGGCGGCACCAGTGCCAACCTTGGTCTGAAGAATCTGGAGGAAGTGGTTAGTCGGAGTACTTGTATGCGGCGCCGTTTTGCTGGTAGAGAGATTGAATTTGGCAGCGGGAGTTCAAGGCCGGAGATATCAGGGAACGGATTTTCGGCTTACTCTCTGTTGATAGAAAGAATCCAATTAGTTAATCAAGACCAATATGACGAGGGATGTATCCAATGAGATATTCGGGGAAGCTGGGCTTACAGTTTGCAGCTTGCGAAGCCGCTTGAACAAGTTGACCATAATGAAAGGCTGTTCCGCAAAGGGTCTGGCCCTTCTGCGACGGGAAGTTGAGTATGGGGTGGGGACAAGAGGGCAAGGTCAATCCAATAAGTCAATTGCTTATTGACCTGTCGAATGGGAACTGAGTCGTAAGTTTGTTGATCGGGGAAATTTGTCGCAGATGCGCTTGTCGGCAAAGAAGTTGCTCCGTGATAGGGGTCACGTGCATATCTATACAATGATAGTGAACAACCTTGCACCTCCGATCATTCGGAGTTGATGCTCATTTTGATGCTCAATATAAGATGAGTAGGCTCTATGCGCCCTACAGCAAGGGAACTCACTTTCTTGATGAATAAATACTTATTGGATACAAATTTCCAAACGCTTTTAATACATAAAATACCAACATCGGTCAACTGCACTGCAACCTGTGGAGAATAGTAAAATACAATACAACTGTATTACTTGACTCACAAACTGAACAAACTCATTTTATATCTCGCCCCGCGATTCTTTTGTTCCCCTCTCTCCAAGGGAATTACAGGCCAGTTCTGACAATCAGGAAACATGGCCGCTGCCGCTGCATCCGCAGAACTTGACCCGAGCAATGGCTCGAAGAACACACTCAAACTCGAAAACGTAGATATGCCCCTCCCCCGCCATTATTCTCACTTGTTGACTGACATTTTACCTCCCAGACCGAGAAGCGAGACACCCTGATTTCGATCGAGAAGAAGTACCAGGCACAATGGAAGGCCGACAAGGTCTTCGAAGTCGATGCGCCCTCCTTCGAGGAAGCCCCCCAGGGCTCCATGACCCCCGCCGAGCTCCGTGAAAAGTACCCCAAGTTCTTCGGTACCATGGCCTACCCTTACATGAACGGTACCCTGCACGCCGGACACAGTTTCACTGCTAGTAAGGTGGAATTCATGGCTGGATTTGCCCGTATGGAGGGTAAGCGTGCCCTCTTCCCTCTGGGCTTCCACTGCACCGGTATGCCCATCAAGGCCTGCTCCGATAAGCTCGCCAACGAAGTCAAGATGTTCGGCCAAAACTTCGAAGGATACCAGGAGGAGGAAGAGGCCGCCCAGGAGCCCGTTCCTGCTCCTACGCAACAGGTCAACGCCCAGGCCGAGAAGTTCTCGGGCAAGAAGAGCAAGGCCGCCGCCAAGACCGTCAAAATGAAGTACCAGTTCCAGATCATGTTGGCAATTGGTGTCCCTCTGGAGGAAATTCACAAGTTCGCCGATGCTGCTCATTGGCTGGATCACTTCCCCCCTCTTGCCATCCGTGATCTCGACAGCATGGGTGCCCGTGTCGATTGGCGCCGCCAATTCGTCACCACCGAAGCCAACCCCTACTACGATGCTTTCGTGCGCTGGCAGATGAACCGCCTCTACGAGCTCGGCAAGATCCAATACGGCAGCCGTTACACAATCTACTCACCCAAGGACGGTCAGCCTTGCATGGACCACGACCGCACTGAAGGTGAAGGCATTGGTCCTCAGGAATACTCTGCCATCAAGCTCCAGGTTAAGGAATGGTCTCCTCAATTGACCGAGCTTGTGAAGGGTAAGATTGAGGACGACGCCAAGGTCTACTTCGTCCCTGCTACTCTCCGTCCCGAGACCATGTACGGCCAGACCAGCTGTTTTGTTGGCCCTAAGATCAACTACGGTCTCTTTAAGCTGAGTGACAAGGAGTACATCGTTGTGACCAAGCGTGCTGCCTGGAACATGGCTTTCCAGGGTCACTTCGTCGGCGATAAGTTCGCCAAGAGCCAGGATGAGCTTCCCCAGGTTCTCGAGGCACCGGGTTCTGCCTTTGTTGGAACCCTGGTCAACGCTCCCCTGTCTTTCCACACCGAGGGTATTCGCATCCTGCCCATGGAGACCGTCTCAGCTTCCAAGGGTACTGGTGTTGTTACCTCGGTGCCCTCCGACAGTCCTGACGATTACGCCACTCTTATGGATTTGGCCAAGAAGGCTGATTATTACGGCATCAAGAAGGAATGGGCCGAGCTGGAAATCTTCCCCCTCATCGATACCCCCACTTACGGCAACCTGACCGCCCCTGCCTTGGTCAAGGAGCTCAAGATCAACTCCCCCAAGGACGCCGTTCCTCTGGCCAAGGCCAAGGAGCTTGCCTACTCTGAGGGATTCTATAAGGGCACTATGCTGGTTGGCGAGTTCAAGGGCGAGGCTGTCAGCGACGCCAAGGACAAGGTTCGCCAGGCTCTCTACGCCAGTGGCGATGCTTTCCCCTTCGCCGACCCCATGGGCAAGGTTGTCAGCCGTAGTAATGACGAGTGTGTTGTTGCCTACTTGGGTCAGTGGTTCTTGAACTACGGTGAGAACGACGCCGAGTGGCAGTCGGAGACTCTCAACCACGTTGTCAACAACCTCAACACTTACTCTGCTGAGTGCAAGAACGGGTTCGAAAAGAATCTGTCGTGGCTGAACCGTTGGGCTTGTGCCCGAACCTACGGTCTGGGATCACAGCTTCCATGGGACAAGCAGTTCCTGGTTGAGTCTCTGTCTGACAGTACCGTCTACATGGCCTACTACACCATTGCTCATCTCTTGCACGGTGACCGCTACGGAAAGACCACTGGTCCCCTCAAGGTGACCGCAGAGCAAATGACCGATGAAGTCTGGGACTACATCTTCACCCGTCGGGAGATCAGTGACGATCTCATCTCCAGCAGCGGCATCAGCAAGGAATCTCTGCAGCAGATGCGCCGTGAGTTCGAATACTGGTACCCACTGGATGTCCGTGTTTCCGGTAAGGATCTGATCCAAAACCATCTGACATTCTTCCTCTACATCCACATTGCTCTGTTCCCCAAGGAATACTGGCCCCGTGGTGTCCGTGCCAACGGTCACTTGCTCCTCAACGGCGAGAAGATGAGTAAGAGTACCGGTAACTTCCTGACCCTCAAGGACTCAATCGACAAGTTCGGTGCCGACGCTACCCGAATTGCGTTTGCTGATGCTGGCGACAGCATTGAGGATGCTAACTTTGAGGAGAGCGTTGCCAACAGCAACATTCTACGTCTTTACACTCTGAAGGATTGGATTGAAGAGGTCGCTAAGGACGAGACTCTTCGTACTGGCCCTGCCGACGCCTTCGCTGACAAGCTCTTTAACAACGAGCTCAGCAGCCTGGTTCTTGAGACCCAGAAGCACTACCAAAACACCGACTTCAAGCTTGCCCTGAAGTCTGGTCTGTATGACTTCACCAGTGCCCGTGACAGCTACCGTGAGGCTGCTACGTCTGCCGGTGTTGGCATGCACCGTGACATTGTCATGCGCTACATCGAGCTTCAAGCCCTCATTCTGTGCCCCATTATTCCCCACTGGGCTGAGTACATCTGGCTCGAAGTCCTCAAGAAGCCTGAGTCTATCCACCACGCCCAGTTCCCTGTCGTGTCCGAGCCTTCCTCCGAGCTGACTGCTGCTCAAAACTATGTTCGCGGCACTGCCAGCAACATCATGAGCTCAGAGGCCAACTTCGCCAAGAAGCTCTCCAAGGGCAAGGCTGCCGGCTTCGACCCCCGCAAGCCCAAGAAGCTTACTATCTACGTTGCCAAGAAATTCCCCGCTTGGCAGGAGAAGTATATTGACCTGGTCCGTGAGGCTTTCGACTCACTGAGCGTCTCCTTCAACGACAAGGAGCTCAACTCCAAGGTTGGCAAGCTCGGCGAGATGAAGAAGGCTATGCCCTTCGTTCAGACCTTGAAGCGCCGCCTGGTCAATGGTGGTGAGGCTCCTGAGAATGTCTTCGACCGCAAGCTTCCCTTCGACGAGTTCTCCGTTATCGCCGAGATGGTCACCGGTCTCAAGCGCACTGCTGGTTTCAAGGAAATCGATGTCATTGCTGTCGACGAGGGTGGCAAGACTGGTGAGGTCCTTGGCTCTGGTGAGAAGCGTGAGGGTCTGTCCGCCGAGAACGCGGTGCCTGGTCAGCCCAGCTTCCAGTTCACCAACGTCGAGTAGATAGTCATGGCTTGATGTCACTTTGAAAAGTACAAATTCAGCTTTACTGGGTTCAGGATTCACGCTTGATGAATTGATGCTAAAATACTAAAAAAAAAAAGAATACAGCATCTAACGTTTTATAATTTCCCATGTCTTAGTTAAAACTATAGCTTTGGAAAGAAGCCCAACATAGCCAACATTCTAGGTTTCTAAAGTTGTAGCTTATCGATCATGCAGACTTCAAAGCACCAATCAACCTATTCAAATCAACCAGGGTCAGTCATGCACATGAAATTGTCCTTAAACTCACCTCCTCAGTCCTTCCTTCAATGTCCCTTCGTCTTGTGAAAAGACCAATCGAAACCAACCCACGTCCTTCGAGTGCTCCTCGCCGGGATGCAAGAATACACCAGCATCTAGAATCCTCTGCGCCAGACCGAACTCCCGCTGTTTAGGAGCAATATCTTCACCCTCAAGATACGGTGACAGATCAATGTACACAAAAAATCCGGCATTCCTAAAGAAATCAGTCTGTCTTCGCCAGTATCATACCCTTGATACTCACCCCCCTCTGATGAATTTTATTCCTTCTCTTTCCAAGATGGATGTTGTGAGCAGGTATCCTGATGCAAGACTCTGTCGCGACCTGGCTATGAAGCTCGAAACGAAGGCTCGATCTTCCAAAACGGCAGTACCAATCGTTACGGCTGCTTGGGATGCACCATGGAGTCTCCTGATAGGTGTCAGTCTGCGATGTATCTCATCTCTGACCCGGCAATGGTGTGGTCCGAGGTAATTCTTACAGAACCGCTTTACAAGCACGTCGGAGTTGTTGGTTTTGCGTTACTAGGAACCCGAGATGGAGACCCCCCGAAGCAAAGTCCTGCAGAAAGCATGTCAAGTCAGGTCCTGGTGGTTTTGTTTCTGTCACATACCTTGCTGAACCCATACAATACATGAACCAAGTTGGGATCTATCAAGTTTGACAGATCAAGGGAGAGGATCGAAGTGAATGGCACAGCTTCGGGATCAGTTGTTTCAAAGACACAGGAAGCATACACCTCATCACTGATTAGGTGAAGCGCGTGCCTGCTACAAAATTTGGCGATTGCCTTGAGCGTCTCAATCGGATAACACCGACCTGTTCGTTCCAAGGTTAATGTCATCCAATCTAGCAACTTCACGGGTGTTCCGAAGTCCGTTACTCACCAACAGGATTATGCGGATTAACAAGTAAGACCGCGCGGATTCTCATGCCCCTTTCCTTTGCCGCTGCCAAAGCAAGCTCATACTTTCCCACTGAGGCAGGGAGAAAGGCTTCCTCCACATTGGTGTTAGCATAGACCATCTTGATACCCGCCTCGACGCCGTAATCAAGTTCAAAGCGCCCATAAACAGGTCTATTGACAAGAATCCCATCGCCATGCTCTGCCAAACTGTATCCAAGCATGTTTCCAAGGGAAGTAGGAGAGTCTGCGACAACTATTTGCTCCGAGTCAATGGGAATACGCGGCGCAAGAATATCGTTCAAATGAAATGCCGCAGCAGCAGGTAGTCTTGCTGTTGTTGGTGCGCTTGAGCGGTAGCTAATAGAGTCCTGTGTGAAAGTGACCTGCGGTTGCGAGGTTATTCTAAAGTTAGACAGACTTCTAAAGTTGCATTGCAATTGCGAATGGCAAACTAAAGTTCATGCGCACCTGTTGGTTTATATATCTGGCCATCTCCGCTTTCATAGGTTTCTCGTCAAGTCAGCACTTCTAGTTGAGCAGGTCAATTGGGAAAACACAGAAAAAAGTATTCACATTCTCAGCCATTCCGAATGATATCAGCCCCATTGGATTTGTTTCTGGGTCGTACGTTTGGGTGGGAGCAAACCGCCATGGCACATCTAGCTCGTTGACGTTCTTGAGTCCTCGAGCAGACAACATGGTGGATATGTGTAGGAGTTGAGTCAATCCCAAGACTGTCGGGAGTAGTGTGGCTAGATTTGAGCAAATATGTAGCTGAACTAGAGAAGACTACAAAATTGTGAAAGAAGTCGAAATAGACTATGGAGCACCTGAGCAAGTATACTCCACTTGTGGGGACCCGGGGAGTGGAGTAGTAAACAGCACGTGATCTCGTTTGTATATGCCCTGGAGACCAACAAGTACTTAAGTATCATCAGGCCAAAAGACTGATGATCATATTTCAATAATTACATATCGCCAGGACTTTCTCGTGCTTTCTGTTTTCGATGAACGCCATGAGAAGAGGAACGCCGAGCTATGCTGAGCCTAATATACATATTTAAGAGTAGTCTAAATTACATCGAGTATCTCGGACGCATACGCACCCGTTTGCGCTTGTCGAGCTTCTCTTTATGAGCGATGAAAGTCCAGCATTCAATCGGGCGTCGCGAGCCGACATGTTGACCCTTGGGACTGAAGACCTCTACCTGCGGATAGGAGGGCTCTTCTTCGCCCCGCTTGTTGCGGACCTGAATACTGAGCTCGATCCATCCGCAGCCTTCGACGAGGATATCCGCCGACATGACTTTGTATGGCATCTGAGGCACGGGAATGCCCTTATCCCTAATTGCCTTGGCGAGGGATGTGGGCAGGTTCGACGTGGTGGTATCCCATCTTAAGTCGAACTTGCCCGCCGAGGACATCTCCTTTCCAACGCCCTCCTTCATGATAACAGTGCCCCGGTAAGGCTGCTCCTCAGCCTGTATCTCGATTGCCTTTTGCGTGTTGGTAATGTGACTCTCGAGAGGCAGGAAGCTAGCTGACATGAGCGTATCTTGAGGGTTCAAGGGGGTGATCCGGATGAGACCACCGCCGAGCAAAAGTGACTGTCCCGGCTTGACAGTGCTACGCTCCGGCTTGACTCGTTTTATCATGATCAAATCACGCTTGTGCTCGTCCTTGACAAAGTCCTCGAGCAGACCACGCTCCAGACCAGGCAAATCAATGACCTCGCCCTTGCCGCGACCAAAGGGAATTCGGATGGGAGAGACCGTGGTACCTGGCAAAGAGGACACAACTGGTAGCACAGGGTAGAGCTCTTCGGGTGGGGCAGGGGGTAGCAAGCTATCCGGATCAGGTGTGAGGTTCTGTGGGGGACGTTCCTCTCTTTCACGACGTTCTATCCACTCCTCAATTTTGGCCAGATTTTTGGAATCCTTCGGGAAGCAGGCTTCAATGAAGCTGCTCTTTCCAACATTTGCTTTGCCAACAACCCAGATACCCCCGCCATGCTCACGAATTTCTTCTTTGACTTCTTTCGTCCACCAGCCACGGTGTGCACTGATCATGTGAACATTGCCCAAGCGGGCTTCCCTCCCCGACCTTCCAAGGGCCGCTCGCAGCTCCGTGCGAATGTACTCCATCTTGGAGTCCACCTGCTCCTTGGTTGCCGCCAAAAGGTCAGACCGTGTGATGATGAATGAAAGCGTTGGAAGTTTCCTTCCTCGTGAATACTTCTCATTTGTGGCCCGGCGGTTTCGGGAACGTTGTTCCTGGAGCATTAAAGCCCAATGAATTCGCGGAACGAGAGACATTGGAAAATCAGCTGCATCAATGATATGATAGACACGGTTCTCCCTGAAGGGTGATTCTTCGAGGTAGTTCCGTATCGATAAGATTGTTGGCTTGGGGGAGGCCACAGCTTTATTGTGGTGGATCAAGTCATGACAGCGGTCACAGACATGGGACATCTGATCTGGCGGTCCACGGAAGTTGACTTCAGGCTCGACAGCTTTGTCCGGGAAAGCTCCTTCGATGGCAGGCTTCGGTGGGGTGATGTCGGAGACATGGCTCTGCGATAGGTCTGAAGCACCCTCCTCCGCATTTTCATTGACAAAGGGCTCGTAGTGGGTTGTTTCTTTGGGTTGGATTCTTTCTTTGCTGGCGGCGAGCAGTTTCCGGGTTTGCTTTCGTGAAGGGCTATAGTATCCTGGTTCGTTTTCTTCAACTATCTGGGAGAATGCTCCACATCCTGGGCAACAAACTGGTAAGGCGCTAGTCAATGGATCGACCGAGGCCTCTTCACGCCGCGAAGGGGTTGTTGAGAAGTTGCGGTATTCGCTGCGATATTGGTTACGGTCGCCTGGGACAACATTGCTTTGTAGCGTGAGGCGCGAGCGAAAGAGAAATGGTAGTGGTGGGGATCGCGTCACATTTTTGGAAGCCAGGCGCAACAAATTCGGCCTTGGGTTTCTGAATAGTGCACCTCGAGAACAAAGTGACATGACGGGCATACAACGGAACAGGTTTGCGGAGTTTCGGAGCTTTTTTTGCTGGAGATATGCTTATCGATAGCGCCCATGGCGGGATCGGGCTACCGTATTTCTTACTACGAAGGATTTTTACATGTACGCTCTGGAGCTGGAGACTTTGGGTAAATGATGAATGGCAAAATGATTATGAGAGTTCATTTTGGGCATAGATGAATTAAAGATATTGACAGAGAAGCATTGGAAACCAAAGAGTAAGGAAACGCCAAAACATCATGAAGAGAACGCCGTCGTAAACCGTGACTGATAGGACTTTTGTGCATGCTCAAGCACGAGCCTTTCCTTTGCCCTTGGTAGATTCCTCATCTTGCTCATCTTCAGAGTCACTCATGAATTCATCGTCATCGTCAAATCCAATGAATTTCCGAGGAGCTGCCTTTTGGGGCTTGGAAGATCCAGCAGCGCTCGATTCACCATTTTCTTCACTCTCCTCATCCTCGCTCGACATCACATCGTCACTTCCATCGTCACTGGCGCTAGTGCTAGAACCACCCAAAATAGCATCACGTAAATTGTCAGTCCAAGCACCGTCCTTCATGGCCTGTAAGACCGCCTCACGTGCCTTCTCATTCATTTCTTCTTTATCTTCCATCCACTGACCATCCACCTTGCCCTTTCCGTTGCCATTTTTGATTTCATCTTGGCGTTTCTCCGCGACCTCAACCACAGCTTGCCAACGGCGCTGGCGCTCTTCTTTCTCTTTCTTGTCCATTTCAGGCTTAACGGCGAGATATTCGGCGAGCGCTTTCGCTTCGTTCACGGTACGTAAACGACGCCCGTCGAGATTGCGGCTGGAACTGTTGTTATCGCCCTGGTTGCGCTTGCGCTTGCTGGACATGCGGCCACCCGCTGCACGTAGTTGAGATCCAAAACCACCTTTACCACCACACATAGGGGCGCTCAGGCGAAGCGGAAGGAGGGTAGAGGTAGAGTCGCCATCGGAGGAAAGGAAACGCCCAATACATTGCGCGGATGGGTTGAGTTGCTTGTTGTTTGTGGTGGTTAAGACGAGAGAATCGAGTGAAATTGCTGCTGGGAGGTAAGAAGCAACTTTCTCTGTGAGATCTGAGATGCTTGCTGTAGAAGGCAAGGCGAATGAAAGTGTCGGAGGTAGTGACAGTCCTGGGAAGGACGCCAGAAGGATATTCACATTTTGGGAGGCCATGGTTTAGACTGTTTGAGAGAATAAGATGTGGCCTGGCGATAGTTTTTGCGTTATGAGGGCTTTGTTGGGGAAAAGACTGCGATCCGGACGACTTGAAGTCGGCAGGCGGAGGCCGAATAATGCACGACAGAGTCACGTGCCTAGGTTAATCTGAGCAGAATCACGTGCAGATCAGCTTATCCAGCATGTGACTTGATCGAGTCATGTGACCTTTTTGTCACGCTCTCTCACGTGATCTGTACCACAGTTTGACATTAGGGCCACAACCCTATGGTCAAAGGTGCGCACTTTCCTCGCAGCGTCGGCTCCACTTTCAATCCATCATTTAAATCTACCAAAATTTCGGGCGTTGTCAAAGCGATTCCCCGAATTGCAACAGGAACTCGCGACAATGTACGTTGACCCCCCTACAATCATCAAAATCGATTGATTGACTAACCATGACGCAGGCTTATCCCCAAGGACGACCGCAAGAAGATCCACGAGTACCTCTTCCGTGGTATGTACTGAGAACCCTTGTCGGCGCTACACGGCTGCAGGCCGTTGCGCTTGCTCTACGCTCGACAGATAACTAATAACCATTCAGAGGGTGTGCTCGTGGCCAAGAAGGACTTCAACCTTCCCAAGCACGCTGACATTGACACCAAGAACCTCTATGTCATCAAGGCCCTCCAGTCCCTGGACTCCCGCGGCTTTGTCAAGACCCAGTTCTCGTGGCAGTACTACTACTACACCCTCACCCCCGAGGTACGATTCTCACTACACGCGTCACTTTGAACACAGCGCTAACCTACTATCAGGGTCTTGACTACCTCCGTGAGTGGCTCCACCTCCCCGCTGAGGTTGTCCCCGCCACCCACATCAAGCAGCAGCGTTCCCACGCTCCCCCCCGCGGCATGATGGGCGGTGAGGAGCAGCGCGGTGAGCGTCGCGGTCCCCGTGCTCCCCGTGAGGGCGGTTACCGTCGCCGCGAGGAGGGTGGCAAGGAGGGCGGTGCCCCCGGCGAGTTCGCTCCCTCTTTCCGTGGTGGCTTCGGCCGTGGCCGCGGTGCCGCTCCCCAGCAGTAAATGCTGAGAGGCAATGGTGTCCTGTCAACCTCTTCTCGGTCATCCTAGGCTCTTGATGTCTTGAGTTCTCGGTCTGGACTAGGATTCGAAACGGGCTGTTTCTCATGGCATCTAGATCCCGCCCAGCTTACTGGGACTTGGGGATACAGGAAACATAAAAAAAATAAAGAAATCTTCGTTTCCATTCTCTCGTGGCAGTTTTACGACAGTGAAATTGCCCTCGTCGTAATGTTATATACGTAGACCTTCCATTTCTCTTACTATTATACTTAAGCACCAGGCTTTGAAGACCTCTCCTGGCTCATGCGAATCTCCTCCGGTCATACCGAACCACAGCCTGCAAAATGACGGATACACCAGTGGCACAATCCTCCGCAGTCGAGAACTCCTCCGGGTGATGACTGAGACCGTCCTTGCATGGTATAAAGATCATGCTCGTTGGCACACGCTTCGAGGTGAACACACTGTCATGTCCGGCACCACTCATTATCGGCCTGACGAGTGATTTCGTATCTGCAACAGGCGCATCCGAGACCACTGCATCTGCCGACTCCTGGACGCAATCAATGCAGTCTTGATGGAACTTGACGGCAGGTGAATCGAAGTCAAGAGTCCACTCCACTCGGCAAGGTTTCCCTATACCCGCACCCTCGGCGGCAGCAATATCATCGAAGTCAGCGCGCAACTCTTGCTCAACCCTGGCAACCAATTCTGTCTCTGGGCCACGAATATCCAAGCTGAAGCTCACTAGGCCCGGGACAGTATTGACACTACCGGGCTTGGCTTCGACAATACCCACACTCGCCAGACACCCCTTCGCAGCAGCGACTTTGCGTGCTCGCACCATCATTCGTGCAAATGCGTACAGGGCGTCTGCTCGGTGCTCGAAAGCGGTCGTCCCAGTGTGGGTATCTCGTCCTATGATGTTCAGTCTGAACCATCTGTAGGCCTGCACAGCTGTCACTACGCCGACGCGCTGGCCTGCCGTCACCAAGTGTGGGCCCTGTTCGATGTGGAGCTCGAAGTGAGCTGCCATTGGTGACGATTTGTATGAGCACGGGGTTTCTCCCAGATAGTTGATCTTCTGCAGAGCACTCTTCATGGTCTCGGGGGCTGATGCTGCTGTTGGCAGCGAGGCAACAGTTGGCACCTCTTTGAGGCCATGCGCATGCTCTAATGATATGCATTCCGCCCACACGCCACTGGATATCATGCTGACTGGGAATCTAGCACCCTCCTCACTATTAATAGTCAGTATCAATATCCTGCAGGTCAATGACTTTGGACTCACTTTGTCCAATTAACAACTCCGACTCCCCCTTCTGTCTCCAGACCCATGTCTCTCATCGTCTTTAGAACTTCAATACCCGCGAGAACACCTAAAATTCCATCATATCGCCCGCCGGTTGGCTGGGTATCTAGGTGACTCCCGATGAAGGTGGCAGGCACATCTGCTCGGCGACCAGGACGAACAGCAAAGATATTCCCCATCTGGTCCACTGTCACATTGCAGTTCAATTCTTTGGTAGTCTGAATGAACCAATCCCGAACACTCTTATCATCTTCCGACAATGCAAGGCGCTGCATTCCCGTATCTGTTGGATTACTTTTCAATATCAAACCTATGGTCAGCTAGGATTTTTGGGAGATACAGCTGTCACTTACTTTCCCCATCTGATTCCATATCCCCATTGGCACGAATGATGAAGATCTTGTGCCAGGCGTTCTTTGTTTGCTCTCAGAGACGAGACCTCAACGTCGGAAAGCTCCGATGTCAACATGTTTTGTATCTTTGTTGTGGAGAAGGTTCGGGATGGTTTCACTGGCCGATATAATCTCAAGGCTTTTGAAATAAACAGCAGCATCGCACGAGGATGGCACCTGGGCATTTTAAAGTGACCGTTGGAGAGGGTTGGAGTACTGATAAGAAGCGTCGGACAAAACTCCGCACTACCCCGAAGATACTACTTCCCCGCAAAGACGTCGGCAAACTACTTTGGGGTCATGATATTCGGTATTTGATCATGATTCTATTGGGATCATCTAGCTTAGTCGAGTCATGAGTTGAGAAAGACATAACAAGAGACGTGTTTGGTTAACTTATCATCAAGCTTGCATGGTTGGGTTTGCAACGGACTTCAACACTCATACACTCGATCAGTCACATTTTTCAAAATATGGCAGTGATATGTCTGACTACTTAATTGGCTTTTTGCCGAACAATTTGGCAATTTCCTCGCTGCTCATTTGATCTTGTGCTACTTGGCTAGTCTTCTTGTTGATCCCGAGGTCAGTTGGCTAAAGTGCTCTTCAACGGCCTAAATATCTTCTGCTATACTCCGTACCTTGAGATGACATATTATGCAGGTATTTCCTGAGTCTTAAGGCTTTGAACTAACCATGCGGGCAATATACTGTGATTCCTGGAGTGTAAGAACGCAGGGTTCAGTTTATAATCAATCTGAGAGGACCGCTCCGACAGAAGCAGTCTTTCTAACATGAGGTCAGAGCACCATAAAGAATATCCGCAAGTATTCAAGTCCCAAAATTGCGAGGTCCGTCCCAGGGGTGACGGTCATTACGACATGTTCATGCTTGTGCCACTGAGATTTCACGAAAGGTAGGATCTCGTTGTACTTTATACTCTCACGCACCGTTCTATGCCCTCGAGCACCGCCGACACCTTTCTGTCGCCGTCCACGAAACTTTAGAACTACGTAAAGTGAGGACACTACCAGGTCTCTCAATGTTCAACTCCATTCGCTTAATCGCGGATTTCTTGATACGGTCGATCGGTATACATTGGGCCCGTGACAGTAACTTTCACAAAGTCACCTCCATCGTCGAGGATCTTGAATAACACTGCCGATTGAGAATTGCCTTGTGGTTTTAGAACCAGGCATGTTTGTGAGCTTCCAATATGTTCTTTACGAAAGGCAATATCGCGATGTGGGGATCTGAGAGCTTTCCGATTGTAAATGTGAGGTGAACGTTCTGCTGGGATTGAATGCTCCAAAGCCGAATATCTTATATCCACTTCCAAAGTTATAGAAGGCTTCAATTTTCCCGACACGGGACATGTCTTGAAGTTTTGTTGTGTTATGAAGAATTAGGATTAGATAAATCAAATCAGACAGTCAAGTGGGATTTTCAAGATATCTCTTCCGGGCAGGCCGTATTCTTGAGCATGGTCAACGCTTGCTGAATATGTCAAAAGACATCATCGAGAAGATCGGGGTGGTGGGTCAATTTAACATGGGCAAATAGACCAGGGTATCCCTGGATCTATAGATGATATCCAACGGAATAAAGTATGAGACCATAATGTCTATTTGGAATAAATACTCCGTGCAGATTATGAGAACCAGCCTTCAAGGTCAGCAACTGGAGACACAACCCGGGCCAAGGTGAAACATATCACGTTGGATGGTCTAGGCCACACCAGCAGTGAGTCAAGGCCGCTAATGGGCTTATGTTAAAGCCCCCAAAAATATTAGTGTGACTAGAGACGGAGACTAATATGAATTTGATCTGAGTGATGTTTCGGTAGCCCTGGAGACGTTTGCGGCTGCAAGACTGGTCCTGGTGCCCCGCAAAACATTGTAAGTCTGACTACAAACGACACGAAATAAACCTAGACATGTCTTTGCACTGTTTTGGGCTGTTGAATAATAACACATCAACAACTTCATCGTACTCTGTAATTTGTAGATCATTGAATATCAGATAACTCCGCGATATAATCAACTGGTTGTGGAGATAAACGAAGTTGTAACTGTAGATGTCTCGTGTCTCAAACGGCGCGCCTCCTGCCCAGGTGGTTTTGACCAGCGTTTGTTTCCTTTATGTGCGAGTACTCTCATAACTCACGAGCACCAGACTTAAAGGGTTGGGTGTAAGTGTACTACTTCGATACGCGGCTCATTTAGGGCACGGGGGTCCACACGATCGACATGCACTCGAGAGCCAGGATCTAGCCGGGGTCTGGATAGACTACATTGGAACTTCATGACACCGGTGTATCAGTGTTTGAGATGATGTTCTAAAACAATAAACCCAACAAAACAGCAAACTAACAAAACAACAAAAAAAACAGATAAAAAGGCCCCCTGAAAACGGTGTCTGGGTCCCGATCACGTGCATTTGCCTCAACCCATAACCACTGGTCCAACGTCAATTTTTTTTTCTCCGAGGGGCAAATGATCAACTTGCATATAAAGACTCTTTCGACATATTCCCTGTGCTCCCAATAAACATCCAAGTCGGTGTCGCTGACACGGCCTCCGCTCATTCGATCTCATCTCAAATCGCAAGTCCAACCGCCAACCGCCAACATCGAACATGTTCGAAGACTTCTCCTTCACCTCGCCATCGTCGCGCCCAGCACGTCTAGCCCTAGAAGATGATCGCCTGATGGTCGATACAGACAGTCTTATTTCACCACTGTCTTCCCGCTGTCCCTCGCCACAATCCCGACTTCGGAACCGCCGCAACTTCCGCTCCCAACCACCAACTTCCGTCCCATTCCCTTACGAAGACCATAAAGACCATAAGCGCCTCTCCATCTCAACCCTGACTCAAAAACTCCACGAACATACTCTCGCTCCTGGCGATCACGATCGCATTTCCCCAGGCTCCCCAACAAACTACACCGGCTACGTCCTTACGCCACCGGACACAGACCACGACGATGAATCCCTCTCTCCCTCCAGCCCGACATTCCCTATATCAGAGTCCAGTGACGATATTCGCTCACGAAGGCAGCATATCTCCCGACTGCAGTGCAATGAGTCTGAAATCGAAGCTATGCGAAGTCTGATTGAAGAGCCTGTGGAGGAAGAAGATTGTCATCCGAGTTCTTTACCACCACGACATTCACCGCGTAGGCGAGCCATGACGCTTTCAAGGAGTCGGTTCGGGCCAGAGGAGAGAAGGAGGAAGAGTTCGGCTGGGGTTTTGGCGAGTCGGGTGGAGAAGGACAGACATGGCCATGGTCATGGCCATGGGCCTGGGAAGAGGATGGATGGGTTGAGGCGGAAGAGCCTTGTGAGTGCGGCTTTGGCTTCAATGGTTGAAAAGGAGTAGCCATGAAAATTCCCTGATGGGAGTCTGAAGGTGGCGATGTAGATGAGAAGAATGATTGTATATATTATACTGATACCCAATGGAAATATCCTACTTCTACCCTGTCTTCCGTGGCATATAAGTATTAAACCCTCACATTGGACACAGAGCGCTGTTCACCTGCATACTTAAGTACAAATGGTATTCCAAGGATGTCTTTTGGAGATTTAAGTAAGTATGACTCGAGGAGTGCGGGGCAAAAGGAAGACATCGCCGAGCCCCCAAGGTTGTACGAATAACAGGAGGCGTAATGCCCAGGCACTCCAGGGCTGACTGCCGTTTGCCATCTCGGTCCCTTTGAAATCAGACTGGCTATTTGATATGGAAATAACCGGGAGCCTGAGGAATCAGGCACAATAACATGCGAAAGCAGGGCGCTGTTGCCTGTGCCATCATCTACAGGAATATTCTGCAGGCTTTCTCAGTGCAATCACTTATGTTCCTTGATCAGATGGCCACGATGGAATACCCCAAACTTTACGTTGTCTTCGAAAGCCCTCGCTACGGGAACTATTACCACTGGGCTCTGCAAATCGAGAACGGGGAAGAATCAATTATTTTCGAAGTCGAGGGAGAACATCCACAATTCGTACGAAAAGTTCTTGAAACCAAGGCCGAGGAGTCTGGTAGTTTCCTGGGAAAGGAATACGTCGGGGTCATCAGCAAACCCGACATCCAGAGAGTGAAAGACGTCGCGTCATCTATTCATGTGGACAATGAGACCGTGGAATGGGACTGCCAGGACTACGTGCTTGAGATTCTTGACAAGCTGGAGGAGGATTATATCCTGGATGAGAATGATGAGGATTACCGTGATGCTCGAGCTATTTTGAAGGACAAGAGAGGCTCAATGGCCTGAGAGTCTTATTGTTTATGGCGGATCGAAACCCACTGCCTTTGTCTTGGTATCATCTGTTGAATTCTACGTCGGTTGCTCCGTGTGATACCAGGTACGGAGGGAGACCGAGTTGATAGTGGAGACTTGATTATACCTTGCGTTGCACCACACAAGCAAGGGCAGCTAAGACATGCAGGATTACGGGTGGAAAAGTCAGTTTCAAATTTCGACAAGGGTCATTTTGGTGCTCAAGTGTCAGTTCGACAAGTCTTCATATTTGAATTGTAGAATAAATGTGAGTAGGGTCACAGACCGATCAAGTTATAAGAGATAGAAATAACAAGGAAGAAGAAGAGAAGAAGAGAAGAAGAGAAGAAGAGAAGAAGAGAAGAAGAGAAGAAGAGAAGAAGTGAAGAAGTGAAGAAGTGAAGAAGAAAAGAAGAAAAGAAAGAAGAAAGAAGAAAGTCCAGTCCAATCCAGCCAGCTAGCCTGTTCATGCAAGCACAAATCGCCATATTCGCCATGTTCGCCATGCTCAAAAACAGCCACAATCATTTGAATCTGGTTCCCAGAACCAGGTAGGATTCGCAGAATCCAAGCCAAAAAGGCAAAAAATATTATCTTTAGTTCGACCCAGATCTCCAACTGAAGAGCTTTTTCAGTCCTTTCCGACCCGGCTTACGTTCATCGCTCTTCCGTCTGTGGAACTCGCGGGTACCGTCCAGCTGCCGGTTTCCTCTCAGACCCATGTTCTCTGCATTCGCAGCGGCTAGTACAGATTGCACGTGCGGGTCGAAGTAGATTGGGTCGTAGGGGTCGTATTTCAAGTCGAAAGGCAAGATCGGTGAGGTGGGGGAGTGGAGAGGCGTGTCGAGAGATTCATGAGGTGAGGGTTCAGACTCTCGGTCTTGATCTTGTTGGTATTGGGGTTGGTCGAACTCGTCGAGTTCGTAGAAGATGCCCCTATCGCGCTCGTCTACCTGGGCCCATTCGCCATTGGCGTAGACCGGGGACCCGGGTTCGCCGATTTCACTTTCGGAGTAGAAGTCCTGGGTGGAGGGCGTAGATGGGCGACGAGAGTGAGTGTTGGTGTGGGACAGGGCAGGTGGGTTGGACTCTTCTCTGATAGAGGTCATGGGTGTCGGTAGGTCATCGTAGCGGTCGTGTTCACTGTCGTTTTGTACAGGGCGGCTCCAGTAATTGTAGCCTTCGTTGAGAGAGTAGTCTGATAAAGAGCGGACGCGACCATGGACCCCAGCAGGCGACAAGGGGGGATCCTGTTCCTTGGGAGTTGATGGGTCTAGCGATGTGTAAAGAGAGTTTGTGGAGTAGAATGATGACAGTGAGGCATCTGTGTAGTGGGATATAGACACCTGGTCCAGTCCTTGGTCGATGGGGAAACCCGACTCTTGGTCGGAAAGTATGGAGCAACTGTCAACATCTTCAATGTATGACACGATGCGAGCGAGATCCAGCGACTTGCGCGGATTCAAGATTTCAAAGCAAGCGCCACCGTGTGAGACGGTGGCAACGGCCTGTGTGCTGGCCAGCATTGAGTTCGACTCGGCCTTGCGAGCGTCGGCTTCAGCTTGAGCCTTTTTCTGTTGAAACTTCTCCCGGAAGGTGTTCTGAGCATGGTTAGAGGGGTGTTTCTCGAATGTTTCAGGGGACTCACCAATCGCTTCCTGTTTGGCCTGGCTCGAATCCCGTTGTCCGAGACAAGAGTGATTCGTGGGCTGGGAGACTGATAATGAACTATTGAAAGGTTAATCAAAGTTCCCGATTTGAAGTCAATTGGATTTTGAAAGCTTACCAGGCTGGGCTTCTCCGATCTCAGGCTCTTCACTCCGCTGGGAGATGATGCTGTGGGAATACGAGGGAGACAGCGGCGGGGTTGAGACCGAAGAGACAGAGGCAGGATAAGAGACCTCGAGGGCGGGTGGGCAGTTCAAATGTAAGGCCGCTGTCTTTCGTTTCAATTTCCTGTCTGCATGATCGACGGGATCATCGATGCGGTCTGCAGACTTGGAGAGGAATTTGCGGTAATCGTGGAGGGAGAGGGCCCCCGTGATACCATATTTGATGGATCGAGGGGGGAGGGACATAGCGTCGGCCGGAAGGGGTTTAGAGAGAGGAGAACATGCATGATCATGGAGCTCCAAACACTTGTGGCAGAGGGGGCTGTCCAGCAGCTCGCCCTGCCACACCCCATCGGTGGCCGAATAGGTGAGGTTATTCATGGTAATTGCGGCTGCCAGCACCATTGCGAATATCCCAGATATCGCTTTACGGAACAGACTCTGTCGTGAAAGGATTGAAGTCCTGCCCCAGTAGTTTTGTTTTTTTTTCCTTAAGAGAGTGCCCACTTTTTAGATTGTCGACATATCCGATGCAGGCGTAGATCGAATCCACTTCTCCACACTGAATCTGATTCGTCCGAATTGGCAATCGGATGCAAGGGAGAGAAAGGTAGGTTCGAACAGTCTAAGAAAGTATAGATCACACCAAACTGCAAGGTACGGAGTACAGAATGGGGGGACTCCTTTTCATTTTAAAAACCAGCAAAAGCCGAAAGGAAAACAGGATGGACGGAAGTGCCTGGCGATATCCACTTTGAAACCCACGTTATCCACCCGAGGACAATGAGGGTCTAGAGCCGAAGCAGACCGGAGATACCAGAGTCTAGAAAAGCAGAACAGAACAATAGAGAAGCAGAGCGAGAGAGAGACCAGGCTATGCAGACTGGGGAAGACCCATGGTTCGTGAGGCACTCGTCAACGTCATGGCAGAAAAAAATCTCGAAAAGTCGGTGAGCGATGTATACGAGTAGTGATCTATAGAGTAAAATGGAGTAGAATGTAGAAATGGGCTGTTTTATGTATATTTAGCATAATCTCATTGTCAATGTATCACTTGCAGCTCGATCTTAGTCTGTACTACTACTATACTATGGAGAAACTAGTACAGAGTACAAAAGTAGCCTCTTAGTCTAACTGTGCGCTAACACCCTTAGACTCAGTAGCCCCCTCTCACCCACCAATCACCCCCCACAACAACCACTTTGGCACGAACGCCTCTGAACCCGGCCAGACCAGTCGGCGTCCAGAAGTCTGGCCTGAGGTCGCTGAGCTGGCCACTTCAGTTAATGGGTAGCGCACTTCCGTCCCTCATTGGTTTACCCTGTGTGGCAATTGGGAGTGAAGAGTTTTTTTTCTTTTTCTTTTTCTTTTTTCCTTTTTTCCTTTTTTCCCTCTTGTACCGGTTGACGCGTGTGCCAGAACTGCAATTCTAGCCATGGAGGGTCCAAAGGTTCCCAAAGGCCAGATTAAGGATGACCGGATCACTGGATGACTTGGTCATTCCGCCCAAATGCAAGGCACCGTCGGGCTGACCCTGCCCTCCTACTTCTTAGGGCTATTCTCGTGCCTATCAGTAGTCTGTTCCGGGGGTCGAGGGTGTTTCTCAAGGTTTTCCCCTCTGGTACCTGGAACTCCATGATTCATGAGGGGGAGTTTCGTCGGGGGTTTTCGTTTTGAGTTACGGGCCTGTTCGGACTTGACCTTATGCTTGCTTCAAATCTTGTTCGTCGGGCAAGATACCGAGTGCGATGTACTCGTACAATGTACAATGTGCGCATTTTGCGTTGATCGGCGTGCCAACTCACCCTGGGCTGCGTACTCATTTGTGTCATCTGCGCGTTTCACATGCATGATTGCCCAATTCAACGGTTTGAGGCCTGATGCTGATTCCAGGGCTGGTCTGGTAATGCCCAGTCTGGGCATGAAGTCTGAAGTGTACGTGGTACCGGATCCGGCAGCCCGGGAATCTCGGTCGCCTATACTTTCTCGTTTCCCCTTTGGGCTCGGATCCGAAGCAGCCTCATAGACCAATAGCCCGCAATGTATTTAGATATCCAGATAGATCAATTGTACGGAGTAGAATTTCTTTATTAACAACCCGAGAACTCCATGCAGACTGGGCAAGTAGACGACATTGCGGAGTATGAAAGCAAAACAAGGCAATTTAAGAATATGCAGGCATGCATCATGTGGTATCGAAAGCAGCAAGAAACACAAAATAAACCAGAACGTGAAAAAACAAAAAAACAAAGCAAAAATGTATAGTATGTACTGTGCGCGCAAGGGGTAAACCAAGAGTAACCCCGGCCTCGTGCTAATACCGCTTATACTTCTGAACGAACAGTCAGCCATATCCCGAGAGAAGGGCAGTAGGGGTAGATATCAAACACTTACATCTTCCATCTTGCGCCGATTGCTCGGATCGAGGGTATTTCCAGCCCCCAGCAAAGTCTGTCCAACGGCCTTGGAGACTCCGATAGCCGGCCGGAGAATGACGGTCGGCGCCCTCTTCCAGACAGCCTTAGCAGCAGCCTTGGCACTTCCACTCTCAACGACCTCGCCCGGTACCGCGACGATGGCATCGCGTGCCAACAGCAGGTCGCGCTCCAGACCACTGTACGCGCCTCGGAGGCCCTGGACCACGCCGACCGGTTGATCGGCATAGAGAGAGATCTTCTTCGCTTCCTCCTCATCCTCTTCTTGAGCCGGCGTGGTGAGTAGATCCTCTGCGCCCTGAAGGACGGTCTGTGTTCCGATTGCTAGTTTCGCCCCGAGCTTGACAAGCTCATTTGAGGTGGTTTTGGCAAATGCGACAGCACCTTTCTGAATGCTGCGTACGATCCGTCCGTCCTTCTGGTATTCACGCATCGGCACGACAATAAGATCGCGGACGCCTCCGCCGACGTTAACAAGGGAACGGATGGGCGCCAGGCCGGCCAGCACGCCGGGGAGTTGATTATTCTTGACATCTGGCATCCATATATCGTTCAATGTTTGGCCCATTCGGTCGAAGCCAGACACGCCATAGATGATCACATGTCGGAGGACCATGTCAGCCCCGTCGAGAACGAAGAAATTCATGAATTCGGTGGTCCGGCCGGAGCGGAGACCCGCGTAGTCGACTCGCTTAGGCTTGAAGTCTAGCTTGACCTGGATGGCGTTAATTTCCACCCGCTGTAGGAACGGGATATCGCCGGGGGTAGTAGACTGTTCGGCGGACTCGTCCCGGAATTCAAAGAATCGGCTCATGAAGTCCAGCGCATCTTGGTCCACATGTAAGCGGATGGGGAGCACGGTGGCCTGTATTCTGGTTAGATGTGTGAGTTTCCAACGCTTGATACAACGAACCTTCAGAACAATCTCAGACGCAGCCAGTTCAGGTACGGGCTTGACAGTCAGAATCTCGAGGTGGATCATGCTCGTTCCACTTTCCTTTTCCCCGGCCTCATGCATGTACGTGGCAAATTTCTTCCAGGTGGACGTCGGCACATGGTCGTATATCTCTAAATCCCGAACTCGAACATCCAAGGAGCTTTGCGTCTCTTCTGAGCCAGGCGGGAATAGAACCAAATCGGCACAGACGCCCTTCAACTCAAACGTCATCTTGTGTTGTTTGCTGCGATGCAGGCGCAGTTTCTTTTCCCTCTTGGAAGAAGGTCTATCTTGGCGACTGCCAGCTCCTGTAACCGTTGTAGATGTCGCATAACTTCCAGTCTCACTAGTCAAATCATCGATGTCGTTATTGATCTCACGGTGGAGTTCCCGCGGGTCTTTGTTGGCCGGAATTCCGATGTAGATGGAGTTGAAGAGGAAATCTCCGATCACTGACTCTTCTTCGTCATCGGCCGATGGCGATAACCTGGAACCCCTGGCGCGCCGCTCAGTGGCCTTGGTTTCCACATCCTTGACAGCCTTGGAAATTGTGTCGCGTGTCCGCTGCCAGTCATATCCATCAAAGAGATTCCAGATGAAATGCACGTCTCGCACTCGCATCCGCAAAGGACTCCGCTGAAGTTTCGTGTCGTTGGTAAGGCCGTAGGTATTCTGGGTAGAATCCCACCGGTGAGCAGTCCCACCCACGGCGGACTTCTTCGCAAAATGATCTTCTTGGAAATCCAGTTCAGTGAGGCTTGAAAAAACTTGGTATTCTGAATGGAAACTGTCCAGAAGATCACTGGGTCCACCAGCACCAAGACCAGAGCCATCCTGTCTCGGAGAAAAGTCGCTGACATATTCGAGTTCCTCGGTCAATTGATCCTCCAGAGACGGCTCTTCAGCGATGGTTGAGAGGTCGTCAGCAGAAAGAGCAGGATTGGCCGCGAAAGCATCTCCAGTGAATGAAGCAAACATATCCTGAAGGGGCATGACCTCAGTCCGGTATTTGACATTGACACTGGGCGGAGTCGGAGGTTGAAGCCCATTCATGATACTGATCAGTGTCTGTGTTGAGTCTGCACAGGTCTCAAGAATCAATAAATCGTCTCTGAGCTCCACATCAAGTGATTTTGTCCCATCCTCAGCAACATTGGTTAACTTGACACCAGCAGTTGCTGACGATATAGAGGACACGGGGACATAACCCTGGTCAATATAAACCTGGACCTGGCTGCTTTGATCGACAGTTGAAGCTCGTTGGTGGAGATTGTCAGAACCCTCGTGACGCACATCATCAATGACCATAAGTGACGCTTTTTTGATGTCTAGCGATGCTTCTGCAGACTCATCGTCATGCAAACTACCTGCAAATTTGGCATTTGTGAGGACTGCAAGGCCCTTCGCAGGAGAATTCCGGGGGTTGAGGCCAAGAACACAGTCTTTGTACACGACCGCCAGCTTGGCGGGTTTCGGGCTGGATGAATCAGACTTTCTTGGCGAACTTATCGACAATTCCGGGGGCACGGAATTTTCTGCAAGATTTGCAATGGAGCTAGCCATGTTGGAAGCCACGTCTGCGCTTGTCGTATTGACGCCTATTCCGAGGAAAGCTGCAACCGCCGGGACCGTGTATTCCACAAGAAGATTATGCAATTTGATCCTGTAAGTTGGATCCATTTCATCGGGTATGAACCTAGCCATGAACACTGGTGGATTTGACTCGTCTGGGTCTTGATATTTGTCCGAAGGCCTCAAAGCCTGCCCCACCATTTTTTCATCGCCATTCCGATGAACGGAAAGGTTTCCAATTTGAGCTGCCGTGAGTGAGGGCATGGTGATATGTGCAATTTCAACGCCGGTGAGGTTGGCATCAATATTCCCAACCTGGCCACCAACGTGAACATGTCCTTCGAGGTTGCGGACCAGCAGCAGTGTGAGAATACCAGGACGATCGTCTTCTGGTAGATACTTCGTGACATTGGAGAGACGACTTAGTTCCACGCCAAGAGACGAAAGTGGTTCCAATCCCTCGATGTCTGATATCAGGGTTTTCATGCCCGTAACAGTGACGCGAAGAACAGACCCTTGTCTCCGCTGTCGCAGCAGTGTATCCAGCATGATCTCATCCTCCTCTTCATACTTGTCTTGAGATGGGGTAATCAGCGTCAAAAGCCGATCAAGATCAACCTCTTTCGGAGCAAAAAGGAATTCAAGGCGAATATTGTCCAATGTGATTTTCGCAGGAGCATCTGCCGGATCGTTGTCCAGTAAAAATGGACCAACCAATTTAGCTTTGTCCACTTGAACACCAATACCTTCAAATCTGCTCACGACTTTGACAGCAGTTGTGGTGAGCTGGAGACAGTGGGTTTCTCCTATTACATCCAAAAGAATAGTGCCGATTCGGGCATTGACTTTCCACGGCGTTGACTTTTCGTTGGGCTGAGGGGCTGAACTGGGCGTTTCGAAGTGCACACCTCGGGGGCGCTTTTTCGGAGGAGACATAGCACCCTTGACGGTTGACACGGAGGATATTGAGCTCCCAAGCTCGAGGATGGTACTCAAGCCACCCATCCAGCCTAGAACCTCTTCTAGATGCTGGATGTTGAGGTTGACATGCAGAGGCAGTGTGGATATGTCAACCTTGGCTAAGTCTGCTGACTTGACCAAAGCAACAGAGATGTCGCCTTTGGAAGGATTTCCCACATCACGTGTAGATTCACGCATTTTGAATGTCTCATTGAACGAGATGAGATCTTCCGTTGCAAACCCAAAGGTGAACTTGGAAACATCGAGGTTCAGCTTTGTGGTTGAGCCCTGTACCGAAAGGTGAGCCCTCAATCCAGAGACTGTTAGGCGGAGAACCACATCCTCCATGTTGTATGGTGGCGACATAGGAGAGCCGCTGTGCTTGGAGGAATGAGCATGCCCGGGGACATGCTCGACGAACTTGATTGAAAACTCATGAACAACAAGATGGACAGGGGGCTGAGGCTTAGATTCATCAGTTTGCGGTTGCTTCTCTGGGGGGTCTTTTTCAGCTGTGCCAAAAGCATGCAAAACCCGTTGTCCAATCTTGGTCAAAAGCCAGCCAGTGGCAATATCAAAGTGCACTGAAGCCGCGAACACTTCCACAGCAATTTCAGGTAGTTGTGGAGTATTACTCGTCCGAGTTTGGGGTTCGGAGATCGCTCTGCCAAACCTAGTCGATGCATATGCCTTAGAGGCTACCAAACTCTCCTCGTACACAGAATCCCCAAAGTCAGCTGTAGATTCCTTGAGATCGATGTCGGGGGTTTCCTGTTCCGACATTGGATGTTGTGACGGGGCGTCATTTTCAGAAGCCGGGGGTGAGACCCAGAGCAGTACCTTCGCAATTGCTAACACAGGTTTTCTGATTTCATCAATTCCAAGAAGATCGGGGCAATTCGGGGTTGATGGTCGGTCCTTGAGCGAAGATTGAGATTGGGCCTGGTCGGCCAAACCCTGCTGCTCAATAGTGGGCTCGCCCAGTGATGCTGTGGTAGTTGTCATCGCTTCCCCTTGGGGCTGAGAGATCGTTTCCTCGATAGCGGGTACCTCACTTGGGGCATGGTCACCAAGGGAAGTTTTAGAATGGGAAGTACCGTCAAAAGTGTCCCATGCCCCTGGCATATTAGGCATGAAGGAGGCAGTTGGTTCCTGGCTGATAGCACTCATGTAAAGACTTTGTGCTTCATCGTGGGAGAAGTACTTGGATTCAATAAGATCAGAGTGTGCGAGTTCTTTCGAGTCCGGGCTATCAGGCTCCAACGGTGGAGCAGAGGAATGCGATGAGGCGCTGGTTTGCAACCTTCTACTATCTTCGTTCTCATCATGATTGCCATGGTACTGTGCATGCTGTGTAACCTGGTCGACTTCAGAGCTGATTTGAGATTGATGAGTTTCATAGTTGACGGAGCCATGGAGGCTCAGAGGAATCGAAGGTTCCTTGAAATATTCAACCTGGCTCTGGGCTAAAGTCTCCTGATCGGACAAGTCACGTCTTCTCCATTCACTTTGAGTTAGAGGAGGGTCTTGTGGCTGCATTACCGGCGATTGCTCATCAAAATCATCGAACTGAGTGTCAATGACAGAATCCAAGTACCCAGGGTTGTCTTGGAATGGATCATCTCCGAAGACCTGAGAGTCTTCCATATATCCACGGTGGGTATCAGCCTCTGAGTCCGCATCTGAAAACCGGCCATCATGGGAATAAGCGGATTTCTCCAAGCTACGTGCGGCTGTGCTGGAGTGGGTAGATCCTCGAAGTGGTTCTAAAATTGTAGATTGAGTCATAGCAAGAGGGTCTTGTTCATAGTGATCCGAGTAATCTGACCGGTCAGAGTGATTATACGGGCCAGAGAGAACAGAACGATTCAATGGGGAAGGTGATGCTGCCCTGCTTGATAATTGGCTTCCCCTTGATCGCATCGTCGTCGTGGGTGACGCAGGGGCAGCAAACCGAGAGTAGTTAGAGAACACTGTATGATCTGAAACCAAATCGATGTTGACATCGGTAATCGCGATGAGTCTTTTCCCTTCTCGGAGGGGCGGTTCCTCCCCGGGTCCAGCGGTGGTTCCAGACACCCCATGTACTTCGACTGCCCCAATACTCAACATGGCGGCGACCAAGTCGGGTTTGTGTTCTGGTTGTCGTTTTGATGGTCCATCCTGTTTCAATTCCATATCCACGCGCACAGCGACATTCTTAATTCGGAGTTGAAACCGATCGATAACACCCTTCAGAAATCCTGCCACGAAGCTAGGGAGGGACAGAGTGTCGCTTCCCAGGCCGAGCTCATTGTCTTCTTCGTTCCAAGCCAATGGATCGGCAGGCAGGACCCCGGATTGTGAGGATATTGCAGCTTGTAGCTCTTCCTTTTCTTCTTGTGGCTCCGATTCAAGGAACGACTCCGCCAGACCCGACGGTGTGGGAACTGCCGAGGATTCGGAATTCCCACCTTTCCCTTTTCCATGTCTTGACTTTTTGGGCTCATCTGGTAATAAGCGGGTATGGACGTCGATGCCGTACGCTTCGCAAACGATACTGCTGCTATGGAAATCGGCTGGGAGGGTGATTCGAAGAAGTTGTACACGGGCGCTCAGCAGCTCGCATGAAGCAGGGAGGCTCAGAAGGGTTGATAGTTTCTATTCCGCAATGTGAATATGTCAGCGCGCTCCGGTCCCTCGCCGCTGTTGATGGTCTCGAAACGCCCCGCCGGCGGACGATCACAACTCACATCTAACTTCAGGCCGATATCTTTCAGTTCCACCACACACCGTTGGCCCCAACTGATTCCTAGGTTATCCAAGTCCAAAGCATCTGTTTCGACGAGGCCCACGCGGGACAGAACGTATTTGAGCAGCCGCTTCTGGAAAAACGACGGCATGAAATAGGACGCCATTTCCGTGAGTGGGAGCTAAGCAGCTCCTATGCATAAATCATTGAAATGGGTTTGACAGATGACAGATGAGAAAGCAGCCAGCCCCGGCAAAGCGGAGTGGATGAGTCGTGAAGGGGGGGGGGGACGTTCAACAATGACGTTCCGGGCACCTGATAAAGGCGATAAGTGACCCGAGTCAGGCGCCGTTGACAACTCACCGTCTATTCCAATCACACCAGATGGACCATTTATTCTCTCATGGCCCGTTTGCGACACGACTTACGGAGTATACTGAGCCTACTGAATGGAGTTACCATGTATTTCATTCTGTCGAGATGATTATGTAGATTTCTTTTTATCCTCTAACCACCCAGAGCCTCAATCATCATCAACATCAAATTCAGCAAACTCCAGCACAATCCATTCGCAAAATTTCTCGAACTCTGAGCCGAATTCACGCAAGCGCTCGGATTTTAGCCCTTTGCCCATAACCCCATTTTGGATGCCGGCTTTCCACTCGGCGGGCGACTGATCTTCATAGCAGCTCCATCGGATGGAATTTTGAGCCATCATCGATAGTCCGACCAAATCCACATTTTCCAATCCTTGCAAGACTTGCCAGAAATCATGGGTCAATCCGTGTCTCCCATGACCGAGAATAGCGGGGTCATCGTTGCACAATGAGACCGGGACACCTCTGGCCAACAACGCAGGCAGAGGATGAGCTTTGATGGAGCTGGTAAGGCGGAGAACCTCGTTAGAGATGGGACAGCATTCAATGAGAATCTTCTTCTCTTTGACAAGATCAATAAGCAAGGGGTGCTTGAACAAGGAAAACCCGTGACCGATTCGCCGCGTGCCGAGAAGGATAGCATCGAAGAGATTCTGATCTGTTTCATCGCCATCACCTAAACATTCTCCGGCGTGGAAAAAGAAGGGTATGTCTACTTCTCCCTCGGCGCATTGTTTTCGGAACCAGAACAGCACAGGAACAAGGTCAGCAAGAGGTCTCCCTAAATCTTCCTGTCCGACAAGGTCGAATCCACAGATCATATCGGGGAATTCCTGCTTCGTCGCGATACATTGTTTCATAGTCTCGACAATGGCCTTGTTGGAAAAACGGCGCAGCGTAACCCAGATGATGCGAACACCGTAGAAGTCCTTTCCTGCCTCTGTCTTCTTGAATTGCTCCACCACATCTTCCACCATCTGGAACCACCCGAATAAGTCCTCGTCGGGCTCATCGTGTCCCTCCCTTCTGTAGTTATTACTGAAGCCATAGCGGAACTCCACGTATCGGATCCCATCCGCGGCAAGTTGTCCTAGCAGGCGGAGTAGACCGGTTTTGAAAATGGGCTCATACATCAAAATCGAGTCAATCACTGGGAACGTCTTCGCAAAGTGAGACCAGATTGCATCCACGCCGTGGTAGTGGTGATATGAGTGTTCTGGTAAAAGCACGCATCGACTGCTCAGCCATTCCCGGAACCCTTTTTCGCCTCCCTTGGGGAAAGAAGAAGCCGCCTTTTGAATCGAGATCAGCGAAGAAGGCTCGTACGTCTCTGTCCATATGCTAGGCTTGTCCTCTGAGGCCTCTACGGGTTGCGAGGAATACTGGAATGACACGGGCGCCCACTCGTAGTCCGTATCGGTGAGCAAGGGTTTCGGTGCCAAGATGTGTATACCTGGCGTAGAAAATGCCAGGTCGACCAGAAATTCGATATCGAACATGGCATCCATGTGAGCGTGGAGAAGCGATCCCTTGGGCATCTTATCGACGATTTTCCACAGCTTGGTCTTCTCCATGCGGTTTTTCGCCAGATTGAACATGACACCCGGGTAGAGAATCTCATCTGACTGATGAGCAGTCGCTTCGTCTAATCCAGCAGTCCATACCTCATGCTGCTCCTGGGTACGGATCTGCGATACAATCTTTGCCGCCCGGGCGGCGATTGGAGAAAGAGATTTGCGCAAATTGGCATCTAAAATCCGATTAGATATGAAGTTTGATTTCGCAGCAGTCTCAACGATACCGTGACGTCGCTTTTGCTCTTCCTGGATCAACGCATCGCGTCCTTTGAGGTACTGCTGAATGAAGGGGTCCTCAAACTGAGGAATACCCTCCTCCAGTTCCCATTCTAGGTCCTCGTGATCGTCTCCCATATTTGCTCAAATGGTTGTAGAGTCAAGATAGTTGCGGGGCAGATAGGCGGCACTCTCCCCGCCCTCTAGCCGTTTTCGTCGCCATTTCGCTTCACAATCACCATTAGCTCCACTGTCCATCCTTCATTGTCCCTACAAGACGATTGTGGTCTGCGAAATTTTAGTGATTTCAATTCTCACTGTGGACGACGCGTGGTGGCTGCCAAACCATATATTTTCTACCTCGACGTTCGTAATTCTGCAACACTGATCGGGATCATAATTGATCATAATTGATCATAATTGCTTCTGATGCCTCTCCCGTGTTTAGTCACAAGAGAACTATTTTTGTCCTGAGCTCCAAGGCTTACACTCTATATGATTCTAAACTTTAGAAACTACGAAGTCTCAAGTTTGGACTCCCTCACGGGGTATAGGGGTACGATTGTATGCCCAGCCTCGGAAGTGGCTCTGAGTGCAACCCTGAAATCCTGCGCATTCCCTGTTGCGGGACATGGAGGGGTGATTCTAAAGTTGATGAGCAGGGAAGTTGTGAGTCTAGGGATGATGGAAACACCCGGAGCGGGCCCTTCCATCTTCCATGGGCGTATGACATACAGCATGTAGGCTAACTCAATTTGTGAAAGCCCCGATGATTTGCCTCGACAATCCTTGGAACAAAACAAGGCAGACACTGTCATGTCCGGCGTCAAACGAACCGAACACATATCAAAACCAGCCCGTGGTCATATATCCGTTTGCAGCCGAGCCAACGGATATATCATCCAGTGATGCCAGACATCAATTGTTCAAAGGAACGGTCTTTCTAAAAGTCGATCGCACAATCTGGTACACAGCCCTGGAGTGGCAGCAGCTTTACAGCCAACTCTTCGAGGTGTACTCGTACTTTATGCTACACGCTGGAGAGGAGGCCAAGTTTCGCAAGTAATTCCCACTTCAGTACTCCGTACTTTATGCTCTTAATTTCAATTCTCTTCTGGAACAATTGAAAGGGAAAAGTGCAAACTACCCCGGGCAAGAAGAAGCTGCATCAATACTTACGAAGACTTCCAGGTCTTTCCCCTAAAACCCAAAGCCGAGAACTAGCAAACTCGACTTCTGAGAATCTGCGCAGCAAGCGATCGGGGATTTACCGACTCCCTGTAAGAGTATCACTGAAGTCGATCCTCTTTATTTCGGTTCAAGGTCCACGAAGTCGAATTATGTTGTCCACCGGCTTCTTAAGTTGGAGCATGTGCGTACAGCGACTAGCCTTACTACTGGTGCTGCCTTTCGATCGGGGATCCATATTGAATTCATCTACTGAAATGCGCAGCTGTCTCGGCTGCCGGGATATTGAATGACCCTGGGTGTTCTGTCCTCGGTATCTCCGACGGTCTTCTCCACCCCGATCACACGTAAAGTCATACTGGAAGGTTGTTCTGTCCGGGAAAACAAAAGTGTGACATGCAACCAGGCGGTCATTTGTGACACGCATGCGGTCATCTAAGGCCTCGATCATTCGATAAAGTCATACAGGTATGCTGGAAACCCTTGCGCCTTAGAATAGAAGTAGAGATGAGAGCGAGAAAAGTACCAGATCGTGGAGCACTGGGCTATATTTACCTACGCGGACGCGTAAAAAAAAGCAGCCTCAAGTTTAGGATTCTCTCGCTAAATGCGCTTGTAGGGTGTTCCTGAAGTCAGCGATATCCATATATCCAACTATTCTCGTATAGAGTTTGCTAGGTCGATTCTGGTCTGTGGGGGCCAGTCCTGGAACATTAGCGACGCCTTAAAATGATCGGAAATCTCGAGTCTGGAAATTCCCTATTGGATAAAGGACGGCTAGCACGAATTCACGCATACTGATCCAACATCGCCTTTGGCGGTTGGTAAATTTACACGAGTACGGCACCAGGGGAGGTACGTCTAGTTTAACCCCTGTACTTGTACTAGTGGAAGTGCCACTTGATTTGAGACATCCAATGACCCCAAAACGAAGCCAGCAATTAACTTTAGGACTTTAGAAGTACAGCCCCGAATTTCACGCGGTTGTCGCCTTTATTCCCTTGTAGCCTGAAAAGCGTGTTCCTGTACTCCGACGTAAAACAACCGAAGTCACTAAAAGCTTGGCAAATCTGATAGTAACTTGCTTTTCGCGCGATTTCCTCCAGAAAACATGACTCTGCCAAGGGTCCATAAAAAATTTCCAAGTGGCCAAGCGAAGCTTGTTCCGAAGCTTGGGCGAATCCCAGGCCCCACGGTAACCCCATGCGGTAAGGAGTTCAAAGCCACACGGCGATCTGATTAGATCTTTCCCGGCCGACGCCGGTTGTCCTTGGCCCCTGGTGGAGTGACGGTCTACGACGACGGCATTATGTTTGGCCAACAGTGTATGTTCCAACCCGTTGAATATACCACTCCGGAATACACTGGGAAGGGATTGTCGATGACCCACAAATCACCTTTCAAAACACTCTTCCTCCCGTTAAGTTTTCGAAACCAATCTGCCGACTTCGGGCGCCTGTTTTACCTTGGGATTCCTGTGCATATATTTCCGCGTCCCACCCCTTCTTGAGACAATTCCCCTTCCAGAATCTTTCCGTTTGGATCTTTTTTGGACTTGGTCACTTGGATATGTCATTCCGTCCCTTGATCCGACGGGCCGTGGCGGTCTTCCGTCGCTCCTCGGCCGATAGGGAGGAGGCTACAACCTCTTCCGTTGATACCGGGGTCGACGTCGACAGGAGTACCGTTCATAATAGCAAAACAGATGGGGAACGTGTCCCCCATCCCGAAGAGGCACTCCCAAATAACGGTGCCGAGTTGCCCGGTGTTCCTTTTGATGAACTCCAGTCTGGTGTTCAGCAGGCCGAGGCTGTCGCTGCAAGCTGGTCTAAAGCGTCACTTATCTTCGTCTTCATCAAGTATGGCATTACCATTCCTATCTTTCTATGCATTCCCATTAACACAGTGTCTTGATAGTATTTGGTTCCTCTATCTCGTCTACGCTTGGGTGTCATCGGTGAATACCAGTTTGAGCTCTTACGTCGCCAGTTCTTTCCAACAGCACTCTCTCTCCGGTCTTCCGACAGCTGTCGCCGATGCATTTTCTGCCGCAGTCTTCCTTCCGGTAGCTAAGATGATGGACACGTGGGGCCGTGCCGAAGGTTTCTTCCTGATGTCGGCCTGCGCGACTATTGGTCTGATTCTCATGGCCAGTTGCGACAGTTTTGCCATCTACTGTGCTGCTAATGTAAGTCGACAAAGGACATCCCCTCAAGCCAACGACTAACCGCAATAGGTGTTCTACTACTTTGGTTTCAGTGGCATGGAGTTCTGTGTGGACGTCATCACCGCCGATATCTCTCAGTTGAAAAACCGAGCCCTTGCATACGCTTTCACATCCTCTCCATACATTATCACTGCCTTTGCTGGACCAAAGGTAGCGGATCAGTTCTACGCCCATACTGGTTGGCGATGGGCCTACGGCACCTTTGCCATTATTTTCCCCATCGTTGCTGCTCCTTTGTTCTTCGTGTTGAAGTTCAACTTGTCGAAGGCTAAGAAGGGCAACGCTGTGGTCGTCAAAGAAAACAGTGGCCGTAACTTCTTCCAAAGTGTCTGGTTCTGGGTCCTTGAGTTCGACCGTAAGGACCTTTTCTATCTCCCCAGCCGTTGAAGCAATTCTAATATATTCCATAGTTATCGGTGTCTTCATCTTTACTGCTGGGCTTCTTCTCTTTGAGATCCCCTTTGATATTGCTAGCGAGGCCCCGAAGGGCTGGGGTACCGGATATATCATCGCTATGATTGTCGTCGGGTTCTCAATGCTTTTCTTCTTCGTCCTCTTTGAGCGATTTGTGGCCCCAACCCCTCTATTGCCATACCAATTCCTCACCAACCGCACAGTTGTTGGTGCTTGCCTGTTGGATGCAACCTACCAGCTCTCCAACTACTGCTGGAACAATTACTTCCAGAACTTCCTTCAGGTTGTCAATGACCTGAGCATTGCAGACTCTGGGTACATTGTGAACACCTTCGACGTCGTATCCGGCGTGCTTCTCTTCTTTGTGGGAGCAGCTATCCGCAAAACCGGCCGTTTCAAGTGGCTTCTCTATATCTCCGTTCCCCTATACATTCTCGGACAGGGTCTTATGATCCACTTCCGTCGCCCCGATCAAAAGGTTGGCTATCAGGTCATGTGCCAAATCTTCTTGTCCGTTGGTGGATCAATCTTCATCATTGTCGAACAGCTCGCTATTCTGGCTGCTGTTGACCACCAGCACGTTGCCACAGCACTTGCTTTGCTCAATGTTGTTGGAACCATTGGTGACTCTGCGGGTCTTACCATCTGTACAGCAATCTGGAGCAACACCTTCAAGAAGGCTCTCATTGCCAGGCTGCCGGATCTCTCGAACCTGGATGCTATTTACGAAGACATCGATACTCAGCTGAGCTACGCTGTTGGAACTCCTACCAGAATCGCCATCCAGGACGCGTACAGCTACACCCAGATTAGATTGCTCGCTACTGGGCTGGGAATCATGGCTCTTGCGTTCGCATGGACCATTATGATCAAGGACATCAATGTCAAGAAGGTTGCTCAGGTTAAGGGCGTGGTATTCTAAGAGTTTTTACATCATACAGTGATGACCTGAAGAATACCCGCCTACATAGTCACTATGTTCACCATTCTGCTTCCCTTGCCTTGCGCCTTGCCATTTTAACTGCACAGTTCCATCATTTTTTCATATTTATGCATAGGTTTATAATTGATGCTACAAAATCATATTGCTTTTTTTCTGCTCTTGACCAAAAAAATACTCATTGCTCCTACTCAGGTATAGCCAGTATTGTTTTTCATATCATTGCCATACAAGAGATAGATTTAATTTAACGAGGCTAGCAAAGCCAATTGATATCACGACTGCCCGAATACAATCTCGACATTCATCGTATGTTGCCAGTTACGTGAACAGGCGAGCTTTGTCGCCCCCATCTAGACCTGATCCACTTGCATCGTCTAATTTGACCAGATTCGGTCCTGCACAGGTGATAAACCCAATGTACAGTGAAACGCTCCCAGCGGGAGGGGAAAGAAAAGACCACGAGACACAATCTAGCTAGCCGCGCTAGCTGTACTGTAAACTGGTTGAAATACACAGGAAACGTCGATCAGCTCAAGTTCCTTGATTGGTTGCTAAGAGTAAGGGAACTAGCTGTTTTCACTAAAGATAATAATAATGCCAGTCACATGGTAAATGCTGACTAATGTGCGATTCCGAGCTAACGTCACCACAACAGTTACCCCGCCCTGGTCACATGATCAGACACCCCGCTGTGTACCTTGAGTTTCGCATCATCCGAACCTCGCGTCCCCCCACTTACCTTGACCTCACGCCTCCGCATCTGGCACCGGCTCGATCTACGTCGACGTGTCTAGTACTATCTCGACGCGTTTAACACCAGTTCGACGTGTCCGGTACTACCTCGACGCATCTAATACTAGTTCGACGTGTCTGGCACCAACTCGACTTACAGTTCGACGTATCTGACATCAATCCCACTCACCTCGACCTCATACCTTGTACTAGCACTACATACGTTTCAGCTGGCTCTGCCTCAGCTGGCTTCGTCTCAACTGCAGAGACCTCGGGTAGCGCCTTGCAAATTTCCTTTGTCATTCTTCGAACCGCGTCGAGAGCTTACAGCCTGGGTATCCGGAGCGCAAGCTAGCGACCTGTTCCGCCGTTCAGTCCCCCCGCCTGCGTTGCCTACGTGATCGTCGCCTACTATTAGCCCTTTCTCTAGCTCTGCGTACTCGTTTGGAGCTTTCGACTTCAGATTACTCGGTCGCTACTACGGCGGCCTTGCTGTGCGTGCTCGCTGCGGAACCAGAAGTAAGGGTCGAGGGCCCCCTGCCCAACACGTGACCTGTTTACCCCTCTTCTGCACGTGACCGGGCGCTCAGCATCGCGTCGTGGTTACACCAACCTCGCGTCACACTGATTCATCGTTGACTCATTCGCTGTTCATCTCAGCTTTATCTCAGCTCCGAGTTTTGTAACCACAGTCATCAAGCTAGCCGCTCTGAGGAGGCTACCAAGGGTGACAGACAGACCCAGCCCGCCCGACCCGTGTGTGCGCTCCGATTATTATCAAGCCATGGAAACTCCGGTTCGGCTGTCGCCACAAGTCCAGCGGATCCAACAAAGCTCGCCGTATACCGACATATTCACCGGTGCACCTGCCTTCGTTCTGTCTCGACAAGATACGCAGGGTCAAAACCCACCGCAGACCCATGCTCACCCTCAGCCCAGTCGGTGGGAAAACCCTACAGGCTGGGGCGCTCGTCACGTCAATGATACAGCCCCGTTTACGCTATGGGATCCAGAAAAACGCCAGTTCCGATCCCCAGATAAAACAGAACTGGGGTGGATTTGGAAGAAATTTGGCGCTGCACACCTCGGACTGTGCGGTTGGTACATGTGGATTGAGACTGAAACCCCTCCTCGGCCGATTCCTTTGACTGTCGGATGCATGCCGGTGACATTTTCTGGGCCTGGGTCATATGCCACCGATTCCATTCCAGAAGCCCCGTATCCGAACCCGCGGATTGCAGATCCCTGTCCGACCCTTACTTGGCCCAAGATGGCTTTCCCAACAAAACAGCAGAATGTCGCGCTCCTTACAGCTCTGAGCCCCCTGGCGCACATACAGGCAGTGTTATATTTACCTACCTGGACCGTTGTTGAGCTGTCTTACGGTGATGGCCGCATTTATGAGCCGGGATCCTTACCTGGGATAGTGGCAGGTCGTACCACACTATACCACCATGGCCCAGAACCCTTCCATGCCAGAATGAAACAACAGACTCGAGCCCGGTATGTAGATCCTTTGCAATATACGGCAAGCTCGGGGCCTTTGCCTCAAGATTATTCGAACTATCTGAGGCGTTCATACCTGAGCCCAGGGTGCAGAGTCGAGAGTGGCCTTGGCCCTACCGGATCTCGCTATGAATCTTCCAGCGCAGCAACCACATTGGGAATTAAAATCCGCAATGGTCGAGGCGATGAGTTTGTGACAGTAGCTCACCATGGTTTTCTACACTTGGGCGACGTTCATCACCCCAAAACTGGAGAGGACATCATTGGCACGATTTCAGATACTCGCCCGGAATTAGACGTTGCATTCGTGAAGCTGACGCCAGCAGCCTCGGCAAATTTCAGGAATGACTGTTATTTTCAAGCGGAACCAGCCCAGAGGCTTGTATCAGGCGATGTCATTGAAGCAGGCACATGGAGCGAAGTGGAGGGGATGAGCTCAGGATTCATTAGCCTATTGGCGATCGGTCGACGCTTCGATGCCCCTGAACGCCCCCCAGGCCACCCAACGATCCCATTTTTCAAGTGGAGGGTATCGAAGGTTAATGCAATTTTTGGGGCCATGAACCCCACGATATCAGAGGGAATTTGCGGCGCCCCAATAGTTCAGTGTCAAACAGGCGAGGTAGGTGGCTTTTTCCATCTATCCGATGGAACGAATTGCCTTAGTGCGGACCTAGATGATCTGATCGCCGAGGGGTGGCAAGTGGTCTAAGTATCCAGGCCTCGGATGTTGTTCTCGAGCTATCATTATGACGGTCGAGAGTATTGTTATTTGATGTTTTTATAAGTTGTTGGGGAACCCCTTGCTTGTCAGACGACTGCCCCCTATCATTCTAGCTAACTAGTTCCAGGCAATTCAACATTTTATGACCTTGCCACACAACACAAGTTGTCACATGACGATGGTCCTGTGACGCCCGTCTGCATAACAGACGTCTGGCGCTAGTTAGTCACTATGATTCCTATCTTCTTCGTCACTAGTACCCAACAATGGTAGCACGTCTCTAAAGACCCGGAGACCTGAAGATCACCCGAGCATCAGGAAAATTTTTTTTGCAGACGTTTCTTCGTTTTTCTTTTCTTTGTTTTGTCAGCGAGTAACCGCATCGTCAGCGAGCGACCGGACGATCGTCGACTGCCCCGCTTACCTGCATACACACTACGCACTAGCTTCCCTTTTATTTTATGTACGATCTGTCTACGGATCGCAGAAGCTCGTCGACTTGGATTACCAGAGTACAAGCAGCTACGAGCGTAGCGATCGACCCCTTTTCGCGTTACCAGCTTGAGGTGTACGGTGTGGCGACGTTAGCTCTGGTCCGTATATTAGTCAGCAGTTACCCCGTGATCGGGCGCATTATTAGTTTTAGTCCACGCAGCTAGTTCTCTTACTTTATCATCCAATCAACGAGTTCGAGCTGATCGACATTACCCTTGTAATTCGTTCCGCTTACAGTACGGCTAGTCTCGCTAGCTCGATTGTGTCTTTTGGTCTTTTCTTTCCCCTCCCGCTGGGAGCGATTCAACGGTTACTCCGCCCTGGTCACATGATCAGACACCCCGCTGTGTACCTTGGGTTTCACGTCATCCGAACCTCGCGTTCCCCCACCCAACTCGACCTACCTCGACACGTCTAATACTAGTTCGACGTGTCTAGCACCAGTTCGACGCGTCTAACACCAGCTCGACGTGTCCGGCACCAACTCGATGTGCAGTTCGACGTGTCTGACATCAGTCCCACTCACCTCGACCTCACACCTTGTACTAGCACTACATACGTTTCAGTTGTCTCTGCCTCAGCCGGCTCTGCCTCAGCTGGTCACTACATACGTCCCTTCATTTCCACATCTAGCACTAGCTCGTGGTCCCTTGTACTAGGAACCACACTATCACGCTGTCTGCATAATAGACGCACACAGCACCTCACAGCTAGCAACAGATGCACACAGTACTCTAAGATTGTAACTAGCGATAGGGCACCATTGAAGGGGCCCGGGGGTGCACCGGCGGAGGAGGCTCCGGTCTGGAGGGCTTCGAGGAGGTCAAATATGGTTGAATTCGATGATTTGGAAGTAAAAGGGGGTAAAATCGTAGGAATTCAAATAGATCTAACAGAGAGAGGGCGTCAAAATGGTCTTTTATTTACTAGTATGGTTGCTACAGCAATGTAGGGCTAGTATCCATTGGTGAGACGTCGTTGAAAATCATGTGATTTTACCCGATAGTTCCCGAATTCTTGGCAAAATTGTAGGCTAGTGTTGTACACGTACTAAGACCCCGTGCCACACCTGGACAAGCGGCACAGGTGCAGAGAATTGTAGATGAACCTTGGAACCAAGTACCCAGAGAGGTCATGGCTTCAGCACCCTGAGCGTCTGCGAGATATCAAGACAGGATTCAGCAGGGTGACCTGAATGCCAAGGTATGTCCGAAATGAAGATTTTGCTTGGAAGGTTCAAATGTTATCAAGATTGTGTATCTCGGACCTTTGCCGCTTATCGTTCCACCGATCCATCCAGGCTCCAGTCTTTTGTTCCAGTGTGGGAGATGCTAAATTGACTTAAATTGTACTCTGATGGTCGGAGGATCGAGAGAATTGATGATATAGTTCATGAGAGTATCTTACGTACAACCTGCGCGAACACATTATAGCGTAGTACCCGGCTCTTTCTGGCGCCCCCCTGGGCTTCCAAAGGGGGGGGGGGGGGGGGGGGGGCCCCGAAAGAGAGGGGGACGCCGGCCCCGGGAGGTAACTTTTTGGCTCTCAAGCAAGCGCCCGTGGACTCCTAAACCACTCCAAGCCCACCCCACCCCCC